CTGCAGGATGTCTAACAGATTGAAAAAGGTAGCCACGCGAGAGAGTTATGTTAGTTCTCAGTCTCATTTACTGCTCTCCGCATGACTTTGTAACGTTGCCACTAATAAATACTTCAGACGATCGTCAATGAATAAAATTCATGCGTGTATAACTTTTTTTTTCTCGTCAAAAAGAGGCTTGTTGATGAGGAAACAAATGGTGTAGATATGTCATATTATTTTTCAAATTGCAACGTTTTTGAAAAGGGGTGTATATATCTATTTAGTGCCAGCTTTTCCGTTGTTAAAGCTCACCCCCAATGGATTTAGTCTCTCTCATGCAAATACACGGAGAAAAATAATTTAAAAATTTTTAAAAATGTTTGAAAATTCGTTCTACTTACCTGATCTTTAAGGTAACTGAATGTATTGAGTGTAAGCCACCGTTCAGCCCTCTGAAATCATTCCCATATTTTAAGTCTGTGATAAGCCTGTAATTAATATTCATCTACATGACTTAAAAGAACGTGACTCGCACTCTTGAAAGTTCAAGTTGAAATGATTGTATCTGGAGAAATTTTGAATTGCTTTTCGAGCTTTGCCAAAAAATTATTAGTGTCTCATTTCAAAACTACCACATAAATTATGGAGACACTTGGTCTCGAATTGAAAGTGATAACAACCATAATGGAGCCTAAGGTCATCATTTCTGATTTGAAAAATCAAACAGACAAAATTGTGCGTTTAAAGCTTAAGTAACTTCTGTTCCTACACGCAACTTTTATTAATAATATACCAACTTCCTCTTTTTGACATGCGTGCAATCTTCCACGGACGAATCATGCAGATCAAGGCCTTTGTTGCTTAGATACTTCAGTTAGTGTTTATTCTCTCAGAAAAGGGATTGCAGCATGTTGTATTCATCTTATTTGGTGATATTTTCAACCAATTGTAACTAAAGAAAGATGTTTTTCGTCCTGTCACGAGCGTGGGACAAAGAAAAAATTCTGAGTCCCCACGAGGAATCGAACCTCAGACCTTCGGATTCCACGCTGCGATGCTCTACCACTGAGCCACAGAGACTCCACGATGAGCGAGGTCTATTACGAAGTTCGTATGACACGCGTCCTGCATACTGCTAGGATCAGCAATGTCGATAGAGTAATTACAACAAAGAGTTTACCAGCTTTTTTAAGAAAATGAACGACACTTTTTAAAAACATGTTTCGGCAGTTCTTCTGTCATCTTCAGTTTGAATAAAACAAAGTACAAAGTTGAATTTACAGTGTGTAACAAAATGCTGATTGGACAAAACAAACAATAGTAACAAAACAATGTATGCATTTACAAAGGAAAGTTTTTCGTTACATATCTACTTCTATCCAGACCTTTTACCAGCTGTTGTTAAAAAAAAAGTGCATACATACAAACATAGTTAACTTCAGACAGTGCTACAGACAGTACTGTTTCGGCCTTCTGGGCCTCATCAATACAGTACTGACGCAAGGATGGAGGCAAAGCCACTTTTGGTATCATCCAAGCCACATCAAAATGCTCAAACTAGTAAACTAGTGCATTTATTGGATTTTCAAATTTGCGACGCTTTTTTTTTATAGATATTGTTAAAGTGTAAAAGTGAACTATTATGTATAAAAGTGTAAGACGGCTGCCAAACGAACGGCTTCCAGGAGAAGGATCCAAAGTATGCAAGTATTTTCTCCAAAATTCCTAATAATTGTAGTTCAGGGAGAGAGAAAATAAACTAGTGTTGCACAATGCCGGTTTGGGACTTTTTCATCAGGTGGAACATTTGGTATTCACGAGTTAAAATTAAAAAAACGCAAAAAATCCTAAGATCTTACAAAGTCGCTGATGTTTAATGTATATCAGGAAAATGTGAATTAAGTCAGATAATATCACACAACACAAAAGGAAGAATATCGTAACAAATTAATGGTAACCTACAAGAGGGCGCAAACAGCGGAAATGCATTATTTATTCATTGTTGTCTAAATTATAGAGTGCTGAATTTAGTTTTAAAATGAGCTAGTATGGCAGACACGATTCTTTTTCGATCTGAAATCAAGGCTTTTGTTGAGGCTGTGTAGGTTGAAGAGAGAAGACTTACCCTAATCTGTTCAGGTGATTTAATACTTCGGCCTTTTACGGGTGTATACAAATTAGAAAATTAAAAGGCTAAAAATCCTAAACAAGTAACAAATATAAGTGGGACCTATTTATCGTACAAACTCAAGAGTACCGAGTGTAATAAAACAATGTAACACAGCACAAAAGAAAGAATTACGTTACAAAACATGGAAACTTGCATGCAGGAAGGTGCAAATTGCGTATAAAAAATACAAAAATACAAAATACATACATTGATACTAATGCAAAATACACTGGAGATTGAAAATATTGGATTCAGCTTTTCCTTTAGAGGGGATTGTGATTTTAGTGTAAATGTATAGCAGTCACTTAGACTCGTGGCGCCTCGGAAGAAGCCCCAGGCAGGGCCTTTGTCTTTTGACTTAGGTATTTCTTACTCTATGAACAAAATGAAAAATCCAATTTCCCCCCCACCACCCCAAGATATTTCTGGTGTACAGCAAGTGTGAATGGCGCATATAGTTGCCGAACTAGGACACAATATTGGGAAGCGCTAGGTATCACCCATGCGACAAAGGGACAGGAACGCCATGCTAAAGATTATGTGGATAAGTTGACGAACACTCTGAAATACTTAGACCTTATGATATCAAAATATTGATAATTTTTCGACCCAAAGCCACTTCGAGGCTATCGGCTTATTTGTTGTTTATCATACACTGATTCTCTATGAGTTTCATTACTTCAAATCAGGGCAAAGAGGGCTCAAAGTCAAAAAGTCATTCATAACTATGACGTGACAAAGGACACAGGAAATAGGACTCTTTAAAGCCCTATACCTGTATTTTCATCCGGTGCCACCATGAGTCATCAGATGAAAGTTGACTGACACGGACCCTCCTGATGCCAATCTTTTAACTGCGAAAAGTCAACTCAACACGATGAGAAAAAATAAAAAATAAAAAAAAACGTGCGGGCACAGCTTAGGTCTCTTGGCTAATTAATCGGCTGTGGCGCCGCACGTTCAGATCGTATGGAAGACTTTGTTTCACTTACCTGAAATGAAGTAATAAGTGATATTATTGGAAAGAAATGAAAGGAGCGACGCCTTTGAGTTGAAGTCTACGTTTAATCTCAACGCAAGGATTGAGTTTTTACGCCTAGAGTCTCTTGTCGTCGTTAATCAAAGCCAGGCGATGAATACCTTATTCATACATATGCCGGCATCGCGAGGTTTCGGTTTTGTTAAAAAAGAATGCAATTTAAAATCATCATAATTGACAGATGTTTTAATTACGTTCCTCTGTGCAGGTATAATTAGAATTCGTGTTTCTGCCAGCACCTTTTTTGTCCTTGTAATTTGTTATTTTAGTTTGCCATACTGTTGGTGATTTTCATGTTTGTCATAAAGCAATCTACTGTTTTATTTAAAATATGAATTAGAATATTGCAAGAGATTATAAATATCTTGAATATTGCCAGTGTGATTCAAAAGGCTTCGTTTTACATTACACTAAGAACACGGCTAACAACGGTTGAAACATTGATGGCTTTTTCACTCTAAGATATCGATTTGGAACTGCCTCTTTTATTTGTTGCTGAATAGCACTTTTGGAATAGTAACAACATTTCATCTTCCTGAGATGTATGCGTGCCAGTTTCCACGCCGTTTTGTTTTTCTTATCAGGCCAAATATACCCAGAAGTGAAACGAGATCAAACTACGAATAAAAGTATTTCTTTCTTTGATGTCGGTATTTCTTTATCAAATTACAACTCAGGAATTTTTCTTTCTTTCAGGTACTTTGGTTGACTTCTCGCTCCATATTATGCAATGCTCGCGACATTTCTTGATAAGAGTTGACACCGAATCTTACACTGAAATTATTTTATTGTTCTCCGAGCATTCCTCGTTGGTTTATCTCGTTTTAGGCCGCGGAAAAGAATTGCCTACTGTTTTCTTTTCTCGAACGTCAATTTAAAAAAATCAATTCCTTAAGATGTGATGACACGATTTTGGAAGAACTCTCTCCTAAAAAGGTAGCTCTAAAAATCCTTTTTTATCATGTGGAATCGGGTTCTGAGAAAGACTTCACCATGTTTGAGAGGAAAACAGAACGAAGAGGAAAACATGTTGTCTTGGCTTCAAGGAGAGAGTGGGCGTAAACTCCCGTGGAAGCTGAGTCTCAAAACAGTAACAATGTAGACCCATATTTCAAAACATAGCCACAGATGTTCCAAGTTACTAAATCTACCTTTCCTGTTTTCCTAAAGGAAAAAGAAAAAGAAATTAACAAGTTTTGATTGAAAGAAATTGTCTCCCGCTTCATTTTGCATTGTTCTCTCAAAATTACATGTTTTGACAAGTCTGTCATTATTTCTTTCTTATTTTCTTTCTTGTTCTTCGTAAAAATCGCCAGCTGTCACTGTATCAAACTTATCGCTTGCCTATATAAACAATGGAATACATATGCATGTTGTTTTGATTCTGTTTGTGACGTGCTGTGATGTGCACAACACGCAAACTTTTTCGGTGGAGATGTTTTATAGTAGCAACCACATCAAGTCAATTTGAATGTAAAGTGCAAATATGATATGTAATTTCTAAAGTAGATCTTGAACTTACCCCGTCTGTAACATTGAAGGTGTTCTGAATACGTGTAACTTTATGTGTAGCCTTTTCGCCTAAAGGTGTTCACGACATTATGAATAATTCAGAAGGGGTTTCGGTTTCTGGTGGAACTTTGTTTTGGTGCTTTGAGGAATACCTGCCACTAATATGTCTTTAATTGGCTTTGTTCGCATCTAATTGATTGGGCTTTTCAAATCACAGCAAGAGTTTCCGTGTTATTTAAACGTTTTGTGAACGAAACCATTGTAAGATTTCGCGAAGGCACGCACCCCAAACTAAGAATGGAGTCCTCAGCCCATGTGAAACGACCCATGAATTGCTTCATGGTGTGGAGTCGAGAGAAGCGCTACCACATCCTAAAGGAACACCCTGGAATTAACAACGCTGAAGTGAGCAAAGCGCTTGGTGCAGCATGGCGTAAACTGTCTGAAGAAGATAAAGAACCGTACGTGGAAGAAGCGCGGAGACTGACAGAGCAGCATAAGATGGACAACCCTGGATACAAATACCAACCAAAGAGACGCAAGCCTAAAAGAAAGCGAAAAACAGATAAGAAAATTTTTCCATCTACGACATCCTTAAAACAAATTGACACTCGCAAATCGTCTAGCGAAAAGATTCACTTCCCCTTTAAAATGTGGTCTGAATCCCACACATCACTTTTTGATGATGTAGGTGGAAGGCCTTCTGTGCTCTTTCCTCCACACCTCAGTGTGTCCTGCTTGCCTCCAACGTTTCAAAAAGGAACCACTCATGAATGGTGCTTATGTCATAATCTCTTTCCTGCACCTCACTGCTACCTACCTTGGGCTGGAGGCATGAGTGAGCATTTCTATAATGTCGAGAGCACTTCCTGCTTTAGAATATTTAACTTGCAGGGAAAGCCTCTGATACGCCACAGAGCGGATTCTATTTTCAATCCATACAAGATGTGATTTTATAGACTGAAATGAATTATTTGTGTGCTTTTGTTTGCACGATGGAGTTACGATTATCGTCATGACGTTCAACTTTGCGTGGAAAAGGACTTTGTTTCGAAAATTTGTTTTCTAACTTCATCTCAGCACGTAAATCAAGCACCACGTTTTGTAATTTAAGATTACGAGGCTATTCGTAAAGTATAAAGTTAATTTGTCACTTAATTTATCTTTCGAGCATTCTAGATAGTGGTTGATTTGATTGTTCATCGCTCAAGTAAACGCAACCACTGACACTGAAGACGTTTTCATACAAATACGCTAATAGTTGAATGTACCCACGCCGTAAACAGGAACATTTTGCATGACGTTTACCGCAATGTTTATCAACTAGATATTTATGATATAACTAGTCGTTTCAGGCTTTCTAATTATTCTTGAAATGGTTTCCCCGTGGAGAAGGGCGGGTCCTTGCATACATTGTCTTTCTTGAGTATATTCAAACCTAGAAAACTAATTTATACCAAGTAAAGAGCCTTTGTTATAAACACAAATCATTCATTATGTTCTTGGAAGTTCGCCGTTTAATTCCATGGTGGCTTTGCGACGGAACGCAAAGTGAATTGCTTGTAATTGAGGGGTTTGAACGAAGTGCAAACTGGATAGAGGTGAGTCCAAAGGCAAGTCAAGGATTATTTTTTAAAAAGCATTATCCTGATGAAGCCGAAGGGCCGTCGATTTTGAACGAGGCCAAATTGAAAAAAATTAGGCTGTTCCATTGGAATTCAGATTCTAATCCTGCACTGGCTAATCAACCTAGTCTGATTAAAATGTGGTACGGTATGTTGCAAAAAATCCCTTTCTACTCATACAGAGGACCAGATTGCGGAATCTAGAGGTACTAAGCGTATTATCTCGACGAATAAATCTTACGATCGCAGTCAGAGGGTATCTTGAAATGTGTTTTGAAAATTTCAAAGAGATGTCTGAGAAATTTGCGAGTATTTCCCCTCCCCTCCCCCTTTCTCCTCCATGTTAAGCATCCAACCACCCAACTTCGAGAAAGATCCCTAAAACAAAAAGCACTTGTCACTTCATTTACCTTTCCTTTGATTTCTCCTTTTCCAGATGCTCTGGATGCTCTGTAACCTTCAAATCGCCTTGGATGTCGAGAACTTTTATCTTGTGTCCAGAGCTTTGAGTGGTGAACTCTTCCTCGTGTAGGATAGAAATTATTCTCCTCTTCCTCTTCATGTTCGCTCCTTCATTTTCTCCTTTTCCTTTATCTTTATTTTCCTTTTTCGTCTTCTTCTTCTTCTTCTTCTTCTTCATCCTTTTCAATACAGAATTTCACTCTTTCTAGATGATGTACGATGCAAAATGTTCGTGCCTGATTTTCATAGTTTATGTCTGAATATTTATCTGCGATTGCTAGTGTCCATCAGTACCTGATAACTTTCTGGATGGGTCGCCTTAAGAGAGCTGGATTAAGAGGGAGAGAGTGATGTCAAAGACGTAAAAGTATACACAACTTTTCAAGCTATCGACCCGAATAATCTCGTGCGCTGCACACGATTTTTTGATTTAGGAGTAAGTTTAATTAGGGAAGGTTTTAAAAGGAGATCGATAGGATGACAAACCTTCACTTGAAATGAAGGCATAAAAAATTGGAATGGCGCATTTTTGAAAACTATGAAATCGGAACCTAGTGAGAACAAGGACACCAATTATTTCATCGCAATTCTTTACGACACTCGAAATAATTCGAAATAACATGGCACAGGTCAATTCAAAACAACTCCAGCTTGCGTGCAACTGTTAATGGTCAAAAATTCTTCCGTCAAAACGTCGAAATGTTTAATGGCTTACTCATGAATTATCAACTTGAAGCGAATTTACATTTGATATTTGTGGATTTTGCGGGAGTAACTTAACATTAGCAGAATTATGCTTCCATCTCATGGGAAGTTAAATGATATGAATAGCTTTAAAAAAAAATTTTAAATTCTCATCTTCATCCGGCCGTACCCTGTTTGAGAGATCATCATTTACGTGATGAATTATTGACAAAAAAAGTTTCCTTGGTTACCTCCTACCATTGTAAAAACGCTACTGATACTTCCATGATCAGATAATACTAACAGGAAAAAGCTTTATGCAGGTATAAGAGCGTCTTTTAGAATTTTCTCTCCTGAAGGTCTCCTTGAAAAATTTTGCTTAAGGCCTTGAGGAGAAAACTGAACGTGACTGTCATTTTCGTTTTCATTAGTGTACTTCCAGAAAGAGTGTTATTATCTTTTCGGGAATGAGAGATTGCGGGTTCTTATCATCGAAAAAGAATGTACTCCATGCAAAGTGACTCTTACTTTGTAGGTCTATCCTTCTGCGACAAAATTGGGCAAAATTGATTCTAGGTTGTCCTTAATATCATTGATAGTAATGTGTTCATAAAGTAATCGAACGCTTTTCGGTGAAGTGAAGAATGACAAAGTTCACTTCGACATAAGGGCGACTTTAGCTCAAGGGCAACTTTGGAAATTCACTTACATTTGTTAATGAGAAACCCTACGTTTTGAAGTGAGACGTTTTGATGGCCACACACAGAGTTCATGGTACGATCACGTTTTGATTTACAGACACTGAGTAAAGGCTGGCCTGATTAGTTGATAAATATCCGCACGCCATTTTGTTGCGATAATGATCTTCAATGACAAACGTAACATTAATTGTATCAATCGAGGGGAGAACGCCGTGCATGTTATCGAAGATGAAGACATCCTGGCCGCGGGCAGCTTTTTTTATGTATCTTTAGGTTTAATTAGAATTCCCTTTTCGACCCCCTACAATGAAAAGTAAAAATAATCGAAGGCCAGTTTGCATGGTCTTTTCCCCTGAATTTTTTTTGTTATTATTATTTCCCGCGCACGCAATGATGTAGGAAATGGTAAATATTGAGGTAATGCGTGTTCGAAATAAAGGGGAATACAGGTGCTTTCAACCCAAGGTTATAATGCCAAAAAAGACTAAGTTCACGACATTTTGAAGCATGAAGGAGTTCCAGCAAGCACATGTACGTCGTCGGTAGGGGAGCTAGTTTTCTTGACATTGATGTAAATTTGAATTAAATTATTAAAAAGCTCTTAAGGAAAAGGACACGAAACATGGATAAAGTTTGAACCAGTGTTGTTAAAATTTCATTTTGAATGTATTGTACACAATATGTTTTGGTAGTCATGTATGCAGCTAAAAGACGCCCGTTGTTACAAATCTTCTTCAGTTACTTGTTTTGCGGTCAAAGGCTCTTAATTGAAACTTTGAATATTCATTCCTGGAAATGCTGTCGTTTGCTTCAGAAGAGTAAAGCGCTACGGTCAAAAATGACTTATGAAACACATCAATATCATTCAGAACTACGGTCTCATTTTTCAAGTTTGCAATTCCACAGGGCCAGGCCCTAATTTAGGCAATCACCGAGTCATCGAATCGATCAGTCAATGGACCCAGAATTTAATACAACCTTTTTGGTTGCAGTGTCGACGTCCGTTCATTGACGAGACTACTATCGTAAGACGATGCACGAATCGTTACTCAGTTTCGTAAACGAAAACATGATTCAACACTGTTTTATAATGGAATCGAGTTTATCTCCTTTTTATTCGTGGTGAAATAAAAAAAACCGCTTCCCATTTAAGGAGTTTGCGTCTTTTTGTTTTCAACATAAATAGCAAAAGCTGTTATATTGAGAAGTACAAACGTTAAAAACCTCAAGGTTGACTTTTTAAGAAAAAATAAAAAACAAGGTCTTTATGCAGTCGCAAACGATCTCTCAAATTTGAGTTCCAAATAACCACAGTATTTAAACATAAAACCCCATCAAAGAAAAGACAGCTATCCCAGACTTTTGTTTCCGTGGAGACGAATGTTCCCGTCACGGATTTTGGCGGGAAAATAGCACGCCACTCATGCAAGTTCTATTGGGAGGGACGTGACCACATTACCATTTGCGGAAATTTTAGTGTTTGACACGGCTCAACCTCCCGAAGGTTCATTTGTTATCTAAAAGAAAGAAGACGTACGAATTACTCAGAGTGTAAAAACAATGTTCTCGTTCGCAAATATTGATCGTTGTAAAGTTGCCGTCAAGTTTCGGCGCTATGGGATAAATATTTTCATTAGCATGGAGAAAATAGGTGACAGCGCTTATAAAATTTTGACGAAGATGTGGTAATAGAAAATGAAGAATCGAAAAAACAAGGAATATGTTAAAAAAAAAAAACTCTTAGTAAATGGTATCCATGTGCTTGTTCGAGATTATAAATCGAGTTGCTTCACAATGGCCTGTGGCCGTATTTCAAGATATATTTCATATTTGAAGATCCCTCTTCGATGTGTTCTTATCGCATTTGTTCATGACATTCTGATGAATAGTTTAAATATAACGATAGAACTCCTTTTAAAAATAACGCGTACTTTAGGTCTCGTTTCATCTCAAGGGTTTTAGTTTTGAAATCAAGGAGACTTTTTCTTCAACAAATTTGGATAGTATATTATTTTATTCAATGCATGGCAACCGTTTCTTAAAAATTTGAATTCCACTTTCGTCACGATGACACAGTTATCTTGCATAGCAGATGTAATTACTATTCAGAAGCTGGCTTGTTCGCAGAATTCATTGTTTATTTAACCCTCTCTCTCGGTCAATGTTAATGATATTCTATCGTAAGTTTTTGCCGTAATGTCACGAAACTATATATTTACAACACACCCGTCATCAAATTCAAAGGCGGACACCACCGTGAAGCACGCACAACGAGAAGATTCTCTCCGGCGTAGATCTATGCGAGTCACAAACATCCAAGAAACACGGTGAGTTGAAAAAAGATATTTTATCTCGTCAAAATTTTATTTTATTTCTTGAAATTGGAAATGAAATCAGAACAATTTTTAATTTAAAAGCAGCTAGTTCCACCAAGACAACGTACACTAAGCGAGGAGCCCTCAAAAAGCCGGTAGAACATCGTTCATACATTAATAAGCTACCGATAATAAGATGCTCGTCGTGAAGTTTCAGTTCCTAGCCGCGACATCGTCTTGTCTCTGGAAACTTAAATTTTTGCTTTCTGTTTGACATAAAAAAACTGAAAAAAATTCGTTTTTTATATAATAATGAGCTCTATCCTTAGATAAACCTTCCCTTTTTTCCTTTTCTAATCGCTAAAGTATACGCCAACTTCGTATGAAAATTTCCTCAAACAGCTGCGCCTTTAGTCAGCCGAAATTCACAATCTGTCAATCATTGTATTTTCTAGAATTTACAGATCATTTCTTGCACCACGACGCCTGAAAATTGCTGTGCGTAACTTGAAATATGTCAAATCTGTTTTACTCCTTTCCTCAAAGCAAGCCAGTTACAAAGAATTTCGCACACAATAAAGAGTGGGGAAAAGCACGTTTTTAAAAAAAACAAAGCGAAACAAAACTGAATTTTTTTTTCAGGAAGTCCATTGAAACTGTCTTGCAGCAAATATTTAATCCTCCATTCATAAGGTACCGTTAATCTCTTCTCATCGTATTTTTCAGTCATCGCAGCGAAAAAAATTGCGTGGGTGGAATAATAATTATGTTCCATACCCCGCATGTTTGTTTACAACAGTTGGCGAATCGTTCAGTCAGTATTTATCTTAATAAGCAAACTCGTCTTATTTGATACCAAAATATGCACGCTATCAAGGAGTAAAGTTCACTTTTCGTTGGTGAATGACGAATTTGCCGGAAAATGAAAAAAACATATTTCGTCTTTATGAAATTTATTTTATTTTCATCCAATCACGTGCGAGAGTCGAAAATTATCTTTTTAACTGAAAACAAATCAATCAATTTTTGGAAAATATGGCAGCTTGCCATTCACAAATTAATGAATTTTTAGTGTGCTGAAACATAATAAATACTACAGGGTGAAACAGGATGCCCTCAATGCTTTTGAGATGCTCGGCGCCGTTAGAAAGAAAATCTCATACTTTGGTGATAACAAGGCAAGCATACACGGCAAGTCAGAGACTGTGATTATCATATAGTAGGTAGAACTTCTTCTGATTTTAGCAGCTGTGGTTTTGACTGAGTGAATTTCTATGGCCTTGCCACAGAAAATGATAATTCCTTAATAGTATCAAGTTAAAAATTTTAAGTGTTCTAGTCAATAACTGGTAGACGAAGGTTGTGACTCTCGGACAAATAACTCTTAATTCGAAAAAATGCAGGCCTGTCTTAGTAAACAGATGTCAAGGGATGGATAAACACATAAAAAATACTGGTTACTTGTAGATGCTGGGGAGGCAAGCGTAACGGGTTCTGTTCCACCAGCGCAAAGAAACCTCTTCTTAATTTAAAATATTGCCGTTCAGCGCAATAGTCAATCATTCCATAAAATAACAGTGAACAATTATTTAATTCGCAAATTAAGAACCCGAGAACTTTTCTGTAAGAGATCTTTCTATCGCAAATGGAGCGGCATGAATTTTCTGAAAAGCAAAAATTTGTTTTTCTTACCTGATAATTTTTTCTTGTCACGTGACCGTGCATTTATATTAAGTGTTATTTACCAATTCATACAGGACTTTCGAGAATTTTTTCGAATTAATCATCAAGATGTAAAACATGTGCCGTAGTAGTTTTGGGACCAACATTTTCGAAACACGAATACTTTTTAACTACTCTTTTCTATTTACGCCTTGCTCGTTGATTAAAATTACTTGGAAACACTATTTGTACGATTTATGAAAGAAAGCTATTTATTTTCAGTTATTCACTTACGTTGTTCATCCTCTTAGAAGGCCCTGGTAATGCTTTTTTTGTCTCCTCCTTCTCTTCCGGAGTCTATCGTTCTTGTCAGATAGAGAAGAGTGCTAAGAAGCCGCAATTTTGAACGGCTGAAGTAAGACTATCTGCTTGAAAAAAGAGCCGTAACCTTAAAAACAACAGCAAATGTCAACACACGAAAAGCTACGAGTTATGACTACGAGTTGACCTTTTAGGTCTCAGGACCACCCAATACACACTTTTTTCTTACCTTAGCCATAACAATGCCAAACGATTCGGCGATGAGAATGAAGAAAATATATCAACTATGAGATATCGTTTCATTTTGCTTAGGGTTTTTTTTAATTTTGCACCAAATTCTTTGAAGTAGTTTCTCAAGAAATTGATGAAGGATAGCAACGAAGATTTACATCGATATCTTGGAAGTGAAAGAGTTGAATTAATTGAGCTCATCAAAGAAGAAAAAGATTAGTGATGGACCTAAATTATTTTCTGAGGTATTATTGGTAGATTTAGTCGCGCCTGCTATACTACCTTGTCGCACATTCAGCGGCTGTGCACACGAATAGCTCACAGAGAATATGATGAATTATTAAAAAGATTAGACTGGAAGCACTTGCCTTCTTCGCTTTGTTATCAATTTTTCCTTTTCTCCAAAACTTATTGAATGAACAATTTTGAAAATTTGATTAATCGTTGCCTTGACGTAGGTTAATTTTACGCAGTACATTATCCAGCGTCTATATTGTAGATATTTTTCTTGCTAAATTTTCAGTTTTGATTCAAAAACTCAATTAGCCCACCTTTTGTGAAGGATTCAAGCTGTACTTAAATTTGAGCTCTCCCAACAATTTCCTACAAACGTTAGTTTTGAAATTGTTTCATGAGATTTTCATACTGCATGATAAGTTGCCTGGTACAATAACTTGAATAATTAATAGTAAAATAAAGAAAGAAAACAACAACAAAAAAAGTAACACATTAAAAAAACAAAAACAAAAATAAGACAAATAAATAGACAACAACCAAACAGAGCTGAGCAAAACAAAAAAGATCAACCAGCTATACAATAATTCATAGTAAACAAAATTAAGAGATGAAAAAATAGGAACTCTGAATTAAAAAAACACAAAGAGGAACAAAACAGCACCAGAAAAACTAAAACAACAAACAACACAAGCAAAAGAAAAAATTAAGGTGAAAAAAGACTCTTACTCTTACTCTTTCATATATTGAAGTTAAAAATCAAAAAGGGAAGATATGAGAAATCAGTGTTTCACATAACGGTTGACTGGCTTCAATCTATTCGGCTTTCGTCGAGTGTACGACTAAGAAAAATGTTTCCTCATAACCAAAATTTAACAATTTTCGGTGAAGTAAAGTAGGAGAAAAGATAGGTCCACTGACTATCCCTTTTTCCATTTTCAAACCTAATTCATTTCCGCTTCCATAGGAAGTTTCTTTGATTTCCCCTTCCTTGTCAGACCGTTTCTACTTTTTTTCTGTAGTATGCTTAACAAGATTCTCCTGTAGTTCCGACAAATCTCTCTGTTTTGAAAGTGTGACAACAAATCTATCCACCTGGCGCACCAGGATTCAGGATTGTTTGCCTCATCGATGACAATCTTGAAATTGAAAAATACGAAGGCGTCTCTGCAGGAGAAGATACAATCATTGATTCTTTTCCGCGCAAGTTGAGTAGAAGCAAAGAGCAAGCTTTCGGCCATGAAGACCTTTTGACCTACAGACACGTGCTGAGTAAGCTCGTGCTGTCACATTTGCATAAGAAGCGTACGATTCTGATTGTTGACATGACAACTGCTATGAATGTCCGGAAAGCGACCAGTTGTTTTATTCAACGCTGAAGGCAGCCACAATGAACCAAAGAACAATACATTTAAGTACAACGTAAGAGGTTTGGAGTAAAACGGTTAAGAAGCAATTGCTGTAGGCCACTTCATTTGAATGTTCACACTCCGTACTCAGCCATTTCGTCAGAGGGAGCGCTTCATTGAAAACAGTAAGTTACTCAGTTCTACTGGGGAGCTTCATAAACTTCTTAAGCATATCATTTGAACAATGTATATATTAGGTAGAATTCATCCCACATGTATGGTTTCTAAAACTTCATTGCATGATCTTCGAAAATCAGTGGACTTCGTTGGCCAGAATCACAGGTTAATCATACCAAACAAATCATTTACGATCAAATGAATTTGAAATCACGAGGCACGATATGCCATTTCTGCCGATACTTCAATTAGTCAGCTTGTACCCATTCAAAGGTTTTTATAGTCCCCCTGGTTGGCGCAAGAAGATCTCTTACTCACAATGGGCTTAATCTGAGATACGTTTGGTTAAATTAGTGAATAGCGTTCATCAATGCCAAAGGCTATTTCTAGGCTATGCTCCTGTGCATTTTAGTCCTTACAAGAGGTCGTATTTGTTTCGTTTTATATCAAGATATTTATATTTGTCCATTTTTTCCGGATCAATCAAGCAACGTAATGTATTGGGGCTCGTACTTCGAGAAGCTTTGCCCTCATTTGTTTTGTAATTAAAATGTTTCTTGCGATAAGAAATAGCAGCTGCAGTCGATAAAAATTGGCTCATTGAAATTAACTCGATCTATTTGCATTTCAAAACAAAACGTTCGTGAATTGTTAATGACAAGTGTAAAGTAATTGTTGTGGTTACAACAAAGAATGGCTCCTTGGTGTTAAAGTAGAATTATATTAACTTTTTTCTAGTGCATCGCAAGCGATCTTTCCGCTTTTTTTTCCTTTTTTTCAACGAGCCGAGAACTTAGCACTTGAAATCAAGCATGAATCTTCATCGTGGTCTTTTGCAACACCTTAACGAGCTGGGATCGACTCATTGCTTATTGTTCATGTGTACTTTTGTCACCTCTATTAGAAAGGAGGTTCTAATTTGTATTTCTACAATGGACCCTACATGCTAAATTGAAATTATTAATATCATCGCAAAACAAATGACCCCAGATTTGAACGCCAATGTTAAGTCAGGGCGCCTCCTAATAATTCTCCAGCGTGGTCAGACTACATGAAACACTTAACTACCCAATATATAAAATGATTTATAGGTACAACTTTCCGTTTGGAGTCTTCCTTGCCATGATATATAAAGTAATCATCCATTTTGCACGTCAACTTAGGAAAGTATGGATCGGGAGACTTGCTGAGAAATTTATATATCTCAATTTAATGGATTTTGTTTGCACAACTGTTTTTGAGCAATTTTGAATGGTTTTGACCCCGTAAAATCATCGCATATGACTTCCCTGGCCCCAAACACAGCATCGCGAAAACTATCTGTGCTAAAAAGGGTTCAACCGTTTGAAGAGAATAATAAGCTCAATTATGAATATAAGATCTATTATGTCGCGAACAGGTGACCATGAAGTTGTCACTGTAATTGGTATTCACAGAATACGCCCTGGTTTTTCGGACAACAAGTTGCTCTTTAAGCTTTTCCTCTTGGGTCAACTGAACGTCAGCTTCGATAACAGAATTCTTTCCATGCATGTCAACTCTGTGTACTTTAGAACATTTTTTTTTTGTTCTTTCACCACGTGTATTTTATCTTGCCCATCTATCAACATAAAAGCAATTAGCACAGAGTAGACGTTGAATATGAAAAGTAAGATGTGCCGAGGGAAAATATTGTGCCATTCACTAACTTTTCAAGTGGACAGTTCTAACATTACAGGATATTTGCAAAAAGGACAGTGATCCCATGGAAGTAATATCAGCAGCCAGCTAACGCGGCCTTTTCACTGGGACGATAATTTAATGTTTTTAGTCAAGGGTATATTCGCATATCCAGCGGAATCGACGACCTTTCCGTACAGTTTAAATGCAACAAATCATTAGTGATAGCTACACAAAATTGAGGTTTAAAATTAATGAAATGGAAAAAAAAAGAGAGAAAAAACTGACAAGACATACGATCCTTAGCTGTTTGCGAACCTAAAAGCTCACAAAAGAACAGCATCTGCACTTCTCAAATTACGATTAAAGAAGACACTCAATATACCATGTGGGTCAGTGAAGCTAGTCTTCGCTACCAAAAACGTCGTAGAAAATTCGACGATTCACATCGCTTCGAAATAAATTCAATGCGTTTCCAACCTCAGGGAAAACTCGCCGTGACACATAATCTGATTCATTTTACTCGCAGCTAGCTCAGTTTCTAAATGTTCGCCTTAACACGTGGTGCAAAATTACTATGAAAATGATTTCAGCTCAACTCACAAGAAATTTGCATAACAGGCATTCTGATATCAGCCCGCCCTGCAGGATCTCACAATGTGCTTTTAAATATTTTGGAAGTTTGTTTACGAAATCTAAGACAAAAGACCCGGTGGCCTTCCCTTTAAAGGGAAAAAAAATTTACACGACGATTACAAAGCAAACTCCGTTACTCGAACCTTCCCCACTATCGCTTAATAATTCTTAATAATTCCGAAAAAGGCAAGCCTTTCGGACTGTGCCGGAGGAAATGAAATAAAAACCTGCATTTATCAAGTCAATCCTAATCCGCACCTCTAACTGTTCCTTTTAGTAAATCTCATCATCTAAACGGCTAAATTTGAAATATTTTTGGTGTTGTACGTAGACAGGAAAGACGAGGCTTATTAAATAGATCGTAAGACTCTGTTTCTGGCTCATACTCAGGGATCTGCATTTATCCTTTCTTTTTCCTCGCTATTTTATTCGAAATCGATTGCGGTTATTGCAGCATGCAATATTCAAGCCTTCGACTGACAAATGTTAATTTAATTTGAAGGCCCTCGTTGTTTTAGTTTCTGTCGAATTCATTTACTTGGGTGACATAAGGCTTTAATCTAGTACTCAATAGCTGTCAGACACGCAATTTCTTTCGCAAAGTAAAATTGTCTAAAAAAAAAAAAAGAAGTTAAATTAAGTGAAAAACTTACTGAAAAACCCGGTCCATGATAAAGGCCAATTTGTCTGAAAAGCTAAGTAGTGAGTAATTTCTCGTGTAGAATTTCATGAATGATGATCACTTCCAAGTGAACCTGCTGCTTTGTTGTCAAAGATAATGGCTCAACGGGTGCAATTGATTGGCCTTAGCCAATCATATTTCTCCACTAATAGTTGAACTTTGTGTTTTCAGGTGGCCCGATGGCAAGTGTGTTGTGTGAATCGGACTAGACTAGTTACCGGGCTAGCACTCCGCACTCTGCGCTCCGCGCCAAATCAGTCAGCTACACCAGCTCGCGTGAGTAAGATTTACTAGGACACGGAGGAGGTGCCAACCATCGTTCCTTCCAAATGGCCTTAACGAGCAGTTTGCCTTGTATTGACACGCTGGCCTTTCAGCTGAGTCGACATGGCCTCGACGAGAATCAAAATATAAAGCCACCGTTCTTCTACTCTTGGTCGGAGCCCTACAATTTAGACTTTGCCGGAAAGGCTCCCAATAACCCGAAGCGAAGCCGAAGCCATCCCAGCGCTTTGGTGGCCAAGCGCAAGGAAGCAATTCATTCACAAGCTTGTCTACCTGGTTTAAAAAGAGAGAAGGAGAGCGAGAAGAATTCGGAGGAAACTCGCGGATCTGTAAAGGCATTAGCTGAAATTCATTCAACCAGTCTTCATACATCGCCAGGGCACCTAACTTTATCAGTTAATAAATATGCAAATCAAGCAAACAGGCATGAAGAATCAGACACCGCAGACTTCGCTGAATCTTCCGACGACGAAATAAGTGAACTTCTAGTAAATGGCTCTACCACGAATAAAGAGTTACCTCGTGTTCTTTGTGAAAATAAGACCCCGCATCCTGTTAGTAGGAAAACTAATCGAACAACGAGAGACTCTGGTCCTCTCAAGCGAACCTTGGAAGGAAGCGAAAATACTAATGAAAACAAGAGACGTCGCCCGAGGCTTGACTTTGAAAAGATGCAACTCTCCAGAGATGCTCTTGTTCCTCTGAATGGAAGCGATAAATCTATCTTGGACGAGGTATATTTCAGGCCAATTTTAGCATTAAACGTGAACGAGTGAGCTTTGCGTGTTGGAAAACTAGCACACGCTCATTAATGAAAGAAATGCAAACGACAAGGCCATCGAACAAAAATAATATCACGTATGGAAATAACGCGGAGTTATCGCACAATAACAAACATTAGGGAGGGACAAAATCGGGAAATGCGAATTTTATATCTTGAAGGCTTTTTTATCACCATATCAGTACTGTGTGTTATTCATAGCACGTATAATTTTCTTTCCCATTTTGGAAATGAACTGAATAAATCCACCGTTTAATGACTGGTTGGCGTGGCCTCCGCGGAACAAACATATATTCAAATTTAACATCCGATTACAAACAGAAACCGCGACGCTCAAATAAACGATATTTAGACGTCAGCTTCACAACTGTATATTTAGTAATTTTTTTATACAACAGATACTTCTATTGAGGAAAGAAGCATGAGAGATAAATGGGAATTTTGTGGTGTTCAGTTACACCATGGGCTGTACACCTTTTATAGATTTCCAATTTTACTAAACCAGTATCAAAGGAAGTTTTATCTCAAGTCATTGGGAGAAAATAAAGAGAGATTTATTTATCAATGAAAACTCTTTGTGTTGTACGTGCAATTGTACGAATTGTGGTTTTGGATGAGAACATTAGGATTCGTGCAAGCAAAAAACAGTTCCAAATGAATAAGCCATAGCCATCAGTGTTACCCTTAAATAAATCGAGGGTTTTTTTTAAAAAATTGGTTGTACTGTGCTGATTAGTCTTCGCCAGTGCTAATTTCTTAGTCGGGGATTTTAAGTGAAAATTTCTGTGGATAGGTGACGAATTAAAACTCATTTCGCATTTATAACGTATAAGTAATGAGCCAGCGATCATTTTTAGTGTAAAAGCAATTATCGACATTTCCATAGATTTGTTAATCAGCTAAGCAATATTGCGTATGTAGATAGCGAAGGTGAAAGAGGAAATAGAGGAGATTTTCAAGCAAAGCTGCATTGATTCAATCCGTCTACTCAGATAAAACAATGCCGTTTTCTTCAAGAGCGCTTTTGACATAGGCTTACAAGTTCTTGACAGATTTTTGGCCTCAGCGGAGTAGAAGAGGCAGGTGGCTATTTTTCGGTGAATGGATGTTGTCACGTGATCAACCACTGAAAGGAAAGCCCGCGGCCTGTTTATTTACGGACACTTTGTGATGGTGAGCGCACCAATCATATCTGCGAAGCAATTATGAGAATTTTATTAGCTTTCCGGGTGGCCAACCTTTCAGCTTTCGCGTAAATTTCCATGCGAGACAAAACCACGAGAACGATAATTTCGAATATTCAGATTTACCAATTCAAATTTTTTGTGGGTGTGTTTCTATTTATAGCATTTCTTTTACAGCAATATGGGGCTTTGGAAAAATTGCACGCGGGAGCTTGAAATGCCATGAATCGTGTTTACCATACTTTTAAAGTTTAATTGTTTTCTGGTAACGTACTTTAAGACTATCGAGGCGCCATGCATAGTGCGTGAGTAGTTTATTGCCAATCATTTCCACAAATTGCAACGATAACCCCTAAAGAAGTAGCCTTTCTGTATCTCCGTGTTTAAGCCCTTTCTTCACTGCCTTCTTAATGCCACAAAATAACCAATTCAAAACAAATCATATTGGATTGTTTTGGAGTTTCTGTTTACCAAGGTGCTCAAACAGGGTGAGGCAACGAACCCCTCATGGGGAGATAGACAATGACTCGTGAGACTGAAAGAAGTCACCTGTAAAAACAGAATAACTTCCACCAGCTTTCTCGAAAAATACCTACTGATTTATTTCCAAAGTCCACTTAAGTGTAGTAAATTAAATTCTCAATAAAGGCCACGTCTTCATCGTTTCTTGTCTATTGCTCGAGAACACACCACAGCTCAAATGATTTTCCATTTTTTTTACCATTTATCGTAGCGTGGTCTTCCATGTGTGAACAGTTCTTAAAGAGAACATGGTGGATGACATACAATGATTGGCGTTTCCGAAACGTGAGCGGAAGTGGCCTTGTCAAGTGAAGAGTTGTTTGTCAATCCAATGTTGTAGTCCGGTTTGTGAAAACTGTGATTTTTAAGTTGAAACATCTTGGCATATTATTGTTTTCAACACTTGTTTTAACAAAACTTACAAATTGACCGACTTCTGCTATATTTAGGAGCAAGTGCTATTGCAGGTGCTGCAAAACAATAATTTCTCCTTTAGACAGTCGAAAACCCCCTACAATTGGGTGAATATATTCGTTCTAAATGATAGCTTCAAACTTGATCCATATTCACAGAGTATCAAAACTAAAGGAAGCTGCAGGTCCCGTGCTGGAACCGGGGGAAAGTAGTAGATGAAGATTTAATCAGTGTTCCACAATGAAAACTTAAAGCTGATGGTTATTGAGCCAAAATGTTTTTAAAAATTTCAGGATGGTGCCTAAAAGTATCTAAAGAGAAAGTAGAGGCACCAATCTTTTGTACTCTCAACCAATTATCTCGCAAATTTAAGTAAAAACTAAAATAATCTGTGTATCAGTTCGCAACTGTTTGTTAAACTCTGACTATTGTGGTGGTTCCAAATAATATTATATCGTCTCTTCCTGAAGGCTACGAGCATCGTGGTACCAATACTCACAATCGCTCAAGGCCACTTGGAGAGTTCCTATTCATTATGGTTATTTTGTCTGAGCCGTGCAGAGGCCAATTCATTCGAAAGTTACCCTAATAACGGCATCCAGAGTTCTCTCTGAGTCGTAACATCTTTTCATTAACAGTAAGTCACCTCGTGCTACTTAGACATGCAGATAGGCACAGACCTTGACAGTTTTTGTCATTGCTTCAATAAATTAAAAAAGAGCAACTTCATCCCAATTTCGTTCTATCAGAGGCAAGAACATTTGTTAAAATAAATGTATAGTATTCACCCAACGGGAGGTTCATATTGGGAAAAATTGCATGTGCCCCGAGATCTCGGATGCGAGCCTGCCCACTCTCGAAAACTATCAGGTCGCACGATTACTAGAATTCCGCTCGCGCACGAAGTGAGAAAAAAAAATAGGACAATATTTTTGTCATTAATTCACTCTAGATTTTTCTTCCATTCCACAATTATCATTTTTAGTTTTAATTTATGGGGAAAATTGTTTTGACGATGGTGAAGCATTAGACTGTACATGCCGTGATGAAGAAACTTTTTTCCTTTTTAACTTGTGCCCCTGCCTCTAATTTAAACATCACTTTATTACATTGTTTTCCCTTGTCTGTATTTCAATCTTAAGTGTTTGACAATTCAAAACGCAGGTCTCCGTGGCTAGAGCTATTTCACTGATATATATACAAAATTATTTTATCAATGTGAATGTGAAGATCTTCCTTACAAGGGTCAAACTAAGTAAGCCTTAGCAATATTACTATCGTCAATTCTCGTACTCTAGAAATGTCCGTCGTGCGTGAACAGCAGGTTTTCTCAGTAGGCTCAAATGTTCATGTTCTCGTCACACCAAAAATTTGCATTTCTGTAAGCCACCTAGGTTGTGTCCACTCGATTTCAATCAGTTGCGTTTCTGGTGGCAGTCATATTTTCTGAGTAGAGTGCCAACTTCTACTTGGAGAGCTGTTAAAACAGGGTATACCACCCGAAAATAGTGACAACTTAAGTGGGCAAAGCGTGTTTCATGAAGCCAGTAAATTAGTAATTCCTCCACAGACATGTAACACGTAAAAACAGGTTTCAGATCAAGAGTAGAAAGGTGTTGTTAACCGCACTGTTAACTTCAATTTTTGTCACCTTTTTGAAGACGAGATTGCGGAAAAACTCTCTCCTCTTCCAATAAAAGCCTATTAGACTACGACCTACGTCTTCGGGCGGTACTCAAGACAGAGGGCACAATTTTCCCTATACAGACCGACCTAAGCTGGTAAATGACATTTTTATTTTTTACTCCTTAAAATTAAGGAAATTATTTCCAAAAGAACCCGAATGATTAAGGGATTATGGTAAGACCTTCCATAAACTGCCATCTTCCATCACGGTAAGATCCTACATAAACTGAAGAATTTTTGAGCGAGTAAACAGGAACCGCGCAGCATGTTTTTGAGTAGAGAGGCTATTATTGGTTCCGTTATTTTTGTTAAATTATTTTTTGTTTAATTTATTTTTATTTTTATTTTTGCGAAAAAGTGGAGGGTTAAGCCCCCCTAGCCCCTCCCTCTGCGCGGTCCCTGATAGATAGTACTTAAATTCGAGGTAAAGCAAATTTAAGAGAGAGGCTTCACCGAAACACTTTTATCTGCCAAATGATAAAGTTGATTCAAAAGGCCTCCAACAAACTTTTAAACATTATTTTCACAAGTATCTGTCACAATCTGGCACCTGTCAATCAGAGCATGCCAGAAAAAAAAAAAGGCGCTAGTACACTTTTCGAAAAAAAAGCGAAACTACTTTGGCGAGGACTGCCACGACAATATTTCCTTAAAAAACAGTCAATGATCTTACGGAAAGTATTTTTTTTATTTTGAAGTTGTGAGAGTTTGCACGTTTGTCTACTGCATTGGCGTGTGTAAATCTGGTTTTTCCTTCCCAAAAACTAAATTCGAATGAAACACTTCTACAAGACATAAGAGAATTAAATGCGGCTTTTCCTCTTAGAATTCCTTCAGTTTGTGTTGTGCCATTAACGGTACAATTGCCCAAACTGAACGGACCTGGAAAGACTCACCGAAAGCGTCTTTGTAGTACAACTGAAACTTCGCTCGCCCTTTCACTACAAACAAATTGTTTAAGAGAACTCAGATATCAAATGGATATAAGTTCCGTCGACTAATTCAAATGCAACAAAATACCTCACGTTTTAACTTTCTAGGTACTTTTTCAGTGTGAAGGACTAAGATTAATTACAGACGGTTTTTAGACCGCTTGTCTACCAATTTAGTGACACCTATGATTATACAAATTCATTTCGAAACCAAGATTTTACTTTCAACCAAAGTGATTTGAGAGAGAGAAAAGAGAAGATTCATAAGTTATTTATCGGCTTGAGGTAGTAACCGACGTTTTTGCGTAAAGAATACTGCCCAGCTGGAAAAACGAGATAAATTTATGAAAAATGGCAGCGAAGGTAGGCTACTCGCGAAAGCTTTACTGTGGCCGTGGGCAGAGATAGGAAAATATGGACCGCGATTAGAACCAATCAGATTGCAGGATTCGTTACCTTGCCCTCTGAGAAAAAAATAATAGTATTTAATTATCAGCCTTCCATTTCAAATAGTCCAATCTTGAAGCCCTAAATGAGTTTCCAGAATGAGTAGTGGTTATTCGATGAACAGACTATTTTATTAACTCTAGGGAGACGCCAAATTAAATAAAGTTTGGCCTTTGTTCAGTTTTTCAAGGTCAACCATTTAACAAAGCAACTTCTACTCGAAGAAGTGAAAAGGAAAAAAGTCATATCACAAAGCTGAAAGTTGAGCGACACGACCAAAGAGAAGAGTCTAATGGTAAAGATTCATAGTAACATGGCACATTCGGAGATTTGTTTCAATGGTGGTAGTTTGTGTCATGGAAAAAACTTTGATGCTTAGAAATATAGCTGGTGTTTAGCAGCATAGTGTTAGGTGGATATAGCACCAGAATGTTCTTATCGAGTAATGGAAAGCTAACTCATTCTGCTCTCAAACACAGCAACTTGGTTTTGAAAGAGGAAAAACAGAAATATATTCATAATAGAATCGACGTGGCAATGTATGTCACTGAAAAATTTTGGTAATGTTCCAAACAGAGTGAGTCCAAGTGTCTACGGTCTGTTATCTCATGTTAAGAATAGCCTCAGGTATAGCAAGACTTTGCGCGCGTAGCACTGGTGAAAGTCACGTACCGTAAGGACACAAGATCTTTAAAACGGGTGGTCAAAACATAAGAAAATCAGTAAGAGGTCGCACCTTTGCCTTACACCTGTTGAGAAGAGATAAAGACCAGCAGATTGTCGCACATGAATTTTAAAACCCATGCGACCCTCTGCTCGAAGAGGCTTCACAAATATTTAAGGAGTTAAATTTTACATCGCGAGAAGTGTCCACGTTGTCTACGTAAAGATGTTATTTTAAACAAGGCCAATCAGAACTTGTCACTACTTTGTGTCTCAGGAGCCCTTAGTCTGGCTGCGATGTTGGTTAATTAGATAATATTTCACACTGCTATAACCACTTTAGCTCGTGTATGAGATCATCAATGAAATTACCAAATTTTTCGGAACATCATCTTAAATATGTAAAACAGGCACGTTTCCTCTAAAGTATAATGGGAAACGCTCTGCCAATAATTCCATCATTAAAAAATCCTCTCTGGTGGCTTAACTTTAGATACACTCCAGCTTAGTTACAACAGTAAATCAAAAAGTTTATTGTAAGCAGACAGGCAAATAATTGTTGAAAACTTCAGCTGATGATGAAAATTTTGATAGTTTGTATTTTTTAAGCATCTTACGAATCCGGCTAAGATAGACGAAAAATTTCCGCCTACTGCCCTACGGGTGAATAGTGGTACCTCTATAGTGGCAGACTTTGTATCAAAAATTTCCAAATAAATTTCAGAACCGATGGGTGGCATCGTGTTTAAGTTTTTCTTGAAGAGGAAACCCACACGTTGGTGATGATAGAGCGGCGGGTGGATTTCGGAGTGGCAAGAAAGCGATTCTTCTCGTAGTGGCTATCCACGGATAGGAGGAACTATACTTCATTGGAAGGTCTCAAGATCAGCGCGCAAAAACAGTTTTGAGCTGATGCTGAGTATCTATTTTCATAACGCAGCTAGTAAATTTCATTTACAGAGTCTGCTTCAGTTCGAGTTGATCACGGCTACACTTAAGCAAACCTTACATACACTGTCGCCTGAACCATCTGTCAATCGCTGCAGATCTAGGGAGCGGAATAAGTTTACTTTATATAATACTCACGAAGCTTCCTTTTGAAAATTACGCTGAATTCAGTGGAATTACATTTTACTCTCTAATTCTTAACCTATCAGCCATCGCTTGAAGAAGCCTCCCCTGAGCTTCTACCGTGGCCTGTAGGTTTCTGATACTCTCTCCTTGTGTTTCATCCCTTGCCTGCTCTGGGGTGGTCGAACCTGATTTGCGACTTATGAGCAGTTCCATGAACTCCCGACCCGAAACATCTGAACCAGCGAGGAGAACCCTTCGAAGTAATAAAGAGTTGATAAAAAATTAAAGGGATATGACATTAATCGTCCACAAGATGACATGTGGGGTTCTATCATCGATTAGCCAGAAATCGTCAAGGAATCCCTCTTACCCACTGTAACTGATATTCCTCAACCAAACTAAAATAGGTTTTAAGTAGATAAAAGAGACTTTACCTTGTCAAGACAAGCAATATGTATCTTTTAAATTCTTTACGGTGGCCAATTTACGATATCAACTCACTTGATAATACTAAATTACCCTAATATATACCAACGTCAATCAGACAAGGAGCTAACTACAAGCACTTGGAGAACAAAATTATTTAAGCTTCTGCCGGCCTTGATGTGCAATTTTGTAGGAAGACACTTTAATATCGATTATAAGAATTCCACAATCAAATAAATGCAAAACATAAGTTACTTTACTAGATCTGTAACGTGAATTTTCTCTTCTTTCATGTGGACTTCACAATCAGATACCTACCTTTTCAGGAAATTTTTTTGATTTGGTTTTATTTCCAACGAACTTTTGTGAATCCTTCGCAGAATCCACTTCGGATACGACTTCATGATGCTGTCAACCAAAAACACCTGATCTATTAAAGCTCGTAGACTTGCTGTCCTTTGGATAGACTCAATGTCTCCAACCGCTAAACCAACCTACACAGAAACAAAGTTTCTGAAGAGTTATCCTAGCTCAAGTTGTTGTAAAATTGTCAGATATTTCTTATTTCATGTATCTATCGACACATATATCATACATCATTTATCATCAACGCATTCCCTCTAGAAAGAGTACACGTTGAGAAGGATGGATGAGAACGGATGATTGAATATGGTTCTCACATTATCAGACATACTTTTGATCCCTTCCCAAAGCACAACGTGTCTTACACAAAACACAGCATGTTTCGCTGATTTTCGTTTTATTGGCAGCAGATTAGCTTTTTAGTAGAAGTCTGTCTCATTGTAGGGAAAGAAGAGAGGAAGCAATTAACATGAAAGGAGCTAGAAGGGAATCAGAGAATCAAGTGATACAATGGAAGCTGTATCGATGGATAATGTCATTCTTGGGCCAGTAAGGAAGAGGGATCGTATACAATCATTGGCTTACCAATAAGTTGACTAGCACAATGGATACCATCAAAATGAACACTAAGAAAAGCGCAAATGTTAGTCTCGGCAGAGGAACATATGGGAAACTTGTCCCTGGTACTGTCTGGTTGTTTACAACGTGTTCAACCAACATGTCTGTATAATCCAGTTCCCCAACCATCATCACAAGGATCTTTGCCGTTGAGAACCAAAAATCTGAGAAATTACCCTGCGAATGAATGAAATTATTAAAAATCAGAGCAGCCCATAACATTTAAGTGAAATAAGTAGAGCTTTGTTGAAAGGCTAGTCTTTCAACACCTACAAAGCGAAAAAAGGTAAAAGTTGTGTACATGTTGTTCAGTCCTTTCCCCAGCATTGATTACTGAATCTTTCATCATTCGACCCATCCATTCAGACATTTTTGGATTGTATTCCAATAAGATCACGTGTTTGTAAACTATCGCTCTAATAAAGTAAATGGAATGCGAATAGCACCCATCCCCTCACCTGTTCCTTTAGTAGTACGTAGAAAACCAAGGCATAACCAGTCAGGGCGATCATGAAAGTGGATATCACTTTGACAAAGGTAAAGAGCACCTCAACGTACATTGTTACGTATAAGCCAAGTCCACCAAAACGACGAAAATATAGTGTCAAACTGATGTAGGACATAAATAATCCCAATACCCCGACCGACCATCGCACTTCCGCGGTTAAGGAAAACGATTCCGAGATGGAAGAAAGGGTGAACATCCACACGAAGGCAAACATGATAAGTTCAAATAAGTTTGTGAGATCTTTAAAGTACGACAACCGAAGCCAAAACATTTGGATAAGCTCTTTGACGAGCTGAACAACTGAAAATATAATTATGATCCATGGTGTGTGGCTCAGGAAGCTATCATTGTCTTCAACAATTGCTATCTCATCCTTCGAAGCATGTGAAAGTTTTACTTTTTCTCTTTCTTTGACAATGAAGCTTGAAAACAAGGCGACGAAAACAGCAAATACTATCGTGTTGAAGAAAGTAACGAACTTTCCAAGAATCATCCACTTCCATCTCAGCAAAGCTTGGGTGACATTGTGATTCAGTAACTTTTCTCGCCGATGTTTTGCCATACACGCTGGTCCAAAGTAATTACTGCATCCAGAATTCGTGTTGGGATCTAGTGGAAGGAGGTTGAACCTGACAGAAAAATCTTCGTGTGATGGAGGAAGAGGACTGTAACTTATACAATTGTCAAGAACAATTTCTGCCACATTCGGCAGCTTTTCGATCAATTTATCCATTGAGCAGACACCATCGTCAGGGTAGTAATTAAGCACCTCTTCCCATCTGTAAAAAGAAGCAAGGGAATTGATATAGAACGCGACATTTCTTTTAAAAGTGTTTTAAGCCTGACTAGGAGTACTGCTTATCACTTGGAACGGTATGCTTTTTCCTTGTAACTATCTTTACCCCCTCCACAGGATTTCCCACAGCTGTTTGGTATTCATTTATACTACTTCGTGGAGGTTATGTGAGAGCACGCATTGCTTAAGACAATTTACAACTACCTGGTAAATCTCGAGCTGAGTCCAGCGCGCTAACTATAACACTACGTCGCCTTTTGCGGCCAGAAATTACTTATTTTTTAAGTTGTTACTTCCAGATAACATGTTTCAATTTTAAGTAGTGTATGGGGACGTAATTTGTTCAATGTTGGCTTTTTTTTCTGGTCTATGTAAACTTGTTGTAAGAAATTCGAACTGAGTCTTATAATTAGACTGTGAGTGCGACACTTTGCTTCAAATTTTTTCAGTTGCAAATTGGGATATAACATCAAGACCGACTTTTATATTCATTTTATTCTACTTTACGAACCTTGGATGCCTCATTAACGTCATGGCGACTTCGCTCGCTTCCCATTCAACGGCCACATCAAGGCAAGTCATGTTCCTTTTATTCTTGGCTGTAACGTTAGCTCCTTGGTCCAGCAGGAAACTTAAAATATCAGGACGATTGTGCATACACGCTATGTGAAGTGGTGTGTTGTTGCTTAAATCTACTCGTTCTAAAGTACTTGGCAAACGGCAGTCTAGCAAAATTTTAACGGTCTGAAGTGATCCAGCTTCTACTGCGTAGTGAAGTGCAGTAAAACCTCTCACATCCATTTGAAAAACTTCGGCGCCATTTTTCAGTAAGACTCTGCATGTTTCCCTAGGATTGCAAAGATGCGACCAAAAGTAAAAAGCAAAACAAAAATATTTCCAAAAATTGTAATCGTTTGGTAATCTATTTTAACCCTCTACTTGGATGTTTGTGAGTGGAATTCTTTAGATCTTATCCCACCCCATGCATGCATGCTTAATCGTGTTTCACCGAATCAGTTACGCCGTAAACGAACTCATCGCTCTTAAACTGATTTCCCTTTGGTGTGCTACAAAAGTAAAAAAGTTTACAGGTCAGCAATTTTCAAAATGGAGATTGCGGCCGGGGAAAGAAACCGATATCTCTGTGTCCTCTGTTGGTTTTATCTGATGCCATATAAGTCTTCCTCTTGACCGGAATGTTTTGGCGTCAAAAGTTATAGATGACGAAGGGAGCAATATTCACAAAACAGAACTAGTGGTTTCTAAAATATTCTTGGATCTCCATTAATGGGAATGAATTAATAAACCAAGAGAGATCACTTCACGAATGAGCTCTATGGGGGATTTCATTCTATTTGACTTTATTCCAGATCGAAATACCCACGCGTGTTTGTTACTAGCTGCTAGATGTAGAGGTGTCCTTCCAATTTCATCCGTCTGCTGGGTGTGAAATGAAAATCCATGGCACCTGGAGAGAGTCTCGACACAATGGATTGAGCCTTTTTCAGCTGCGATGTGAAGAGGAAGCCTTTCTTTTACGTCACGCTGGCTTAAAGGAGATGTGTCTTTCTCTTGTAGAAGAATTTCCAAAATCTAAAATTTAAAGAAGGAAACTTACCGATACGTGGGTACAAAATTTTAAGAAGGAACAGTTTATACATTGATTCTTATATTAGTGAATCTCAATTAAATGGGACATTTTGGGGCTCCACAAAAAGGAACAGTGTGTACACTAGATGGCAAAAACGCCTTTATGGTTAAGTATTACTGTGTGAAAGCTTTTTCCATTATTCACGAGAAATCTTTGTTTATTAATTTCTGTCGTTCAGGAAGGCGTGGATCTCTCATTTAGAACGTGCGATTATTGGATATGTTAACCCATAAAGCCATTGGGTCACGTCATTCATTGCGAACGCCATCAAGGTGTCAATACTTTTGCAATTGAATGTATGAATGTGTGTAAAGGAGCGTCCTTAAGCTATTTAGAAACGGATGCTAACACTGTTTCCAGTTGTTGTATTGGTTGAGAGAAAAGAGAGATGTGTAGGGCTACCTCTGAATCTTTCATGCCAGCAGCTAAATGGAACACGGTTTTCAGGTGTTTGTCCTTAAGCTGTAACAATGTATCCTTGTCTTTTCCTAATAAGGTTTTCACCATCTCCGTCTTGCAGTAATTGATAGCCAAATGGAGGCAGCTATTTAAAGAAGAGTCCAAAGCTGTTTTATCTGCCCCTTTGTCTAACAAAACCTGTACACTGTAGCTTGCTGCATGGGTCACTGCAAGTAGGAAGGGCGTCATTCCTGACGTATCCCGGGCTTCCGGATCCGCCCCAATCTCCAAAAGTAGTTCGACTATCTTGCCGTGATTGAATCCTGCGGCACTGGTAAGAGTATGATAGTCGCTTATCACAAATTGAATAATTAGTTGTTATCACAAAGTTATCTGACAGTTACTGTTTGAATGGTGCACTTTATCATCGCCGGAAGAAAATTTTACTTTGTTGTTGTTATCAAAAAAAATTGTTCAAATTTACGATTTGATTTTTAAATATCATTGTGCGAAACCGTCGAAGAGCGTGAAATAATTTGTTTTTAAATATTCAATGTCGTAACACGAACATGATGTCTAAAGCCACGTTCTTTTAAAAGAAATGTTTTACACCCCCATTATATCAAGACAAGATGCCAAGCCTTGTTTGTTTAAAACTCATTCAGTGTTTGCCTTGGCTATTAAGGGATCAGATAAAAAATACACAAACAGGCTTCTTTAATTTCCAACTTATTTTTTCTTTTATTAAAAGAAACAGACAGAAACGGTCTTACCTATGCAAGGGCGTCTGCAGGCGACCGTTTCTGGCGTCAATAACGGCACCGTTTAAGATAAGTAGTTCGACCACCGCTAAGTGACCATATTTAGCTGCTGAGTGAAGAGGAGACATGCATACTACCCAGTCCACCGCATTACTGTCTGCGCCGTTACGTAAAAGCAAGTCAACTATTCGTTCGAAACCACCATCACAGGCTTTATGAAGAGCAGTTTTGCCCTCTTCGTCTCGTTCGTTGACAAAGTCAGTTAAAGATGGCAGTCTTTTGGAAGCTGTAAAGCAGCAGTGATAAGGCTTAAGTTACCAGAAATATTTTCTTAATCTGTGAGGGAATAAAGGGGAGCCACATGACCCTCAAAAGTTCCTCTTTCTCTGAGTGCGTCTTTGTCTCTTTAACCACCAGACTTCGAATATGTCAATCTTATTTTCTTAATTCTATAAAACATTGGATCGATATTCCATATCCCATCAACATTTAAAGATTTAACTACCACGAGTCTTCTGTAAACCGGTCCCAAAACACCCAAAGCGCAATTCAGAACGTTATACGCTAAGCTCTTTATTTTGGAGTACTTTGAATTTTCTCTTCCTTAAAAATGTTTCAATTTCACACTCTGCAAAGCTTACCTCTCTCGATGATAAGTTGGCACGCCTCTTCGTGGCCCTGCCAAGCAGCTAAACTTAAGGCGGGAGTCGTGCTAAATAATTTGGAAGTTACATCGGCACCACCGTCCAAAAGTAATGCACACACCTCCGGATTTCCACCTAAGCAGGCGCAGTGGAAAGGTGTGATGAACCCCTTGTTTAATGCGGAAGGTCCTACTCTAGAGTCTTTCAACATAGCGCGGGATATCTCTGTTAAACCATTTCGTGCAGCTAAATGAAGTGGTGTCAAATGATTTTCGTTTTCTTTTAAAGGATCAGCTCCTTTTTGCAGCAGAAGTTGGACAATCCTAGATCTTTCAAACCTGAAATTGTAATCACAGAACTGAAAATATCTCTGTCATACAAAACCGTGATTCTTCAAACTCTGTTAACTGAAATGAAAAAACCCGTGTGTGACAATTTGACTCCATAACATTCCATGCAAAATGCTGGCCAAGACTGTTAGTCCTCTGAGATTTAAACCCTCAAGTTAGGAACTTGTGTAAGTCTTCCCGGCGTGAAGCACCAAGTACTATTGCTCGTCTTCTTAAATGATGAACTCTAGTGTAATCCATCGGAAGAAGCCCCCGCCCCAACCCGACACCCGTTGATATTTACTTCAAAGCGGGAGACAAAAACACTACTACATTAACGCAACTCGCTGCACAGCACAGTCCAATGACCTGTGACTTGTGACCTGAAGGATCACATACAAGCTTAACTAGAAACAGGGAAATCAATCACATACTTAACAGCAGCATGAAGGGGTGTATGTCCACTCATGCCCAATATGTTAATATCTGCACCATTATCCAACAAAGACGTCACACCCTCCACATCGTCAAGACGGACGGCTCGGTGAAGAGCAGAGAGGCCTTCATCGTCAAGAGCGTTTATATCTTCCGTATTTAAAAGAGACGCATCAGCTGAAAAGTGTAGCAAGCCATTTTGAGTGGGCTTAAATGGTTTGATTTCTGTTTCAATTGGCGGTGTAGGAGTTTGATGACGCGATCCATTGCCACTTCCGGGGTTGGATATAAGTTCCAGGCCTTCGTTGTCAAACCATGGTCTGACTTTAGATGCAGAGAGGGTGCTTCTTTGTGTACCTCTGGACGACAGAACCGGACTATCTGTTAAAATCAATTATTTTTTCGTGAATCTCCAACATCCAATGTCCATATAAAAAAATACCAATTCACTAAATTATTAAAAAATAACTAATAACAATAACGATATAAACAATAATAACTACAGAAATGACAACAGCAATAACAAAAATAATTATGACAATAATAATGAAAATTTTTATACAAAAAATAACAAAAAATAGTAGTTTATATATTGTATATTTGTTTATTTTGATCTCTGCTTGGTTTGCAATGGTTCAGTTTAATTTCAGTTTCTAAGATCTTGTTTACTTTTTTTTGTTTCTTATGATGTTAATATGCAGGAACGCCCAAAATAGAAATGACAAAATGAAATCACTAAGTAACTAAGTATACAGATTATACAATTCACAGTGTGGCTGTCCTTTCTCAAGGGAGAAATATGAAGTCTATCCTAGTCAATGCTTTTTTGTTTGTACTGCTCATGCTAGAGGACATATTTGACACTGGGCGAGAAATCAAATCTTTAGAGTGCACAACCGATATCAAGCAACACTGAAAATTTCAAATCAGAGATATTGCACCAAAAGAAATATCGAAATTATGTTTTTGCTCTTCTCTGAGACAAGGATATTGAAAAAAAAAGCTGAGTTCGTTCCGGATGTCAGATTTCTGGTAGATGTATTTTCATTTGTTTTGTTCTTTGTATTTGTTACTTGGCAAATTTTTGGCTCTGACCAATTTTTTTTCCTTTATTTACCGACTTTGATCATCATCATCAACTATATTAGAACGACTGATGAAGTCCATAAAAATTCCTAGAAACCGTCTGCCGAAGATTAAGCATGTCACCTAACTGAAAAAGTGTAAGTCTGTTGGATAATCTATCAACAGTTTTTCCTTGATCGGCTCCCCAAACCCTAATGTTGCTGTAGGATCTTTGTGGTACCCGACCCGACCCAAGCCTCGCTCTTTTTCACTCTGCAGATACTATCGCGTCGTTTACTACTTCGCTCCGTGTTACCGACTGAAGGCCTGGAACTCGCTTAACCTCTCCCAAAAAAATTGCCTTATTATTGTTTTAATTCAAATGTACAACTTCGAGTTATCCTCAGCTCCTTCTGCTTGCTGCTTAACCCTTTAACTTCCATGAGTGACCAAGACTGAATTTCTCCCTCTAATATCGGTACAATATCAAGGAGACAAGTGATGAGAATAAACAAAAATATCAATGAGGGCATGATTATTTGATCCACTACAAAATTCTCCAAACAGACCTAGTGAAAATGATATGGCACACAGTAAGGAGAATAAATAATGATATCTTGTGAGTGAACGGGTTAAATACGATGCAGTACTAGAACAAAGCAGTACTTACGAGCTCGCTGACATTTAACATAACCGAAAATTTGCATGATTTCTCTTGTTATCTTAAGCTCCAAGATTTCGCGTATTTCTTTACGCACCTGCCTCCCTGCGTAGTTACTTGTCAATGAAGAACTAGTGAAGTCATCATAATCTCAATTAACTCTCCTTGCCGTTTACACAAGCGAGCTTTGAAGTCGTAATTTACAAGACAAAGGAATAACATGATCCCCATTTGCTTACATTGCACATGGAAAAAAACATCAATGAAACAAGTGATACAAAAATTAACATGATTACTACTGATATGGGCCTTTGTGACCGATGTTGTCTCTGCTTTCTTTCTTAATTGGAAAATTAATTAAGATCAGTTTGGATTTCGGAGATCGCACCTAACAGTGGAAATTACGATAGTACTTGAGCCTAGGACCTTTTCTGCTTTTTTTAATGGAGTGATGGAACTGATAGGGAGCTTGAAAGGGCAATAGTGTTGTGACAACGTCCTGTTGCTACAATGACAACATCAGACAGTGACGCAAGAGTGAAGTTACATATTATGATTTATCTAAAGCATGGCATAATGAAACACAAGCAACACGTTACAATAACCTCATTGGTTCCTAATCACTCTTAGTATATATAACGTTAGAAAGAAGCTGAAATATATTTATTATAAAATATTTTGTGGGCGAGACGGTTGACATGGTCATACAAATTATCTTGTAAGTTCACAACGAACGACAAACAAGCGCAGCAGCGAGGTGAAATATTTCAGTGGCCTCATTGTTCATTTCATTCATTCTGATCACGTTTCTAACAAGTTTCCCGTTAAAATAACAACAGCATACAAACCAGTTCCATCCAGGACGCCAACAGAGCGATAAGTCGACATGGGAGCGAAACCGACACAAATTAAAGTAAACGTAAGATTTACAGCATTACCAAACGCTCTTCTTATTGATTGTGACGGTGCTGTTTATCGGTTTCGTGACGTACGCAACGTTAGATATAAGAGGATGCAAATTTTAAATGAAATGGGGGTAAAGTCTCACATGATTGGTCACTCTTCTACGACCCTCACGTTGACGTAACAGCACGGGACTAGCACAATATGTCAGTTATATCACGCAACGACTTTTTCCGCACTCTTTAATGTCATTGGGCTGAAGAATATTTTTATAATTAGCCTCTATTTTGCGTGAAATATGCTCAAATTTTCTGTGCGGACATCATCTACTCAGAGAAAAGAAAAGCTTGGCGAAAGCGCTCAGGAGTGACAGATTAAGTCCGCGGATAACATTTTGTCACGCCAAACAGGCTCAAGTGTCAGGTGACCACTGGTTTCTTCTATTTATTCATTCATTCAATCATTGATCGATTCATCCGGCTAACTCTCAACATTCCATATCTTTTTAATTTGCAGCACGTACCACAAAAGGTTTGCCATCACCTTACAGTCATCAAGTCTACTAAAAACGATACGATTTACTTTTCAATGTTTTCTGATATAGTTTGTTGACCTCTTGTTCTGTAACACCTGTAAAATTATCTCACATCTTGATTTAAGAGAGACGGAAACTACACAATCATGGTAACGCACTGAAGGTCAATACCACTTGAGGAAATTGGTTCGGAAATTTCCCCGTTTCGGGTGACAGGTTTAGAACAACTCTTATAAGCCAAAATATTTTACCAACTGTAATTTTGACTGTAGTGCTTTATGGCTTCATTAGGACTCGATAATGTGGGATAGTGTTTATGAAGCAGAAACGCACTGAATTTCCAATGCACATTTCCAAGAAGGGACCAACAAGAAGACGTTGGAAGGTGAGAAATAAAAGCATTTACAAACTTAGCAGGCAACTTTAATTAGCAACTTCCACATTCTTTATCATTTACACTCTGTATGAATGCACAATGACAACATAATTAAATTAAATATGTAATAACTGACAAGGGCAACTTTCTGAAGTGGATTACTTCTAACTAATTTGATTTTAATATCTTCTTTTCTTTCAACGTAGTTAGTTCCTAAACTGAATGCTACTGGGACATTCAAAATATCAAGGAAGATGGTGTGGGAGTAATTTCTTTTAACATATGATCACTTTTAAAATAATATTAATATAAGGAAAACGATTGAACGTTTTTTGAGACTTAATAACATCTGGGACAAGCGCGCATATTCAAACTGAATCAATGAACACTGGGTCGCTTGTTCCATAATTCGCTAAATGGGATAGTCAATCCTTCATGAGGGTAGTTGTTTCTTTTTTTTCTTTTGTGTGATCAACCAGCCTTTTATTGATAATCCTTTATATTCAACCTTTCAGCCATTGCCTCAAGGAGTTTGCTTTTGTGCTTCCACAGTGGCCTGGAGTTTTTGCATCCTTTCCTCTTGTATTTCCTCTTGCAACTGTGCCTGTCGACAACTATCACTATAGTTCCCGCTGGATGCGCCGTTCAGCAGCATTTCTACAAAATCACTTCCTGTGATATCGGTAGCATAGTGTGACCCTAAAATGTAAATGAGAGTTCGAGTAAAATAATAATACAACTGCTATGTATGAAAAATAGAACTTCTTAGTCTCTCTTTGGCATCAACTAAGCTTTGAGAACCCTTAGTTGAACCCTCAGTACAGTCATTGCCCGCTTTTGTATTCTGCGACTTATAATTCATAAGATCCCATTAGCCTAAAGTTTGGACGTGACTGCATGAAAACTCATTCGGAAGGCAGTTGATTAACAGGGATAATCTCTCAGAGTGATACATAAAATTAATCAAGGAACAAACACCGGAAATAGAAGAATTAGAGACTGAGATGTAGATGAAAGCTCACGAATGAAGTGGCCACTGACGTGAAAATAAAAAAGAAAGAAAAGTTACGTATCGAAAAACAATACTTACCACTTCATGAAACTGTTTTGGTTTGGTTTTATTCTCAACGAGCTTCTGTAGATCTTTCGTAAAATCCACCTTGGATAGGATTTGACGATGTCGTCAACTAAAAACACTTGGTCAATCAAGGCTCGTAAACTAGCTGTCCTCTGAATAGACTCGATATCTCCAACTGCTAAACCAACCTATGATTATGGAACACAACTTTCGTTAACTTTTGGATGACAATAACAGCAACTGCCCGATCGACGTAGCAACCATGCCCGGTGCCCGGGTTCACCTCCTCATTGGAACGTTAGGAGACTACAGCTTGAACAAACTCGCTGAACGAAGGGTACCAGGAGTCTTGGATCACAATAGCTACTTCTTTAATGTACCACTGCCTTACTCTTACAACATTTATTAACTCTAACTGCTACTCCAACTTCAACTTCCACTACTATAGAGACATCGAATTCTAGAATGTATCAACAAGAACCCCAAATATATCTTTCTTCAGGTAGAGAAAACCACGTCTTATCAATGACTAACGATACTCTGCTCAGCTCGCCTTACAACTAAAGATCGTTTTTTGATGTATGTCAAGCAACGGGTGGCCTGTAATATAGTGACATAGGGAATTGATATCTTACGTACCAGCAAGTTGACGAGCACAACACTACCTAACAGTATGAACGCTAAGAACAGACAGAAGGTAAGTGTTGGCAAAGGAACATATGGAATGTTTGTTCCAGGCACTGTCTCGTTGTCCACAGCTTTGTCAACCAACATATTTGAGTAGTCTAACTCACCAACCATTGTGACCTGGATCTTTGCAAAAGCGTACCAGAAAGATGAGAAATTACCCTAAGAGAGAAATAAACCCAAAACCTATAAGGCATGCAATTCAAGTTAACATTCAGAAATGATATAAAATTTGAAACACCAGAAAATTATACTGTACCGCGAACGATTCTGCTTTTTTACACCGATGGATCTTCATGCACTTAACAATCACATAGAAGTTCACATTTCAGTTCCAGTCACAAAATAATGCCCCGAATTGATCCGAACACGTCTTTCTTGAAACATCACTAGTTTTTACGGTAATGAATACGAAAAGTTCCGTAATATCTGCGAAACCGTTCCTACCTGTTCTTTCAACAAGGCATAAAATACCAAGGTGAATCCAATCAGGGCAATCGTAAATGTGGACATCACTTTCAGAAATGTATAAAGAACTTCCACGTACATTGTGACGTACAAACCAAGTCCACCAAAGCGACGAAGAGATAATGTAAAATTGATGTAGCTTAGTAGAAGACCGAGTATACCTGCTATCCATTGAGTCTGTGTGCTGTATATAATTCTCTCAGTCATATGAGGAAGTATAAAAATCCAGACTAATACGTACATTACTAACTCTGACAAGTTTGTGATATCTCTACAGTAGGAAAACCGCTGCCAAATGATTTGAATAACTTCCTTGATGAGCTGGATGATCAAAAACACTAGTATAACAAAAGCCACGGTCATCTCAAACGACGATTTAATTTTGACATCTCCGTTGGCTGCTTTCTCAAATGAGGTGAATGAAAAATTGATTTTGTTCCTCTCTACAACAAAGAGATATGAGAACAGGATGACATAAGCGGCCATTACAACACAGTTAATCAAGGAGACACACTTTCCCAAAATTAGCCATTTCCATCTCAACAACGCTTGAGTGACACTGTGATTGAGCAATTTTTCTCGTCGATCTTTTGCCATGCACGCTGGCCCGAAGTAACTGTGACAATCAGGCTCAGGATCCAAATGAACCAGGTTAAATGTAACTGAAAATTCTTCGTGAGACGGAGGGTGTGAACTGTAGGTAATGCACTTATCAAGAACAACTTCTGCCACATCTGGAAGTTTTTCGATCAGTTTTCTCATCGGGTGAACACCAACACCTGGTGAGCATTGAAGCACCTCTTCCCACCTAAAAATTTATAACCATTCAATAGCTATTACATCATTGTGCAATTTCAACGTTTAACAACTATGTAATCAAGGAATAGCATTGGTTCTTAATGGTCATTATATGATAAGATAAATCATACATGCATTTCGATTGGCTGTTGCCTATGACCTATTGGAGGACAGACGTATGGCTGGATGACGTCACCATTGACTATATTTCGCTTTTTATGACATAAAACAAATAGATTCAATGTTGCCGTGCGTTTGTCCAATAATAGATCTCAGACGACGTCAAATTGTGGTAAGAATATCGATTACACACTAAGCTGCGCATCTTACGCCACGTTTTCGTTCTTACCACATATTGACGTCATCCGTGATCTATTATTGGACAAACGCATGGAAACATGCAATCTATTTGTTACCTTTTTCCTGGTGGAATCATGTTATCTCCACTATTTTCTTTATCACCCATTAGAAGCTTCCTTATCCTATTAAAAATTTATTTTTCACTGTAATGCCGGTAACACACTAGAATTAGAATAAATTGGCTATGAGCAAAAGTTCACAGCGCTAGCTGCTACTCAGGTGAAATGGAGGGACGAACAAATATCACAGGAAAATATGGCCAAGTCAAACCTCAGAGCAAACCAAGCCAACAATGTGTGTCGTGCACTTCCTCCTTGCCCCGAACAATCCTTTAGGTAGCTGAAGACAATTTTCCCTAAACTGAACCTATTTATATACACCTAAATAGAACAAGAACATCAATCCCTCTTCTCTCCAGCTAATTTCAAGACCTAAAAATGTACCTTTCGTGTTTCATCAGTGTCATGGCCACATCTTTGGCTTCCCATTCAATAGCAGCATCAAGGCAAGTCATTTTTCTGTTATTTAGAGCCGTGACGTCAGCTCCTTGGTCCAAAAAGAAGTGGAGAATATCAAGGCGATTGTACCTGCAGGCTATGTGAAGAGGAGTGTTCCCATCTTCGTCTTTTTCCTCGAGCGTGCTTAACAAAAGGTAATTAAGTACAATCTTGACTGTTTTTAAAGAACCAGCCTTGACTGCCAAATGAAGAGCCGTGCGACCGTGTATATCACAGGAAGTTACTTCAGCTCCTTTTAGGATCAATAGCTCACATGCCTCGCTGAAAATTATACATGAAGAATTAAGGAAACAAAATATGTTTGGATGCTGCACATGTACATCAAGTGTATTTTCAAGATTTGTGACAAAGCCTTGGTCACAGCGAAAGCCTTAGAGAGTTTTGCTAGAAAAACTGAAATAGCAGATAGCGTTTATAAAGTAGCCATCTTAAAAAAAAGTCTAAATCTGATTGGTCCGAGTGAACAGCACTATGGCGCAACATACGAGTCTAGACAAAGTCTCAAATGCACTTAATGTCGTAATACAAAGGCTTTGCGTGAGTGAGCACGTTGGAGTATTTTTTTTAAATAAAACATCATAAGGGGTACCCACGTGTGCTTGTTGCTGGCAGCTAAATGAAGAGGCGAACTTCCTTCGCTGTCTCTCTCATTTACAAGAAAAGGGCAAAGAGTGAGAACCCGCAAGCAATTAAGGGATCCACTTGCAGCGGCATCGTGAATAGGCAATTTCTCGTGTGCATCCCGCAGGCAAAAATATTCCTCCGTTTTCGGCGCCCTTTGAACGAGAATCTCCAGAATCTAAAGAGACAAACAAAAAGTTTGCAAATTTATTCAGTTAGTTCCTGGAGGGCAAAGTATAGGTTGTTCGTTTCTTTTAATTCGCCAGAATGCGGGACTCGGTCGTCTCCGCTTTCAAGTTTCTTTGGGGTACAATGCTATTGCTATAGTGGAAATTGGTTAGGTAAGACCATATAACCCCTGAGTGGCTGACATCGCCGTTTCGTTGGGAAAAGCTGCCATGTTACAGTAAGTACCTTTGGATCTTTCAGAACAGCTGCCAAATGAAACACCGTCTTCAAGTCTTTTTCCCTGCATCTTATCAATTTGTCTCCGTCCCTTTCTAATAATAGCTTCACCATTTCCGGCTTATTGAAGATTACTGCCAAATGAAGGCAACTATTCAATGAGGAGTCCACTGCGGTTATATCCGCTCCGCAGTCCAACAAAGCTTTCACAGTGTGGCATGCTCCATGGCTCACTGCCAACAGCAGAGGCGTCATCGATAACTGGTCTTTGGTCTCTAGATCTGCTCCATTCTCCACAAGTAGCTCGACTATTCGAACGTGATTAAATGTTGCAGCACTAAATTTTCATCAAAAAACAAGAAAAATGTGTTAATCATTAAAAATTGTGGTTGATAGTACACCGAAGTTATCATAAATGAGCTCCGCAGCCAGAACGAAAATTGTTGAAGAGACGCTCAACCGAATTATTGGCAATTTGAAAAGAGGAAGAAGAAGTAAAGAATTAAAAAAAAACTTACTCAAAAAAGGATTAAACAATGTTTTTGATTCTCTACTATGCAATGTCAGAGATGATTTTCACAGAATATTATGCAATTCTGTCCTATCAACAGAAAATCACCTTATTTTCTCTTGGTCCTAAATACAAAATTCTCCTCAATAGTAACTGGAGACGAAAAGGCAAATGCTGTAAACTTAAAATCAATCCGTTCTATATGTGAACATTCGTTTCCATGTTCCCATTCAGATTGACTCTCAGGCCAGAAGGCATTTAACTTACACAGTCATGCTGTGATTAGACTTCGTGCTTTGTCGACTACCCTCAATCTTAAATTTACACTCTGTTGCATGAAACTGGTAATCCATGCAGGGTAAAGAAAAAGTATTAGAAACTTTCCACAAATATCCCAAATTAGCTACCTGTGCAATGGTGTCCTTATATTACTATCCCTTGCATCAACGACTACTCCGTACAAGATGAGGAGTTCAACCAACTCCACAAAGCCGCATTTGGCTGCATGATGAAGTGGGGACATGTTCTCCGACCAATTATGCGAATCATGATCCGCTCCGTGACGCAAAAAAAGTTCAGCTACATTCACATTTCCTCTCATGCACGCAACATGAAAGGCTGTTGATCCTTCTTTGTTTCTTGTATTGATATATTCGCTTACAGAGGAGAGCGTCTTGGAAGCTTTTACAAAACAAACAAACAAAAAAGAAACAATTGACAATTTCTATTTTAAACCTAAGTTAATTTTAATACTCTACGTTTCGTATAGCAAGAAACTTTTTCATGATAACCGACTAGGTATTTCTCGAAGAAATAATACTATAAAGTCATGATATTTCTCATGGGGTTATGTTGAATTTTGGTGTGTAGCGCATTTCACAGGGTCTCTGACAATCTTAAGTTGCTATTATAGATAGCATTTGGGTACACTTCAAATTCTCCTGGACGATATAAAAACACCACCCGTTCCAAATATATCGATTACTGAACACACTATTCGCAAAAGAGATCCAGAAGAGAAGTCGTTTCGGAAACAGCTTTCCAATCATTTAGCGATACAATTCTCAGCACTCTATTACCTATTACCCTATGAGCTACCTTATAGCGGCACACACTTTGAAAAAACATGTCCGTGAAGTATTCCCTCGTACAAGTTGACTGGCCAATACTGAAAATAGTATCGTGTGATTCTCTTGTTTTAAACGAGTCCTCGAAACCAACACGAACCATAACAAATGATTCATGTACGTCAGGGAGAACGAACAATTACCTGCGTTGATAAGAAGCTTGCAATTATATTCATCCCCATTCCAAGCCGCAAAATGAAGTGGAGTATTTTTAGTTACCTTCGAAATGTAGGTAACATCGGCACCATGTTTTAAGATCAGTTCACATGTGGCTCGATCTCCGCCAAAGCAGGCCATGTGCAAAGGCGAAACATGTCCGTAGTTTATAGTGGTAGCTTTTATTCTGGAATCATTCAGCAGTAGAATACAAATCTCCGTGAAACCCCTTCTGGCAGCTTCGTGAAGTGGTGAAATCGAAAAAGACTCATTTCCTATAAGAGGATTAGCTCCTCTTTCAAGAAGAAGCTTAACCACCTCTGATCTGTTAAATCTGCAAACGAAACAACGATACAAAGTTCTACTTTAAATTCAACATATTTATTTCCAGCATTGTTCGATTCACGAAGCCAAGGTGCCTGTTTGCTTGTTGAGCAAAACTTATGTCGCTTAAATTTGGATCAATCTTTACTTATAAAACGAGTGGGACTGCACAATTATCCTCTTATAAAACGTATTAAATTGCAACATGAAATGTAATAAAGGATTGCCTTTGTTTTCACTTTTCTCCTATTCGGTTATTAGTGTAAAAAAGGCTAAGATTTAAATCAAAGGAGAAGAAAGAGAAAGAATATTCCGCGCTATCTAGATTGAGAATCTCTCTATGTGGAGTTATTAAAATGTACGGCTGATGAACTGACTTGTGTATACCTTGTAGCAGTGATAAGAGGCGTCGATCCAGTTCTGTCTGCAAGATTGATATCTGCGCCGCTTTCTAATAAAGAGGCTAATGCCCCAACATCATTAATGCGAACAGCTCGATGAATTGGGGCCACTCCTTCCCGATTCAATGTGTTCACATTTACCTTGGCTGCAAAATTCTCGTTCGGGAAGTAAATAAAGCTATTCATGGTCGGCCTATATACTTCAACATTAGGAACCAGGATGCGAGTTCCATCAACGTCACCAGGATTGTAGTTGATTAGTTCCACAGAATCGTTGTCGAACCAAGGATCAACTTTGTTCAAAGATGCGTTGCTTCGTTGGGTGCCCCCAGACCTCAACCTTGCAGTATCTATTGATAAGATTTACATAACATTTTATTTCATGATTTCAGCCTTTTACAGGAATAGGGCAAGGATGACCATGGGCTGCTGTCACGGGTGCTTTAATAAAAGTGAGCTCTTCACTCTGGCGAATGAGAGTCAAGTTTTCTGAGTTTGCTTTCGGCCCCATCCCTGAATCAAAGGGTTTTTTCAGGTTGGCAACCATGGTAAATTTGATTGAACTTGTGAGACCCGAATATAGAGGTGAACATTAAATTCATCTATAGACCATGGAAGAGTGAAAAAATATGTTTGCACGCCCGAAAATTTTGCAGATTAACAGAGATCACAATCACACGCGATTATAAAGTCTCGCTATCGGTGTGCTCCTTCGTCCTCTTCGTTAGAGAACACTCGAGAGCACGATATTGCAACTTTTCTTCGAAAATATAGAAAAGCTGTCGCCATCAGAGCTACTTCATCATTCCCTGAAATGTCAACTATCAAAAAACATAGGTATTATTTTGGTCCAATATTTACTTGTTCTTCAACCATGACCGCTATCCTGTTCGATTCCCACTTAGCAACTTGCGGTTAAAAAAATTAAAACCTCTCCAAGGGGAAACATAGATGGCCAAGGAAGGAGATAAAAGGTCAAAAAGACATCGAGTAACAGAGGAAAACTTAGCAGCTGAAAATTAACTCTTCAACTTACCATGCGCGATAAAAAACTCAATCTCTCTTATTCTTAAAAATTTGCCCAGAAAGAGACTAGTTCCTTTTGTTGCACAGTTTTTAATCCAATGTTTGGTAAAATTAGTGTATTTTGAATATTTTTTATTCTGAGCTGCTTCATTTAATATACGGCATTTCAAGCTGTTTCTGTAAACATTTACTGCAGGTGCTGTAAACGTTATCAAATAAGCGATAAATCCTCTCCGAATGAGACTTTTATGACAAAATAATTAAATTAATTTACATATCAGAACGTCAGATCGCACAATCCACAATGAAAAAGTCAGAGGAATATTTCCAACGAACGTAAAATTAACAAGATTTATTTTCGCAAAGAATTATGCTTTTCCTGGCCACTGTTACTGGTGAGAAGAAGGTAAGCAATCTTCACAGAGAGAATATCTGTGTCACACAAGCACTGCTAGTGAACAAATCATTCTTTACCAAAATAATTAAAAAGAGAATGGGGACTCATTTTGCTCTAAAAGTACGCATGCGACTTTTGTGATGATTTACCAGTATTATGAAGCGATATGATTGTATTGCTTTCTGAATTTAATGAAAGAGCGTCATTTCAATCTGATATTATCACATTTGATGCATCTAACAAGTTCAACAGGGAAAGACAGAACACTGAGCTAGTTGTGTTACAGACATCGAGAGCAGTCGGGATCGATGCTTCTCAACTCCTGTCCTGTAACCTTAACAATCCCGGTTTGATCTCGGGATATCAACATCTGAAATCATAGGAGCTTTTAATTAGATTCTAAGTAGTTCAGGTTTCTTCTGATTAAAAGTTTTGAAATTAAATTGACTTATAATGCCCTGTTACTCATAAATAACTTGTTCTGTCTTCTCATTTATTCGGTAGTTGATTATTTCATAAAACTACTTCTTCGTTCTAAATAAGTTAGTGAGTCTTAACCTAGCCGAACAATCAGCAGCACTGATCGCGTTTTCGTGACAAAACCGCATGCAATCATAAAAACGCACGTACTTCCCACGCAAGAATATAGGAGCATGTAAAGCAACTTTCGAACAATTTAGTCTCCATTTCTCATTTGGTAAATAATAAAAAGGACTGGATCAAATCTTCAACTTGAATTGGAATAGTAGCTCTGCTACATCTTCGTAAACTAAACTAAGAAAGCAATCGTGTCTGTGTCATAATAAACAACCAATTCTGCGCACTCTAAACTGAGGAAAGCATCGTTTCTTTGTCACAGTAAACAATCAATATAGGTAAAAAAAAGGGGTAGGTATCAAACCTTTTCCATTTTGTCCCCCAACAACTCGATATGTCGACATTAGATTGCTCATGATGATGATGAAGGTCGGCGAACGTGATCGCCAACGACACTTTCTGACGTTACACGATCAGCGCCAAATCCGTAACACGTCCGAAGATGCAGATGAAGTCATATTAATTACAGATGACTAGTTTCACAACAGTTGCTTTGGTAAATAGCACGAAATGGAGGCGGTGGACGGGAAAAAAGCAAACAGCTTGGCATACTTGTCCTTCAACGAAACGTGTTATTGTGATGATTTATTATGCTCTTGATAATACAAAATTGGCATTATCACAGCTCTTTTAACTGATTGCACTGTTCTTCGTTCAGCGGCGGAAATCGTACTCCAATTTTTACCAAACAGGTGAATCAACGACACTAAAATGGACAGTGACATTTGTAAATTTTTTCCTAATTAACGAAAGATTATGCGAAGAGAGATAAATCGATATTAAATCAAGGGATTTCTGAGCCTAACTGGTTTCTTCTCCTGTCGTAAAGTAAGGAAGTTAGTCCAAGCAACTGATATTTCAATATCGCTTTTTAGAGCAATTACCGTTTTAAGAGTTCTAAAATGACGCTTGAATTTCATGATCACCAGCCTGACACGAACGACAGTTTTTCTTCGGCCTTTCTGTTTTGTTTTGTTTTTTCTTGTTTTTATTATTTTTTTTATTCATACACTTATAAATATACGGCGATGGTGAAACGTTTCCTATGTGAACTGTACAAATATCTGAGAAAATTGCGTTGAATTTAATGTTCCAACTACGCAACATTTATTAGAAGCGAGACCAGACAAATTTCGAAAAATTAAAACGTAACACGCGCCACTAAATTTTTTTTTTCGTTTTTTCATGAAAGACTCTCCAGAAGAATCTGATATTGCCGACAGCAATTTCTAAAGTAGGCATACTCAGGATCTCATTGTGTCACCCTGGAACGGAGAGTGATATCCTATCTTACATCAGTGGTCTCTAAAAAGAGAGGGATGTGCCCTAGGGCCGATTTTATCACAGGCTACACCGTCTTGAACAAAAATTTTAGAAACAAACAAGGTTTCAACGACCGCCCTTTAAATATTTTAGAAACAAACAAGGTTTCAACGACCCCCCTTTAAATATTTGAGCGTTTCTATTTTTTTTCTCCCTTTCAAGAACTGAAGTAAATATATCGCAAGATGAATTCAAATGTGAATTAGTTCAGTTTTCTCAGATGATTCACCCGACGACGTCAATCATTTGATTCACTAATCTTTAATTACCAGAAAATATATTAAAACTGATTCTGACATTGTAATTACAAACATTGTCGTGGCATGCAAACATGGCTAGCAAAAGGGGAATTGTTCGCTAATTGATGACTGGGAAATGCATTCTGAACGACATAATGCGTCCTTCTTCGTATTTGAATTTGTCCGGATAAAATTGGCATTTACTTAACATGTGTTTAGTTATTCATTTATCCCCAGTTTATTAGCTATGGCTGTGAGTACTTTGCTTTGAGCATCTACAGTGGCTTGAAGTCTCTTAATTTGTTCTTCTTGCCTTTCGATCCTCTGCCGATCATACTCATCTAAGTCACCTTCATCTTCGTTTTGGCTGGATTCGTTCTTGCCAATGATATCCAGGAAATCTTCATTTGAGAGACCCGTACCTGAAAATACAAATCTGAAAGAAAAGCAGAATTTGTGACTCTTCTTTTTTTCACAATAGCACTGTATATATGACACGTTTTTCGGGTAATTACTATATCATAAGAGCATTTCCCCTTTGCAAATGATTCTCCTTGAATAAAGGCGGCCGCCTTTGTTTATTGCATTTGTATTAAAAATTAGGAAATTCAGAAGGCCGTTTCAAGAGTCATTCTGTAGAAGCTTTCAACTTTCAACTCCACTAGAGAAATCCACACAATTCAAATATGCATTTTAAGAGCGGGCTTTGAGTAGTTCACCAACACGATCTGAGTACGTTTTAATGCAAAACATACCTCTTAACAGTCGTGTTCTGATTCAGTTTGAACTCAAGGTATTCTTTGTAAGTTAGTCTTAACATCCACGTCGGATATCTCTTTCGTATACTGTCCACTAACAAAGCTTGATCTATCAAATTTCGCAGAGTTGCTGTCTTCTGAATAGAGTCTATGTCCCCAACGGCCAGACCGACCTAACATAGTAACAGTAATTAGAGCGCTTCTCAGTTGAATGTTGCAAAGCCAAAGTTAACTACTAAAGAGGTCAAAAAAAACCGAAAATTCGAGAAGGAGTCAGTAAGAACACAAGGTAAATCATGTATTCCAATAAGTCTGACACTAGTGTACAGGTAAGGCCCTCAATTGGAGAATTCCGTTAAGGACTCACCAAAGTAAAACTATCACTGAGGCTAATCAGAAGAAAAAACAAATTTAAAAGGGGCCTATACACAAAGTAAATCATTAAACTAAGGTAGTGTGAAAGACACTAGTGTACGTTTAAGGGGCCCTGTAATGAACTATATAGCCTAGTTCCCGGGTCGGAATTAAGATGAATAACATACAAGTCGGCTTTGAGTATTTGTAACCTTTTTTTTTTTTCTTTTGATCGCACCATCGAGTATGGAGCTAATTATGGGTACAGTGACTCACCAGGAGATTCATAAGGACGATGGAGACTGACAACACGAACAGTATGAACAAGATATACGACAGCACCGGTAGAGGAACGTACAGGTTACTCGTGCCCGGGACTTTAGCGCTGTTCCCCACGTTGTCAGACAGAATGTCAGTATAGTCCACTTCGCCCAACAACATAACAAATATTTTCGCCATCGAAACCCAAACAGATGAAAAGGTATCCTGAAAAGAAAGGCAACGTAAGCGCACACAGTGACCAAGATATCTAAAAAACTGTAAGTTGTGATCAACCCTCGACGTAAAGGTAATGAGAATTTAAATTCTATTGAAGTTTCAACCGCAGACCTGAATGAGCCGGTAACAACTCATCCAATGCTATTGATGGAAACTATTTTGGCAAAAATAAACAGGATCTAATTTTAGAAAAAGGTTCATCAAAGGGTCCTTCAGCAAAAAATAAAACGAATAACGAAATTTTGCAACAGTTGGCGGATTCTCCATATTTATGGTCGGTGGTTCTTATTGTGCATGCTAGTAATCAACATTGCACAACGTTAGCTTCAAAAAATTAACATCTTACCTCTTCTTTTAAAAGAACGTAGAAGACCAATGCATATCCCAAGAGCAAGACGGCAAAGATGAGGATCACCCTCACAAATGTCTGCAGTACCTCGATGTACATGGTTATGTATAACGATAAGGAAGTTATGCGACGTAAAGAGAGACACCAATTGCTGTAGCATAGCAACAAGGCTAACGTTCCGAAAGTCCACTGCACGCGAACGTCGCCATACAGCTCTTGATTGGTCAAATAAGGTAGAATAAAGATTAAAGTGCTCAAATACATGCTTAGGTCTATCAAATTTGTGTAATCCTTAAAGTATCCCAGACGCTGCCAAAATATCTGAAATATCTCTTTTAACAAGGATATAATCAAGAACGCAAAGATAACTTCTGGAAGGCTCTTGGAATCCTCGCCAGCCTCGGTCGCTGCATTGCCGAGAAATATGAAGTCTATCCTAGTCAATGCTTTTTTTTTTTTGTACCGCTCATGCTAGAGGACATATTTGGCACTGGGCGAGAAATCAAATCTTTAGAGTGCACAACCGATATCAAGCAACACTGAAAATTTCAAATCAGAGATATTGCACCAAAAGAAATATCGAAATTATGTTTTTGCTCTTCTCCTGAGACAAGGATATTGAAAGAAAAAGCTGAGTTCGTTCCGGATATCAGATTTCTGGTAGATGTATTTTCATTTGTTTTGTTCTTTGTATTTGTTACTTGGCAAATTTTTGGCTCTGACCAATATTTTTTCCTTTTATTTACCGACTTTGATCATCATCATCAACTATATTAGAACGACTGATGAAGTCCATAAGAATTCCAAGAAACCGTCTGCCGAAGATTAAGCATGCCACCTAACTGAAAAAGTGTAAGTCTGTTGGATAATCTATCAACAGTTTTTCCTTGATCGGCTCCTCAAACCCTAACGTTGCTGTAGGATCTTTGTGGTACCCGACCCGACCCAAGCCTCGCTCTTTTTCACTCTGCCGATACTATCGCGTCGTTTACTACTTCGCTCCGTGTTACCGACTGAAGGCCTGCAACTCGCTTAACCTCTCCCAAAAAAATTGCATTATTATCGTTTTAATTCAAATGTACAACTTCGAGTTATCCTCAGCTCCTTCTGCTTGCTGCTTAATCCTTTAACTTCCATGAGTGACCAAGACTGAATTTCTCCCTCTAATATCAATACAATATCAAGGAGACAAGTGATGAGAATAAACAAAAATATCAATGAGGGCATGATTAGTTGATCCACTACCAAATTCTCCAAACAGACCTAGTGAAAATGATATGGCACACAGTAAGGAGAATAAATAATGATATCTTGTGAGTGAAAGGGTTAAATACGATGCAGTTCTAGAACAAAGCAGTACTTACGAGCTCGCTGACATTTAACATAACCGAAAATTTGCATGATTTCTCTTGTTATCTTAAGCTCCAAGATTACGCGTATTTCTTTACGCACCTGCCTCCCCTGCGTAGTAACTTGTCAATGAAGAACTAGTGAAGTCATCATAATCTCAATTAACTCTCCTTGCCGTTTACACAAGCGAGCTTTGAAGTCGTAATTTACAAGACAAAGGAATAACATGATCCCCATTTGCTTACATTGCACATGGAAAAAAAACATCAATGAAACAAGTGATACAAAAATTAACATGATTACTACTGATATGGGCCTTTGTGACCGATGTTGTCTCTGCTTTCTTTCTTAATTGGAAAATTAATTAAGATCAGTTTGGATTTCGGAGATCGCACCTAACAGTGGAAATTACGATAGTACTTGAGCCTAGGACCTTTTCTGCTTTTTTTAATGGAGTGATGGAACTGATAGGGAGCTTGAAAGGGCAATAGTGTTGTGACAACGTCCTGTTGCTACAATGACAACATCAGACAGTGACGCAAGAGTGAAGTTACATATTATGATTTATCTAAAGCATGGCATAATGAAACACAAGCAACACGTTACAATAACCTCATTGGTTCCTAATCACTCTTAGTATATATAACGTTAGAAAGAAGCTGAAATATATTTATTATAAAATATTTTGTGGGCGAGACGGTTGACATGGTCATACAGTTATCTTGTAAGTTCACAACGAACGACAAACAAGCGCAGCAGTGAGGTGAAATATTTCAGTGGCCTCATTGTTCATTTCATTCATTCTGATCACGTTTCTAACAAGTTTCCCGTTAAAATAACAACAGCATACAAACCAGTTCCATCCAGGACGCCAACAGAGCGATAAGTCGACATGGGAGCGAAACCGACACAAATTAAAGTAAACGTAAGATTTACAGCATTACCAAACGCTCTTCTTATTGATTGTGACGGTGCTGTTTATCGGTTTCGTGACGTACGCAACGTTAGATATAAGAGGATGCAAATTTTAAATGAAATGGGGGTAAAGTCTCACATGATTGGTCACTCTTCTACGACCCTCACGTTGACGTAACAGCACGGGACTAGCACAATGTGTCAGTTATATCACGCAACGACTTTTTCCGCACTCTTTAATGTCATTGGGCTGAAGAATATTTTTATAATTAGCCTCTATTTTGCGTGAAATATGCTCAAATTTTCTGTGCGGACATCATCTACTCAGAGAAAAGAAAAGCTTGGCGAAAGCGCTCAGGAGTGACAGATTAAGTCCGCGGATAACATTTTGTCACGCCAAACAGGCTCAAGTGTCAGGTGACCACTGGTTTCTTCTATTTATTCATTCATTCAATCATTGATCGATTCATCCGGCTAACTCTCAACATTCCATATCTTTTTAATTTGCAGCACGTACCACAAAAAGGTTTGCCATCACCTTACAGTCATCAAGTCTACTAAAAACGATACGATTTACTTTTCAATGTTTTCTGATATAGTTTGTTGACCTCTTGTTCTGTAACACCTGTAAAATTATCTCACATCTTGATTTAAGAGAGACGGAAACTACACAATCATGGTAACGCTCTGAAGGTCAATACCACTTGAGGAAATTGGTTCGGAAATTTCCCCGTTTCGGGTGACAGGTTTAGAACAACTCTTATAAGCCAAAATATTTTACCAACTGTAATTTTGACTGTAGTGCTTTATGGCTTCATTAGGACTCGATAATGTGGGATAGTGTTTATGAAGCAGAAACGCACTGAATTTCCAATGCACATTTCCAAGAAGGGACCAACAAGAAGACGTTGGAAGGTGAGAAATAAAAGCATTTACAAACTTAGCAGGCAACTTTAATTAGCAACTTCCACATTCTTTATCATTTACACTCGGTATGAATGCACAATGACAACATAATTAAATTAAATATGTAATAACTGACAAGGGCAACTTTCTGAAGTGGATTACTTCTAACTAATTTGATTTTAATATCTTCTTTTCTTTCAACGTAGTTAGTTCCTAAACTGAATGCTACTGGGACATTCAAAATATCAAGGAAGATGGTGTGGGAGTAATTTCTTTTAACATATGATCACTTTTAAAATAATATTAATATAAGGAAAACGATTGAACGTTTTTTGAGACTTAATAACATCTGGGACAAGCGCGCATATTCAAACTGAATCAATGAACACTGGGTCGCTTGTTCCATAATTCGCTAAATGGGATAGTCAATCCTTCATGAGGGTAGTTGTTTCTTTTTTCTTTTGTGTGATCAACCAGCCTTTTATTGATAATCCTTTATATTCAACCTTTCAGCCATTGCCTCAAGGAGTTTGCTTTGTGCTTCCACAGTGGCCTGGAGTTTTTGCATCCTTTCCTCTTGTATTTCCTCTTGCAACTGTGCCTGTCGACAACTATCACTATAGTTCCCGCTGGATGCGCCGTTCAGCAGCATTTCTACAAAATCACTTCCTGTGATATCGGTAGCAGATAGTGTGACCCTAAAATGTAAATGAGAGTTCGAGTAAAATAATAATACAACTGCTATGTATGAAAAATAGAACTTCTTAGTCTCTCTTTGGCATCAACCAAGCTTTGAGAACCCTTAGTTGAACCCTCAGTACAGTCATTGCCCGCTTTTGTATTCTGCGACTTATAATTCATAAGATCCCATTAGCCTAAAGTTTGGGCGTGACTGCATGAAAACTCATTCGGAAGGCAGTTGATTAACAGGGATAATCTCTCAGAGTGATACATAAAATTAATCAAGGAACAAACACCGGAAATAGAAGAATTAGAGACTGAGATGTAGATGAAAGCTCACGAATGAAGTGGCCACTGACGTGAAAAAAAAAAAAAAAAAGAAAAGTTACGTATCGAAAAACAATACTTACCACTTCATGAAACTGTTTTGGTTTGGTTTTATTCTCAACGAGCTTCTGTAGATCTTTCGTAAAATCCACCTTGGATAGGATTTGACGATGTCGTCAACTAAAAAAACACTTGGTCAATCAAGGCTCGTAAACTAGCTGTCCTCTGAATAGACTCGATATCTCCAACTGCTAAACCAACCTATGATTATGGAACACAACTTTCGTTAACTTTTGGATGACAATAACAGCAACTGCCCGATCGACGTAGCAACCATGCCCGGTGCCCGGGTTCACCTCCTCATTGGAACGTTAGGAGACTACAGCTTGAACAAACTCGCTGAACGAAGGGTACCAGGAGTCTTGGATCACAATAGCTACTTCTTTAATGTACCACTGCCTTACTCTTACAACATTTATTAACTCTAACTGCTACTCCAACTTCAACTTCCACTACTATAGAGACATCGAATTCTAGAATGTATCAACAAGAACCCCAAATATATCTTTCTTCAGGTAGAGAAAACCACGTCTTATCAATGACTAACGATACTCTGCTCAGCTCGCCTTACAACTAAAGATCGTTTTTTGATGTATGTCAAGCAACGGGTGGCCTGTAATATAGTGACATAGGGAATTGATATCTTACGTACCAGCAAGTTGACGAGCACAACACTACCTAACAGTATGAACGCTAAGAACAGACAGAAGGTAAGTGTTGGCAAAGGAACATATGGAATGTTTGTTCCAGGCACTGTCTCGTTGTCCACAGCTTTGTCAACCAACATATTTGAGTAGTCTAACTCACCAACCATTGTGACCTGGATCTTTGCAAAAGCGTACCAGAAAGATGAGAAATTACCCTAAGAGAGAAATAAACCCAAAACCTATAAGGCATGCAATTCAAGTTAACATTCAGAAATGATATAAAATTTGAAACACCAGAAAATTATACTGTACCGCGAACGATTCTGCTTTTTACACCGATGGATCTTCATGCACTTAACAATCACATAGAAGTTCACATTTCAGTTCCAGTCACAAAATAATGCCCCTGAATTGATCCGAACACGTCTTTCTTGAAACATCACTAGTTTTACGGTAATGAATACGAAAAGTTCCGTAATATCTGCGAAACCGTTCCTACCTGTTCTTTCAACAAGGCATAAAATACCAAGGTGAATCCAATCAGGGCAATCGTAAATGTGGACATCACTTTCAGAAATGTATAAAGAACTTCCACGTACATTGTGACGTACAAACCAAGTCCACCAAAGCGACGAAGAGATAATGTAAAATTGATGTAGCTTAGTAGAAGACCGAGTATACCTGCTATCCATTGAGTCTGTGTGCTGTATATAATTCTCTCAGTCATATGAGGAAGTATAAAAATCCAGACTAATACGTACATTACTAACTCTGACAAGTTTGTGATATCTCTACAGTAGGAAAACCGCTGCCAAATGATTTGAATAACTTCCTTGATGAGCTGGATGATCAAAAACACTAGTATAACAAAAGCCACGGTCATCTCAAACGACGATTTAATTTTGACATCTCCGTTGGCTGCTTTCTCAAATGAGGTGAATGAAAAATTGATTTTGTTCCTCTCTACAACAAAGAGATATGAGAACAGGATGACATAAGCGGCCATTACAACACAGTTAATCAAGGAGACACACTTTCCCAAAATTAGCCATTTCCATCTCAACAACGCTTGAGTGACACTGTGATTGAGCAATTTTTCTCGTCGATCTTTTGCCATGCACGCTGGCCCGAAGTAACTGTGACAATCAGGCTCAGGATCCAAATGAACCAGGTTAAATGTAACTGAAAATTCTTCGTGAGACGGAGGGTGTGAACTGTAGGTAATGCACTTATCAAGAACAACTTCTGCCACATCTGGAAGTTTTTCGATCAGTTTTCTCATCGGGTGAACACCAACACCTGGTGAGCATTGAAGCACCTCTTCCCACCTAAAAATTTATAACCATTCAATAGCTATTACATCATTGTGCAATTTCAACGTTTAACAACTATGTAATCAAGGAATAGCATTGGTTCTTAATGGTCATTATATGATAAGATAAATCATACATGCATTTCGATTGGCTGTTGCCTATGACCTATTGGAGGACAGACGTATGGCTGGATGACGTCACCATTGACTATATTTCGCTTTTTATGACATAAAACAAATAGATTCAATGTTGCCGTGCGTTTGTCCAATAATAGATCTCAGACGACGTCAAATTGTGGTAAGAATATCGATTACACACTAAGCTGCGCATCTTACGCCACGTTTTCGTTCTTACCACATATTGACGTCATCCGTGATCTATTATTGGACAAACGCATGGAAACATGCAATCTATTTGTTACCTTTTTCCTGGTGGAATCATGTTATCTCCACTATTTTCTTTATCACCCATTAGAAGCTTCCTTATCCTATTAAAAATTTCTTTTTCACTGTAATGCCGGTAACACACTAGAATTAGAATAAATTGGCTATGAGCAAAAGTTCACAGCGCTAGCTGCTACTCAGGTGAAATGGAGGGACGAACAAATATCACAGGAAAATATGGCCAAGTCAAACCTCAGAGCAAACCAAGCCAACAATGTGTGTCGTGCACTTCCTCCTTGCCCCGAACAATCCTTTAGGTAGCTGAAGACAATTTTCCCTAAACTGAACCTATTTATATACACCTAAATAGAACAAGAACATCAATCCCTCTTCTCTCCAGCTAATTTCAAGACCTAAAAATGTACCTTTCGTGTTTCATCAGTGTCATGGCCACATCTTTGGCTTCCCATTCAATAGCAGCATCAAGGCAAGTCATTTTTCTGTTATTTAGAGCCGTGACGTCAGCTCCTTGGTCCAAAAAGAAGTGGAGAATATCAAGGCGATTGTACCTGCAGGCTATGTGAAGAGGAGTGTTCCCATCTTCGTCTTTTTCCTCGAGCGTGCTTAACAAAAGGTAATTAAGTACAATCTTGACTGTTTTTAAAGAACCAGCCTTGACTGCCAAATGAAGAGCCGTGCGACCGTGTATATCACAGGAAGTTACTTCAGCTCCTTTTAGGATCAATAGCTCACATGCCTCGCTGAAAATTATACATGAAGAATTAAGGAAACAAAATATGTTTGGATGCTGCACATGTACATCAAGTGTATTTTCAAGATTTGTGACAAAGCCTTGGTCACAGCGAAAGCCTTAGAGAGTTTTGCTAGAAAAACTGAAATAGCAGATAGCGTTTATAAAGTAGCCATCTTAAAAAAAGTCTAAATCTGATTGGTCCGAGTGAACAGCACTATGGCGCAACATACGAGTCTAGACAAAGTCTCAAATGCACTTAATGTCGTAATACAAAGGCTTTGCGTGAGTGAGCACGTTGGAGTATTTTTTAAATAAAACATCATAAGGGGTACCCACGTGTGCTTGTTGCTGGCAGCTAAATGAAGAGGCGAACTTCCTTCGCTGTCTCTCTCATTTACAAGAAAAGGGCAAAGAGTGAGAACCCGCAAGCAATTAAGGGATCCACTTGCAGCGGCATCGTGAATAGGCAATTTCTCGTGTGCATCCCGCAGGCAAAAATATTCCTCCGTTTTCGGCGCCCTTTGAACGAGAATCTCCAGAATCTAAAGAGACAAACAAAAAGTTTGCAAATTTATTCAGTTAGTTCCTGGAGGGCAAAGTATAGGTTGTTCGTTTCTTTTAATTCGCCAGAATGCGGGACTCGGTCGTCTCCGCTTTCAAGTTTCTTTGGGGTACAATGCTATTGCTATAGTGGAAATTGGTTAGGTAAGACCATATAACCCCTGAGTGGCTGACATCGCCGTTTCGTTGGGAAAAGCTGCCATGTTACAGTAAGTACCTTTGGATCTTTCAGAACAGCTGCCAAATGAAACACCGTCTTCAAGTCTTTTTTCCTGCATCTTATCAATTTGTCTCCGTCCCTTTCTAATAATAGCTTCACCATTTCCGGCTTATTGAAGATTACTGCCAAATGAAGGCAACTATTCAATGAGGAGTCCACTGCGGTTATATCCGCTCCGCAGTCCAACAAAGCTTTCACAGTGTGGCATGCTCCATGGCTCACTGCCAACAGCAGAGGCGTCATCGATAACTGGTCTTTGGTCTCTAGATCTGCTCCATTCTCCACAAGTAGCTCGACTATTCGAACGTGATTAAATGTTGCAGCACTAAATTTTCATCAAAAACAAGAAAAATGTGTTAATCATTAAAAATTGTGGTTGATAGTACACCGAAGTTATCATAAATGAGCTCCGCAGCCAGAACGAAAATTGTTGAAGAGACGCTCAACCGAATTATTGGCAATTTGAAAAGAGGAAGAAGAAGTAAAGAATTAAAAAAAAAAAACTTACTCAAAAAAGGATTAAACAATGTTTTTGATTCTCTACTATGCAATGTCAGAGATGATTTTCACAGAATATTATGCAATCTGTCCTATCAACAGAAAATCACCTTATTTTCTCTTGGTCCTAAATACAAAATTCTCCTCAATAGTAACTGGAGACGAAAAGGCAAATGCTGTAAACTTAAAATCAATCCGTTCTATATGTGAACATTCGTTTCCATGTTCCCATTCAGATTGACTCTCAGGCCAGAAGGCATTTAACTTACACAGTCATGCTGTGATTAGACTTCGTGCTTTGTCGACTACCCTCAATCTTAAATTTACACTCTGTTGCATGAAACTGGTAATCCATGCAGGGTAAAGAAAAAGTATTAGAAACTTTCCACAAATATCCCAAATTAGCTACCTGTGCAATGGTGTCCTTATATTACTATCCCTTGCATCAACGACTACTCCGTACAAGATGAGGAGTTCAACCAACTCCACAAAGCCGCATTTGGCTGCATGATGAAGTGGGGACATGTTCTCCGACCAATTATGCGAATCATGATCCGCTCCGTGACGCAAAAAAAGTTCAGCTACATTCACATTTCCTCTCATGCACGCAACATGAAAGGCTGTTGATCCTTCTTTGTTTCTTGTATTGATATATTCGCTTACAGAGGAGAGCGTCTTGGAAGCTTTTACAAAACAAACAAACAAAAAAGAAACAATTGACAATTTCTATTTTAAACCTAAGTTAATTTAATACTCTACGTTTCGTATAGCAAGAAACTTTTTCATGATAACCGACTAGGTATTTCTCGAAGAAATAATACTATAAAGTCATGATATTTCTCATGGGGTTATGTTGAATTTTGGTGTGTAGCGCATTTCACAGGGTCTCTGACAATCTTAAGTTGCTATTATAGATAGCATTTGGGTACACTTCAAATTCTCCTGGACGATATAAAAACACCACCCGTTCCAAATATATCGATTACTGAACACACTATTCGCAAAAGAGATCCAGAAGAGAAGTCGTTTCGGAAACAGCTTTCCAATCATTTAGCGATACAATTCTCAGCACTCTATGTTCGCTGTGATCTCAGTACCGCATTTCAGACCTATTACCCTATGAGCTACCTTATAGCGGCACACACTTTGAAAAACATGTCCGTGAAGTATTCCCTCGTACAAGTTGACTGGCCAATACTGAAAATAGTATCGTGTGATTCTCTTGTTTTAAACGAGTCCTCGAAACCAACACGAACCATAACAAATGATTCATGTACGTCAGGGAGAACGAACAATTACCTGCGTTGATAAGAAGCTTGCAATTATATTCATCCCCATTCCAAGCCGCAAAATGAAGTGGAGTATTTTTAGTTACCTTCGAAATGTAGGTAACATCGGCACCATGTTTTAAGATCAGTTCACATGTGGCTCGATCTCCGCCAAAGCAGGCCATGTGCAAAGGCGAAACATGTCCGTAGTTTATAGTGGTAGCTTTTATTCTGGAATCATTCAGCAGTAGAATACAAATCTCCGTGAAACCCCTTCTGGCAGCTTCGTGAAGTGGTGAAATCGAAAAAGACTCATTTCCTATAAGAGGATTAGCTCCTCTTTCAAGAAGAAGCTTAACCACCTCTGATCTGTTAAATCTGCAAACGAAACAACGATACAAAGTTCTACTTTAAATTCAACATATTTATTTCCAGTATTGTTCGATTCACGAAGCCAAGGTGCCTGTTTGCTTGTTGAGCAAAACTTATGTCGCTTAAATTTGGATCAATCTTTACTTATAAAACGAGTGGGACTGCACAATTATCCTCTTATAAAACGTATTAAATTGCAACATGAAATGTAATAAAGGATTGCCTTTGTTTTCACTTTTCTCCTATTCGGTTATTAGTGTAAAAAGGCTAAGATTTAAATCAAAGGAGAAGAAAGAGAAAGAATATTCCGCGCTATCTAGATTGAGAATCTCTATGTGGAGTTATTAAAATGAACGGCTGATGAACTGACTTGTGTATACCTTGTAGCAGTGATAAGAGGCGTCGATCCAGTTCTGTCTGCAAGATTGATATCTGCGCCGCTTTCTAATAAAGAGGCTAATGCCCCAACATCATTAATGCGAACAGCTCGATGAATTGGGGCCACTCCTTCCCGATTCAATGTGTTCACATTTACCTTGGCTGCAAAATTCTCGTTCGGGAAGTAAATAAAGCTATTCATGGTCGGCCTATATACTTCAACATTAGGAACCAGGATGCGAGTTCCATCAACGTCACCAGGATTGTAGTTGATTAGTTCCACAGAATCGTTGTCGAACCAAGGATCAACTTTGTTCAAAGATGCGTTGCTTCGTTGGGTGCCCCCAGACCTCAACCTTGCAGTATCTATTGATAAGATTTACATAACATTTTATTTCATGATTTCAGCCTTTTACAGGAATAGGGCAAGGATGACCATGGGCTGCTGTCACGGGTGCTTTAATAAAAGTTAGCTCTTCACTCTGGCGAATGAGAGTCAAGTTTTCTGAGTTTGCTTTCGGCCCCATCCCTGAATCAAAGGGTTTTTCAGGTTGGCAACCATGGTAAATTTGATTGAACTTGTGAGACCCGAATATAGAGGTGAACATTAAATTCATCTATAGACCATGGAAGAGTGAAAAAATATGTTTGCACGCCCGAAAATTTTGCAGATTAACAGAGATCACAATCACACGCGATTATAAACTCTCGCTATCGGCGTGCTCCTTCGTCCTCTTCGTCAGAGAACACTCGAGTGCACGATATTGCAACTTTTCTTCGAAAATATAGAAAAGCTGTCGCCATCAGAGCTACTTCATTATTCCCTGAAATGTCAGCTATCAAAAAACATGGGTATTATTTTGGTCCAATATTTACTTATTCTTCAACCATGACCCCTATCCTGTTCGATTCCCACTTAGCAACTTGCGGTTAAAAAATTAAAACCTCTCCAAGGGGAAACATAGATGGCCAAGGAAGGAGATGAAAGGTCAAAAAGACATCGAGTAACAGAGGAAAACTTAGCAGCTGAAAATTAACTCTTCTACTTACCATGCGCGATAAAAACTCAATCTCTTATTCTTAAAAATTTGCCCAGAAAGAGACTAGTTCCTTTTGTTGCACAGTTTTTAATCCAATGTTTGGTAAAATTAGTGTATTTTGAATATTTTTTATTCTGAGCTGCTTCATTTAATATACGGCATTTCAAGCTGTTTCTGTAAACATTTACTGCAGGTGCTGTAAACGTTATCAAATAAGCGATAAATCCTCTCCGAATGAGACTTTTATGACAAAATAATTAAATTAATTTACATATCAGAACATCAGATCGCACAATCCACAATGAAAAAGTCAGAGGAATATTTCCAACGAACGTAAAAATTAACAAGATTTATTTTCGCAAAGAATTATGCTTTTCCTGGCCACTGTTACTGGTGAGAAGAAGGTAAGCAATCTTCACAGAGAGAATATCTGTGTCACACAAGCACTGCTAGTGAACAAATCATTCTTTACCAAAATAATTAAAAAGAGAATGGGGACTCATTTTGCTCTAAAAGTACGCATGCGACTTTTGTGATGATTTACCAGTATTATGAAGCGATATGATTGTATTGCTTTCTGAATTTAATGAAAGAGCGTCATTTCAATCTGATATTATCACATTTGATGCATCTAACAAGTTCAACAGGGAAAGACAGAACACTGAGCTAGTTGTGTTACAGACATCGAGAGCAGTCGGGATCGATGCTTCTCAACTCCTGTCCTGTAACCTTAACAATCCCGGTTTGATCTCGGGATATCAACATCTGAAATCATAGGAGCTTTTAATTAGATTCTAAGTAGTTCAGGTTTCTTCTGATTAAAAGTTTTGAAATTAAATTGACTTATAATGCCCTGTTACTCATAAATAACTTGTTCTGTCTTCTCATTTATTCGGTAGTTGATTATTTCATAACACTACTTCTTCGTTCTAAATAAGTTAGTGAGTCTTAACCTAGCCGAACAATCAGCAGCACTGATCGCGTTTTCGTGACAAAACCGCATGCAATCATAAAAACGCACGTACTTCCCACGCAAGAATATAGGAGCATGTAAAGCAACTTTCGAACAATTTAGTCTCCATTTCTCATTTGGTAAATAATAAAAAGGACTGGATCAAATCTTCAACTTGAATTGGAATAGTAGCTCTGCTACATCTTCGTAAACTAAACTAAGAAAGCAATCGTGTCTGTGTCATAATAAACAACCAATTCTGCGCACTCTAAACTGAGGAAAGCATCGTTTCTTTGTCACAGTAAACAATCAATATAGGTAAAAAAAGGGGTAGGTATCAAACCTTTTCCATTTTGTCCCCCAACAACTCGATATGTCGACATTAGATTGCTCATGATGATGATGAAGGTCGGCGAACGTGATCGCCAACAACACTTTCTGACGTTACACGATCAGCGCCAAATCCGTAACACGTCCGAAGATGCAGATGAAGTCATATTAATTACAGATGACTAGTTTCACAACAGTTGCTTTGGTAAATAGCACGAAATGGAGGCGGTGGACGGGAAAAAAGCAAACAGCTTGGCATACTTGTCCTTCAACGAAACGTGTTATTGTGATGATTTATTATGCTCTTGATAATACAAAATTGGCATTATCACAGCTCTTTTAACTGATTGCACTGTTCTTCGTTCAGCGGCGGAAATCGTACTCCAATTTTTACCAAACAGGTGAATCAACGACACTAAAATGGACAGTGACATTTGTAAATTTTTTCCTAATTAACGAAAGATTATGCGAAGAGAGATAAATCGATATTAAATCAAGGGATTTCTGAGCCTAACTGGTTGCTCCTCCTGTCGTAAAGTAAGGAAGTTAGTCCAAGCAACTGATATTTCAATATCGCTTTTTAGAGCAATTACCGTTTTAAGAGTTCTAAAATGACGCTTGAATTTCATGATCACCAGCCTGACACGAACGACAGTTTTTCTTCGGCCTTTCTGTTTTGTTTTGTTTTTTCTTGTTTTTATTATTTTTTTAATTCATACACTTATAAATATACGGCGATGGTGAAACGTTTCCTATGTGAACTGTACAAATATCTGAGAAAATCGCGTTGAATTTAATGTTCCAACTACGCAACATTTATTAGTAGCGAGACCAGACAAATTTCGAAAAATTAAAACGTAACACGCGCCACTAAATTTTTTTTTTCTTTTTTTCATGAAAGACTCTCCAGAAGAATCTGATATTGCCGACAGCAATTTCTAAAGTAGGCATACTCAGGATCTCATTGTGTCACCCTGGAACGGAGAGTGATATCCTATCTTACATCAGTGGTCTCTAAAAAGAGAGGGATGTGCCCTAGGGCCGATTTTATCACAGGCTACACCGTCTTGAACAAAAATTTTAGAAACAAACAAGGTTTCAACGACCGCCCTTTAAATATTTGAGCGTTTCTATTTTTTTTCTCCCTTTCAAGAACTGAAGTAAATATATCGCAAGATGAATTCAAATGTGAATTAGTTCAGTTTTCTCAGATGATTCACCCGACGACGTCAATCATTTGATTCACTAATCTTTAATTACCAGAAAATATATTAAAACTGATTCTGACATTGTAATTACAAACATTGTCGTGGCATGCAAACATGGATAGCAAAAGGGGAATTGTTCGCTAATTGATGACTGGGAAATGCATTCTGAACGACATAATGCGTCCTTCTTCGTATTTGAATTTGTCCGGATAAAATTGGCATTTACTTAACATGTGTTTAGTTATTCATTTATCCCCAGTTTATTAGCTATGGCTGTGAGTACTTTGCTTTGAGCATCTACAGTGGCTTGAAGTCTCTTAATTTGTTCTTCTTGCCTTTCGATCCTCTGCCGATCATACTCATCCAAGTCACCTTCAACTTCGTTTTGGCTGGATTCGTTCTTGCCAATGATATCCAGGAAATCTTCATTTGAGAGACCCGTACCTGAAAATACAAATCCGAAAGAAAAGCAGAATTTGTGACTCTTCTTTTTTTTTCACAATAGCACTGTATATATGACACGTTTTGCGGGTAATTACTATATCATAAGAGCATTTCCCCTTTGCAAATGATTCTCCTTGAATAAAGGCGGCCGCCTTTGTTTCTTGCATTTATATTAAAAATTAGGAAATTCAGAAGGCCGTTTCAAGAGTCATTCTGTGGAAGCTTTCAACTTTCAACTCCACTAGAGAAATCCACACAATTCAAATCTGCATTTTAAGAGCGGGCTTTGAGTAGTTCACCAACACGATCTGAGTACGTTTTAATGCAAAACATACCTCTTAACAGTCGTGTTCTGATTCAGTTTGAACTCAAGGTGTTCTTTGTAAGTTAGTCTTAACATCCACGTCGGATATCTCTTTCGTATACTGTCCACTAACAAAGCTTGATCTATCAAATTTAGCAGAGTTGCTGTCTTCTGAATAGAGTCTATGTCCCCAACGGCCAGACCGACCTAACATAGTAACAGTAATTAGAGCGCTTCTCAGTTGAATGTTGCAAAGCCAAAGTTAACTACTAAAGAGGTCAATAAAAAAAACCGAAAATTCGAGAAGGAGTCAGTAAGAACACAAGGTAAATCATGTATTCCAATAAGTCTGACACTAGTGTACAGGTAAGGCCCTCAATTGGAGAATTCCGTTAAGGACTCACCAAAGTAAAACTATCACTGAGGCTAATCAGAAGAAAAAACAAATTTAAAAGGGGCCTATACACAAAGTAAATCATTAAACTAAGGTAGTGTGAAAGACACTAGTGTACGTTTAAGGGGCCCTGTAATGAACTATATAGCCTAGTTCCCCGGGTCGGAATTAAGATGAATAACATACAAGTCGGCTTTGAGTATTTGTAACCTTTCTTTTTTTCTTTTGATCGCACCATCGAGTATGGAGCTAATTATGGGTACAGTGACTCACCAGGAGATTCATAAGGACGATGGAGACTGACAACACGAACAGTATGAACAAGATATACGACAGCACCGGTAGAGGAACGTACAGGTTACTCGTGCCCGGGACTTTAGCGCTGTTCACCACGTTGTCAGACAGAATGTCAGTATAGTCCACTTCGCCCAACAACATAACAAATATTTTCGCCATCGAAACCCAAACAGATGAAAAGGTATCCTGAAAAGAAAGGCAACGTAAGCGCACACAGTGACCAAGATATCTAAAAAACTGTAAGTTGTGATCAACCCTCGACGTAAAGGTAATGAGAATTTAAATTCTATTGAAGTTTCAACCGCAGACCTGAATGAGCCGGTAACAACTCATCCAATGCTATTGATGGAAACTATTTTGGCAAAAATAAACAGGATCTAATTTTAGAAAAAGGTTCATCAAAGGGTCCTTCAGCAAAAAAAATAAAACGAATAACGAAATTTTGCAACAGTTGGCGGATTCTCCATATTTATGGTCGGTGGTTCTTATTGTGCATGCTAGTAATCAACATTGCACAACGTTAGCTTCAAAAAAATTAACATCTTACCTCTTCTTTTAAAAGAACGTAGAAGACCAATGCATATCCCAAGAGCAAGACGGCAAAGATGAGGATCACCCTCACAAATGTCTGCAGTACCTCGATGTACATGGTTATGTATAACGATAAGGAAGTTATGCGACGTAAAGAGAGACACCAATTGCTGTAGCATAGCAACAAGGCTAACGTTCCGAAAGTCCACTGCACGCGAACGTCGCCATACAGCTCTTGATTGGTCAAATAAGGTAGAATAAAGATTAAAGTGCTCAAATACATGCTTAGGTCTATCAAATTTGTGTAATCCTTAAAGTATCCCAGACGCTGCCAAAATATCTGAAATATCTCTTTTAACAAGGATATAATCTAGAACGCAAAGATAACTTCTGGAAGGCTCTTGGAATCCTCGCCAGCCTCGGTCGCTGCATTGCCGAGAAATATGAAGTCTATCCTAGTCAATGCTTTTTTTTTTTTGTACCGCTCATGCTAGAGGACATATTTGGCACTGGGCGAGAAATCAAATCTTTAGAGTGCACAACCGATATCAAGCAACACTGAAAATTTCAAATCAGAGATATTGCACCAAAAGAAATATCGAAATTATGTTTTTGCTCTTCTCCTGAGACAAGGATATTGAAAGAAAAAGCTGAGTTCGTTCCGGATATCAGATTTCTGGTAGATGTATTTTCATTTGTTTTGTTCTTTGTATTTGTTACTTGGCAAATTTTTGGCTCTGACCAATATTTTTTCCTTTTATTTACCGACTTTGATCATCATCATCAACTATATTAGAACGACTGATGAAGTCCATAAGAATTCCAAGAAACCGTCTGCCGAAGATTAAGCATGTCACCTAACTGAAAAAGTGTAAGTCTGTTGGATAATCTATCAACAGTTTTTCCTTGATCGGCTCCTCAAACCCTAACGTTGCTGTAGGATCTTTGTGGTACCCGACCCGACCCAAGCCTCGCTCTTTTCACTCTGCCGATACTATCGCGTCGTTTACTACTTCGCTCCGTGTTACCGACTGAAGGCCTGCAACTCGCTTAACCTCTCCCAAAAAAATTGCATTATTATCGTTTTAATTCAAATGTACAACTTCGAGTTATCCTCAGCTCCTTCTGCTTGCTGCTTAATCCTTTAACTTCCATGAGTGACCAAGACTGAATTTCTCCCTCTAATATCAGTACAATATCAAGGAGACAAGTGATGAGAATAAACAAAAATATCAATGAGGGCATGATTAGTTGATCCACTACCAAATTCTCCAAACAGACCTAGTGAAAATGATATGGCACACAGTAAGGAGAATAAATAATGATATCTTGTGAGTGAAAGGGTTAAATACGATGCAGTTCTAGAACAAAGCAGTACTTACGAGCTCGCTGACATTTAACATAACCGAAAATTTGCATGATTTCTCTTGTTATCTTAAGCTCCAAGATTACGCGTATTTCTTTACGCACCTGCCTCCCTGCGTAGTAACTTGTCAATGAAGAACTAGTGAAGTCATCATAATCTCAATTAACTCTCCTTGCCGTTTACACAAGCGAGCTTTGAAGTCGTAATTTACAAGACAAAGGAATAACATGATCCCCATTTGCTTACATTGCACATGGAAAAAAACATCAATGAAACAAGTGATACAAAAATTAACATGATTACTACTGATATGGGCCTTTGTGACCGATGTTGTCTCTGCTTTCTTTCTTAATTGGAAAATTAATTAAGATCAGTTTGGATTTCGGAGATCGCACCTAGCAGTGGAAATTACGATAGTACTTGAGTCTCGGACCTTTTCTGCTTTTTTTAATGAAGTGATGGAACTGATAGGGAGCTTGAAAGGGCAATAGTGTTGTGACAACGTCCTGTTGCTACAATGACAACAGACAGTGACGCAAGAGTGAAGTTACATATTATGATTTATCTAAAGCATGGCATAACGAAACACAAGCAACACGTTACAATAACCTCATTGGTTCCTAATCACTCTTAGAATATATAACGTTAGAAAGAAGCTGAAATATATTTATTATAAAATATTTTGTGGGCGAGACGGTTGACATGGTCATACAGTTATCTTGTAAGTTCACAACGAACGACAAACAAGCGCAGCAGCGAGGTGAAATATTTCAGTGGCCTCATTGTTCATTTCATTCATTCTGATCACGTTTCTAACACGTTTCCCGTTAAAATAACAACAGCATACAAACCAGTTCCATCCAGGACGCCAAAAGAGCGATAAGTGGACATGGGAGCGAAACCGACACAAAGTAAACGTAAGATTTACAGCATTACCAAACGCTCTTCTTATTGATTGTGACGGTGCTGTTTATCGGTTTCGTGACGTACGCAACGTTAGATATAAGAGGATGCAAATTTTAAATGAAATGGGGGTAAAGTCTCACATGAGTGGTCACTCTTCTACGACCCTCACGTCGACGTAACAGCACGAGACTAGCACAATGTGTCAGTTATATCACGCAACGACTTTTTCCACACTCTTTAATGTCATTGGGCTGAAGAATATTTTTATAATTAGCCTCTATTTTGCGTGAAATATGCTCAAATTTTCTGTGCGGACATCATCTACTCAGAGAAAAGAAAAGCTTTGCGAAAGCGCTCAGGAGTGACAGATTAAGTCCGCGGACAACACGCCACGGGCTCAAGTGTCAGGTGACCACTGGTTTCTTCTATTTATTCATTCTCTCAACATTCCATATCTTTTTAATTTGCAGCACGTACCACAAAAGGTTTGCCATCACCTTACAGTCATCAAGTCTACTAAAAACGATACGATTTACTTTTCAATGTTTTCTGATATAGTTTGTTGACCTCTTGTTCTGTAACACCTGTAAAATTATCTTACATCTTGATTTAAGAGAGACGGAAACTACACAATCGTGGTAACGCACTGAAGGTCAATACTACTTGAGGAAATTAGTTCGGAAATTTCCCCGTTTCGGGTGACAGGTTTAGAACAACTCTTATAAGCCAAAATATTTTACCAACTGTAATTTTGACTGTAGTGCTTTATGGCTTCATTAGGACTCGATAATGTGGGATAGTGTTTATGAAGCAGAAATGCACTGAATTTCCAATGCACATTTCCAAGAAGGGACCAACAAGAAGACGTTGGAAGGTGAGAAATAAAAGCATTTACAAACTTAGCAGGTAACTTTAATTAGCAACTTCCACATTCTTTATCATTTACACTCGGTATGAATGCACAATGACAACATAATTAAATTAAATATGTAATAACTGACAAGGGCAACTTTCTGAAGTGGATTACTTCTAACTAATTTGATTTTAATATCTTCTTTTCTTTCAACGTAGTTAGTTCCTAAACTGAATGCTACTGGGACATTCAAAATATCAAGGAAGATGGTGTGGGAGTAATTTCTTTTAACATATGATCACTTTTAAAATAATATTAATATAAGGAAAACGATTGAACGTTTTTTGAGACTTAATAACTTCTGAGACAAGCGCGCATATTCAAACTGAATCAATGAACACTGGGTCGCTTGTTCCATAATTCGCTAAATGGGATAGTCAATCCTTCATGAGGGTAGTTGTTTCTTTTTTTCTTTTGTGTGATCAACCAGCCTTTTATTCATAATCCTTTATATTCAACCTTTCAGCCATTGCCTCAAGGAGTTTGCTTTGTGCTTCCACAGTGGCCTGGAGTTTTTGCATCCTTTCCTCGTGTATTTCCTCTTGCAACTGTGCCTGTCGACAACTATCACTAGAGTTCCCGCTGGATGCGCCGTTCAGCAGCATTTCTACAAAATCACTTCCTGTGATATCGGTAGCAGATAGTGTGACCCTAAAATGTAAATGAGAGTTCGAGTAAAATAATAATACAACTGCTATGTATGAAAAATAGAACTTCTTAGTCTCTCTTTGGCATCAACTAAGCTTTGAGAACCCTTAGTTGAACCCTCAGTACAATTATTGCCCGCTTTTGTATTCTGCGACTTATAATTCATTAGGTCCCATTAGCCTAAAGTTTGGGCGTGACTGCATGACAACTCATTCGGAAGGCAGTTGATTAACAGGGATAATCTCTCAGAGTGATACATAAAATTAATCAAGGAACAAACACCGGATATAGAAGAATTAGAGACTGAGACGTAGATGAAAGCTCACGAATAAAGTGGCCACTGACGTGAAAATAAAAAAAAAAGAAAAGTTACGTATCGAATAATAATACTTACCACTTCATGAAACTGTTTTGATTTGGTTTTATTCTCAACGAGCTTCTGTAGATCTTTCGTAAAATCCACCTTGGATAGGATTTAACGATGTCGTCAACTAAAAACACTTGGTCAATCAAGGCTCGTAAACTAGCTGTCCTCTGAATAGACTCAATATCTCCAACTGCTAAACCAACCTATGATTATGGAACACAACTTTCGTTAACTTATGGATGATAATAACAGCAACTGCCCGATCGACGTAGCAACCATGCCCGGTGCCCGGGTTCACCTCCTCATTGGAACGTTAGGAGACTACAGCTTGAACAAACTCGCTGAACGAAGGGTACCAGGAGTCTTGGATCACAATAGCTACTTCTTTAATGTACCACTGCCTTACTCTTACAACATTTACTAACCCTAACTGCTACTCCAACTTCAACTTCCACTACTATAGAGACATCGAATTCTAGAATGTATCAACAAGAACCGCAAATATATCTTTCTCCAGGTAGAGAAAACCACGTCTTATCAATGACTAACGATACTCTGCTCAGCTCGCCATACAACTAAAGATCGTTTTTTGATGTATGTCAAGCAACTGGTGGCCTGTAATATAGTGACATAGGGAATTGATATCTTACATACCAGCAAGTTGACGAGCACAACACTACCTAATAATATGAACGCTAAGAACAGACAGAAGGTAAGTGTTGGCAAAGGAACATATGGAATGTTTGTTCCAGGCACTGCCTCGTTGTCCACAGCTTTGTTAACCAACATATTTGAGTAGTCTAACTCACCAACCATTGTGACGTGGATCTTTGCAAAAGCGTACCAGAAAGATGAGAAATTACCCTAAGAGAGAAATAAACCCAAAACCTATAAGGCATGCAATTCCATTCATAAGAAGTACTCTTTATATTTATAAGCAAGCAATTTTTGTCAGCTATAAAAATGATATAAAATTTGAAACACCAGAAAATTATACTGTATCGCGAACGATTCTGCTATTTTATACCGATGGATCTTCATGCACTTAACATTCACATAGAAGTTCACATTTCAGTTCCAGTCACAAACTAATGCCCCGAATTGATCCGAACACGTCTTTTTAGAAATGAATACGAAAAGTTCCGTAATATCTGGGAAACCGTTCCCACCTGTTCTTTCAACAAGGCATAAAATACCAAGGTGAATCCAATCAGGGCAATCATAAATGTAAATTCAGTTCCAGTCACAAACTAATGCCCCGAATTGATCCGAACACGTCTTTTTCGAAACATCACTAGTTTTTACGGAAATGAATACGAAAAGTTCCGTAATATCTGGGAAACTGTTCCTACCTGTTCTTTCAACAAGGCATAAAATACCAAGGTGAATCCAATCAGGGCAATCATAAATGTGGACATCACTTTCAGAAATGTATAAAGAACTTCCACGTACATTGTGACGTACAAACCAAGTCCACCAAAGCGACGAAGAGATAATGTAAAATTGATGTAGCTTAGTAGAAGACCGAGTATACCTGCTATCCATTGAGTCTGTGTGCTGTATATAATTCTCTCAGTCATATGAGGAAGTATAAAAATCCAGACTAATACGTACATTACTAACTCTGACAAGTTTGTGATATCCCTAAAGTAAGAAAAACGCTGCCAAATGATTTGAATAACTTCCTTGATGAGCTGCACGATCAAAAACGCTAGTATAACATAAGCCACGGTCAGCTCAAACGACGAATTGATTTTAACATCTCCGTTGGCTGCTTTCTCAGAAGAGGTCAATGAAAAATTGAATTTGTTCCTCTCTTCGACAAAGAGATACGAGAACAGGATGACAAAAGCGGCCATTACAACACAGTTAATCAAGGTGACACACTTTCCCAAAATTAGCCATTTCCATCTCAACAACGCTTGAGTGACACTGTGATTGAGCAATTTTTCTCGTCGATCTTTTGCCATGCACGCTGGCCCGAAGTAACTGTGACAATCAGGCTCAGGATCCAAATGAACCAGGTTAAATGTAACAGAGAATTCTTCGTGAGACGGAGGGTGTGGACTGTAGGTAATGCACTTATCAAGAACAACTTCTGCCACATCTGGAAGTTTTTCGATCAGTTTTCTCATCGGCTGAACACCAACACATGGTGAGCATTGAAGCATCTCTTCCCACCTAAAAATTTATAACAATTCAATAGCTATTAAAACATTATGCAATTTCAACGTTTAACAACTAAGTAATCAAGGAATAGCATTGGTTCTTAATGGTCATTATATGATAAGATAAATCATACATGCATTTCAATTGGTTGTTGCCTATGACCTATTGGAGGACAGACGCATGGTTAGATTTCGTCACCATTAACTATATTTCGCTTTTTATGGCGTAAAACAAGTAGATTCAATGTTGCTGTGCGTTTGTCCAATAATAGATCTCAGACGACATCAAATTATGGTAAGAACATCGGTTACACACTGAGCTGCGCATCTTACGCCACGTTTTTGTTCTTACCACATATTGGCGTCATCTGTGATCTATTATTGGACAAACGCACGGAAACATGCAATCTATTTGTTACCTTTTTCCTGGTGGAATTCATGTTATCTCCACTATTTTCTTTTTCACTCATTAGAAGCTTCCTTATCCTATTAAAAATTTCTTTTTCACTGTAATGCCGGTAACACACTCATAAGAATAAATTGGCTATGAGCGAAAGTTCACAGCGCTAGCTGCTGCTCAGGTGAAATGGAGGGACGAACAAATATCACAGGAAAATATGTTCAAGTCAAACCTCGAAGCAAACCAAGCCAACAATGTGTGTCGTGCACTTCCTCCTTGCCCCGAACAATCCTTTAGGTGGCTGAAGACAATTTTCCCTTAAGTGAAGCTATGTATATACACCTAAATAGAACAAGAACATCAACTCCTCTTCTCCCCAGCTGATTTCAAGACCTAAAAATGTACCTTTCGTGTTTCATCAGTGTCATGGTCACATCTTTGGCTTCCCATTCAATAGCAGCATCAAGGCAAGTCATTTTTCTGTTATTTAGAGCCGTGACGTCAGCTCCTTGGTCCAAAAAGAAGTGGAGAATATCAAGGCGATTGTACCTGCAGGCTATGTGAAGAGGAGTGTTCCCATCTTCGTCTTTTTCCTCGAGCGTGCTTAACAAAAGGTAATTAAGTACAATCTTGACTGTTTTTAAAGAACCAGCCTTGACTGCCAAATGAAGAGCCGTGCGACCGTGTGTATCACTGGAAGTTACTTCAGCTCCTTTCAGGATCAATAGCTCACATGCCTCGCTGAAAATTATACATGAAGAATTAAGGAAACAAAATATGTTTGGATGCTGCACATGTACATCAAGTGTATTTTCAAGATTTGTGACAAAGCCTTGGTCACAGCGAAAGCCTTAGAGAGTTTTGCTAGAAAAACTGAAATAGCAGATTGCGTTTATAAAGTAGCCATCTTAAAAAAAGTCTAAATCTGATTGGTCCGAGTGAACAGCACTATAGCGCAACATACGAGTCTAGGCAAAGTCTCAAATGCACTTAATGTCGTAATACGCTTTGCGTGAGTGAGCACGTTGGAGTATTTTTTAAACAAAACATCATAAGGGGTACCCACGTGTGCTTGTTGCTGGCAGCTAAATGAAGAGGCGAACTTCCTTCCCTGTCTCTCTCATTTACAAGAAAAGGGCAAAGAGTGAGAACCCGCAAGCAATTAAGGGATCCACTTGCAGCGGCATCGTGAATAGGCAATTTCTCGTGTGCATCCCGCAGGCAAAAATATTCCTCCGTTTTCGGCGCCCTTTGAACGAGAATTTCCAGAATCTAAAGAGACAAAGAAAAAGTTTGTAAATTTATTCAGTTAGTTCCTGGAGGGCAAAGTATAAGTTGTTCGTTTCTTTTAATTTGCCAGAATGCGGGACTCGGTCGTCTCCGCTTTCAGGTTTCTTTGGGGTACAATGCTATTGCTATAGTGGAAATTGGTTAGGAAAGACCATATAACCCCTGAGTGGCTGACATCGCCGTTTCGTTGGGAAAGCTGCCATGTTACGGTAAGTACCTTTGGATCTTTCAGAACAGCTGCCAAATGAAACACCGTCTTCAAGTCTTTTTCCCTGCATCTTATCAATTTGTCTCCGTCCCTTTCTAATAATAGCTTCACCATTTCCGGCTTATTGAAGATTACTGCCAAATGAAGGCAACTATTCAATGAAGAGTCCACTGCGGTTATATCCGCTCCGCAGTCCAACAAAGCTTTCACAGAGTGGCATGCTCCATGGCTCACTGCCAACAGCAGAGGCGTCATCGATAACTGGTCTTTGGTCTCTAGATCTGCTCCATTCTCCACAAGTAGCTCGACTATTCGAACGTGATTAAATGTTGCAGCACTAAATTTTCATCAAAAAACAAGAAAAATGTGTTAATCATTAAAAATTGTGGTTGATAGTACACCGAAGTTATCATAAATGAGCTCCGCAGCCAGAAAGAAAATTGTTGAAGAGACGCTCAACCGAATTATTGGCAATTTGAAAAGAGGAAGAAGAAGTAAAGAATCAAAAAAAGACTTACTCAAAAAAGGATTAAACAATGTTTTTTATTCTTTACTATGCAATGTCAGAGATGATTTTCACAGAATATTATGCAATTCTGTCCTATCAACAGAAAATCACCTTATTTTCTCTTGGTCCTAAATACAAAATTCTCCTCAATAGTAACTGGAGACGAAAAGGCAAATGCTGTAAACTCAAAATCAATCCATTCTATATGTGAACATTCGTTTCCATGTTCCCATTCAGATTGACTCTCAGGCCAGAAGGCATTTAACTTACACAGTCATGCTGTGATTAGACTTCGTGCTTTGTCGACTACCCTCAATCTTAAATTTACACTCTGTTGCATGAAACTGGTAATCCATGCAGGGTAAAGAAAAAGTATTAGAAACTTTCCACAAATATCCCAAATTAGCTACCTGTGCAATGGTGTCCTTATATTACTATCCCTTGCATCAACGACGACTACTCCGTACAAGATGAGGAGTTCAACCAACTCCACAAAGCCGCATTTGGCTGCATGATGAAGTGGGGACATGTTCTCCGACCAATTATGCGAATCATGATCCGCTCCGTGACGCAAAAAAAGTTCAGCTACATTCACATTTCCTCTCATGCACGCAACATGAAAGGCTGTTGATCCTTCTTTGTTTCTTGTATTGATATATTCGCTTACAGAGGAGAGCGTCTTGGAAGCTTTTACAAAACAAACAAACAAAAAAGAAACAATTGACAATTTCTATTTTAAACCTAAGTTAATTAATACTCTACGTTTCGTATAGCAAGAAACTTTTTCATGATAACCGACTAGGTATTTCTCGAAGAAATAATACTATAAAGTCATGATATTTCTCATGGGGTTATGTTGAATTTTGGTGTGTAGCGCATTTCACAAAGTCTCTGACAATCCTAAGTTGCTATTATAGATAGCATTTGGGTACACTTCAAATTCTCCTGGACGATATATAAACACCACCCGTTCCAAATATATCGATTACTGAACACACTATTCGCAAAAGAGATCCAGAAGAGAAGTCGTTTCGGAAACAGCTTTCCAATCATTTAGCGATACAATTCTCAGTACTCTATATTCGCTGTGATCTCAGTACCGCATTTCAGACCTATAACCCTATGAGCTACCTTATAGCGGCGCACACTTTGAAAAACATGTCCGTGAAGTATTCCCTCGTACAAGTTGACTTGCCAATACTGAAAATAGTATCGTGTGATTCTCTTGTTTTAAACGAGTCCTCGAAACCAACACGAACCATAACAAATGGTTCATGTACGTCAGGGAGAACGAACAATTACCTGCGTTGATAAGAAGCTTGCAATTATATTCATCCCCATTCCAAGCCGCAAAATGAAGTGGAGTATTTTTAGTTACCTTCGAAATGTAGGTAACATCGGCACCATGTTTTAAGATCAGTTCACATGTGGCTCGATCTCCGCCAAAGCAGGCCATGTGCAAAGGCGAAACATGTCCGTAGTTTATAGTGGTAGCTTTTATTCTGGAATCATTCAGCAGTAGAATACAAATCTCCGTGAAACCCCTTCTGGCAGCTTCGTGAAGTGGTGAAATCGGAAAAGACTCATTTCCTATAAGAGGATTAGCTCCTCTTTCAAGAAGAAACTTAACCACCTCTGATCTGTTAAATCTGCAAACGAAACAACGATACAAAGTTCTACTTTAAATTCAACATATTTATTTCCAGCATTGTTCGATTCACGAAGCCAAGGTGCCTGTTTGCTTGTTGAGCAAAACTTATGTCGCTTAAATTTGGATCAATCTTTACTTATAAAACGAGTGGGACTGCACAATTATCCTCTTATAAAACGTATTAAATTGCAACATGAAATGTAATAAAGGATTGCCTTTGTTTTCACTTTTCTCCTATTCGGTTATTAGTGTAAAAAAGGCTAAGATTTAAATCAAAGGAGAAGAAAGAGAAAGAATATTCCGCGCTATCTAGATTGAGAATCTCTCTATGTGGAGTTATTAAAATGTACGACTGATGAACTGACTTGTGTATACCTTGCAGCAGTGATAAGAGGCGTCGATCCAGTTCTGTCAGCAAGATTGATATCTGCGCCGCTTTCTAATAAAGAGGCTAATGCCCCAACATCATTAATGCGAACAGCTCGATGAATTGGGGCCACTCCTTCCCGATTCAATGTGTTCACATTTACCTTGGCTGCAAAATTCTCGTTCGAGAAGTAAATAAAACTATTCATGGTCGGCCTATATACTTCAACATTAGGAACCAGGATGCGAGTTCCATCAACGTCACCAGGATTGTAGTTGATTAGTTCCACAGAATCGTTGTCGAACCAAGGATCAACTTTGTTCAAAGATGCGTTGCTTCGTTGGGTGCCCCCAGACCTCAACCTTGCATTATCTATTGATAAGATTTACATAACATTTTATTTCATGATTTCAGCCTTTTACGGGAATAGGGTAAGGATGACCATGGGCTGCTGTCACGGGTGCTTTAATAAAAGTGAGCTCTTCACTCTGGCGAATGAGAGTCAAGTTTTCTGAGTTTGCTTTCGGCCCCATCCCTGAATCAAAGGGTTTTTTCAGGTTGGCAACCATGGTAAATTTGATTGAACTTGTGAGACCCGAATATAGAGGTGAACATTAAATTCATCTATAGACCATGGAAGAGTGAAAAAATATGTTTGCACGCCCGAAAATTTTGCAGATTAACAGAGATCACAATCACACGCGATTATAAACTCTCGCTATCGGCGTGCTCCTTCGTCCTCTTCGTTAGAGAACACTCGAGTGCACGATATTGCAACTTTTCTTCGAAAATATAGAAAAGCTGTCGCCATCAGAGCTACTTCATTATTCCCTGAAATGTCAGCTATCAAAAAACATGGGTATTATTTTGGTCCAATATTTACTTATTCTTCAACCATGACCGCTATCCTGTTCGATTCCCACTTAGCAACTTGCGGTTAAAAAATTAAAACCTCTCCAAGGGGAAACATAGATGGCCAAGGAAGGAGATGAAAGGTCAAAAAGACATCGAGTAACAGAGGAAAACTTAGCAGCTGAAAATTAACTCTTCTACTTACCATGCGCGATAAAAAACTCAATCTCTCTTATTCTTAAAAATTTGCCCAGAAAGAGACTAGTTCCTTTTGTTGCACAGTTTTTAATCCAATGTTTGGTAAAATTAGTGTATTTTGAATATTTTTTATTCTGAGCTGCTTCATTTAATATACGGCATTTCAAGCTGTTTCTGTAAACATTTACTGCAGGTGCTGTAAACGTTATCAAATAAGCGATAAATCCTCTCCGAATGAGACTTTTATGACAAAATAATTAAATTAATTTACATATCAGAACATCAGATCGCACAATCCACAATGAAAAAGTCAGAGGAATATTTCCAACGAACGTAAAAATTAACAAGATTTATTTTCGCAAAGAATTATGCTTTTTCTGGCCACTGTTACTGGTGAGAAGAAGGTAAGCAATCTTCACAGAGAGAATATCTGTGTCACACAAGCACTGCTAGTGAACAAATCATTCTTTACCAAAATAATTAAAAAGAGAATGGGGACTCATTTTGCTCTAAAAGTACGCATGCGACTTTTGTGATGATTTACCAGTATTATGAAGCGATATGATTGTATTGCTTTCTGAATTTAATGAAAGAGCGTCATTTCAATCTGATATTATCACATTTGATGCATCTAACAAGTTCAACAGGGAAAGACAGAACACTGAGCTAGTTGTGTTACAGACATCGAGAGCAGTCGGGATCGATGCTTCTCAACTCCTTTCCTGTAACCTTAACAATCCCGGCTTGATCTCGGGATATCAACATCTGAAATCATCGGAGCTTTTAATTAGATTCTAAGTAGTTCAGGTTTCTTCTGATTAAAAGTTTTGAAAGTAAATTGACTTATAATGCCTTTTTACTCATAAATAACCTGTTCTGTCTTCTCATTTATTCGGTAGTTGATTATTTCATAACACTACTTCTTCGTTTTAAATAAGTTAGTGAGTCCTAACCTAGCCGAAACAATCAGCAGCAATGATCGCGTTTTCGTGACAAAACCGCATGCAATCATAAAAACGCACGTACTTCCCACGCAAGAATATAGGAGCATGTAAAGCAACTTTCGAACAATTTAGTCTCCATTTCTCATTTGGTAAATAATAAAAAGGACTGGATCAAATCTTCAACTTGGATTGGAATAGTAGCTCTGCCACATCTTCGTTAACTAAACTAAGAAAGCATTTGTATCTGTGTCATAATAAACAACCAATTCTCCGCACTCTAACCTGAGGAAAGCATCGTTTCTTTGTCACAGTAAACAATCAATATAGGTAAGAAAAGGGGTAGGTATCAAACCTTTTCCACTTTGTCCCCCAACAACTCGATATGTCGACATTAGATTGCTCATGATGATGATGAAGGTCGGCGAACGTGATCGCCAACAACACTTTCTGACGTTACACGATCAGCGCCAAATCCGAAACACGTCCGAAGATGCAGATGAAGTCATATTAATTACAGATGACTAGTTTCACAACAGTTGCTTTGGTAAATAGCACGAAATGGAGGCGGTGGATGGGAAAAAAGCAAACAGCTTGGCATACTTGTCCTTCAACGAAACGTGTTATTGTAATGATTTATTATGCTCTTGATAATACAAAATTGGCATTATCACAGCTCTTTTAACTGATTGCACTGTTCTTCGTTCAGCGGCGGAAATCGTACTCCAATTTTTACCAAACAGGTGAATCAACGACACTGAAATGGATAGTGACATTTGTTAATTTTTTCCTAATTAACGAAAGATTATGCGGAGAGATAAATCGATAAATAAATCAAGGGTTTTCTGAGCCTAACTGGTTGCTTCTCCTGTCGTAAAGGAAGGAAGTTAGTCAAAGCAACTGATATTTCAATATTACTTTTTAGAGCAATTACCGTTTTAAGAGTTCTAAAATGACGCTTGAATTTCATGATCACCAGCCTGACACGAACGACAGTTTTTCTTCGGCCTTTCTGTTTTGTTTTGTTTTTTCTTGTTTTTATTATTTTTTTAATTCATACACTTATAAATATACGGCGATGGTGAAACGTTTCCTATGTGAACTGTACAAATATCTGAGAAAATCGCGTTGAATTTAATGTTCCTACTACGCAACATTTATTAGAAGCGAGACCAGACAAATTTCGAAAAATTAAAACGTAACACGCGCCACTAAATTTTTTTTTTCTTTTTTTCATGAAAGACTCTCCAGAAGAATCTGATATTGCCGACAGCAATTTCTAAAGTAGGCATACTCAGGATCTCATTGTGTCACCCTGGAACGGAGAGTGATATCCTATCTTACATCAGTGGTCTCTAAAAAGAGAGGGATGTGCCCTAGGGCCGATTTTATCACAGGCTACACCGTCTTGAACAAAAATTTGAGCGTTTCTATTTTTTTTCTCCCTTTCAAGAACTGAAGTAAATATATCGCAAGATGAATTCAAATGTGAATTAGTTCAGTTTTCTCAGATAATTCACCCGACGACGTCAATCATTTGATTCACTAATCTTTAATTACCAGAAAATATATTAAAACTGATTCTGACATTGTAATTACAAACATTGTCGTGGCATGCAAACATGGCTAGCAAAAGGGGAATTGTTCGCTTGTTGAGCAAAACTTATGTCGCTTAAATTTGGATCAATCTTTACTTATAAAACGAGTGGGACTGCACAATTATCCTCTGACTGGGAAATGCATTCTGAACGACATAATGCGTCCTTCTTCGTATTTGAATTTGTCCGGATAAAATTGGCATTTACTTAACATGCGTTTAGTTATTCATTTATCCCCAGTTTATTAGCTATGGCTGTGAGTACTTTGCTTTGAGCATCTACAGTGGCTTGAAGTCTCTTCATTTGTTCTTCTTGCCTTTCGATCCTCTGCCGATCATACTCATCCAAGTCACCTTCATCTTCGTTTTGGCTGGATTCGTTCTTGCCAATGATATCCAGGAAATCTTCATTTGAGAGACCCGTACCAGAAAAAACAAATCTGAAAGAAAAGCAGAATTTGTGACTCTTCTTTTTTTCACGATAGCACTGTATATATGACACGTTTTTCGGGTAATTACTAAATCATAAGAGCATTTCCCCTTTGCAAATGATTCTCCTTGAATAAAGGCGGCCGCCTTTGTTTCTTGCATTTGTATTAAAAATTAGGAAATTCAGAAGGCCGTTTCAAGAGTCATTCTGTGGAAGCTTTCAACTTTCAACTCCACAAGAGAAATCCACACAATTCAAATCTGCATTTTAAGAGCGGGCTTTGAGTAGTTCACCAACACGATCTGAGTACGTTTTAATGCAAAACATACCTCTTAACAGTCGTGTTCTGATTCAGTTTGAACTCAAGGTATTCTTTGTAAGTTAGTCTTAACATCCACGTCGGATATCTCTTTCGTATACTGTCCACTAACAAAGCTTGATCTATCAAATTTCGCAGAGTTGCTGTCTTCTGAATAGAGTCTATGTCCCCAACGGCCAGACCGACCTAACATAGTAACAGTAATTAGAGCGCTTCTCAGTTGAATGTTGCAAAGCCAAAGTTAACTACTAAAGAGGTCAATAAAAAAACCGAAAATTCGAGAAGAAGTCAGTAAGAACACAAGGTAAATCATGTATTCCTATAAGTCTGACACTAGTGAACAGGTAAGGCCCTCAATTGGAGAATTCCGTTAAGGACTCACCAAAGTAAAACTATCACTGAGGCTACTCAGGAGAAAAACAAATTTAAAAGGGGCCTATACACAAAGTAAATCATTAAACTAAGGTAGTGTGAAAGACACTCGTGTATGTTTAAGGGGCCTTGTAATGAACTATATAGCCTAGTTCCCCGGGTCGGAATTAAGATGAATAACATACAAGTCGGCTTTGGGTATTTGTAACCTTTCTTTTTTTCTTTTGATCGCACCATCGAGTATGGAGCTAATTATGGGTACAGTGACTCACCAGGAGATTCATAAGGACGATGGAGACTGACAACACGAACAGTATGAACAAGATATACGACAGCACCGGCAGAGGAACGTACAGGTTACTCGTGCCCGGGACTTTGGCGCTGTTCACCACGTTGTCAGACAGAATGTCAGTATAGTCCACTTCGCCCAACAACATAACAAATATTTTCGCCATAGAAACCCAAACAGATGAAAAGGTATCCTGAAAAGAAAGGCAACGTAAGCGCACACAGTGACCAAGATATCTAATAAACTGTAAGTTGTGATCAACCCTCGACGTAAAGGTAATGAGAATTTAAATTCTATTGAAGTTTCAACCGCAGACCTGAATGAGCCGGTAACAACTCATCCAATGCTATTAATGGAAACTATTTTGGCAAAAATAAACAGGATCTAATTTTAGAAAAAGGTTCATCAAAGGGTCCTCCAGCAAAAATAAAATGAATAACGAAATTTTGCAACAGTTGGCGGATCCTCCATATTTATGGTCGGTGGTTCTTATTGTGCATGCTAGTAATCAACATTGCACAACGTTAGCTTCAAAAAATTAACATCTTACCTCTTCTTTTAAAAGAACGTAGAAGACCAATGTATATCCCAAGAGCAAGACGGCAAAGATGAGGATCACCCTCACAAATGTCTGCAGTACCTCGATGTACATGGTTATGTACAACGATAAAGAAGTTATGCGACGTAGAGAGAGACACCAATTGCTGTAGCATAGCAACAAGGCTAACGTTCCGAAAGTCCACTGCACGCGAACGTCGCCATACAGCTCTTGGTTGGTCAAATAAGGTAGAATAAAGATCAAAGTGCTCAAATACATGCTTAGGTCTACCAAATTTGTGTAATCCTTAAAGTATTCAAGACGCTGCCAAAATATCTGAAATATCTCTTTTAACAAGGATATAATCAAGAACGCAAAGATAACACCTGGAAGGCTCTTGGAATCCTCGCCAGCCTCGGTTACTGCATTGCCACTTGAAAAGTTCACTTTGTCTCTTTGCTGGACGATGAACACGGAAAAAACTATAAGAAATGCGATGAAAACTGCGAAGTTAAAATAGCTAACATACTTTCCTAGAACAAGCCATTTCCACTTTAAAAGCGTCTGCGTCACACAATGATCTAAGAGACTCTCTCGACGATACTTTGCCATGGAAGCTGGACCGAAAAAGTAATGATGACCTGTTGGATCAGCAGCCGGATCCAAAGGAAGGAAATTGAAAGAGACCGTAAAATCGGGATGATTAGTTGGCAGGTCGCTGTAGTTGATGCACTGATCCAAAACAATCTCTGCTACTCCTGGAAGCTTTTCTATCAGTTTTTCCATGGGTGTAATTTGATCCTCAGGAGTGTTGCACAAAACCTCCTTCCATCTAGAAAATAAACGTCAAAAAACAATGAGAGAACATCGAACTCTAACGCAATGAAATGCCGAGGAACTTATGAAAACAATTCTATGTTACAAGGTTTTGTTTTGACAGCGTTCCAGTATGACAGCGAGAGCTTCACTTTCGAAAATCACTTGGGAAAAGTTTTCCTTACCAATTGCAAATATACGCCGTAAACCGGTTGTGGAATTCATAAAAAAGGGTATACAATCCTAACAAAAAGAAAGCCCAATTAATTCATTGCATCTATTTTCAAGAAATCAAGTTTATGTTTCATTTTTAAGTGAAGAAAGGATCAAGTTAGGAAAGCGAATTCCTTAAGACGCGTAGTTAGTAAGACTTCTTTAATAGATCAATCCTGTTTTGGAGATCTTTTGAAAATAATTTTGGCTATGCACCAAATTTATTCTATCAGGGAGAGAGCCGGGTACAAGAAACATTAGACCTCACACGTTAATCCAAAAGATAACCTAAGAGAGATAAGCTTAGAATAAGGTTTATATGAAGGATTACGTCTCATCGAGCCAACCGTAGTGGACCAAACGTTCTAACCATACTTAACCTTTTATGCCTGACGAGTGTTTCTGCCACTTCAACTGCATTCCACTCGATAGCCTCGTCGAGACAAGTCATATTCTTGCTATTTCGAGCCGTGACATCAGCTCCTTGGTCCAAAAGAAAATTTAAAATTTCGACACGATTATGCATTCCTGCCACATGAAGGGGTGTGTTTTGATCTTTATCTTTAACCTCAAGTGTATTTGGCAACATAGGACTCAACAACAGTCGGACAGTTTCCAATGAGCCAACCTTGACGGCTAGATGAAGTGGAGTACACTGTTGGTTGTCAAGTGCGGTTACGTCACTTCCTTTAGACATCAAAACAACACAAGTTTCTCTAGAAAACAAAAAATTGGTGGACAGTGCCGCTCATTCACTTAATTATTTCGTCACAAGGAGATGGAGATGTCATTAATTATTACGGGGAATGGAGGAAGGGAAAGGTACTGTTTGCATATTCACAGTTTTGGTGTTAAAAGGTAAGGCTTTGTACATTTTGCCAAAAAATAATACGTGGACTCTTGACAGGGAATAATTTTAGACATGGATCCTAAACGAGCCTTGTATTGTGGATCGCAGAGGACCCTGTGGGTGTAATACACTTCAGTGATTGCTCCGAAACAACTGCAAATTCTCGGGGAGTGTGTAATCTCACATTTTGACGAGCCCTACTTCTTTTTAGAGAAATGATGAAAAAAAATTCAAAAAAGCAAAAACAAAAACAGAAACTTACAAGTGCTTGTTCAAAGCAGCGAGATGGAGCGGACTCATTCCGTCCTTATCTCTGTCGTTTCCATAAATGAAAAGCGCCTTGCAACTCATCAGAGAGTGAACACATTCCAGTGAACCATTTTCTGCCGCAATGTGTAATGGAATTCTTTCATTCAAGTCCCTTTGGCTCAACCAGAAGTCGTCTCGCAGAACGATATCAAGAATCTGTTGAGGGGGAAACAAAGGTAAGTTTATATTGATAACAGACAGTACGCATTCGTAGTACCAATTCCGTGGAAAGCATCGAAGACCCTCTGATTGGCTCATCAAACTCTGAATATCTTTTGAGAAACGCCCACGGGATTTGTACCCAGAAATATTGTAGTCTTTGCTGGAATTAATGAGATTTTTGAGCTCGTCGTTACGCAGTAGTTTTTAACTATCTCATGAGGCGACTCTCTTTCCGTTTAGTTAATCAAAGAGGAAGATGGAGAGGGGTTGAAGTTTGAAGAAAAAGAGTGAGAAAGAGCTTAAATGCGTGAAGAGAGTCTCAACTTAATAGTTTAGTCATTGAGAGACTGGTACGTGTTTACACAAGCTAATAGACAGCTTTTGCGTACTCAACGCCTTTCCTGACAACGTACCTAAGAAGGATTGAAACTTCCGGGACACGAGATTCCCACAATTGGACTCAGTAGGCTGTTTTCTTATCATGAGCTCGATTACTTGATCTCATCACCTACAAGATCGTGGCCACCAATTCTTCTCACAGGCAAGAACTGCAAAAGAAGATCCAACTCACCTCTTTTTGCTCGAGAGAAGCTGCAATATGCACGAAAGTTTGAAGCTCGTTATTCCTCAGCTTCATCAGATTTTCTTTTCCTTCAGTAACCAGCAGCATTTTAACAATCTCTAGCTGTTTGCGTTTTACGCCTAAATGAAGACAACTGTTGTGACCGGAATCGACAGCCATAACGTTTGCTCCTTGATTGAGCAGCAGCTCTGCTGTGTCCTTAGCTCCATGAACAACAGCACCCAAAAATGGTGTCATGTCCATCATATCTTTAGCCTCTTTATCGGCTCCACTATCCAACAAGATTTTGACTATATTCACTTGATTAAACGCAGCAGCCCTAGCACGAAACAGAAATATCATGATTTTACTACATTGATTCCGAAAACGATTACTGTGAGAAATGATCACCGACTAATCGAATGACATCTACTTTTTGAAATTTTTGAAAATTGCCAAGCCGCTCTATGTAGTTCGGCCATTTTTATATTGACCTCGATTTTCTAATTATGCTGCTTACCTGTGAAATCTCTATCCATTCAAGATATGTATGTTCAAGATATTTCTGTAAAAAGAAGCTACCCCATTTATAAACCAGATAGCAATTAATCCGCTGCTCAACCCCACCACAATTTCTACATCGACCCATTTATGGGATGGATAGTTGCTTATAAGATAGTGCAAAATGTCATCCAACCTTTGAGCATGATATGGTCGATTGTCGTTTACAACTTCTAAGACGGAGGTGTAAATTTGCCGTAGAGGTTTAACCGTACGGGCCACCTTTGGCTTCAACACTTATGACATGTTCTTACCTATGAAGAGGCGTCTGCAAATGTCCATCTTTACTAGAAATGTCGGCACCACAAGTAAGTAACAGCTTTGTTATTTCCTCGTGGCCATACATTGCAGTGAGATGGAGAGGAGTGCTGAAGTTCACTCCGGTAACTGCTTCATAATCCGCTCCATAACGCAGTAATAATTCCGCGACTTTAGAAGCTCCCTTTCGACAACATACGTGCAAGGCTGTGCTGTCCTCAACATCTTTAGCATTCAAAAAGTCTCTCACAGACGGGCATTTCTTCTTAGCTGCAACAGAGAACAATTTTTTTAAATGGAGAACGATTTATGAATACACTTCAAATTTCATCTGACGATGGTATCTGTATTCATATCGGTTACACATGGAATTAAGACATCATCTCACTTATGTAAGGTAAAGTTGCATTCAACTCTTTCTTGAGTTTTTTCATGACAACATTTCGGATTCTGTCGTGTCGTCCTAACAAAATGTGATAAACATTTATATGTACCTGTGGAGATGAGCAGTTCACAAACGTCTTCGTTTGAGTTGAAAGCCACAAAATGAAGTGCAGTCGTCAGGTTACCAGTTTTTGCAAATAAATCAGCTCCATACTGCAAGAGCATTTCACAAAGCGAACGGTCACCGCCACCACTCGCGCCATGGAAAGGCGTAAATTTTGCTGAGTTAGCACAGTTTACTTCAGTCCTGGAATCCTTCAGGAGAAGGGCTGCGATTTCATTGTACCCTCGCCGAGAAGCGAAAAGCAGTGGCGTCTCGTTTTCTTCGTCAGGTATTGAAGGGTCTGCGCCTTTTTGAAGTAGAATTCTTACAACCTCGGTGCAATTATTTCTGGAAAATAAATTAAGATGTAAACTTATGTGGTATACTAGTTGGAATGCAATGTTAAGGATAAAATTTCAAGTAAAGGAATAATCATGAATGGTACATATATTAGAAGTAGACTAATGATGATTTGGACGGATTGAGCTCGGAGACTACTTACTAAGTCTACTGAGATGAGTAGAAAAAGTTATTTTTGAATGCCCAGAACACGTTGTAGCTTTCTCTTTTCTGAGGAAACAGAGATGAGACGCCTACGATAGTTTTTCAGAAGAGCGTTTTAATTCCGAGTGACTCAAAACTTGCTACAAATAAGTTCGGATCAGCCAAGATCTATAAAAAGGAAGACATCTTCCTCAAACATAAGAAACGTTCCTGAAACATTGAAAGGCTTTGGCGACAAGCAACGACGTAGGCAGCAATCGGGATGCATTCAGCAACATGCACCTCAAGAAATATCATAACCTGCCGAGAAGTTATATTTGGAAAGTTTCATTTTGAAAGGGGCGTAATAGAAGACAGAGATAATTAACCTCTATTGCTAATTAGAACAAGGGCAGGTGACAGCTTTGATACATGGGTTGCCATGCAGAGTGCTTGGGGCTTGGGTTCCAAGATATCCACGTTGTGACAAGGCAGGAGATTTATTTACTGGGCGTATTCATTTAGGGCTCCAAAAGAGCTCATTTATATTCGATTTGGTGTGTTAGGTTTTTTTTTTCAGAATATCGATAGCGTATGTAACCGAGATCGTGGCAAATATGACGTTGGTAAGAATATCTTCTAATGTATCTTGACTTTTTGGTGGTTCGTTCAAACAGTATTTGTCAACTTACACGATTCCTTGAGAGTTAAGAGCCTTTGTCTGACCATTGTTTCGGATTAGCACCCATCTTTATTATTCGACTATTCCACTCCGTAGGAAATCAAACACCGAAAACAATTTGCATATTGGCCTCTATTCACAAACACACAGTCGGCTTCCGACGACGAAGGAAGGCCAAGCATAGATAATGGTTTTATCAAAACAGAAAAGAAAAATAAAAATCAGATTTTTCTAAACTCAGAAAGGTTTTTACAGATAACATCGATTCTTTTGCTTATAATAACTAGATCATACCTGACGGCGATATTGAGTGCAGTGAGCCCGTTATTTCCAAGTACGTCGATTTCAACTCCCCTGTTTAATAGCCAGATGACCTCATCAACTTTATTGCATCGTGAAGCATGGTGAAGCAACGTAAAACCCTCGTTATCCTCGGCACTCAGTAATTCCCTGTCTATAGCTCCAGTTTCTGCCTCCTTTAGTTTAATGGCATCGAAGATGCTGGCGCCTTTACCACGAGACAGCATTTTCAGGGCTCCGTGACAAAGTCGCTCCCCTTTCGAATTCTCGTTTGGTAAAAGTATTTTATCCAGCTCCAACGAGTGATCAGGGTCCTTCATGGTGATATTCAGGGGCGTCACCGTATTTCTATTAGATGTATTTCGTTCTAAATGGACTGCTGGACTTCCTGAAATTAAGAGAAATAATGCTGAAGTTACACATTCAAAAGTACAACAAAAATACGACGGAGTCGACGTCACAATTTTGCAGTCTCGTTCTTAAAGTTATCGTTAATTCATCTGGATTGATATTAATTAAATTCTACCCTAAATATATCAAGTTTGGAGCCACTCTATAGCTCCTTGCACAAAGGAAGGTCACTTTGCTCTCGCATCCACAATGAAGCAATGTTCCCCCTCCTGCCGGTCGGAAAATTAAATCATAGCGCAAGAGGTGCAAGTAAATCCCTTTGTCGCTTTCTTACGCTTGAATCCGCTAAGAAAACATCAAAGTTCAGACTCTTGCTGGTCTTAGGTAGATTATAGAATACATTGTCTTTTTGTTCTAGTGGACGCATTTATTAAGTTACGGTTGATTAATTCTGCGTAATTTTCACACATTTTACATTCACTGATTGATTGTAATTACACGCGTTCACATGCACGTGCTAACCGCGTTAAAGCAATTCTTCAAAAGAGGACGAGTCACGCGTGCTAAATGCACGTGTAATGCTGTATTACATGTGAGGGGTACTGTGCTGCTGTCCAGTGAGACGGGTGTTGAAGGCTCAGGTCGAATCCAAAATTTCAAACCTTTTCCTAACGCTATGGTTCGATAGGTAACACAACTTAATGGCCACGACAACAAATGAGTTTCACATAACTCAAATTTGAGTGAACTTCTTCAGCCATAGCTGAGCAATCAGTGATGCTTACGGAGCAAAACGATCGAGGCTCTGGGAACGAGCTAGTCAGTTTACTCTAGATTTTAATGACTAACTCACATGGTTATGCCAATTTGGAGATCCAATTAAACAAATTCAGCAGTAACAACTCTCTTTTTCGAAGGCCACTCTTTTTTGAAGTTCACTTATCTATTTGTTGGCTAAGTTCTCCTGATATTGCCTCTACGTGTACTTCAGAAACAAGGGGTTGTTCATGACAAACAAGGACTTCATCCTCCTCTAGGGTCATGCTACTAATACTCATCTTAAAATCTGAAGGCCACCTCAATTTCAAATGGCATGGGGTCGTTCAGTTAGCCTGTTCTACTTAGGTCGTTTGAACCAAAACAGCAACACAAGTGATTTCATTTTAAAGCTCACATTGATATAAGAACGTATAAAAACTTTTACAGAGGAATCGAAAGAGTGGCAAGACAAGGTCACAAAAGTTAAGGCAGCCTGCGGGCTTGTAAATTGTGAGAAGAGGCCTTATCAATAAATGGGTCCTTAATAGGTCAATCACTCAAGTGAAATGAGAGGACTATATAGAGCAAGCCTATGTGTAGCCGTACCCTCCCCCCCTCCGTTTCTCCTTTGGGGGGGGGGAAGGCACGACTTCACTTAAGCCAATATAAAACATGTGTTTGAGGTGGTGGGTAGGCGACGCATGTGTCGCGTAATCACAGTTAGAGCACTAGAGAAAAATGTTTTTCGTCTTGTCACCAGCGTGGGGCAAAGAAAAAAATTACCATCTTTCTTATTCCATTCACTAGAGTTGTTACCTTTTCCATCTGCGAATCTCACATAATCTCGTTCTGTTAGTTTTAAATCATCCGCCATATTTGACGAGTGCACTCAAGGTGAATCGATAATCACCTGCAGTAGTCTGCCAAAGGAAACCACATATCCTACAAAACAACGATCAAATTGTGTGATGAAATCGAACAGTGCGTGAATTAGGTTCTTTACTACTGAATGCTTTACACGGGTAGAAACTGAGCGGTTTCTTTACGTCACGATGACTTACAAACATAAATAATCACCAGGTCACAAGGACTGTTGATAATCATAGTGACCGGCACAAAATTTGGCAAGATTTTCGCACAGCCCCATACTTCATTACGATTACAGTTCTCTGACCAAAACAAAACAACTTAACAGAATCAACATATTACCTTTGGGACTACAGCTTTGTTTTATAACAGTGTAGAAAATTCTCCCAAATTTAAGAACGCTCAGTGTAATGTGGAAGTCACGAACGAAAAAAAAAATCCGATGTTTACGACGGGTCGCTTAAAAACTTTGAGAAAAATAAAAATAAAATAATTTCTTACATTGGAAATTATCAACAGCAACGATTAACAAAATTAACATCTCAATATTCACACAAAGAAACAAGTATGAATCGACTCAGTGTCGGCAACTGATACATTTCGGCCGACCGACGATCAAAAAGTGACTTTAAATCTATGCCAAATAAGAGAAGAACTGTTACTTCCATTTAAAATCTACAAAATGAGCCTTGTTTTGGGATATTTTTCTCAACAACATCCTTAATTACTTCACTAACCTCAAACGACTAAAGAGTTGTCATCATGATCATCGATTTTTCCGCACTTTGTCGCTCTATCCAAGCGAGCGTTCCTTCAAATTCCCCGTCTCCTTCTCAAAAGTGCCACTAAAACTACCCTGAATTTTTGTTTTCATCTAAACATCTGAGAGAGTCTTCCGTTACTTTGAGAAGCATCGACACTTGCTCGTTGTGTGACATTCACTTGATCGATTACATGCAAACGATCGATTGTCGCTAGGCAACAGGAGACTCAATACAAACAAAGCTTAGCTGACATAGACACGACTATCATTTCGCCTTTTTTCCGACCAAACCTCAGGGGAATTATAAGGATTAACGAATAAAACATGGTTTTAATGCAATCTGATGTATGTGTAAGTAACACTACAACATTATGAAAATTGCACCAATAATATTTGAAATTCGAGCCATTTCGATAACGTACTCTGAAACAATTCCTTCACTGTTTTCAGGCAAAATCAGGACAAAACAACTTGATTGAAGGCATCAAGCGACGTAACTAGGGTATTTATTTCAACTCTTTAACCCCTAAGATTGACAAGCATTTAATTTCTCCTAACAACATCACCCCTGAATCAAAGATTATTCACGCGAGAATAAAGGAAATGATCACAAACTGAAGCTCTTGATTGTCAAACTAATTTTTCTTGCCAGCTCCTAAAGACATGTATAGTGAACAGTATGGAGAATATGTAAATCGATGTCAGGGCGTAGAGGGTTAAGGCTATTTCGTGAATCTCTGATGTAAACTTTGGAGATTAGAGGTGATCAAATAGATCAGAAACAAGACAAATGTTGAGCGCCGCCACAAAATAAGGAAAGATGTCTTGTCACAAATCTGGGGCAATTAGAAAATTTGATGTTCAGACCTAGGAATTCGTCTCGCGTCTGAGAATTAAGAATTCAGGGAGAATCAAAGTCAGAGATTTTGCTTGTTCCACGCTCGTGACGAGACGAATTTTGTTTTTCCTTCTGCGTGCGCCACCATCGCAGTGCAGTGCGACCTGGCATTTACCCTGTGTGATGTAATTGGCCGTTGCCATTAGTTTTTTTACGGAGCGTTCCAACAACGTGGAACGGATTGCTCCAAAAGAATACTAAGAAGGCCAGGAAACAAGAATCCTCTCCTACTCTCCTAACGTTTAGCAATGAAGTCGGCAGAGGTTTTTCTAGTTTTGATTGAAGAAAAGTCGATCGTGACCTGATGCTCAAAGCAAACATTTCTTCTGACGTTACAATTCACAGCGGTACTTGTCGCTTGATATGCAAATAGATCGGTGTCGAAAGCTCTATGATAACAGATTGCAATTAAAGTTAAGTAAAGGTGTCAGAACTTTTCAGTAAACTTTCAATAACGCTCTCCAGTGTTAAGTCATCAGCAAGAATTATGCAAATGTATTACCAGCTGCTTCAAAACATCACAGATGAAATTAGAAAATCGAAAATTGGGGTGTTATTATAAGCACGGATATCCAGTCGCTTCCCTTAATAATTCCGTCGCTTGAACTTCTCATCTGGTGCACCAATATCATTCTTCGCAGCATTTCTCTGCTTTGAGCGGCGATGAGTCGCATTGATTTTATGCCCTCGCCAGTTTTAAATCCTTCCATTGTCAACGCCGAAACGCAGAATGGTCATACGTATGAGATGCAATCGATACAATGCGGAGAGACTAATTTGTTCGAAGCTGCGGCTGACGGGCGCATGGCTTATGTGAAAGCCTACTTTTCATCAACTACAAACAAAGCGGACATTTTGGATCATAATGGCCAAGGTGCTCTTCATCACGCAGCGAGAATGAACCGAGTTGAGGTTGTAGAGTTTATGCTGAAAGCAGGCGCTAATGTTGATGTTCTCAATCGAGAGGGTCTAACTCCTCTTCATGTCGCAGCCAGGTAATCGATGAACGAGAGAAAAATGCTTCTTTATCATGTCATTTGACACCAACTTAAGTCAAACCTTGCTGGCCAGGAAGATCCCTAACTTTCTATGACGTATTCTGCATCGGAACTAGATATACAGTTTTAAGTTCGGAGAAAGTTTAGTTCGCCGCACTGCGTTTGTTCACTGTGTGTTTTTTAATACGCAATACTAATGTTTGCTTTCAGGTTAACTGTTTGCCTTTCGTGGGACTGTAATCCTTTCGATTGCTGATGCTAATACATCACCCAGAAACAGATGAAATCGTATTAGGACGAATCATAATTTTTGCAGCCTTTTCTTTTTCGTCGTCTAAGTCTGTTTACAGGTACCAGAGTCTGAGTAATTTCGCCCCGAAACATGTTTTCATTGCATATGAAATTTTGCATAAATTATTCATCACACTGAATTCGAAACAAAAGAAACTTTGGGGTAAATCGCTGATATTTGTGTTTGATGGTTGGGTGGCCCTTGAAAAAAAGAAAAAGGCCAAACAACTGCTGATGTTAATTCGGCGTGAGATCTCAAGGGATTCCCATTCCGATCTCAACTGTTACGGGTAAAAGTGACTACGAAATTTGCTTCGGTAACGATCAGCGGCTTTTAATATGGGTCATGTTAGTACAGTTATCTAATTAACACTCTTACAAGGCTTCTTGTTTACCTCGTTGAATCGCGTACGGGAAAACAATAGCTTTTAGAACGAAATGGCTTGCAACTTCATAGATCATCAATCAATTTTATTTTAATCCAGCTCACCAAATCAACCAACAACTCCCTTGCTTTACCCAGCTTTTTGTAAAGATTTCCACCTTTTTTTTTTTTTTTTTGCCACAGCTGAATATTAAACACATTTTCTTCAGGTCGAATTCCCTGGAAGCCCTTAACTGTTTGCTGAAGAAGGGAGCGAAACTAAACTTCGTTAGCACATCAAGAGGCTGCACTCCTCTTCACATTGCGGTAGAATTCGGCAACAGACAGACCGTTCAGCGCCTACTAAACGAAAAGAGCCTGGAAATTGACGCAAAAAACGGACAAGAAGTAACTGCCCTACACATCGCCATCAGTCGTGGATATGAGGGTATATGTAGAGATCTTCTCCACAACGGTGCAAGTGTTAGTATATCTACCAAAGAGGGTAACTCATGTCTCCATCTGGCAGCAAGTGCTGCCAACTCAGATATTTTTTCTGCAGTTATTCAAGCAGGTATGTGAAGAAGCCCCTTGAAACAAAGTGTTGAAAGTATTGGTTGAATACTTGAATAATTTTCCAGAAAAAAAGGTTTGCGCCAACTAGTGAACTGTAAGACAAAAAAACTCTTCTTGTAAACTGAGAAGGGGCGATTTTTCAATGCTATGGTACACTAACTAAAAATTAACAGCTCTTTAGAAGTAAATTTATAACTGATTATCAAATAATATAAATATTAACAAGAAAGGAACTCCAATTCCTCTTCCTGAGGGCTATCAGATATCTTAGAGTCAATGATTTAGTCTTGTGAGTCGATTTCCAACATCAGCGTCTGCAGACGAAAAGTAGAGGGGTAAGAAGTATATCAGTAAACGAGTGTAATAGGCATTTAATACTAGTAAAACCCAGCTGTTTTAATAATCTCTTATTAAATCATATTTCAGCTATGGTGGACATTACAAATTACCCAGCTTACGCTATGCAACCAACCAGAGATGTACCAGAATTTGGCCAGATTATCAATCAAACAAACGGAGACAAGAACACAGCGCTTCATATCGCTGTCCAAACAGGTCACGTTTCCATTTGTAGCACCCTCCTACAGCACGGTGCAGATCCCAACTTGCAAAACAGATACCATAAGACCCCCCTGCATTTGGCTTCTATCAGAAAAAGAAAAGAGATTGTGGAATCCCTCATCCGGCGAGGAGCGCAATTAAACATAAAGGATCAGAAGCAGAGAACACCTTTACACAGGTGGGTTGCAACCTCCAGTGGTAAGATAAATAACTTAAGCCTATGATCTTGGGAAGAGCATTACCGAGAACATTTAGCCGAGAACTTGAAACACGTTCTCCATCCTAGTCTCGAGGGCAGGAGACCACGGCAAAGCTCAAAGGTGCAGGGAAGTAAAAAAATTCTTTTATCTTTTTTGGAATAATAATCTGCCATGCGAAAGATTACATTTAGCAAAAGTTAAAGACCGACTGAGTACGTACATTGAACTGCACGACACGGAATAGGTTATAGCAGAGAGAAAAAAAACTGATATCTGACAAGCACTGTCGATTTTTATTGCAAAAGTACACTTCACGCGAAACTGTTCCTCAAACTATCTTTATAGTGCAGCGTCGTTCGGAAGTGAAGACGGCATCGATCTTCTACTCAAGAGCTTCGCATCCAGAGATCCGAAAGATGATGAAGGAATGACGCCCTTTCTTTGCGCTGTAGCTGCTGGTCATACCAGATGTGCCGAGTTACTCCTGGAGTGTGGTGCAAATATCACCGTTCGTGACAAATACCAGCGATGCTGTATTCACTTTGCCATAGAAAACGACAAAGAAGAGGTCTTAGCCATGTTGCTGCAAAGACCAGAGTGTGAACTCATTAATGCCCCTGATATTCATGAAAGGACGCCATTGCATTGTGCTGCTTTATCGGCTAATATAAGGGTAATTTCAATTGTGTGATTATGTGGTTACGTATGCAGCTTGAAAGCGTGCCTCTTAGGAAATAGGGAAATAAAATCAAAAAAGAAAACGCACAAACAAATGCACAGTTGAGATGGTTACATTCGCAACCGAATGAGTTTTCAAAAGCGCAGTGAAATCTTCAGTGAGCAATTGGAAAGCCATAAAAATCTGTATTTGCTGTTCCAACTCACTTAAAAAATCAAGAACTAAACGTAGGCAACGTAAGAACACCTTACTTATTATCTGGGATTCTCCTTTTCACGATGGATAGTCTTATTTTTTAATTCTTTGCCCTAAGCACATTGTGCCGTCCATGGTTTGTTGAGTCTCTTCTCTCATTTTTCTTTTCTGTGTTTTTCTTGAACTTTTCAGTTGTTAGACATTTTATTGGGAAGGAAGGCGAACAGTCTCCTCACAAATGGTGCTGGTAAAACTGCCCTGCACATGGCAGCTGAAACCGGAAGAGTTCGTCATGTTGAAACTTTGGTCAAGAATTCTTGCGCCAGTGTTGACCAAAAGGATCCCGAAGGACGGACACCATTACATCTCGCAGCATTGAATGGAAATGAGTATGGACTTGTCATTCGCTTCAAATGTGTTATTTAGGGCATGGAAGTCACATTAAGACAGATGATTATTTTCACTCGGCGAAGCAATAAATACTTAAACGTGGTACTTAGGCCTGTGTTAACAAATTTACAATTTACAAATAGTAGTATCTGAGCACACGTTACAATAACATTTCCTTGTTTCTATTATTTTGGAAAACCACCATGGCCATAAGGCAAACTGAACGTATGATATCCATTTTCTGCTTAAGGAAAATCTGCTTAACCCTCTTGCGCATGGGCGCACAAGTCGACAGCGTTGACGTCAATGACTCCACTCCTCTTCTACTCGCTGCAAAGACAGGTACAGGTAGCATAATCCAACTGTTCCTTGAAAAGAACGCCAACATAGACCACCAAGACAAAACTGGAAGCACTGCACTCCTGATTGCGTCCACAAGAGGGCACGTCGATGTTGTAAAAATGCTTTTGAGTAGACAAGCAAGCTTAAAATCGAACGAAAACGGCCTCAACTGCCTCGATGTGGCCATAGATAACCAGCAAAGTGACGTTGTTATGACTATAATAAAAAATTCGAGGTAAGTACCACAGTAAGTTGTTATGAGCCCATCAACAAAGCAAAATAGAATATTGCAGAGAGTTAGGGGAATGACTGAATTTACCCTAAGAATTGCCTCACGTTTACTCCTTGCGTTAATGACTGACACGTTCAGCGTACACGCGATATTTCTACCGCTCTGTTTTAATTGTCAAAGTAGAGCAGAGTAATGAAGTTCTTAATGGATACAACGAAGAAAATTCCTTTCATCTCCAGATGGAGAGAGGTTTTGTCTGCGAAGAGCTCTGATGGTCAGAACAGAATGGGCAAGCTAATTCAAAGGTTCCCGGATTCTGCCAAATCTGTACTGGATCGCTGTATTCAAAGGTCTACAACCAGTCGATCCATCACATACGATTTCAGCCTTCTCGATCCAGGTCCTGACGATAGCAGTGGACCCAGTGGGAGGCCGTTCTTTGGTCTTGCGGTCATGGTAGAGTACAAACAGAAAGATCTTCTGGTTCACGATGTTTCCAGAAAACTCCTCCGGATCAAGTGGCGTGTCTATGGATGGTTTGTTTACTGGACGAACCTTATCCTTTTTTCCATATTTCTTGGGCTTTTGACATATTTTATGTTACATGAACGGGGCAATGTTGTGCTCAAACCTAAAAGTAGTTACGTCGACGACGAAGAAGAGGCCGTTTTCCGAAGGAATGAGACTAACGTGTTCAAACACTTAGTTGAGTTCCTTATTCTGATTTTTGCATCTTTTCATCTCTTAAAAGAGCTGTATCAAATCTATGTTCAGCGGCTAGAGTATTTCAAACAAGTGACAAACTTGATGGAGTGGGTCCTTTATCTGTCGACAATAATATTCATTCTTCCTTACATATTTGAGAGTCTAACAAGTCTTCGAAGTTATCCGAACCTCACCTGGCAGTTAGGAACACTTGCTGTATTTCTGGGCTACGTAAATCTTATTTTGTTCGTTCAAACTCTGGACTATGTTGGTATTTACGTGACAATGTTTTTCCAAGTGGCAACCACTGTGGGTAAAGCCATCAGCCTTTTGGCCTTGTTTTCTGTTGCTTTTTCGGTGGTGTTCTTCATTTTATTCAGGGAACAGGTAATGACAAATGCTATATTTTAAATTTTAATTCATTGTTTAGGTTCCGGGTGAAATAGGAAATAGGGCTGGTTAGGACAACTACGAAATGAGTTTGACGTCCTTTCCTCCAGGAGCCTTTCGAAGGTCATGCTTTCCCTTCATAACCCTTCTCCGTTTCCAGCTTTCGCGGCAGTTTTGCCAAACGCGTAGCTTGTCCCTAGTTTATTGATATTCAAAGTATTGACGCACGTACTGTATACTAATTATAAGCCTGCCATTCGTCGTATTTGGCCAATGTAATGGCATTTATCCAAGCGGTGGTTGGTGCTAGAATCAAGTTCATTAACCATCATGATTCCAATCTGTTATTTTAACTTTTATTCTGTTTTGGCTTTTCCAGGAAACGTTTGAAACATTTGGCTTAACGTTAATGAAAGTGGTTGTAATGACTATTGGTGAGCTCGATTATACCTCAATGATCGTGGACAATTTTAACGTCTCCTCGGACTCCGGGGCGCCTTTAGTGCCTTACCGAGAATCTTCTCTCATCTTCCTATCCGTCTTCATATTTGCTATACCCATCGTTCTCATGAACCTTCTGGTAAGTGAGTTTTAAATATAAATATTCAGCTTACGGGCAACTGAAATGTTTGACGTATGGACCGATTGTAACGATGTCTACGCTTTATATGACCGCGAGCCAAATATAAATGTTGCCGTCTGGCCCAACCAAACACAGACAATAAGCATTATCATATGACCACTTCTAAATTGTTTCAATATGAAGCGATAGATGGGCGTATGCGGGAAAGCCACAAAATCGAATCTTCAGTAAAAACGGTTCTCGGCTTTTGTTTTTTCGAGTCAGAACAAGAAAGTAAGAATTCATCGAAAATGCAACTTTTTCTAATTCTGTTCTTTTTTTAACTTAAATTTTTGTACCAAGACCATGCGAGTGCACGGCTGGCAGCTTTTCCCGGACCGGCTCACGTCAACCCGTCCGGCTCTATACACGTCACATTTCACTTTGGTTTTCTATGGGATTGTAGGCACGGGGCCGTTCGGATCATATGATCATCCCGTTTAAGTAGTAGGAAGAGAGTAGGAGTATTTCCCCTCTTCCTGGATTGGATGCCAATCTATGGCTCGTTCAATGCCCGCCATTACCAATACCCATTTACACTCCTGAGTTGAGAGACATCGCGCGAGCGAAGTGTTTTGCATCAGAACTCAACACAGTGACTCAGACTCCGCAGCGGCTATTTAGAGGGAAATGGTTTACGTATTATCGCAATAGGAGCAGATCTACGGGTGACTCTTAGTTTGCAGTAATACAACTACAATACCTTTTCCTTACTTTCGCTTTAGTGACGGAAGACCTTTTGTGGTTGCAAATCGCGCCGCTTACTCCTCATTTTGATGATATTCTACTATGTGATAACGGCAAATAAAGGAAAATAGACAGAATAATGTCCTGCTTAATGAACCTTCTCCAACCTTAGGAACCTCATGTATTCATTTCCCGTGGTGTTTCACAGGTCGGTTTAGCTGTGGGTGACATAGAATCCGTGCAACGATATGCATATCTCAGAAACAAGGGAAAGTTCGTGGACTTCGTCTACGGGGTCGAAAGAAGATTTCCAAAATTCATCACGCGTTATTTTTACAAGCCTCAATTGGTGATAAGTGGTAGCTTCTTGGAAAAGAAGATCTCGTCACAGTATGTACAATACCATAACGACAATTCTTTTTAGAAAAAAACCTTTATCGATGGTTACTTTTGATTCACCTTTCTCTATTTAGTGTTATTTATGGGAAATGATAGAGTCTGAAGAAGTTTAGAACGTTTGAAACTAAGGAGAGAGACTTTTACTTTGTGAGAAAAGAAGTGAAAAAATACATTTTGACCATCATTCAATAGATCGGTGCTCGCGTATACATACATTTTGAAGCTCTTTTTTCATGAAAATCTAACAAAGTGAGAAGTGTAGAATATCTTCATGGATATCTAAAAGAGATATCACGTCATATCTTCAGGACGATATTGTTTTACTAACATTATGGATTATTCTTATCCACTCTCCCCTCACCTTTCTCCTATTTCCACTTCTTTTGCTCATGTGGCCTAATCAGACAATCGGCAAATCTCTACACAGGCAGAGGTGATAAATCGATGGCTAAGAGTATCTTCTATACAAAAGATTTGAAATTTTCCTCCTGAGTGCAAAATGTCAAAGTTTGTTTCTGCTTTACATTTTTAGGGAATACACCTTTGTCGTTGACCAAGATCTTGATGAAGATGAATATTATATGACAGCGGACCAGGTGGAGGAGCAAAAGCTAGAAATCCTCACCAAGGAACTGGCAAAGACCACTCAACGACAGCTGTCTATTATCGGAACAATTCAGGACCAGAGGAACCTTTTACTTGCATTAGCTACCAAAGCAGGAGTTGAAACTCGAGAACAAGACACTAGATAACTCTCAAGAGCGTTAATTAGATCGTTGATTGTACGAGGCAACGTATTACATAATAGCCACGGGTTCAAACATTGCAAAAGAATTTTTCATTTTATTTTTCTTTCAAACCTGGTTTGCCATGATTTTCATAGTTCTCTTGTTATAAATGTGCACGTGGCACCCCACATACGTTTTCCAAGGATGAAACGTTTCGCTATAATTGGAAATCATGTTCCAGAACGTTTTGCATGGTTGCCAAACATTTCCTATGAAAAAAGATCGATGAAACAGATATAACAAAGAACTTAACGATAAGCTGAACAATTGATTTAGACTCGATCATGCACAATGGTACATTCGGCTTCGACAAAATTGCGCTTCTTTTAAGGAGTTAAAATAACAAGTGGAGCGCTATTCAGTGTAGAAGGATGGAATCTTCATATTATTTAGTCCAAGATAAGTAAGTACGTATAAGGCCAAGAATGAAGCTATTAGGCAGTTCTATCGAGTAGCGGGGATTTTCTGTTGGGCACGTGTTAAATGTTTCTTAAACTGGCTTCTTATTTTATCTTCTGCCAGAGATCAAAAGTGAAATAAGCAATATCTCTCCTGAACTAAGGAATTAATACTGAATTCTATTCTGTAAGGAAAAAAAGTTTATCGTAGCTGCCGTTTCTATATATTTTTATTATTGAACAATGTACATTTTACTACTTTTTATCAGACACCGAGAAGCATTAACAAGCTCTTAAGTACAATTTTTGATGCGATGGACCTTGTTTCTTTTTTTTAATAAAGCACAGAGCGTTCTCTGGTTCTTTGTTGATGTTGTACTCCGACTTGCTATTTTCATGCATCCCTTGATAATCGGCTTAACTAGTTTCTCTCGTCCACTCATATATTCAGTGCCGCTTGTGAATGAATTGTCCCCTTGGAGTTGGAAGAACTTTAGAAATATTTTCACATTTAAAAGTTGTCTAGGGAATAAAGAGAGTTACGATCTAAATTTCAGTGGAATGAAGATTAATTTTACTGACGGAACCCCCCTCATTAGTAATCATTATTGCCTCTACGCTCAGTACCGTGAGAGGATTAACCAGTTGAACCCAATCAGCTAGTTTGTGCATTTTGCGCAATGTAAGTGTTTTTGCTCGTTGTGCCTGATATTTCCTTATTGATCATCATTATTGCCTCTACGTTTGTTACCGTGAGAGGATCAAAATCAAGGGTGGGACAATCTCTGAAAATTTTATTTATTCCAAGGAACCCAAAGTTCAAATTCGTGGCGACACTCTCATTAAACACCTCTGGACAGATGGGGTGTTCATGAAGAATTTCATACACGAGGGAAAAGTAGAACTTAAGATTAGTATAGAGGTTAACCGTCAGCCATTTCAGCATCTCAATGCTTTAGTACTGCTGAGAGGAGAGATGGGAGTATTAATCAAAAGGTAAACAAGCAAATGTTAATTTGGAGAGCAGGTTAACCAGAGCAGTCTGAGATCCCATTGTTAAGAATCGCTGAGATCAGTCTTGAATGCATTATATAACGCCATACACTTATTGACAATTCATAGCATGCAATTTCTCAGCAGAATTTAATTGCATGTTACTGTTATGGAAATCATTTTTGGTTATAGACAGAAATGAATGACTTAAAAAAAAGGCAAACCCTCAAAAGCGGAGTTGCATATTCGACACCTTAATTGCCTTTGCACGTGAATAAAAAGTTGTAGTTCTTTTTTCTCCCTTTGCCTTTCTTCCGCGATAATAGCAATTGTAAAAATATGCAAGTCTTAATTCTGCACTGAAACGACTTGAAATAATGAAACCACACTTGAAGAAAATGTGGTCAGCACAGGATGCAGCGACTTCCCCTTAAGAGCCGAAGTAACTAGAAAGCATTAATCCTCTTGCAAGCTCAGTATTCGCAACAGGAGGAAGTTTTGGACTACTAACAAGTATTTGGTACTTGTGTTTAAAGTTTAAATGCATTTCACCTTTACACCTTCTCCTCATCTGTCTTGTCCCAGTCACGATGAAGCAGACTCGCCGACTGAACCTCGTTTTGAGAGGAGAGTGTTTCCTTGCAAAGTGAACGATCTATACAAGGCCATAGCTAAAGGACAAGTTGATGAAATGAAAAGCTATTTATCATCGACGGAGAACAAAGCGGATATCTTGGATCAGAATGGTGATACTGCTCTCCACCACGCGGCAAGAATGAACCGAGTTGAAGTCATCGATTTCCTGATAAAAGCTGGAGCCAGTGTCGATGTTTATAGCAGGGATGGACTTACTCCATTGCATGAAGCTGCAAGGTAAATATGGACACACCAGTAATTTTCAATGGTTTTTAATAAATTTAACGCTTTTCCTCTAATTTCATATATAATGGAGAAAGTTTCTCAAAAATAAGCTTAGCACCAACGGTATTTATGTTGAGTTATTGCGAAAAAGTCCGCCAAATTTAACTTGGACAACATTCTTCGTGTTAGAAGAATGCAATTGTTGCAACTTTATCCATAAAAAAATGATGATTTAAATTGACTTCACATTCCAATTTGATTTGAATTCATCTTAAATCTAGTTCTTGTTACAATCATCGGCATTTTGAATAGAGAATAATACATGGGCGCGCCCAGATATGGTATTTCTCTTCTTAGTCAACTCGCAAGCTCGCGATTGAGCGCAGCAAACGAGTGAGATGTCGCCGGTTGAACACGAGAAGATAAATGCCATATCTACAAGCAAACATGTATTATTTTGTTTATTATATAAACACAATAGCCCTTTACTTACAAGAAAAATCGACTTAATTGATGAATGAAAATAAAAGGATCGACAATCCCCGAATAAAATCGTAGAGTGCGTGGGCGCCAAGGCTCAAGAACAACAATAGGTGTAATTATCATTAATTCTCAGTTACTGACTTTGTCCTTACCGACAGAAGAAATTTTTCAGGTACACAGCAAAATTCGGCCTGTGTCAAATCTTCCAGTTGTAGGTTTTTGTTCTCAGCCGCAAGAAATGCCAGCACCAAAGCCACTGAATACATATCTTTCGGTTTTCCTTTTCGTAATTTGGTTTCCTTCCTCTTCTAGGAAAGTTTGAACGTCACTGTCTTTAAGCGATATGAATTTTCAGTGTTTTAGCAGCCATAAGAGAAAATTCGGACAAACGATTATGGATTGAAAATGGTGAAGACTTTGCCGTTCATTTATCATCGTGACTGAGTAGAGCAAAAGGCGAGTGACGTCAGTCAGCAGCTGATTTCCGATATCAAACACACATGAAAAATTATCGTATTTGTTCACTTGTGTCGTTACTGCTTTTCTCAGGGCTGGAAATTCTTGTTTAACACCACAGTTTATATGATAAATTTCGTCATAACACTGAACTCTCGCACAGATATAGAACTTTCTGTGAACCGCGATATAAAGTTTTTGCGTCAGCCATTTCGTTTTTTATCATTGTTATCTTGCTAAAAGATTTTAGCTGTATGCAAAGAGAGGGAGACATCCTTTTCATTCGATTTGATTCTACCGAAGGTAAAAATGCATATCATTGCCGGCTCAGTAATACCCAGCGGTGGGCCTATGTTCGCTCCGTCGGAACACTGTTTCAAAATACGTCAGTAACCAAATGGAATAGAATACCAAGCAAGTCGATCATTACCGATAACAACTTTTTGGAGAAAAAACCAGATGGCTATGTGAAAACTGCAGAAGACGAATCCAACTCAGAATTCGGAGAAACAAAAACCGATTGAATTATGGAGTAGAGAATTTGAACCTTGAATCTTCGAATGTCAAATTTTGTATTCTAAACCATTAGCTATGCCCGGATATTTTCCGATAAAAACCTATTAGAAAATATCTGCAATATTTCCGATGGCTCTTTTTTTTTATTTGCCGTATCCTCATCATTTTTTTAAGGGCAAGTCCTAATCTACAGTAGGATTTTGATGTCTGCGATGTTTCTAACAGGTATAATTCATTGGAAGCCTTTGACAATTTGTTGAAAAAAGGAGCCAAACCAAACAATGAATCTACAAATAGAGGTTATTCTCCTCTTCACTTTGCTACCCAATACGGTAATAGAGAGATCATCAAACGACTGCTCTATGTAAAAACTTTGAAAATTAACGCAACTAACCGGGACGGATTGGCTGCTCTTCATTTGGCCATTAATCATGGATACGAGGACATCTGTAGCGATCTCATTGCCAAAGGGGCCAGTATCTACATAATTACGAGAGACGGGCAGACGTGTCTTCATTTAGCAGCAGATGTTGGCATCGTGAGTATTCTTTCTGTGGTCATTCAAACTGGTAAGTATGAAAGGTTCGTTCATCCATCAGCAGAAATATCACTGATTTCTCGCACGGACGGACTGTATCGGTTGGTCAAACTGCTTTTATGAGAAGATGATACATCAACGTAGATCGCACGAAAATAGATTGACACAGCACAGAATGATCGACCAGCCGTCTTGAATGAGATTTTACTAATAGTTATTATGTAGATGGTTTGTAACCAGGAGTAACAGTCGAGAAATTGTCTGGGAGGGGTCATTCCTGAAAAGGGATTACTGTTGATGACAGTGGCTTACGTCTGGACGATCTGAGCTACCTTCATCTGGACGATCGCGATGCACACACAAAAAGCCCTGCCACTGACGGACTGTCTTATCGATTGATTGACTGACTGTGCGCTAGCTGGTCGGCTGGCTGGCTGACTGACTTAATGACTGAACGACCGACTGACTGACTGTCTCGCCAATCAATTGTCTGTCTCCCATGGTGACTAAATCAAATGACGATGGTATTTAATTCATCTTATTTTAACAAAACGCTCCAAAGCTTCAAAATTATATAAAGCTTATAATAGGGTTTGATGCTTTCAGCTCTCACGAACATCTGCCAGTACCCTGTAGATGCTATGTGGTCTGGCAAGGACTTCCCAGAATTTGATCAGTTGGTCAATAGAAAAGACAAAGACCATAACTCTGCTCTTCACCTAGCTGTTCAGACAGGTCACTTATCTGCATGTCGAATACTTTTGCAACATAATGCAAATGTCAACTTACAAAACAAGCATCAACAAACGCCTTTGCACGTGGCTTCTATGGGTAAAAACAAAGATATCTTGGAATTACTTATCAAACAAGGAGCTCAAACGGATCAAAAAGACTACAAACAAAGAACTCCTCTACACAGGTAAGAATGCAACAGAACACCTATTTACCTTTTGCCCTCAGACCTCTTGGATTTGTACTAGGTGAACAACACCTGAACCTTAACACTGGTTTGCAAAGAAGTTGTTTTCGGCATCCAAGGAAAGATTTTCGAAAAATTCTGCTTAATTTACATCAACCACCTTTCTTAGTATTTGTTTGCTAACCAATTTTGTTCCATGTTATGGATATAGGCAAAATAAAGCTCTCAGTTTGTTCTTTGGGTGGGAAGAATGATACCTTTTGAAATTTGGCGGATTATTCCGGTAGCTTCCCTGAAAATCAAAGAGACTTATGGAAAGCACAAACAAAATGATTCAAATGGCTAAAAAATATTTTATTCATTAAAACTGTGTTTGTCTAAACTTACTTTTTAACACTAAGCTAAGAAATTATTTATTACAATATTAGGACTAAATGCTTACATCGTTTCTTTCTGAACCATTTTGTCTTTTTCTGTTGTTGCTCATGTGGATTTAGTGCGGCATCAATCGGAAACCCAGAATGTATCAAAGTCCTTCTCAACAACTGCTTTACTCCAGATCCCAAAGATTTAGAGGGTATGACGCCTCTCTTATGTGCTGTAGCAGCTGGTCACACAAATTGTGCCAAGCTGCTCTTTGAGTACGGTGCGAATATCGCAGCTAGTGATAAGAATCAGCGTGGAAGCATTCATCTCGCTGTAGAAAATGAAAAAGCAGAAATGTTGAAAATGCTACTGGAAAGATCGGGATCACAATGTATAAATATTTCGGACATACAGGAAAGGACAGCTCTTCACTACGCCGCTTCCTCTACAAAGTTAAAGGTACAGGCAATACTAAAATTTGACTTTCGTCCTTATTTGTTGAGCTTAAAGTGGGTTTGGTCAGACAGTTGACTTGAACAAAATCATCATATCCTTTATTTGCAGCTTCTGGAGATTTTGTTAGAAAAGAAAGCGAACTGCTTACTCAAGGATCGTGCTGGCATAATTCCACTACATACTGCAGCAAAGTTTGGAAAGGACCGCCATGTTGAAGCTTTAGCCAAAGCCTCTTTTGCCTGTGTTGATCAAAAAGATTCAGAAGGAAGAACGCCTCTTCATTTTGCAGCATTGAATGGAAAAGGGTGAGGCTTAGTCAGGTCCTGAACGTATCCCCAGTACCGGTACATATCATAGTTTGGTACATGTAAATCCTTTAGACGAGTGGAGATCATAATAAGCCTTAATTTGATAGAGTTTTGTGCCTTTTTCGCGAACTTCGCATAATACATTTTGAGAGTAATTTATACGTAAACCAAGTTTAATACAGTTCCTGTGTTGTTACGAAGGAGAAATAGCCGTTTAGCCGCATTGTTTTGCAATTAAGGTGTCCATTTTTGCAGGAAAACATGTTCAATCCTTCTCCAAATGGGAGCTGAAGTTGACGTTTCAGACGCTTATGGCTGGACACCTTTAATGTTTGCAGCCAAAACGGGTGCCTCTGATTTAATTCGAATGTTTCTTGAGCTGGATGCTGATATAAATCAAGAAGACAAAAGTGGTAACACTGCGCTTCTGCTTGCTTCTGCCAGTGGTCACGTAGCCGCCGTGAGGATTCTTTTGAACAATCGGGCGATCTTGAAACCAAACATAAGCGGTCTTAACTGCCTCGAGGTGGCCATAGAGAATCAACAAGGAGATGTTGTCATGGAAATGATTAAGAATGCAAGGTAAATTTTTGATTTAGAGGTCTAGGGTTAAAATTCATATCGACCTAAAAGCATTCTCTAGTTAGATTATGATTAATGAAGAAACTTGAATCGGAAAGAGAAAGCCTTCGATTTTTTTCTAAAGAAATTGTTTTCACTCAATACCAGATGGAGAGAGGTCCTATCAGCCAATAGCCCAGATGGTCAAAATAGGATGGGAAAACTCATTCAGCGGTTCCCTGATGCTGCTAAATTGATCATGGATCGATGCGTCCAGCGGTCTCTCAGCCAACGATTCATCAGGTATGATTTCAGCCTTTTGGATCCAGGTCCTGATGATACAAGCGGACCAAATGGGGAGCGTTTCTTTGGTCTAAAGGTCATGGTGGAACACAAAGAAAAGGAACTCCTGGTACATGAGCTTTGCAGAAAACTTCTCAAGATAAAGTGGCGCAGATATGGATGGTTTGTTTATTGGACAAACCTTATCTTGTTTTTCTTGTACCTCTTCTCCTTGACGTACTTCATGGTGACAAAGCGTAAAGCGGTGATCCTAAAGCGGAAACATGATAAAGATGATCCCGACGACGATGACATGTTCACGAACAAGGAGGCATTGAATCAAGTTATTCCTTTCCTCGTACTGGTATTTGCGTCATTTCATTTGGCCAAAGAACTCTATCAGATTGTCCTTCAACGAATGGAATATTTCCAACAACTGACCAACTTGGTGGAATGGGTGCTTTATATAGCAAGCATAGTTTTTATTCTGCCATACGTCTCGTCCAGCTTTTCAAGTCTTCAAGGAAACCCTAGGATAACCTGGCAGATAGGGACAGTCGCTGTGTTCTTGGGCTACATGAACCTGATATTGTTTGTTCAGACTTTGGACTATGTCGGCATCTACGTGACAATGTTTTTTCGAGTGGCTATCACGGTGCTCAAAGCCATCAGTCTTTTCTTCCTGTTCACCTTGGCTTTTTCGGTGGTTTTCTACATATTGTTCAGGGAGCAAGTACGTATCTTGAGCTCTCTTTCCTAGGTCCTCTGTATTCTGAATGATTTCTCCTGCGGAACAAAGATATTCGCTTGCGATGCTGTAGACAATGCCAAAAATACAGTTTTATCTTTGTCCCTCTGATTAACTATGTACATATTTCATCGTAATTCTCGTATCGACCATTTAATCAGCCGGACAAGGCTTGCGACAAATGTACAAATTGTGTGGGTCTAAAAAAAAGCCCGGGTAGGGCGTGATATTTTTGTTTTGTTTTTTGTTTTTTTGTTTTGATTACACTTCTTGACTGATTTTGAAGAGATTTCTTCGTTTTAGAATGCCTTTGACACATTTTTCGTGACGCTGGTGAAAGTGATAGTCATGACCATCGGTGAATTGGATTATACCACTTTGTTAGTGGACAACTTGGAGGCCACCAATCCAGAGACCAAAGCACCTCTCGTGCCTTATCGTGAATCATCCTTCGTATTTCTCTGCCTCTTCATCTTTGCCATGCCCATTATCCTTATGAATCTTTTGGTAAGTAATTGTGACGACTAACTTGTAAGTGGCAAGACACACTGAACGTCATTCAAGCGGCTGTCGGACTAACCCTCCTTTCTCTTTCTTGGGGAAAATGTACGTAAAAATTAGTTTTACGACTGCTTGAAAGTGAAACTCTGAAGGAATCTATAGTTTCAAATCACTGAAATAGCACCTGAACGTGTATAAAGCTTAAAACGTTTACGTGGGAGGATGTGCCTGGACCCACCTTAATGGTATGAACCCGCAGGTATTATGGTACAACTCATCCAGGGGAATGTTTGGGCCTCCTAAGTCCATAATTCGCTCCAAAAGCCTATACGATAGGTAAATAACCGCCGTTAACTTCCATCCACCGCGTTTAAAGGATCTTTTAAGTCATCCACGTGCTTCGTACGCGTGGAGGTGCTTGGTAAAATGTTGGTCCTTTCATGGTCGTGAAAAAATGATGTCAGGCTTAAGTATCGATTCCAAAATACCTTTTACTGACTGTACTGCTCTCTTTGGCGTGAACTCGCGAGAATTTTTACTCTTTCAGTTACTACCTTTTTTGTTCTTTTTCTCAGGTCGGTTTAGCTGTGGGAGACATAGAATCTGTGCAAAAGTATGCGTTTCTGAGAAACAAGGGAAAATTCGTAGACTTCGTGGTTGGAGTTGAAAGAAATTTACCAAAATTTGTTACTCGGCGTTTACACAAGCCTGAGTTGGTCGTAACTGGACGATACGTGGACAGAAAAATTTCGTTAGGGTGAGTTTCTAGTTATTGGGGAGCAGATAAAGTATTTTGACTTTGACTTTTGCTCAGGCTTTTCGAACGAAAGGCTCATTCACCGTCAACCGTACTCGGAAGAACAGCTTTCGGCAAGACAACCACTATACACGATCAACTGCTACTCTTGAGTTCGAGCCAGAAACTTTTCCGTCGGATAAAACTAAAATTCCTTAAGATTTTTCTCTCACGAATAAAACTTACTTAACTTGTTGGTAGTGATGTGGGACGAAGCTGGCCCTCTCCCATTTTCAAAGTTTATTGAAAATTACCATGTTTTTCCATAAAGAGAACAGGTGACCAAAAAACAAACATGTAAAGCATTTCGAGACTACTCCTTTTGGTGGCCTTGCCTACGCGCGCTAAACCTAATGCAGTGTATGCTTTCATGATATTTTTTGTTCTACACTTCTCTTTTAAAAAGCGCAAATGAAATTGGATTTCAATGTTTTAGCTTTATGACCTCGTAATAACAGAGAAGTAGTTCTTCATATTGCTAGCAACTATTTCCAAAAAACTTTTCCAGTCATTAGATCAGAGACTTCCAGGTAAACTGTTTCAGAACGTGATTCACTTTTTAAATAAATTTGACGTCCTATTACTTCATTGTTAGGAAATATTCCTTTGAAGACGAAGACCTCAGTAATGAAGAACGAACAGCCGAGAACGAGGACGAACAGAGACTGGAAGCTCTTGCTAAGGAATTGATGAGGGCTAAGAGACGGCAACTGTCAATCATTGACGCCATACAGGATCAGAGAAGCGTTTTATCAGCTCTAGCTGTTAAAATTGGCCTAGATACCTGTGAGGAAGCTTAAAGATTCTTTCTTACTTAGTACAGGTTGACCACGAAGTTGATCTAAGTCATGTTCCTGCAGTAAAACCCTGAATTAAGGCCTCCCTTCTTGTAAGTTTCTTTAAAAAAAAAAAGAGCCCTTCATTTTGGCTAAAACTCGAAATAAAAGCTTAACTTCCTCGAAGTAGAAAGCGCCTGAGTAATAAGACAAATGGGATCGAAGCTTTGCATCAATTAAAACCATCTGGGTCAAATTTCATGCGATATTTTGGTCGGATACATACATACCGCTCAAGTTAATGATATTGGCATTTAACTCAACAAACGATTGTTTAAAGCGAATTTGACAATTCGTTCCATGCAAGGAGCGTGGGAAATTTTTGTATATCATATGTGCTTGACACTAGTGTGAAATGAATTGATTAAAAGAAGCAGTCATCACAGGAAACGTTTGCACCAAAAAACTTAATTTTTCATGAACTGACATGATAAATTTCAAATAACTTGTCGAGGAAATGTCAATTCCCACGGAAATCCTATGAAAACAAACGCTCCGCGACGGTTTGGACCAGACCGGCCAATAACAAATGGCTTCTTATTTTTGACTCTACAACATTTTTTTGTTAGCGCCGTATGATCGCGAAGGCTTGCCTGGCCACTTAGTCTTTCGTGATTTTTGTGAGTCCGGTTAAAGATTAATGATCATGTCCTCTATTCTCGTCACGTTCCTGATAGCGGCCAGAGGCTACCAGGCAAGGGCGTGAAACGAACGTTTCCCTCGACAATTGTCTTTCTCACTCTCTCTACTCTCCACTCCCCTCCCCTCTGATGCCTCTGATGACGCGGCAACCGGTTTTCTTTCACTTTTGTTGTTTCGTGATAAGCATTGATGGAAAAATTCGTCAAGCGTTGAGATCTTAACAAGTCTTGACCAAAAAACCGACATGCCTTTACGTTTGAGGGGAATACACTTAGTGCTGTATCTCTGTTAAATTGTACGTCCCCCCCCCCCCTCCTTTCAGCAATGGTTCCATTCTTTACAGCATCTTAAACGAGCGTCTGGGATGCATACTGTAACTTAACAGCGGTATCTTTCAATCCATACATGTATAATTGCATCTTGGCAAAAAAAAAAAATGCATATACAGTTTCAAATGACTGATTTCGGAAGTTTCCATGGAAATTATGAAGGTTGTACCATATGAAACATTTTGCTGAAGGGAGGCATGCATGTCTAATCGACGTAACTGACCGACGATAACCACATACACAGAGGGTACGTGACAGCTGTTTCACAGCTAGTCGTACATCGAAATGAGTTGAATATAATTGATTGAGCCGCAACCGAACCCATAATTGAAAGAATCAAACGCCTAATGCCACTCGCGGTTTTAAAGATCCTCAATAGTCAATTTGTTATTTAACTCCCAAATAATGATGGAAATGAAGCAGTTATCACGCGATTTCCTGAGCTGAAATATAAACTACGTCAGTTGACCTTGCGGGTCTTCTTGGTCGATCGCACTTCGTTTGCCTCAGGACCTCTCACAGGAGCTTATTGAGGACGTGTCCGCGCCTTCCTAAATCACACAGTGGTAAATTCAAGTACGCAGTGGTTTGCGTGATAAATTGAAAAATATAAACAAAACATATTCCGTCTTTGTTTTTGCATCCTTAGATACAATTGTTGTAACAAATTATGTTTGACCATTGAAGCGTACCGCGCAGCCTGAAAAACGTAAGACGTATTTACTTGCATGCTTAAATCACCGCTACATGTACATCTCTTAACAGCTGGAGAGGAACACGTAAACCGTTGGGCTTTTGTTCACTATGGCAGATGGAGATATGAGTGATACAGATTCCCACACAAATTCTAGAGTAAATCTTGGCGAATATCGAAGTCTTATTACGCGATTTCGACGTAGCCCGATGGTTCAACAGAAGACACCTCACTCGGGAGGACGACTTCAACTTCACGATGAATCCGTTCGCATGGGGATGAAAATGGTGCCCTTGCAAGATCGTAACGTCGCGTTTCATCGCGCTGTTGCTCATGGAAATTCGGAATACGTGAGAAAGATTTTGTCCGAGAAGAAGTACGATGTGAATGCCTTCGATGAATATGGATTCACAGCGCTCCATTACGCCGCCCAGCACAATAAAGTATTCATCCTCAACATGCTTCTGGATTTTGGCGCTGAAGCCTCTGTGACAGGTGTGGATGGCTCGACTGCCCTACATCTTGCCGCGAGGTGAGTCACGTACGCAGTGAACTTTAAACTAAACAAAACTTTTTTTTTTTTACCAAGGTCTGCCATATCAAGCCTTCTTCGCGAGAGTAGCCACTAATTGGACTTTTGTGCCTTTCGCTCTAATTTATGTTTGATTACGAGTGAAGGTGAACATAAATCACTTAGTCTTAGAATCAGTGAGATCTCTTGAGGTTAGATTTTTATAACCCTGATCCTTCACACGCACCAGAAGACACATATTTGGGACTAGAGTTGACATCTTGTAAAACTGCAACTGAGCTAATATAGTACGTCTTTCTGTTACTTTTTACCAACTCCAGGACATTTTATGCAAGCAAAATCATTCAGAAGCCTTTAATTCTTGTCACCTCCTCGGATAAATAAGGTTTTCTTTTTTTGCTTCCTAGCTAATGAAAAGAATTATTTATTCTTTAGTGGCAAAATTTGATCTCAAATACGATTTGACTCTTCACAAAATATCAACAGCTGCAGACCATAAACACAAGCGCTTTAATTGTTAACACTTCGAGGAAAAACAATAATCAAAAAAAAAAAAATTGTTTCGATATCGATCGCCGTTCTTTTAATGTAATGTAGAGTAGATTTTACTTATCCTACATCCAGAACTTTGAATAATGATTCCGTGTTGTTTATGAATAAATTAGACGAAAGAATCCAGCTGGGGTCACGGAAAGCTAATCTTGACCAGAGCGCCTCAATATATCTGATTGCTCTGAATTTTTAAAACTTTTTATCAATTGATTTAAAATGTTGAATCATCAAAAGCCGAAACAGAGTTTGAGTTGACATAATTTTCAAACAGAAATAACAAAGTATTAAAGAGCCACTAGTCTTTTTGAAAAATATTGAACCAGGAATAATGAACTCTGGAACAGAGGAATGCAGTAGTGTTCCCCAAGAGTCGACGAGGCGCTAGTTTCTAACAGACGCACAAAATTTTGGATTGAAAAGGGCTACATCGTTTAGGTAGGAGAGAGAGAGAGAGAGAGAGAGAGAGAGAGAGAGAGAGTGAAAGAGAGAGTTTGTGTGTGTTTATCTTTCTTTTCAAGTTTAAAAGGTCAGGTGTATTCGTTGGTATACTCCATCCGCAGGTAGACAATGATAGTCAATTCCGTGTTCTAGTTAACAAATTGACAGCAGACAGCATTTCATTTACAGGTTCAATTCTCTAGATGCCGTCCTCTCTCTTCTCGGAGCAGGAGCTAAGGTTAGCTCGAAAAACAGCCTCACGGGTTCAACTCCCTTACATGAAGCCGCAGCATTTGGAAACAAAGACATTGTCGAGCATCTTTTGAAGAATGCAAAGGCTGACGTGAATGCTTCAGATTTCAAATCTGTCTCGCCACTTATGCACGCTAGTGGCTTAGGTTATGGTGTTATCTGCTTAATTCTGCTGCAGTATGGAGCTCAAGTTGATTTTTCTTCGGCAGAAGGGATGACAGCACTTCATTTTGCCGCCACCAATGGAGATTCCTATGTCACGCAACAGATTGTCGAAGCAGGTAGACTGATCACCATAAGATTTCATTTTAATAGAATGGTTATTATTTATTGCTGAGGCGGGGAGGAAGGGTGTCAAAGTATTTTGGTAATGTCACGATAAACGTTACCAGATCCCCCTTAGGGCTCTATAATATTCCTAGGTTCCCCCTTCCCCCCCCCCACCCTCCCCCTTGGCAGTTTATTAGCAGTCAATTGACTTTCGTCCCCCTTTTATACTATGTTGGCGACGACTGTTTCCCCTTTAGTTCTCCCTGAAATCATGTGAACAAAATCCTCTCCCAACCTTTCCCCCGCTTAGTCGTTTAATACTAACTGTTCCTTGAACTTTCCTGAGAGAAATTCTGATCTCAGAATACTTGGCACATACATGTTGAGTTATCGGAAACGTATCTCAAGATTTTCTATCTTTTGTTAAGGTTTCGGTAAAGCAGCTTTTCCACACCTTCACCGAAGATGATTGCTTTACCTCTGGAAAAAAATTCAGCCCGCCGTCTTTAAGCCACTCTTATTAGACGTTCAAAATGCGTCAAAAACTTGCAATGTGAATATAATTCATGACTTCTAAAAGTTAATTTTGATCTTTTTATCCAAATAATACAGCAATTCGCCATTATTTCAAAAAAGAACCATCCACTGTTGCAAAACCAGAAATGAACGCTGACTTCAAACAGTTCATAAACAAATGTGACTTGGATGGTAGCACGGCACTTCATCTAGCGGTACAAACAGGTTCCAAGGACGTGTCCCAGGTGCTCATTCAGTATGGGGCTGATTTGAATTGTCAAAATAAGAGCCTCCAGACACCAGTGTACCTGGCAGCAGTTGGAGGACACCAAGATGTCTTGAAAATGCTCATTTTGCAAGGTGGCGATATGAATGCAAGTGACAGCCAACAAAGAACTGCCCTACACAGGTACCTACTGAATAACCCCCACGTATTCTCACAAGGTTTCATACAACTTAATCCAAAATCAAGTGAAGCTGATCTCTTCCATCTACAAACAAGGAAAGATTCTGAAAATTACAAGCCAACGATGAGACGCTACTCGAAAAACACCAAAAATTTAATTAGATTAAAAAAATATGAGTAAGATGAGAAAGCTATTACTCCGATCAGTTGACCCGAAGGGGTGTCGTTAAACTTAAAAAAAAAGGGTTAAGCAAAATATGCACGTCCACTTTATTCTGGTGCTCACAAACCCCCAGGTGCTATGCTTGCCTTAATTTAACATTTCTGAAATATTCCTTCCAGTGCTGCCGCCTTGGGATCTACAAAATGCATTGAGATTCTCCATGAAAATGGTGCCAAAATTGACACCAAGGACCAGAGTGGTCAAACGCCTTTTCTCTTGGCGGTAGCCGCTGGACAGACTGATTGCGCAAAGTTATTTCTATCATTTGGCGCCAAAGTGGCAGCTCAAGACAAGCGCCTACGTTGTTGCCTCCACCTTGCTGTGGAACAGGGAAGAGAGGAAACGCTCAGTATGTTACTGAGTGAGACTGGTAACGACTTAGTCAACATACCTGACCACAAACAGCGGACGTCGCTTCATTACGCGTCGTGGATTGACAACCCGAAGGTATAAACAAATTACAGGAAGTGTGACCACTGCTACGGGAGATTACTGACACAGACCTACTTGTTTTATTACCGGATAAAAGAGATGATTTTAATTTAAGATCGTTGTCATCTTTGCATGCTTTGTTCCTAAAAACTGTTTAGTAAGAGTTACTGCTCGTTTCCTATAATGTGATCAGTTTTATTATATGATCCTGGTGACAGAAAAAGCGTGACTTCATTCAACTGAATTTAAGCTTCTGTAGATCCACCTTGTTGTTGTTCTTCTTCTATTTCGTTTTTTTTTTCCTTCCTCGTCACCAATGTCATTGACCACAATCATCACAATCTCCTTTTTCATGAAAGCCAAGTGCACTTCGATGAAAGTGTTTATATTTCAGTTCTTAACTTTTCTAACAAACGTAACCGCAATCTTTGGAAATGTTCACTTTTTTCCGTAGCTTTTGGAGCTGCTACTCGAGACAAAAGCAAATGGATGCGTTCGAGACGCAAAGCACAAGACACCACTTCACTTAGCCGCTGACCGAGGCACCTCACGCCAAGTGAAGGTTCTCACCCAAGCTGCGCCATCTTGTGTATGGATGCGAGACGATCAGCGGCGAACTCCTTTGCACTACGCTGTTATGAGCATGAAGAGGTACGTCACTCACGTTTCACTTTTGCTCTAGTTGTTGTTGTTTTTTTCAATTACATTGTGGTGAAGGCCCAATCTATCGGACGTTAACCTACTTCCTGTAATATTAAGCAACTGACGAACCATCCCCTATACTGAATTTAATGCAAAATTCCTCGAATCTTACCCCTTGCCTTTCGATGAATGTCCCTGGGAAGCCGGTTCACTAGTGCCCAAACTCTTGAGTAGAGATAAAAGCTTTAAGAGCGAGTGTTTAACTTGAAAACCCATTGTAATTTTTCTGTGCATGTACGCGGCGCTTATGACGTCGATAAACAGCCGCTGTTCCACCAAAACCAGTCGGGAGGAGAGAAGACTGGATTCGAGAAAATGAGCAAATTGGGCCTAAGTAAGCTTTAAACGAATCGAGATGGCCATTTGGTATCAACATTACCCAGCTCGTTCCCAGAGTCTCTCTTCTTCCCGCTCCCTAAGAGAGAGGAGAGATCATGGTAACGGGACTGCGCCAATAAATGAATATCTGATGAAACACATGATCCCATGATGTCTTGACAGGAAATCTTGCGCCATACTTTTGGACATGGGTGCAGATATCAACAGCCCCGATATCGTAGGCTGGACTCCCCTAATGTGGGCTGCAAAGGCAGGAAATGTCGGTGTCGTAGAGCTCCTTCTCGAGAGGGGCGGGCACGCGGATCACGTAGACATTGATGGAAATTCAGCCCTCCATGTGGCAGCACACTTTGGTCAAGTTGAGATCGTCAGGACACTGTTGAATTATGGAGGGAGCTTAATTTTACAAAACAAACGTGGAATGACATGCCTTGATGTGGCAATGGAAGCGCAGAGTAATGAAGTTGTCATGGTTGTTGTCAAACATAACAGGTATTTTACCGCCAGTATCCCACTCCTAGTTAGCTCCAATGCCATTTGAAATGAGTTATGCAACATCTCATTAGGCATGTGTGCATGTGCACCCTTTCAGGCCAGCTAGGCGACCCGTGTGATGATAGACTGACTAAAATTCCAACAGTCCTTCCTTACCGGTGTAATCCGTCAAGTGAGACAAACAAACCGTCAGAAAAAAAATATTTTGATGCGCGTGAATTCTTTGACGCGCGCTTCTCCTCTTGGAGTTCGCGGAACGTCGTGGTTTTTATAATGACTGAATGATTGACTGACAGAGAATAACTGATTGACTCATTGATCGACTAGCTGACTGATTGATTGATTAGCTGACTGACTGACACGGACAGACCGATAGACAGGTTGAGGGACTGGTCGACCTGCCGGCTGATTGAATGACTGGCTGACCGACTAACTGACTGACTAACTAACAGACTTATTAGCTTGTGACCGACTTTCTGACTGAGTGATAGACTTACGGACCGAATGATTGCTGGACTGACCGACTGACACTGGCAGACAGATAAATAGGTTGAGGGACAGTATGTCTGTAAGAAGCACAAGTTCCTCACCTAAAATTTGCGATGTTTTACAGATGGCGGGAAGCACTTACAGCCTCAAGTGCCAAATCCAATCCTGTGGAAAGGTTGATAGAACATTTTCCCGACGCCGCCCACGTTGCCCTGGATCGCTGTATTCAGCGATCTACTTCTGAACGCTCCATAAAGTATGACTTCACTCTCATAGACCCAGGCCCCGATGATCACAGTGGAAACAACGACGAACGCTTCCTAGGTTTGGTAACGATGGTCAGACACAAACAGCAGCTCCTCTTGGTTCATCCGCTTTCTCGAAAGCTGTTGCTTCTTAAGTGGAGGAGGTTTGGTTGGTTTGTTTACGGAACGAATGTCGTGCTTTATTCACTTTTCCTAATATTCTTGACAATTTTTGTTTTAACGGAGAGAGAGAATGTCAACTTTCCCAGACCAGAAGACGATGATGAACTTGAAGAAAATTTCTTCATAGAGAAAAGTGAATTCAACGAAGCGGTGCCCTATATCGTCATCGTATTCGCAGTTTTGCATCTTGCGAAGGAGTTTTATCAGATCTACACCCAGAGGCTTCGTTACTTTACGGAGTGGACCAATTTTCTTGAATGGGCCTTATACCTGACAGCATTTTTGTTTGTTTTACCTTACGTTACTGATGACACCGGTCTGAGACAAAATTTTGAAATTTACTGGCAGATGGGAACGTTTTCCATTTTCTTTGGTTACGTTAACTTAATCCTCATCGTGGAGCCGATTAAGTTCTTGGGTCTGTACGTGACCATGTTCCTCGAAGTGATGAAGACCGTTCTGAAGGTTCTGTTATTGTTTGTCATGTTCACTTTGGCCTTCGCAATGGCGTTCTACATTCTGTTGAAAGAACAGGTGAGCGGAAAGAGAAGGAGAGATTTATCAAAATGTGTTCTTTGTGTGTATGGCGAACAGAATGCACGTGGCGGCCAATAACTCTCTGTTTATCGACATCTAAATTTCTCTCCCGATTACATGTTTACCTTCGCCATGTTGATTCGTACTTACACTTGTCTTTCACAGAGCAGAGCCTAGGGCCATAACTTCTGTTAATGGCATCGAGAGCGAGATGTGAATTCTCTCCCCTGGCCCCGGTTGGGAGTGTCGGGGAGTTTACTCCAAAAAAATATTTTTATGGAGGATCTACTTTCAGCCCCCTAGCTTAATTCCCTCATCCTTTTTCTGTAGAACATTCTTAAAGAAGATATACCCTTTTCCTGAAGCTTTCCTTAGAAAACAAAAGTAACACCTCACGCGGAATTCATTATAATTCCCAGATTTCTACATTCTGGTATGAAGAGCCATCAGTAGGTTTCTGACAGAGGTCAGCTTCGCGATTTAACTTCGAGAACACTTCAGCCGATCCACATGTAAAGATAGATCGTTCATTTTCTCAAAGAAGTCCATAGAACTATAGCCCCAAGTTGACGATGTTTTGTTTTCTTGCAGGAATCGTTTAGCACGATAATGAAGGCCTTCATGAAAGTTTTTGCCATGACTTCTGGGGAAATTGAATATACTCAAACCGTCATTGACGCGTTGAACCGGAATTCAGCTGGCACAAAATTTCCGCTCGTTCCTTTTGAAGATTCTACCTACATTTTCTACTTCATGTTTATCTTGGCGATGCCGATAGCTCTTGTTAACCTATTGGTAAGCAATTTTTTTTTTTACCAGTATCATAGCCCCCACCAAACAAAGAATCATTTAACTTTACTTGGACACTGAGAAGTTTCCTTTAAAAATTATGAAAGAAAATCGAGAATGACGTTGATTTATTTTGAATTCAGTCACCAAGCAAGAAAAATTGCGAAATTTTTTTTTATTCATTTGTGACTTTTTCAAGGTTAAAATGACCTTCTTCAAAGAATCTTATCACAAAGTACAACCTCAAGAACTTCAGCTGAGGGAAGCAAGGCGCGAAAATTAGTCGTGAAGTAAAACAAGAAACTTGCCATTTTACAGGGCGCATGTATGAGAAATGGCCTCTCTCAGCTCATGTTTTCTCGTTGCAACTATTCAATACTTTACTTCTTATTTAGTTCCTATAAAACGAGGAAACCAGACTAGGCCCGCAATGTGTTACAAAAAATTAAGAAAATTGAACAAAGGGAGTAGGTGTCCAAAGAAATTGTGGTGTTGCTTCTGTGGGAGAGTATAAAAAGGTTATTTGGTATTATTAACTGAGTTGATAACGTAAATAAGTCACAGTTAAAAGTTTAAAAGCTGACGTTTCGAGCGTTCGCCCTTCGTCATTCGCTCTGATGAAGGGCTATAGCTCGAAACGTCAGCTTTTAAACTCTTAACGGTGGCTAATTAAGGTAATAATTTGTACGTGTATCTTAGATTGGTTTGGCAGTTGGAGATATTGAAGCCATTCAAAAGACAGCTTTCCTCAGGAACAAGGGGAAACAAATCACTTTTATCGCTGATATAGAGAAGAAATTTCCAAAATTCTTCACCAGACGAATTTATAGTGGACATGAGATCGTGTATGCTGGAGAAGAGAAAGGAAAACTTTGGAGGTAAATGAGAATTCTCACCTCATCAAAATTTCCACCTGATCCGTTTTCCCTAGCACTGCACGAAGCTATTCGGCCCATTGCACGAGATCTATATGAAAGGTTCGCGACCGACCAAAGATCCCACAGGTTTAAGATCATGCGAAATTCGTCAAGCATTTTCTTGGTTAAATCGTGTTTAGGATTTTGACCAAGGTCTGTTAGCTAGCATCTAAAATGCTAGCAGGACACATGACACGTCACACTATGTTTTACTCTTTAATAAGAGAAATCACATTATTTCTTCTGTCTGTAAGTAACTATAAGACAAGTTGAAAAGGGGCTCATTTCCACCTTCCCAACTCCACTCCCCCTGGGTTGATACACGGGAGATACCCTTCTCGTTTTACGTCTAAACCTATATTCATTCTAACTTCACATCAGGAGAAGAACAAAGCAGGAAGAATTTCAGGATGAAGATCTTTTAGGAGACAATGACGGGGAAATTGACGAGATGACGTTACGGCTTGACAATTTGACACGAGAAATAGAAAAGTCTAAATTGAGACAGAAGATTCTCATTGGTGCCACAGACCAACAGAGAGATATCCTACTCGCCGTGGCCGAGCGTGTCGGCGTAGAAGTTAATTTGCCATCGCGTATAAAGATAGAGTGAAAGCTTGAGCAGGACATTCGAGAGACAAAATGATGAGCTTGAAACTGTTTTTTAAAGCCACAAAATGTCCAGTAAGGAAACGATCATTATTTTTGGCTGGGGGGAGGATGGGGAAGGGGGCAGTGGTGTTTGGTTTTATCACAATAAAATTTACTTGATTTCCTCCCCCCTCCCCTCCTAAGACTCTATCGTATTCTAATGCCCCCTCTTCCCCTCATTGAGTCAATTTGCTTTAGTAGTCCCTCGAAACTCTGTTAACGACGACTGATCTTTCCTCCGTTGACACAAAATGCCCTTTAAGACGACCATGGTTTAAAATGAATGGCAGCTGAAGGCAGTCGTAGAAGAATTTCATTAACGAGTTACGAAAACATTTCAGTTGTAAGCGTGTACAAAAAGTCTATCTCTTATAGACAAAAGAAAATAAATAATACTTGTAAGACAAAACTGTTTATTAACGATCTTTAAATGATAAAATACAGATCTTATACAATTTTACCATTGGTTTCTTAGATATCAACATAAAAATATTTGAATTATAACGACGCCTTCATTATTTAACAATTAAGTGAATTAAAAATTCACAAGAAAGACAGAAGCAAATACACAGTCACAAACTGAACTTTAATATATTTTACACAGTCTCTGTTAACAGGAAAACTTCAACAGTGGTATCCTCGCGCACATATTTCGCCAAGCTGTTCAACAGATCTTTGAAAGTACAAAGATCCAACTGCGAAAATACGCTTGCATGATTATTAGAAATTTGCATTCGCTTGATATCCGATTGTACTTGATGCACCATGACAAAAGGTAAACTCTACTGGACGTCGAGAAACAACAATGAAAATAAACCCGAGAAACAAAGACAACTATAACAATTTTACAATTATCTGCATCATTTCTGTTTAGTTTACTGTTTCATATATTCACGATATCCAACAACAACTCGGGAATCGAAATGATTTGTCTATAATGGTTCTATGGTTCTTTGTTCCCGTCTCTTCCCGCCAATTTAGTTTACCGCGGTAACCTGAGACTTATGCTAGTTCCCAGATGTCCTCGTCCGTTGATGCTAATTTTCCTTGGCGGTTTGGCGGTTCGAACTGTACACAAAAAATCGAGTGCAACTTGCATCTGAGAAAATCAAACAGAGGAATAACAGGATTGAGCGATGGAATGTAGAAAACATGTCACTTTCAGCATTTAATTTGGACAAGTTTTCCTATCAACGAAAGCCTTCGACATGTTCTCGGCGCGATCCCACCGGCATTTCTAATCAGCCATGTGCAACCACAAATACTAAGTTCACTTTGAATTCGCAGTCAGCACATAGCTCGAGTTCTGAAAGGAAATCAAGGGACTCTCCCTCGAGTTGTGATAGCAATCAAGGAAATAACGAACTTGAATCATGTGCAGACGATCCAAGTTTTACTGCTACAATTTTTGCTAGCCAAGAATTTGTTGATGTGATGGATTCTCTAACAAGCGAAACTCGGGTACAGATTGTCGAAGCTTTAACTTCTTCTTCAAAAGAAAACATGAATCCAGGTAGCGACAACATAATCATAGATCAACCTCTGGTGTTTAAAGTGATAATTATGTTAAACAATTCTTCGAGCTAAGATTATGTAACCGTATACAAAGCTCATGATATTCATTGTACATTCCATTGTTTTTCAAATTAAGCTGTGGTCATTTTTTATAGGGGTGGGGATGGTGAGGAGACTTTTACTTTTCTGGATATATTATGTAGCACAACTCGGACGTTTAAACTTTGATTTGAACCCTTTAACTCCTAAGATCAGATTATTAATTCTCCCCTCTAGCTACTAGACATTTCCTTTTAAATACATAACGAGAATTTGGTGTTAGATCAAGATAACTTCTTGATAAGTTTGAATATCCTCATTACCATTTTCTAGGTGATGTGTGGACTTTATAGGGAGAAGTTATACATTAATCACTTCTGTGAGTTTAGGGATTAAACATGTCTCAAAAAAAGTGATTTTTCTATGCAACTGCCTGATTAAATGGTACCATTGACTCATTGAAGTAATACTCGGACAGGTATTTTTTTTCTCTTCAAATGCAGATTCAAATACCCCACTTATTGATGTCTAATAGAGCCAGCCAGGCATCTAGCAGTCTCAGTCTGCAGCGAGAGTAGTTATATGTTAACACACAGGTGGCCAAATGCAAAATGTGAGCCTTGCAAAATGTCAGGTGTCACCACTAAGATCTAAGATTCAGGAGCAACCTGCAATACCACTGACCAGCATTAGCTTTGGTTCAGCCTCAACAAAACTTTATCTGATGCAATCCCCAAATTTTGGGAGTATTTGATGAATTAGCTTTGAATTAAGGTATTAATTAGTTGAAGTGTTTGTTTGAAAATTCTAGAGAAGAGGAGTTTTGAAGCAGGGAATAAAAGAAAAAGACATTACTTTATGGAAGATGAAGATAATGAAGATGACAATGAAGACAAGAAAAGATCCCGCAAATCTGAGGAATTAGAAGACCTTGACACCAGCCATAACTCCAGAAAAAACTCTGCTAGGAGAGATGTGACTAATGGGAAACAAGGTCAGCATATGTAGATGTACTGGTACAGGTACCTTAACCCTTAACTGCCATAAGTGACCAAGACAGAATTTCTCCTTACCATATCAATATGATAAGTGATGAGAATAAGGAAAAAAAGCAATTAGAAGAGTTTTTTTTTAGTTGATCCAATACCAAATTCTCCAAGCTCGCAGCATAAGAATTACATAGCAAACAGTAAGGAGAAGTAAATGAGATCTTGCAAGTGAAAGGGTTGAAAAGTGTTATTGTTCAGGGTTTATTTGAGAAGTTGGCAAAAGAGGGTCATCTGGCCCCAGTTGTTTGCAGATCAGGTAATGCTATCCACTGGATAAATCTCTATCTGGTAGATACTATACTTTTTGCTATCACCTACCTGCTGGATAGGGATTTATCCATTGGACAGTGTTATCTGCCCTCTTTACAACTGGGTCCTGGAGGCCAAAGCAAGTCTCAAACCAAGGTACCCTGCATTACAAGCCTGAGGTTATAAACTGTCAACCTTACTTCTTCCTGCACTGAGGCTTGCACAGAAACCTGGAGACTAGCATCAATTACTAAAGCCTGACATAGTTTCTCTAAAATGCAGCAACAGAGTTTACCCCATCCATTTCTCCAGGTTTTGCTTCTATGTGCAATTCACCTGTACCAAATTTATACTCTTGGTTGTAAAGAGACTTTGAGGGTTTTATTATCTTCCCCAGGAACACTTGACACTCTAACCCAAATCACTGATTCCACCCCAGCTCCAATGCAGAGTCATTTACTCCAACCTTTAGGGCCACCACTTCTCTTTCTAATAACATTAGACTTTTCAAATTGTGCAAGCTTTGTACGATTTGGGTCTAGTAGCACTGCTTTTTTTATGGGATAATAACAATCATTATCATTATCAATTATAATTTATCTTTTTTCTTTTTAATTTGACTTCTCAGAAATTCCTGAAGTTGTTTGTTTAACAGATGATGAAGCTGAAGATAGTGATGTTGTTCTGACTGGTGAGTTGTGATTATCCAAGTTGTTATTACTCATGATGTGTTTTCACAGTTTGTTATGTTTTCTCAGTGTACTGCATAAAGCTGATGAATTATCCACAAAAAGTATCACAATGATAACTTATAATAATTCTCTGATCAATTCAAAGCTTCAACATCCCTCCCTCCCCCCCTTTGCACAAGCTACCTGCATTTGAGCATTATCTGTTGCTGGGGGATGGGGAATTTGGACCTTGCCTGGGTAGGGCATTCAAATGCAATTGTGGCAAGGAAGGGGGGGGGGGATTTGAATGAGCCAACCTATCAAACTAATTCTATTACTGTTTGAAGCTAAATCACTGAAATAGCGTCATTGTTGTTTTAGTTTGTCTGCTTTGTTTGATGGGGGAAAATTGTCATGGATCTCAAATTTGACTTAAAACTGTTTGTGAAAAAATGGGACCAGAGAAGTGAGTCCTGAAAATAGAAAATTCAGATAATCAAGGTGTGACTGTACCATTAATAGTTATTTTGGCCTTTCAAATGCTCAGAGGTTCAAGCTATGTTTGAGATGTTACAAATTGAGTCCAAAAGCTTCTTTGAATATTTGCAGACTTCATAGATATCAGTCAAATTGATGCTGGAGACAACAGTGAGGATGACAGCTTCAGTGAAGAGGAGACAGTTACTATTTTATCCTTTTTCAATGATTGTTCTCTTCAAGAACTGACATCTGTTCCTGGTTTGTCCTCGAAAAAGGCTGAAAAGATCATCAAAATGAGACCATTTGACTCTTGGAGAGATCTTGTAAGAAAACAGTTACTGCCACCTATATGCCAGTATATATTGGAGAAGATTTTTATCTCCAAGGAAATAATCGATTTGCCTATGTATGTCATATAAAACCCAAGTGCAGAGTGATGGGTCTTAGGTATGATGATGTCATTTAATGAAACCTCACCCCCAAGCCTGACATCTGTACTAAAATATCCATTAGCCTTTGTTACTTTCTTGTTCTTATCACATGGGTATTCTTTTGATTTCACTGTTTGGAATACTTTCTGATTAAAATTCAACAGTCTCCACCTGGAAAGCTAGGCTTGGGGAAAAATGCATATTTTGATGTAAACAGGCATAAGACATATTGTGTATGGAAATGATGTCCAACTGAAAATCATTGTTTTGTTTCGTTTTCTTAAAGACTTTTGGAAATTGATATGCTGGAAAATAAGATAACATTTTTATGACACCTTTCTTTCCTATGTTATTTTCTTAATTGTGATTTTTACCATAGGTTTCCAAACTGGACTCTGCAAAGAACTTATCTTCAGAGGTGATTTTTCTTATTTTGATTTTAAGTATTCTGAATACCTTCAAAGTCAGAGTATATTTCCACATAGAGATACAGAGTACACAACACAATGCGGACATTGCATTGGTTCAGTGTTGATCAATATCTGGGTCATGTTGTAAAAAACATACACGACAGAAATATTTCTGATAAGTTCTTGTGTTGTGGAAAATGCACTAATCAGACACCAGAAGTCCTAACTTTAGGCAGTAACCTTATTTTGATTGGGGTTTTGTGCTTTTCTTACATGTCTTGATCTCATGCTATATGTTGTAACATAAAAACAGTATGGAGTCTCACATATTTCAGGTGTTCATGGTATTCTGAGTTTGACAGTGATTGTTAATTGGTCTTTTAGTTGATAGACAACTGTCAAAGCCTGCTTGAAGAGCGTAAAGCTGTTGAGAAGTTGATGAACAAATGCGAGAGCATCTCCAACAAAATTCAAGACATGCTTAACTCAAGATTAAGTGTAAGTTGTGCATATTTGAGTTACCTGTAGATGACCCCTAAGAGTGACTTAGCATCTAATTTCTCCTTACAATATCACCCCTGAATCACTTGTTAAGGTCTTGAGAATAAAGGAAATGATCACCAGTTAAAGGGGCGCTTGATTGTCAAACAAATTCACCTTGCCAGCACCTTAGGAAATATATATGGAAAACAGTGTGGAGATTATGCACACTGATGTAAGGATGTAAAGGGTTAAATAAATTTGCATCAAAATATTGATTTGTATAATTTCTGAAATAACATTTTATCTTTAGGCTGGTAAGAGTGATTCTTCAGATCGTAAAAGAGGAGCTGTGATAACATCACAACCAAAAATATTAAATAGAAGGTAATAATATCCACATACTGTTAGATGTTCATGTAATATACTACTGTCGTTTAATAACCCAACCATGTGGCCTGATAACTCTGTTGCAGTGGTTGTTGTTTTTTTCTTTTTTATGTCATTGTTTTTTTTTATTGATACAATCAAACCTCACTTATCCAGACTTGCTTTTCAAGTCCCATTTTTTGCCCATTATTAGAATTCTTTTTGTATTATGGTAAGAATTAAGGAAAGTTCCTCATTTGCATTTGATTTTGAGTTTCATCATGGTTGACCTTACCTTATAAAACCCTTGGGAGACATTCTTAAAACCCTTTAGAAAACCCGCAGAAACTTACGGAAATCCTTCAGATCGTAAAAGAGGAGCTGTGATAACATCACAACCAAAAATATTAAATAGAAGGTAACAATATCCACATACTGTTAGATGTTCATGTAATATACTACTGTCGTTTAATAACCAACCATGTGGCCTGATAACTTTGATGCAGTGGTTGTTGTTTTTTTCTTTTTTATGCCATTGTTTTTGTTTAGTGATACAGTCAAACCTCACTTATCCAGACTTGCTTCTCAAGTCCCATTTTTTTGTGAATATTAATCAGTCTTATTTGAGATCCATGACAACGTTTTATGAAATTTTTATTTTTGTTAGTCTTCAGCTGAAACCCTACCAGTTGACAAGTCTTAACTGGCTGATACTGATGCACGAACAGGGAGTCAATGGAATTTTAGCGGATGAAATGGTAAATGTTATGTTTGCTGCTTAGTAATAACATCTGTGTCTGCTTTCAGTTCATGTGATTGATACATGAGTATTTACATGTTTCAGGGTCTCGGCAAGACAGTTCAAGCCATTGCTTTTCTAGCTTATTTGTGTGAATCTGGAGAGAAAGGCCCTCATTTGATTATTGTTCCGGCATCAACTCTTGGTAACGAACATCTTACCTTATAACTATCTTATCTTTATCCCGCACTTGTAACAATACGAAAAACATCTTTCTCTATTTCTTTACCGAGCTCAAAAGTTACCATCTCTCTTATTCTATTTACGACGATATCTTATCGGTTTTTTTTGTTGCCTTTTTTACTCCGTGAGTTTTTTGTGGCAAAGCTACAATGTGATTTGCATTTAAACTAATTTCAAGTTGAGTGGTTTTGACAAAAGTAGATCTTTTTTTGGTCTTTTTTTATGATCGCAGATAATTGGGGCAGAGAAGCCAAGAAATGGTGCCCATCATTAGAATTCTTTTTGTATTATGGTAAGAATTAAGGAAAGTTCCTCATTTGCATTTGATTTTGAGTTTCATCGTGGTTGACCTAACCTTATAAAACCCTTGGGAGACATTCTTAAAACCCTTTAGAAAACCCGCAGAAACTTTGGAAATCCTTTGGAATCCTTCGGAAACTTTCAGGGACAACTTGGAAAACTCTCGGAAACTTTCGAAGAACTTTGGGAAACTCATCGGAAACTTTCCGACACTTTTTGTGACCCTTCAGAAGCTTTCGAAGACCCTTTGGAACCCTGCGGAAACTTTCACACACCGTATGGAAACCTTATTGTAAAACCGTTGTTATGGGGTTTGCAGCCTCTCTACCTCTACCTCTACAACAATAGCGCTCGTGTAATTCACAACAATTATTATTGTAATGGTCTTGATTCCATCATGAATTAGGGAGTCAAGCAGAGAGACTTCAGTTGCAATGCGAGGTGGATTTAGCAGAACCAAAACCTGATGTTTTCATTACGACGTAAGTTTAAAGTAGTGTTCTCTAGAAGTGCCGGTGCGTGGCGTTTTCGCCGCGACTCGCTTCTGAAGTGCCAGCTTCTTTAATTGGACAAAGGAGTGAAGTATCTCTCTTGATCTGAATTAATTTTTTAACCTTTGTCCGTTATTGTCTATTTGTGCTGGATACTCAAAAATATCTGGACAACTCTGGCTCCGTTTGATCGAAGGGTGGATAGCGCTATCCGCTGGGTAAATCTCTTTCAGTGAATAGCACAGAACATTTTGTTGACTCATTTCTGTTTAATAACGATTTATCTCTTGGATAGCGTTATTTGCACTTTATTTAACCAATTGTGCCCTGGTCTTCAGCTATCTGTCCAATACCACTGTCATACATCGGAATGAAATTAATATTTTTTTTTTGTTTGGTGTTCTGTAGCTACACAGTCGCAACTTGTACAAAAGACGATCGTTCCTTTTTAAGAAAACTAAATTGTAATTACGTAGTACTGGACGAGGGGCATATGTTGAAAAACATGCAGTCACAGAGATACCAGGGACTTATGAAAATGAAGGTGGGTACGCTGTTACTTTGTGGTAAAGCGCTGCATCAACCACGTTTGCGGTCAAAGGTTGAACGGTTGAGCTTATGCACATCTCTCGATCCCACGTTTCAGTTCTCCAAGAAAACGAAAAACGAAGAAAGTAACTGAACATTTCATCCTGTAGGCTTGGAGTACTTGGCGTAAGAGACCTTTGAAGAGGTTTTTCATGAAGTACAACCTTGAGAGGCCGTCTGATGTTTTTAATTTAGAACCGTGTAAATTGAAGTTAAAGGTATAAACCGATGCCATGGTTGCGTTCATGCTTTCATAGTCTTCACTGACTTTCATAAACAGAACCTAACAAATCGAGAGCTGAAATCACGGGGAGTAAGTGTTGAAATCACGAATAGCGGTTATTTAATCGAGTTCTTCACGTTTCGCGTGGTCGTGGATCACGAAGAAGAGCAAGATCATATATGATCAAAATGTACATAAGAAAAGTATGTATGGATGTACCTTGTAACACTTCCCATTTTGTTTCTTTTATTGCATAGGCCCGTCGTCGGCTTCTTCTAACAGGGACACCACTACAGAACAACTTGTTGGAGCTGATGTCTCTGCTAAGTTTTGTGATGCCGAGCATGTTTGGTGAGAGTGTTCAGGGAATCAAGATGCTCTTTTCTAACAGCAAAATGGTACGAAAACCCTTTGACTCCTAAAATTGGCCAGCATCTAATTTTTCCTCATAATATTACTCTGAATCACACATTAAGGTCACAAGAATGAAGGAAATGATCACCAACAAATGAGGCTCTTGATTGTTAGCCAAATTCTCCCTGTGAGCACCTTAGAAAATGTATTGAGTGCAGTATGGGAAATATGCATACTGATGGTAGGGTGTAAAGGCTTAACTAAAGACGGTGTCAGACCATTTCGTGCATCGCGGAAAAAATTCTAGAACAATTCTATACACAAACGGCTTAGCAACTCGACTCACAATTTTGTTGAGACGCATGCTCGGGTCAGCTCTTTTCAATGTGATCTTTTTCTTTGTTCTAACGAGCCGTTATAATTTTTTTGGTTTTTGTGGTGCGGTGCATAATCATAACCGTTACAATTTCCTTAAATTTGATTGGTGCATTGTGTGGTTGTAATTGGACAGATGGCTGTAATCGAACACCCGTCATCGAATAGTTGAAGCAGCCAGTCATACTAAGTGCACTCAGCTAAATCCACCAATTACAGCGTAGATCACAATCACCATAGCAACAACCACTTATCCTGAAAAAAAAAATTGAGGACTCCACTCAGTCCCATTACTATTATTAATCAAAAAGTGTCCCATCGGGATCTTATTTATTGCCGTCAGTTTTCCAAGTGTAAGTTCTGTTTTTCACAGAATGATAAACCAGGGAGCAATTACGAGAAAGCAACAGTTGCTCAGGCGAAAAGAATCATGAAACCGTTTGTACTAAGAAGGCTCAAGAAAGATGTGAGTATTCTTGAAATTGAAAACGCTTCAAAAATATACTTTTGTTTTCTTGTTTGTTTGGTTTTTATATTGGTTAAATACGCGTTTAATCTGAGCCCCGTTTTATGATTCATGTCTCATTACACTGATATGCAGTCTGGCTTTCTGTCTGTCTCTTTTTGAGGCAAAGGTTGTGAGACGAGAAACGAAAGTTTCAGTCTGAGAGGGGATTGGAACGAGACAGTAAAACCTTGCCTCTTCCCCTTGTTGTCAACACCTCGACTGTGTGTCAAGGACAACACCCTCGTAGAAACGTTTTAGAAAGAACAAATAGTCGAAGTTATCGTCGCGCCGGTGGAGGGGGATGGGGACTAGGGCCTTAAAACTGAGACTTGAATCAGATTTTTCTTTGGATCTACTTCGACCTTTCTGTCCTTCCACTTCTATTCTCCCCAATATCTTGAGTTACATCGTCATTCGGAGGAGAAATTGTGCTCTGATAACTAATTGTCCTTCTCAAGGTTCTACAACAGCTTCCTGCCAAACACGATCTCGTAGTCAAGGTGGACTTGACGGAAGAACAGCGTCAGTTGTACAACGACAACTTTGTGAACTGTTCAAGACAATTTAGGGACTCAGGTAAGGTTGTAGGTACATTTTTAATGGCCTAAATTTCGTCAGGAGAGATTTAAACTACAATACGTCACCGCAGAGCTTCATAAGTTACAAATTTAGTCGTTGAAAACGCTCGAGAGTGCTTGAGTCTTGTTGTGATTGGATATCGAAAGCGGAAACTTCACGAAATTCCAAGTAAATTGTGTGAAAATTGAATCAGTTATGTGCTGCTTGTCAGTACGACTTGCAAAGAGCAGGCCTTATGTGTTTTAAAGGGTCGGTAGCGTCATCAACCTGCACAACTGTTGTACAAAAGATATTTGCTAACATATAGGCTATCCTCTGCAAAGTCTTATCTTCTCCTTTAGGAACAGCCCTGAACAGAAAAACAGTGGACGAACCCGTTTTCGATTTCTTGTTTAGCTTCTGGGGGCGAAAAGGCTTACATGACCATAGCCTTCAACTTTTTTTGCCTGATCATATCCAACCACGTAATAGCGACTAGGGAACTGTTCATTGGTATTAAAGCCCTTGAACTATTCCTGTTTAACTTTCATGTGAATGCTACCAAACTAAACTTGCGAATAAATAGTATCGAGTTACATATGAAGCCATGGCGTTTTATGAATAATGAAGAAAACATCTACATGATTAACCTAACTTGTGTGGTAAACAAATTTTTTTAGCGCTAAGAGTGAGCAGGATCTATTTTCTCCTTTCAATATCAACCCTGAATCAAACATTAAGGTCATGAGAACAAAGGAACTGATCACTAACTAAAGAAGCTCTTGATTGTTAAACAAATTCTCCTTGTCAGCATCTTAAGAAATATGTGGAGAACAGTATGGAGAAATTGTACACTTATGTTAAGGTGTAAAGGGTTAATGTTCTCTTTCTTCTCATCAGATGGCGGCTCACAATACAGCAATATTTTGATGTTACTTCGGAAGGCCGCCAATCATCCTCTTCTACTACGTAATCACTTCAACGATAGCATACTACTGAAGATGGCAAAGAAATACTGCAAGGTTTAGACTTTTTTTTAAACTTAAAAAACAATCCGTAAAGTGGTTAATGACGATGACGAGGACGCTGTTTGTCGCATTGACGTTACAGCCCTTTTTTTTGAAGTTGAAAACAAACTTTCAAGAATCGAAAGATTTTTCTAGTTTGCTAAATCAAGTGCTACATGGATTGATACGATGTTAATGCTACAGTCTGCGAAAGTGTGCAATCACTATTTTAAACCGATAAGAAAAATATCTAATTATTTCCCAGGACCCCGTGCACCGCGATTCTGAGCCGGATCTGGTTTTCGAGGATATGACAGTGATGTCTGACTTTGAACTACATTGTCTCTGTCGAGAGGAACAGGTACAATACAAGAGAACACTTCTCTTGATAATTGTTTTACAAAAAGAAAAGGCAATTGCGTCTTTCTAATTGTATCCTTTCAATGTATGGCATGGTACATGGGCGTTTCTTTGCAGCGTCACAAAAGGTATTTTGCGAGACCGATAGAATGATGGTGAAGACGATGATCTTCTGGATCATGTAATGTGATCCAAAGAACTTTCACTATGTAATTCCCAATTTTTTTTATTAATTTCAGAAATTCTCCCTTTGTCGGGTGCAAAAATAATGCAAATGATAATCGCCATGGCTCGCGTAAATCGTGAACTGAAAGAATTTGGTGTTATATCAGGTTATCGCATACAGATGATGAGTTAGTCTATGTTGGTCGCCTGATTGCAGCTTTTTTTTTCTTTTGTATTTGTTTTGTTATTTCGATTTTTGGTTTGTGTATTTGATTTGATTTGTGCTCAACGTTATAGAGTTTGGCGGATCATTGTCTTAATAAAGAAATTTTGATGAAATCAGGAAAATTTGAGTACTTAGATACACTATTACCCGGATTAAAGGAAAAGGTTTGTATTTGTCTGCTATATGTAATTAGTCAAGTATTCGAATATAACGTCGTGCAAACGTATATGTGATCGACTGGAATTCTAAGTACACGTATACTCTGTCGGTTTCCACGGTCTCTTTTTAGCTTCTTGGGCACTAACTACTTTCAAGGGCGCGCGAAATAACGTTAGTGAACTTACACGACCGACAAGCGACAGTAACTGACTTTTGCAATTTGCGTGTCAGAATTTTGTGTGAAAAGGAGATATTCTTCTATTTTCCGTTGGGTGTACGAGGATTGATGAGCAAAATCAGAAGTAAATCGTGTTGTTTACCGTAAGCGCGGCTCAAGAAGGGTCTTTTTTTTGTTTTTTTTCGCTTGCTTTGTGGGATACACTCCACTTCGCTCCTAGCCCGTCTACCAAGCTGTTTTTAGTGCTCTTTTATGCGTTAGGGTTGCATGAACAAGCTGCAATGCCGCGAGAGATTTGGGCGAAAAGTGACAGGAAAAGCTCGTAGCTCCGCTGCTTGTATGGGGTGTCGGTGAAGAATTACGCAATTGTTATAGGTTTAGTTTAAGCAAACCTTGACTTCTTTGGTTCAGTTTTGTTCTTTTGGTGTTTCTAGAATTGCCGTGTGTTGCTGTTTAGTCAGTTTACCATGGTGATGGATATCATCGAGGTCTATTTGTCGGACAGACGTCATCGTTACTTGAGACTGGATGGACAGACGGCTGTAGTAGATAGGTAATCTTCTGTCCAGCCTTTAGCTGGTAGCCTCCTTCAAAGCCGTTTTTTTGTTGTTGTTTTTTTTAACCTCATTGCTTCCTTAGCGGAAGGTTCTTTTGGAGAAAGTGTTCAGGGACAGGCCCAAAGAGCGGCCGCTAAGGAGACTACTGTTGGGGCGATAAAAAAAAGCTGACGCCATACCACCTAAATTGCAAAAGCAGCCTTAATAGCAGCCGCCTTCTTTTTTTTTTTTTTGTTCTTTTTTCAGATCTCTTCACTATGAATAATCCCAGTGCCCAAGCATGTTATGTTTGCTTCATTTCTTGATTTGAAATCGATTGCAACGTGTCACACAATCACTTAATTTACTGATTTGACAAGATCATGTGACCTACAATTTTTCCATTCCTTGCGAGTTTATCCGATAGTAAATCAATGCACCTGTGTTTTCTTTCTACAGGCAAAACCTAATTGACAAGTTTAATGGTGATCCGGATATCTTTGTCTTTCTTCTTTCGACCAAAGCAGGTTTCTCTTTCATTTCCTGTTCGAATCTGCGATGAGCCTAGTGGAAAGTTTTAAGTTTTCAGTATTGATTTTCCCTTTCGAGTTAAAATGATATGGCGGCCTGATAATAAGCGTGATTTCGGGTTCATGAGGTACCCGGGTTGTTGACCTATGTGTTCCCTATGTTCCTGGGAAAGACGCTTCACTCTTACACTTCCTCTATTCCATTAAAGAACATGAATGGTCGGCAGCGTCAGACGTTGAGGTCATATCATGATCTCTTTTCAGCAAAACTGTTTGGCGAATTAGGATGGAGACTACACGAATGACAGGCATTCCATCCAGGAGGAGTTGCAGTTTTCCGCTGTAAACTTCAGTAGTTATGAACCAATCGACAGATCAGAGTTAACTTTCGTTTATAACAGGCTATAGACATATCCTCTTAAACAAACCGCTTTTCATATTTTCGATCATAATGCAAGGTCTTTTCTTCATCTGTAGGAGGCCTGGGTATCAATCTAACGGCAGCAAATGTTGTGATCTTGCACGACGTTGACTTTAACCCGTACAATGACAAACAAGCGGAGGATCGGTGCCATCGGGTGGGTCAAACCAGGTACGTTAAGATAGCAGATATAGTAATTCCTTGGACCCTTCATTCATGGGGCGCCCTTTGGACTATAAAAAGAAGCCCTTCAATCTGTGTCCCTTTAATGAAAGTGACGTGCTTAGAAGGTGTGATACAAAAGTAACAGGTACCTAATATCGGTGAGAGTTAAAGTGATACGCTCTACCGTCGGTCCTCTCGATCTTTTGGACCGGCCATTTTTTGTTGCCTGTGGGGGTGGGGCGAGGTGAGGTGAGGTAGAAAATGTGTTGTGTTACGATAAATAATAATCTTATGATTCTCTTTCCTCCTCCTCCCTACCCCCCCCATTGGCATAAATGGAAGTCAATTTTCTTTTAGAGTCCTGCCTTTATACTCTGTTGTCGATGACTGATTCCCTTTCGTTCCCCCTGAAATCATGTGACCCCCCCAACCCTACCCCTGAAAAAAAAATCCTTCATCCCTCTCCTAGCGATAAATGATGACTGGTCTCTAAACACAATGACAGTAAATTTTATAGTGCGTTTTTTTTCTTGTCATGAAAGTCTAAAAACAAATTTAAATAAAATGGCCAATTAACTAACGAAGTTTATGTAATATTTAATCGACGTAAAATGAACCAAAAAAATAAGTCACCATATTTACACCAACAGCATAGCTCCATTTTCTGCATAAACACACCTACAACCCACAACTCCTACATTTGCTCCGACGAGGGGCTAACGCTCGAAATGTCAGCTTTAAAACTCTTTATGGTGGTCTTTACGATATCGACTCTGTTGATAATACCCTAAAATGAACCAAATGAGTATTCATGACGACTTTTGCGCTGCAAAATTAGTTGGCCATTAACATTCCGCTGCCATGATTCGTGTGATTTATTTTCGACATTCTCCTCACAGATCGGTGACAGTGCATCGGCTGATTGGTAAAGACACTGTGGAGGAAGCGATTCTCCACTGTGCGCAGACCAAACTTCGACTAGAACAAGATATGGCTTTAGCAGATAGTGGTGAGTTGGTGATTTACACCTTCATTTGTTTGTTTTTCCATCACTTATCTCTGACGCTTTCTTACGTACAGTTCCACGTCCTGTCGCTTCGTTTGATCTTTTCTTAATACTGTTCTGCAATCTTTGGCGTTTCCTCTTGGGTCTTGCTTCCTAAATTTTTTTTTTCTCATTTTTGTGGCTTGTTTTTAGGTTCGTTTGTTTGTTCAGGGTCAGGAAATGAAGCATAATCCGTAGCCCATCCCTATGTCATTATCATAAACGATTTGAAAAATAGATAAGTAAAACAAAACTATAGAAATACAAGGAAAAAGAAAAAAAGATTTGTTATGGCGAACTGAGAACCTCTGTTTTACATGTGGACGTCGCAAATACAAACAGAAGTGAAATAAACAGAGCTTAAATTGAAAAAAAACCCAGTTGACGGGAGGGAAACTGGTTGTATGGTGGAAATCTTCATTATCTTGATTACTAATGTACATGAAATAATATACAGATTTAGGCAAGCCCAAAAGCAGAGCTTGCATTTTTTTTTCTCGCACGTCTCTTCAACAAAACTAAAGCCCCTACTATGGATAAAGTGCGTGGTAATATTAATGGATTTTCATTCGCAATTCTCCGTGTCCGTGTAGAGGACTGATTATAAGATAGTGCCCGTGGTACAGTTGGCCGCGCATGCTAAAAGTAGCACCTTGTACGGTTGGTCGTACGGTCGTAAGTCCAAATTTTTCGGTTTGATGGGTTACTACTATTTTGTATAATTATGGCGCTACGCTCTGCGAGCTACGCTATTACGCGCTTCTGATTAGATGAAACCGAGTGCATTATTCGTGTAACACGTGCGCAAAGTTGTAACACGAGTGTAAATTGTAAATAGCGCTCGTGCTGTCAAAATTTCGTCTGTTCTGACTTTCTGTGATGTTTTTTTCGAGTAAATTATGAATAAGTAATGATATGATTTCTCGTGTAGTTTACACTTACAAATTACACTCATCCTACGGGCTCATTAAATTTTCGCTGTCTTTGAAAAAATTACTCGTGTTTACTAACACCGAATTGCACTCAAAATCACGCTATTACTTATACTAAGTGGAAAATGGATGCGAAAGGTGATAGCGGATTTCCATGAACGTTTTTCTCTTTTTTTTTCGCAGATGATACAAAATTTGCCAAAGATGTATCAGAACTCCTTAGAGACGTGTTCACTTCATCGTGATGCACAAGTGCAATCAAATAATTGCAAGTTGAGTTAGTAAAAGTTAATTTGAGTGTGGATAAAATTGAAGTAGACAATTCTAATTTTTAGAGAATGCTGTAATCGTAGAATTGAAGTAATTAAACTTGTTTACACTGAAACTTAAAAACAGTAGTGCAAAAACTGTACTTTATAAGTCTTTTGTCGTATTTATTCGGTGGGTTTTTTCCTTATTTATATGTGTGCTTGCATGTTTTGTTTTGTTTTTTTGTTTTTTTTTTTTCGTGAAACACAATTGAAGAGTCGAGGACGTTTCAAAAATTCCTTACATTTACTAAACCAAAAGATAGTGCTTGTGTTCATATACATAATGATTTTACATAAATCACGTGTTCTGTGGTGTGTACAAGTTAAAAACCCATGAAAGTTAAAAAAAAAAAAAAAACAGGTACTTGGCGATTGTTTAACATTGTCACTGGCAGTTGGTGTTACTATTCGTTAGCGGCTTCTTTCCTAGATCAGCTGTCTCACGAGCTTCTAAGCCACTAAATTGTGTCGTAATTTCTTCCGTGCTTGTGGTTGCTGTTACTTGTTTTGCTGGACGGCGTATTCTAAGGGGAGGTGGTCTATTTCTTGTAGGTTGTACGAGTTGAGGGGAAAACAAGTCTAAGTAATAAAAGAGAAAAAAAAAACGATTGCGGTACTGTCAAGAGGTCGTTATGCTATCTAATTTTTTTTTTTTAACTGAAAAAAAAAAACCCGAGATTTCACTTTTAGAGGAGTTTACCTTTGGTATAACTTTCCTCCATGACAGAGGTCTGTTATTATCTTTTTTATGCGTGTACTGGAAGCCAGGGTTTTTATAGTAACCCTTGATAAAAAATTTATCGGTTGAAGTCTTCAGCATATGGAACAATTTGATACTTAATTTGTGGGAAACGCAATTTTTAACGACATCGACTCAAAACGCTCCTCGAGGCGTTCCTTCCAGGTTCAAAATTTGAATACTTGAGTGTCCAGCCTCGCCTTTGGCCATACTTTTTGCCCTTCCATGTATTTTTTAATTTCTTTAAGTTGAAGGAGATAATTTGTACACCAAAATTATGCAATGAAAAATAAAGGTCACCGTGCTCGTTCACGAGCTAAAGACCATCGTACCTCTTTACTTGGTCCATTGTTTAAAGACAATACCGTGTTCTCAGAATGTGCGCACGCTTATTCGTCGGATTACGTGATTTTAATGCGTAGTACAGAATGCGCAGTGCAATACTGGGGAATTACCTTAAGCCAAACATGCCAGCTTATTGATACATACCTAGTCCACTAAAAGAAGAGGAGTCTTCCTCACGGTTGTCTTCTTCATGTATCCATGAAAGTCTTCTTATCAGCAAATCGTCTGACGAATATGAGAGTATCGCTTGTGAAGACCTGCAACAGACGAAGAATAACGTTTGTAGATACGTCCACCTTCCATCTCTTTCAATATCTGATGTTCAAGAGTTACGAAGCCTCCATAATCGACAGAGTAAAGCATAACATGGCGTCCAAGTCGCACTTATCAGGCTCAGGCCTAAATGAGTGCGGTCCCCAGGTCCCTACGCAAATCTCCTTTCAAATGTAAGTGCACATAACTAAAGGTTTTTTACTCAAGGGTTTCAGTGACTTTTTCTATAAGCGATTTCCGACTGTGTAAGAGGCGCTGTGCCCGGAAAAGAGGCCTGAAGGAAAAACCAAACCACAAGAGCCACCTCGCAAGCTTCACGGACATTGCTAAAAGAGACTTCTAGGCTGTGATAGATTGTCGATAACCGGCCCTCATGGAAACCTTTGTTTTTTCCTGACTATGAAGTAGTGCTCAATTTTTTCCCACAATCGTTGTCTAAAAACAAGTCAGAAGAGATATGACTGTCTCTCCACACAAGTGACATCGGGTCAAACAGCTCTCAAACATTGTTTCAACTTTGAATTACATTCTAACTCACCCAGAGGCTTGGCAGTAGATGGAATCAAACTTCTACAAGAAAGTAAACACAAGAATTTGATTTAAACACTAAATTGCACTTGACTAGCTATTTTACCTGAAGTTGATTGACGTCAGATCATGAAATCATGATTTTACTACCCAAGGATTAACTTAGGTTCTTCCTGCGTGGAACTGTGAAATACTTTATACACAGTTAGCAGGTTTTCTGTTTTGATTTGTTTCTTACCCTGCTATAAAACTAGGGGGCCATTGTACCCCAACTACATGTACACGGCTACTCGCCGAGTACATGTAGTTGTCGAGTAGTTGCGGAGGCAAGCACAAAGCGAGCGCAGAATGCAAGTTACGCCCGAGGAGAGAAGGGTGAAAAAAAATGAATTTTTTTTTCGCTCCTCTCTTAACGCGACTTGCGCTTGCTTGGTGCTTGCCTCCGTTCGCCCGAGAAAAACTAAAATGTTTACACCTGTTCTGAAGGCTACTTGGCAACCGTTCTATAGGTCGAGATGAAACGCGACGGTGCTCTACGGTAACTGTATCACAATGCGTGACATACACTTGGAAAGGCTGTGCAAAGGCTTCAACTGAATAATCTCAAATTTGCTACAATAATGGCATACCTCAATCGGTTTGTCAAGAGAAAAATGTGTTGCGCCTAGGTCCAGTGATTCCGCTCCTAGCCTACCGCCTCCTTTAGCTTCAACTCCAGTGCTACAATGTATGATATCAAAAGAAGAATAAATAGTTAACCGATTATGGTTGCCCACAAAGGAAAGTAGTCAGCGGGTTTATTCAAAGATGTGCCTGGAATTAATTTATTGCAGGATATGTAAGGAAAAGATAATAACTGGGAAGATTTTAAACTCTTGCTCTTGAATGGAAAATTTTTCCCTGCATCTGAGCTTCTTTGGACTCTTCGGCAACAATTTCCACATCAATAGACGAAACCAAGAACATTTGTCAGGAAGCCATTACGGAAAAGGGCACTCTAAATGAGCCAACATTTTAACGAATATATTATTTTGGTTTTAATATAAACTTAATTTTTGCTGAGAACTTGACAAATATACAGACTCGTGTTTAAAAATGATTCACTCTCACATGCTAGTCACCTAACTCACTGGCTATTAAGGACTAGATAACGAGTAGTCCAGCCAATGAGACTGCAGCATTTGTGATAGAACACGAGTAGATCTTTACTAACAGAGGGGAGCACGGATGTACAGTTTAAATTTTATGTCAATTACCATCAGTAGTACTTATAATTATTATATATATTATGGTATTTATAAACTTTGAATTATAGCGGAGCTCGCAGAGCGTAGCCCCATAATTATACAAAATAGTAGCAACCCATCAAGCCGAAAAAATTTGGATGTACGACCGTACGACCGTGCGACCGTACGACCTTACAAGGTGCTACTTTTAACATGCGTGGTCAACTGTACCGCGGGCACGCCAACGCCACGGCTTTGTTCAGTAGTCCAGTGGTCCGTGCACTGGGCTCCGAGTCGGACGACCCGGGTTCTAGTCCTGGCCGGGGCAAGGCGTTGTGCCCTTGAGACGTATGGGAAGAAAAAAATGTGAGCTCCGCTTTTAGGCTTGGCTAAATCTATATATTATTATGACTCACCTAGAGATTTGACTTTGAATTGAGGTAAATCGCTAAGGGAAAATAAAAGACAAAAATTAACATCATGCGACATAAAGTTCTCCAGATATACTAGAAGAAGAAGTTGATGTATAATCCAAGGAAGAACAACCAAAGAACTGCTTCGAATAATAATGAGGGCATACCTCAATCGGTTTGTCGAGAGTAAAATGAGCTTTTCCTATTTCGAACGACTTCGGTTTACTCATAGTGCTTTCTCCAGCTATACTGTCAGAGCTACTACAGAAGGAAAGAAAGGTCTCTTTAATATTTAATAATAATATTATTTTTAAAGTATTAATAAGCTGTTGTGGGAGACGCCCAGCCTAGTGGAGATTGTGACGGACTAGGGATGTTGTGAGTCGTTTGGACTCGGGTCCCAGCTGAATCACTGTTTTGTTTTCGTAGGCAAGCCACTTTACTCTCAGAAAGTTCTCTTAGGGTGTAGCTATGTTGAGAAGTTTTTCAAAAAGTGGGACACGGTTACGAGTTTCGCGCGCCTTACGCGTAAAGAAGGATTTTCCTCAGCTTTACCTAGCAGGCTTGTTTTCTTTCGGCGAAAGGCAGTGGAAAAGATTTACGCTCTGAAAAGTTTTTGGATTTGTGTGTTTCGCCCTCTTGCATTTTAGGGGCTGAATGCTTCACAAACGGAAGGGTCACGGGCGCCCCAGCCTCCTCCCCCTACTAAGATACGCCCTTGGCCTGTTCTCTCCGACCAAAATTATGACTGGCCTGTTGAGGAAACTTGAAGAAACGTCGGGGAAACCAGTGCTGAACAAGACATGCAGGAGAAGTACTGTTACACAGTAGGTGGCAGAGTACTTTAACTTTAAAAACTGAGCCGGTGAGAAATACAGACCAGTCAACTGCAATGGGTAAGATATGAAGTCGAAGGGAATTTTTCATTCCTACATCGCAAAGACAGGGAACTATGACAAGTAGCTTAGTTTTCCAGTTCCTCAGATGTAGGAGACCTGATAGTTCGAGTTCCTGTCTTTCCTCTCCTGTTCAGGAAATCATAGTGTTTTGCGGGTTCCTTTAATGTCATGGTTCGGGGACTACTACTAGCAAATGGCAAGGTTGAAGAATTCGCGCAACAGTTATGGATGTTCCCAACTAATATGCGATTTGTAGAAGTTAATACAGTAAACACACCATAGTACTCGCTCATTCTCATTTCAGAACTTCTTATAAGTATAGGAATATAGGAATATAATCTCCCCATATGTGTTCGGCTTTTAATAACGAGTTGGATTTTTCCTTCACTTACCTGAATGCTTGACTTAGTTTCGAGTGATACTCCTAACAAAAGGATAACATACAATAATGAATTGTAAGTGCGATATTTATTCTTTTGGCAGTTCTAGGTTAATATTTTTTTTTCAATGAAGCCCATAAATAAGTTTAATTTAGCAACGAAGAAACTTAGTCAGTTAAACTGTTTAACTGAACTGAAAGTTGAACTGAACGTAAAAACCATGGAGTGTGCGTGCTAACAGCCCCTTAGAAAGATTTACCTCAATTGACTTGCGAAGGGTAAAATCTGTGTCCAGTATGCCAAACGATTTCTCTTTCCCCATTTTGTTTTCTTTAGACATATTGCAAGATGTTCAAGCTTTCTAGTCCATAACAAGAGCGTTTACACAGTTTCTCTTATGACGTATTTAGTTTCGTCATAATGGTCACGCGCGCACACTGTTCATCGCCGTGCGCGCTGCGTATCGCAAAGCAAGACATGAAGGTCATTAACAACGACGACGAATAATTTTTCTATTCGTAGAGGTGTGAGTCATTTAGATAGACACAAAAATAAACGTAGTTAAGAGATCGCGTCCGCTTTCGCTCATGCGATCTCTTAACTACTTTATTTTGTGTTGGGCGACCTATATATTCAATTGAATAAAGGGGGTAAGTTTCTAAAGAAACTGTGGTAGCGCGTTGGTGAGAGAGTATAACAGGGTAATTTAGTGTTAACAATATATGGCAGTTTGCGGTCTTTCCCTACATCTAAGCAGTTTGGAAAACCACGAAAAACTTGAACAAAAATTTATCTTCCAAATCGGCACTCTTAATTCCCACGGTATCGACGAGCGCTTGTCATTCAACTAATTTATTCTTGTTTTCTCGTCATCATATTCCCACCAATAGTATAGCTCCATTTTTTGCATATAAACCCACAGACAACTCACAATTCCTCCAATCGCCCTAACGAAGGGCTAACGCTCGAAACGTCAGCCATAAACTCTTAACGGTGGTCAATTTACGTTTTTAACTCAGTTGTTAACACTAAATTACCTATATATTCAAAGTTTGTTTAGATAATAAAATAATGGCTGCCTATAAGTGATCGAGCAAGATTATAATCTCTTAGTTCGGAGGAATTTGAAATATATCCCTTCGCTGAGCCTCTAACTGAAAGACATTGACGTTTCTCTTGGTCAGTAAAGGCGCGCGCAACTGGTTCATCGCGGGGTTCGCGATGACTTATGGGATATCCAGACGGGGTAACGCTTCGCAGAGAAAGTCAAGTACGATGAAATTCATTTGCGAGAAAGAACAACTTCATTGCAAACTCAGAATGAATTTTGAAAATGGACCACATGCAAGCGAAGATTTGTCTAGTGGTATCTGGTGCTATTATAAAAAATTGGCTCTTTTAATCTTTTGCGGATTTTAGCGGATTTTCCTCGATTTCAAATTCCTCGAAACTGAGAGATATCTTATTCTCTTATGGGAGCCAATGCTTTTTTACCTAAACGAACTTTGAACATATAGGTCACTGATCCTCTTTTATTTTCATACCAGTGAAGAGACTCACTCTACTCAAACGCAGCGGTCCATACCCATTGTAACTGGTGGACTGAATTGTGACTTTGGGTCGCTTGACTTTCTCGTGATTACTGAAAGCAAGCAACCCCAAACAAATGTATAGAAACTCAATAGCTGTCCAGAGGGCGGATTAATATGCATTTCTTATTTACTTTAGCCTCGGATTAGTCTCCAAGCTGGCCGTTTCAATCCTCTTACGATGTCTTAACGCCTATCGATCACCGTTACTTACCTAGCCAACTCAAAAAATGTCAAGTGCTTGGATAAATATTACCTCTGCTTTGTAAACACAAATTAACAATCCTCAAAAGTAATTTCGTAAATTTTACGAGTCTTTATTACGGAAATTTGACATACATCTTTTCATCCGCTCCATTTTCCAAAGGAGATTTTTGCAGTGATCCAGGCAAAGTAGATTTTGCCAACGGCAACACGGTAACACGGTGGAAATTACTTAAAAGAAAATGAAAAAAAAAGCTATTGATGTGTTTGATGGTTATGGAAGAAATGTCTTTTGCGACTTCGGAAATTCCATAGTTTTAAGAATCCATTCTGTCTGCTTCGTAAGCTTGAATCAGTCGGGAAGCAGAAGGCCGTACTAATTAATCAGCTTGACCGCCGAGATAATAGAAGTTTACTTTTGTGTTGTTGGGCGTGCCGACGGGAAAGGGACTAATTCATCATTCCCGGAATATCCGGGAAAATAACATTGACGTCAACACGAGTTCTATTTCAGTTTGCCGCCTGCGGCGATAACTCGTTTTATTTATACGCTTTCCCGCTCTACAAGAGGCGTACTTGGCCGTTGTTCGTCCTTCAGGACAAAGCTGCAAGCGTTTATGCGCAAAGGTAAGCAGAATTAATATTTTGCATTAGCTAGAATAAAATCAATTGTTCAGCCTCTCCTTTTAATGAATGAGCGCTCTAGCTGCGTGTAACATTGAGGGGGAGGATTTGTGTTGGAGTACGTACGTGTTTACAATCCTGCTGACTTTGAACTGAATCTATCATATTTATATTTTTGTCCTATGGTCTTTTTAGTCTCCAAGAGTGCGAAGCATTTAGGCATTGCTCGTCCACTTTAGCGAGTAAAAATCGAGCAATCTTTATTGTTAAATGCTCATTTTCTCTCGTGATCCTCTGAGGCCGGTTTTGAGTGCAAAGTGTGGTATTTGTGACGGATTTAGTCGTGATACAGAGAGCTTTCGTCGTTAAAGCTACGCCTTGCACGCTTGCATGGTCGTTACTTGAGAATTGCGCCCATGCATTAGAATATTCTCTGGTGATTAAAAAGTCATGCATTCATCCCTAAACAGACTTAAAAAAGATGAGCTCATTCGATTTTACAAAGGAATGTTTATTTTGCATTTGAAGTAGCAAGACTCTATAAACGTAGTGAAATCACTGCATTTTTAAGCAATATGTATTCAATGAAATCCTTATCTCGGAATTTGTTCTTGACCAATTTTGACTCATTGTTACATGAATTTGTTCCATGTGCATTCAAGATGTCATCGCCCACAAAAAATTTCGGAAAATATTTGTCACTAGTTTCGGTTTCATGCATCGGTTTATTTTCCTTAGCATTACGGGGGCATAGGAACAGGATTATAACAATTTTATCGTAAAATCCTGGAAAATCTCAAATCCTCTTATAAGAATTCGCAAGTGGTGCTGATGTTTTGGCTCAGAGTATTGGCCAAAGGTCGTGACCTGGTATTCATAAACACCATCCCACCCGTGCATTCAAGACAGATAACTGGTAGGACAAACTCGCCCAATTTACATCCGGTTAAAAGATAATTAAGGTATATCCGGTCATAAAATACTGGCGGCGGCGACGACGCGAAAATTGGTCCGATTTAAAGATATCTTTTGTTTAGTTGTGAAATGAAATAGCTGAACACGATTAGTGCATTGATTTTACTTTAAATGAAATACCAGCATTTGTTCTGTTTCTGAGAATGAAATCTTGGTCGCGCCTAAGGTCCCATAGAAAACTAGTGGATAATCTTCTCTAAGCTTCAAAACACTTCAGGATGCCACGCAACGCTACCCTCTGTTACACAGTCTCCATCGCGGACGTTGTTTGTTGTTGTCTCACTGGACGTTCGCTTAGTACCAGAGAGGTTCGCTTCAGTACCAGAGAGCGTTGGTGAAGGAGTGAACGACTTGCGTGACACGAACTAACATCGCCTGCAAAGGAGGCAAGATTTCATATCTAAAACGACCACCATTTCAAGTCCAGCGTTTTCCCCATGGATATATTCTTGACTTTTCGCCCTTAAGGACAGACTTGAATGAAGTTTTTCATGCGATTGACCAAGGTCAGCCGGCTGAAGTCAGTGTGCACTAAACTAGCTGGAGTCATCCGCTGCCAGTGCCTTCTGGTCTCCTAAAGCTGCTGTTTTGTGAAGGAAGGATGAGTATTGTTCGTCTCAGTCACTGCTACTGGTATATGACTCCATGGATGTATTTGTTAGTGCCAAAAAAACTCATTTGAATGTAGATCACTTACTAGTCTACCGCCAGGCTCTAGTGGAGACAAGCGAAGGGCTTGTTGGTGAAAATCATTATAAGGCGGGAGATTAGAAAAGCTGATTTCCCGAAAATCACCACGCGTCGCTCGCTCGTCATCTCACCCTACTCCGTGGAGAGCCTGGTAAACGCTGCCGTGCTAGCATGGATGTTGTACAGCGATGACCTCTCCTACTTTTCGTAAGCTTTTTCGGGAGAAAATTTTCACAGTTGTTGTTGCTGAATTTACAGGTTTTGTTTATCAAGCCCATCTTGGCGCTGGTTTCATTTTAACTGTGCATCTCTCTTTTTCACTGGCCACCCTCAATAGCTTAATTCTCTTTATCTAAATTGAAATCTTTTGCCATTTTCATTGTGACAGTGACGCAAGAAAAGGATTGATGTGCTTCGCGAAGCTATGTTGAGTTGAGACATGCGCGCGATAGGCTTTGCATAGTTTCACCCATTTTAATCAAATTCGCTATTCGAGAATGTTATTGAGTATGTATTTCAAAGGTTTGTCATATCCTCCAAAGTTGACTCTCTCAACCGCAAATATAACGAATTAAACATGTTCGTGCTTTAGAAGAGCTTAAACGTAGTTATCAGCCCGAGCAAAAGATATATCCTTTGATACAACGCGGCATATCAGATAAAAATTATGATATTGCTTGGGCATAATCACGTTACAGTATTATCATGGCACGATCGGTCTTTAAAAATTGCTTTTAGGCTTACCAACATCCTTTAATTATCGAGTTCATTGGTCAGTGTCCGGAGTTGCTAATTTAATTTGTGATGAAGAGACAACAAATTAACACACGCGTAGGGCCGAGTATACCAAGAATATTTCAGAACAGGTGAATATTCCAAAATGTGGTTACCTTGTGTATTTATGACTGATTCAAAACAAACCTCGCAACGTCATTTTTTTTACATTTTTCTACGCAGATAAGCCGTATGCCATTGAAATTAGTCCAACATTTCTCTCTCTTCTTATCTCTGGAGATCACACATCTCAGAAACACTTACGGCGTAAAGAGCGGCATTGAAAACGGACATTATTGAACATGTATGTCGTTATCGGCAAATTTGGCATATTATAACGTATTTAAAAGTAAGGTAATACCAATGCTGTATTCCTAAGTGTTCAGTATACATGTAACCAACATAGGACATACCTAAACAATAGTACGGTATTGTAAACTTTATTCTAACTGCACTATCATACTAATTGTAATTTAATTATTTCGACGTTGTCAAAACTTGGTTTGTTGTTCTTTCCGCGACCGGCAGAAAAACGGCGCCTTGGACTTCCGTGGAGTTGACGAGATTTCACAGAATTGCCAGTCCACTACCACATCGAAAGGGTCAACGCAAATTTCAGAACAGTAGCCTTCATTATTGGATAACAGCCATGACCTCGCAACTGGAAGCTGTTGTCGTTGGCGAGTTCTTTTCCCGAGCGGTGGGCGAATGCGATTGTCCGAAGAATGGCGATGTTTTGTCGAACGATTCGCAACGGCTGGAAACCGATACCATACAGAAATTTTTATCGGTCTGCTTAAAGCAATATTTTCACTGCTTCCCAGACAACACAAAGGTAAGTTCTTTTTCCGAAACGCTCCTCGTGAACTGAATTTCAATTTTTCCGCTGAGGGTCCGTTCTTGATTGCAGTAGGAAATTGATAGTTCGTGACCGCGGTGCGAACGATGATTAAGCGCGGTTTCACCTTTTTTCTCGATTATAAGCAAAAAATGGCACTAAAATGTCAGGTAGGATTCATTTTTTCTCCGTTATGAGATTTTCTGTCCGAAAAACTCCGCCGGCTGGTGTTTTCTATCAACGAAGTTGCAAGGATTTTTTTTTTTTTATCAATTTGGAATGCCTCTCTGAAAGACTTTCTCATAAAACGTTTCTCTCGCCGTGGGTGGAACTGTGTCATCTGTAATCTCCTAATCTTCCACTAGTTCTTAGAGGGGTTTATTCAGACACTAATCAGGTATATCAGTTAAATTTGCATCAAAAGTCCAGTCTTCAAATTTCCGTGAATTTCCAGTTCTCCCCACAATGCCTTAGGCAAGCTGAATATCGTAGGATACCTCTCTTTGATCTTTCCGGATTTCTTTTAAGTCCGTAAATGATTATCAAGGTAATGGCAATTAGCAGATATTTCACGAATTCAAAATATTTCTTCTTCTGTTAATTGCCTTACTGCGGTGGAGAAAAGAAATGCAGTAATTGTTAGCTAAATTTTTGCACAACAAGCATTTCCTTTCCGTTATTTACTCATTTTTATTTATTGTAGCTTGAATGGGTGGCCGAGAAACTCCTAGAAATCTCCTGTCATCATAAGCTGTCATTTCACCACTGAGTGTGACCTTGAGTTGCTTGTTTGCTAAGAGCTTAATGATATCAGTCAAAAGCAGCACTTCACAGCTTTTGTTAGCTAATTAACTCGAAAGAAAAGCAAGGAACTACAAATTTGTCGATTTTGGAAGCAAATTCTTCCTAGGAATATAATCCACGAATCATCTGCGAGACTACTTTGGTTTACTGGGTAACGTCAGTCTCAGTTAAAAGAAGTTGTCACGACGCCATAAATAGCTTAACGCGGTGATACTTTTGGCAACATTATATCCAGTTACCTTTGACTTCCTTGGTCGGGGAGAACTCAGGGAAGAGTAGTCTGGGAACAATACCAAATTGCTTTGTGTGTATACAGGCTAAGAGAAAAGGCGATGCCAAAAATGTTATGCGCAAGTGGTATCTCTATCGAGAAAACAGTTAAAGAGGCCATTTTCTTTCTCAATACTAGAAACTTGAGTGATGTACAGTAGGTACTCGATTTGCCAGAGCACGCGTTTTTCACACCAATTTTCGGGGCTGAGATCAAAGGGGAAACTGTTCCTTTGTCAGTGTGTCTGGTCTCTTGGGCGTGTGTTATTCGTGTGTTCGTCAAGTGTCCGCCACGCTGGGTCATAAAACCTATTGTTCTCTGTCATCATTATATCGATTTCAGCCTGAGAAAGTATTCATTTTAAGGGCGACTGAAATCGTCGGATTAATGCAGAGAGAGAACAGTAGGATTTTGCTAACTTTGCTGAGGTTTGGGTATAATGCTGCGAACCTCAGTAATTATCTATTAATTATTGCGCGGTTAAGCACTGCTAACTTTGCTTTGGAGGGTGAGGTGGGGGCTGGTGAAATAAATTGATTATCTCTATATCTATTTAGGAAGTAGATCGACAAAACTTATACATGTGTGGTCTCTCACAGCTTAGATCGATTAAATAACATACTTCACAAGTTGGAACTTTCTTGTGATCATTAATCTTGTTGCCATTATCTTCCACGTTTTTAATCTGACAAGTACCATGAAAATGAAAAGCACCAAAGGAGAAAGAGGAGTTAAAATGGAGAGAAATAATGTTGAAAGAACTATTCATATTTCTGTAAATTCGTACATTCTTGCGCCTAAGAATAATGACAATGAAGCACTCGCCGCCGCCCCCCCTTACCCACCTATAAACACTCATCACCGTGAAAAGTTTGTTAGTACCAAACTTACATCCTCGTTAGTATAACGGAACTTTCTCGACTCCCAAACGTAATGTTAAGTGTATTTTTATAATCTTGTAATAAAGGTTTTAACCTCAACCTGAAAAATCCTCTTATCACTTAAGGCAATCAACTCTTTAATCCCTAAGAGTGACGAGCACCTAATTTCTCCTCACAGTGTCATCCCTGAATTACACGTAAAGGTCGTGGGAATAAAGGAAATGATCACCAACTAAAGAAGCTCTTGTTGGTAAACAAATTCTCCTGGTCAGCACCTAAAGAAATGTATAGAAACAGTTAAGAGAATATGTAGGCTGATGTTAGGGTGTAAGGGCTTAAAAAGGGATGACGTGAATCTAATAATCAACCTCGGTCGTATGAAATTATCAGAATGTACCAAGAACTCCATGCATGTTAAGAGAAAGGATGAATTTCATGGTGACTACAGGCTGAAGGGACAAAGACGCACTAAAACTTTTTGCCCAGGGATTACGCATCAGTGAATGTTTTATTTTGCACATCTACAGGAAACACCTGAGGGCAACAATGTGGGAAGCCAATTGAGTGCAGATGTTTCTTGCAAATTTTGCAAAGACGACATGGTACCAGTTACGCTGGCTTTGAAGGTGAGATTTGTAGATACCATAGAACTGCTCTTCTGGGACACTTTCATCTTGATGTCATTCTCATTCTCAGAACCCATATTTGAGTCCCCCTTTTCAAGGGACATTTTCTCTTATACCGACGGGGCCCCCCTGGGTATTAGTCACCCTGCAGCTTAAACATTCAAAGAACGGACTGGAAGCCTTAAACAGGGAGTGAACTTGGCATTATGCCTTCTTTTAACCTAATTGGAAATACAAGTAAGCTTGACATGACTTTCAGGGGTCATTATACTCCATTAGGACACATATATCCAGGCATCCATCTCATTCGAGGCATGCAAACATGAGTTGCGACTGAATAGAAATCTCTACAAACTTCCTACAATTTGCCTTTATTGATGGGATCTCTTGACAAGAACATTTTCTGTAATCCCGAGGGCGTTCCCTGAGTATAAGTTTCCCTGTATTTTTAATATTCGTAGAAGGGACTGGAAGCCTTAAACAGGGAGTGAACTAGCAGCATAATTGCCAAAATTGTTATTAATCTAATTGAAACGCTGTCTAAATAAGTTGGACATGACTTCCAATGGTCGATTTGCCGTCAATTACTCAATTTTCCGTCTTAGAACGGCTAACGAAATAAGTGGATTTTATCTTAGGTAGTATCAAGGTTTGAAGAGAGAATAGATCGGCGTAACACTGCCACCCCTCTCCCATAGCTTCATGGTTACCTTCCCCTTCCCCTTCCCCAAAGCTTCATTTATACCTTCCCCTGCCCACCCCCCTCCCCCTTTTCGGGCCAGGCCCTAAAACCAACATTGCGTGCAATTTTATAAGCTAGAAGGAATTATTTCATTACAATTTAGAAGTCGAAAATTTAGGCACTGAAGACAGTTGATGATGGACTGAAAGCTTCAGTTATATTATTTACTGCAGCTCACCAGCTCGTGTGAATGCTGATGTTATAAAATGCTTCGAGATCTCGACTAAATGTCAGCTTTCAAATGACTTTTCAATTCATTAAATCTTATGAAAGTAAACATCGGAGATTTATTTTCAAGTCTTACTTAGAATACAAAAAAGGCACTAAGGGAAATGTTATTTTGGTATACATCACATCTATGCGCCTGACAAACCCTTTTGTGCAGATAACTGCTGACGAAGAGTGCATAAAGCAGACGCGTTTGGCTATAGGCTACATTGTATTTACAACATGATATTGCGCTTAGCATTTTTAATTCTTTTCACCGAAACTTTAGATTTAAAATACTAACAAATACTCAATTGTTCGAGATACGAGATTAAAAGGTCACATTTACGATCGACGAAGTCTAGCCAGGAAATTTTGTGGTTTAAAATACTCTGGCATCAGTCATCATCAACATCTGTCTGCATGGTTAACACATAATTCATTCCAGTGCAAGCACGCGTCATCGAAAAAAATTACGATACCAGAGAATGAATTTTAAGAGTGTCTTCCATGCATACCTTGTCACATTACCAAGCATGAGCTAAATACAATATAGACTACTCGCATTATCAAGTGCATATTGCCTAAAAACTACTCTGACATCTCAAATTATGTGGCTTTATGCACTTTTTAAACATTCTTCGCATGGCTAGTCGACACAATTACATTTTTGTGAGAATTGGGCGGGAAACTATTGTTTCACAAACAAACGAACTCGGAAACCTCTCTCATAACTTGTTCAAAATACAATGCGGCAATATCTTTATGCGTGCCAATACTTCAATTTATTCAGTTCCATTTTTCATTCCGGCGCAGAGATCATATGATTAATGACATGCTGGCTCGCAGACTGTCTCAAAAAGCCGCTTTAAATCAGTTTTAATTCTTCTTTGAAAATTATGAAACGAAAGCTACTTAAAACTTAAGGTAAGTTCCATGTTCATTTGTGGTAAATTTTTCGAATAGTGAAGTCAGTTTCATGGAGACGACAGTGTTCAAGCGGTGAATATCGAAATTCTTGTTACAAAGGAATTTCTAGTCGATTCCTGTCGACGTTCTAAAAGAACTTAAACACAGCGGAATTAAAAAGGCTTAAAGTAGAGTGGCAGTCAATTAACGTAATGATGTGTAATACATGAAAAGGATTTAAATCGTGTTTTCAAAAGAAACAACAGAGGTAAGATGGCACTGCTACTTAAAACCGCAATCGTAAACTTTGAACAAATTCCAATTCTCATAGCCGTGGGGCTTCGATAATGTTTTGATTAATGTTCGCCTGTGGCGATGAAATCATTAGTTGTGATCGAGATAAACGGTTCTCTGTCTCGCGAAGCACCCATTTATTCACAAAGTTTGAAAGTGATTTGCTTACAACCAACAGACAGCCACATTTTTAAGTCACGAAAACAAGTCTACAAAGAGCGCGAGGAACGCTGAATATTTATCACGGCGTTTTGCTAGGAAATCAGGAAAATAATTTTCCGCAAATAAGTATTTTTCGCTCAAAATCGATAGAGAGTTTCTAAACTATCTTTGTAAATTTTGCAATTATTCGTCGCGTGAGATAATAGGTAAGTGGTCCGATAATTTAATGGAAACAGTTCTTTTCTATCACGCGTTAACGCGTGCAATACGTTTGTCATTATACATACAAGTTGAAAGTCTTGTTGAAAGATGCGATGGTGAAATATTCACATCGCTGTAGACCGCTTCACACCGTATTTCCTTTCACATTCTTTAATGTCATGTATCGGAAACCGGCGCTGGCGTTTCAAAGATTCGTCGGACTTTATGGGAAGCGTCGCTTGCTTGTGAAAATTTAGCGCAAATTTGTACACATATTTTCATCTTTGTAGTCAAAATGGGTAGCAAATCGCGGTTATCGCTAAAATATTCGATGTTGTCTTCCCCACAGAATCATCTTGACGTCTGCCCTTTATTTCCAGTCAAATGTCCTAACATGTGTGGAAAGATGGAGGTGCCAAGGGAAAAGGTAAGCTCTTTTTTAAAACTCGGAACTAAGGCCGCTTTATATGAGTTTCGTCAAACGAGCTGGCTAGCCTGGTTTCTGAAATCCCAATGATCTTTCCTTAACTATGCTTTCCACTGCAAGTAACATCGTTCTTTACTAAAGGAAAGCTCGGTTAGCTTGATCACGGTTTTAATGACCTAGTACTAAGTAATCGGGAGTTGTAAGATTCCCTGACCAGGTCAGTTTTCTCCACCAAAGCTGAAATTTCTCCTGTGATCGGCAGTGGTCGGACTGAATTTGCAGCTCGGTAACCGCGATGGAATTTTCCTTCTGAAAGGGAAGCAACTTAAGCGAGATCGTGCCGCTAAACTGACGATCTCGGCTCCTGAACCCAGATGAAGTGATCTTAATATATAAGCTAAAAATTCAATATAATGAATTGCTGTCGAATTTTTTGATGAATATCAACCATCGACCTCAATTCCCTACAATTTATGTATTATTCTGTTCTTAATTTTTGCGCAAATTATGTAATGCTTTTCATGATCCGGCTGGCTGCATTTTATTGACAACTTATTTTTAGCGTTTTAAAGTCAAATAATTACGGATTTTGCTGGATTTTCGAAGTTCTTGATATACTTCGGGAGAAACTAAAATTTCTTTTAAAATTAGTCATTTTCATCGTACATGAGCGAGGGTACTAAATATTTGCTGCTAGGGAAATAAATTGATTTTACGATAAGAACCATCTGTCGATATTAGAGGTTATCTATGCAGAAACATCTTAATTTATTTTAACGATGTTATAACCACAAGAATTATAGATGAACAACCAGATAGAAATAATCTGTTACTAGAAATGCAACTAAATTGTAGGAATTTGAAAAAGTTCATGAAAATATTTGGGTTAAACTCGCCATGGTTTCATTGTTTTAAAATGCAAGTTTATCTAATCTGATCACAATTTATCTTGACCCCAAGTAAATGTTAAACCTTCCGCTATTGCATATCGTTTGGAATTTTTGCAATATTCTGTCCCCAGTAGCCTCGACTATAGCATTCTTAATTTTCTCTTCAGTTCTGTGGAGTCATTTGTTGAAATAATTATAGGAAATTTGAGGAACCTTTGAGGATGTGAATTCGGGTCTCCACTATTAAACATATGTTTTAAAGAATTTGAATTCAGCGAAGCTCTTAATGCCATCGCCTTTTACTCTTGATCCGTTCTGCTGCAAACTTGCATAGTGTGGAAAGGATATTTTATCAGCAATAACGGCGGATTGTAACTCGAACAATGATAAAAGATTTAAATTAATGATAAAAACCAAATACTCTTCGGAAACTACCTCCAAGGAATTCAAGCAGACTGAAAGTATAACGATTCTCTGTGAACTGTATTGATTACTTACGGAAAACTAAAGTGATACAACATTAAGGCAGAAATGAGCATTGCATTTGCATGCGATTTTCCTAACCGCTGGACATTCAATTTGCATTTATATGGAGATTTGTCTGGAGTAGGAAGTCTGTACTTAAACGACCTTTGACCAAGTAGATCAAGAAAAGGCGCCGACATGGTGCGTTTTATAAAAAGATAAGCTGCTTCTACGCAAAACTTCTTTTCCGGCTTTTAAAAAATATTTGTAACTGAAAGATTTGCAATTGACGGACTTGACAAAGGTGTTTTCTTTGCCAAAGAACTCCGCAGCAATTTAGATCACGCAAAGTTGGATAAACTTAAAAGTGGAAAGTTCACCGAAACGAGTGTTTTTTTTCGAAGTGATGACGACACCTTGTCAATAAAGTCAATGTTATGTTGTAGAAATTTGAAACTTTCAGCTTAAAGCAAAAAGGGCTGTCCAATTAGAGTTCTACGAACTTCAACGATAACAAAATATAATGTTTTTTTAGCCTTAGGCTACGCGCAGCTTTACCACCCACAGAAAAAGATATAAAAACAACAGATGATTCATTCATCTTCTGTGCTACTTTCTTAATCGATAAACTGCTACATGTTTTTTCGCAAACCAATGTAAACGGTGCTTTTGTGGTTTTTAAATCGCAGCTTTCCAATCATATCATGGAAGAATGCCCGAAGACCTGCGAACAGTGTGTCTATCAAGACATTGGATGTGCCTTCCAGGTAATTTATATCAGTTGGGTTTCAAAACTCTGCCGTTTTGTTTTGTTTTGGTTTTTTTTTACTGTGTTTTCTTCCCCTGGTCACGATAAGTTATTACAAATAAGATCTATCACAGAAGTAAAATTCAACTTAAATTTAAGGGACACAAAAAAACGTCAGTGCTCTCGAGTACAGTTTTAACCCGGAGTTTGATGTAAGTGCATGCCGAAGAAATGGGATCAAAAAGTCTTTAGCGATGTTCTTTATACAAAAGAGGCAATCAGAGCAAGGCACATATACGTTTCTCCTTGCCGGAAAAAAAAAAAAACTTCGCGTGTTCGAATGCCGGTAAGGTGGCATTACGAACATATACTATCGTGAAATCAATGAACGCTCCAGAGCTATACATGAACGTATCAGTTGTCAATAGCTTGTGTTGCTTGAGTCGTGAAGCGAAGAAAATGTTAAATTCAGTATGCAAAAAGTGCTCAAATATCCCTAGAAACCGACTTTCTATTCCAAATAATAAAGATGGAAACGTGCATGCACATTTAAATATACAGCATGATAGAAAATGTAGGATGAACCATAAACATCATTTAACTCTCTTGTGCTAAGCATGTGACTATGTCTGATTCGTGACCGTTCAATCTCTTCGGTCCAAAATCCTCGTCTTAAAAATAAGTAACTCCTTCCACGTTTTCACTGGGTATCAGTCTATTTCATGGTAATTTCTGAGACAATGGAAGACGCAAGTAGTTGTGATTAGCGTGGAATGATGATAAAAAGGTACCCCCTTGTCAGCATTAAGATTCTAGATCTACGGAAATCATAATCAGATTCTCGTTAATCAAGCCATGGAAGGCTCATCAATTCGCTAGGCTATATGTTAAGGTTTCCATACTATCTCAAATATTGTTTGGTAATGATTCGTCCATCATCATGATTGCTGGTTCTTGCTCTGTGTACCAAAGCGATCCCAAAAATATCGAAAATGTGACAGAATTGTGACTCAAGGTGTAGGGGGAACTAATCAGTAATTCGTAAATCCTTGAGGCTTATGGGAGCTCAAATTCCTAACCTAAGAGATATTCTCAACCCGTTAAGGATAAAACAAATGATTGACTGAGGTGGGTAACATCCTGAGGAAGCATCTTCGGAAATCTCCTGCTCTGTGAAAGCAGCTTACCTGAGTATTACTGCGCCGCTAACATGGGTAGTAATCTAACTCGAGATAAACACTTAACTTCATTAATTAAGTGAGGATCACGCTAAGAAATTGAGCCTGTCGAGTGCCTTTGGTGATCCTTGTTGAGTTATTTTTAGATCACTCCCATTTCCGAAGTCCTGGGAGTGTCTAGAAATACCCAATCCTATACTACGGATGTGGGCATCCCACGCGGCTTTTAATCCTTTTTCGGCCAAAACATTTTATGTATCACGCGAGATAGAGGGGGACCAGATACCCTCAGTGTGAAAATAACTATAAACCTTTAGAATAAGCCATAATGTTGGCAATTGTGTCCTCTCAACTTGAGATCCGTCTACTTCTGTAAATCTTCATTTAACTCCTTATATTTTTACTCAAACATGACTTTTGCAGGGTCCTAGAAGTGACTTGACGAAGCACCTTCAAGACAACTCTGAGGAACATCTACAATTGGCTTTGGAAGTGATCAAAGAGCAGAGAACAGAAATGGGAATACAGCGAGGGCGACTGAGGAAACAAGAAGAAAATATAAATCAGCTGATGGAAAGTGTCGGCAAACTGACAGCTCTGTGTGAGGAAACGCTAAAAAATAATGCCGACCAAGAAAAAACGATGAATCGATTGTCTGAACAGTTAAAAGAGCAGAAAAAGCATCAATCTAAACACGAAAAGGAGTTGAGGCAGAGAATGGCCGAGTTAGAGAAACATGAACCGGAAATGCCCCAGAACGGGTTAGCTCGTTATCCAGGACTCAACGGTTACGGAGAACTTGTTTGGCGAATTTCGAATTTCTCCCGAAGATTACAACGCGTTCAGTCGGGACGCGGCGAAGACCCAATGACAAGCGAGCCCTTCTATACTTCGGCATTTGGCTACAAGATTGTCGTGTGGGCCTACATCAATGGTAGAGGCAAAGAAACTGGGCGTTCCTTGTCTTTGTACGCATGCGTCTTGTGTGGAGAGTATGACGCAGTACTTTCCTGGCCGATCAAACCTCGGTACACGTTTTCATTGTTGGATCAAAATCCAGATCCTGAAGCGAGAAAGGATTTAACTCGCACACGAAAAGTTCACGACTTCAAACGTGATGACGTCAGAAGAAAAGGAATTGATCGGCCTGGTCGAGATGAGAGAGCCATCATTGTCGGATTTGATGATTTTGTTAGACACGAAGAACTTGAAGCTGGCAACTTTTTAGCGGATGATATTCTATTTGTTCGCATTCTTGTTGATATTCCTGAATCTTGAATTACCCTCTCATCCTAGAACAACCTCGCTTCTTTACTTGTTAAGTCGTTTCATTTTTGGTGTTAAAATTTCCTACAAAAGTGACGTTTTCAACACAGGAGTCAAATGTCGGGCATGCGCAGTGAGATCAATTTCTTTGCCAGCTGCGCGCCTAGTTCCCGCGCTAACAATTCGCTCAATAACCTTTACCTAAATGACAACACAAGACAACTTTGGGAGGTAAGAGTGTGCTCGTATTTAGTTTTAAAAAAGGAAAAAACGAACAAAGAAACTACGTAACAAACAGTACAACTTTAAGATTCATTACACTCTCTTAAAATTGCCACCCTCATCTTATATCGCATGACAGCAAGATCAGAACATGTACGAGCAAATATATTACAATAGACCGCGTACAAAACTAATGGAAGCCGTTCATTAACCAATTTTCAACATTACGTATAAATTAAATAACTCCTACCATATGGAATTAATATTTTGTTACAATTTTTTGACTTCATAGTTGGTTTGCGTATGCCCAAGTAAAATGATTCAAATGGCCTGCAAGCTAAGGACATTTAATGCCTATGAAAAAAAAAAAAAAAAAAAAAAAAGTCTCCTCAGGCCGTTTTCATCCCTTTTTCCTCTACCTACATCTAATAGAATAATTTCATTTTTCAATATAATTGTATCATCCATTTATCCAATACAAGGTTGATGGGTACAGTTTCAATAAAAAAGGTTGAAACACTTCCTTATTTATCTATCTATGATATTGGCTCCTTGCATTGAAAACAAGGAAAATTATTTTGATTGTTTTAATTACTGCACGCAAAGCTCATTGCTGTTGCAATGTAGATTCAAGATTATTTGATTCTTTTCTTCACCTTTTTTTCTAATATTATTGCATCCATTCCATGAGGCTTTGAGCGTATTAAATTGGCGCCTGCGCCACAGCTTTATAACAACCTCATGCCCAAGGTTTCCCTGGTCACCCTTCCCTTCGAGACCCTGTGAAAGAGGTTGCATCTACAAAAGTTCGAATTACACTTCAATTTCACACTCGGTTGGCATGACGAAGTTTCACAAGCATTATCCCTCGAAAAACCCTAGTAATTATTACCAACATAAGATTCCGCCCCGTACCAAGTTACTTATTTTTTAAGCTCTAGAAATCAGTCTTGAATGATATCAGAATTGAGCATTGTCAAGAAATGCACCAAATCACGTTTACTCGACATGTTAAAGCAGCAATATAAGATTCAATTTTAAAAAATCTCTTCAAAATCAAGTAATGAATGAATATCTAATGAATGTTCGTTCTCAATAACAATGGCGTCTATGAATTGCAGTAGACGTATTTTAGTTGAGTCTATCGCTGAGATTCTTAGATTACTTAGTGTAAGACACCGCATCTGCAAGAGTCCTCTCAGATAGTTGCGTGACGTCCCATCTCGCAAAAGACTACCTCACGTGGACTTGCCTGACGGTCTATGTGACGTTGAGTTAAGGAAAGCCCTGTGGTTCCTGCGACCAACGAAATCAAAGAGACAATTCGCTGAGGCGATATCTGCAATCGTTATTCATCCGTGTTTTTTTCTGAGTGCGTAAAATCATCCTAGTCTCACTGGTCGACATCCTCGGTCACTATTATTACAAAAAACACGTCGCATGACCTCTTACTTGACTTTTACCCTGAAAGGCTTCCGTGAACGATAAGGAATTGGCAAACTCCAAAACCAGTGAAGAATGATTGTCGCTTGCCCTTCACTGAAGTCACAATTGTAACCCTCTCTGCAGATTACAAGTCACAGAATATTTCATCTCAGAACTGCATGCTCGCGTAGCTTGGCCCTTGTTGGCCTCCGCCGCTTGACAACTGGTTGTTTGACGCGGTTCTTTGTAAGATGAACTAACTGGACCGGGGTGGCTGAAACGAAGAAGTAAAATTACATCAAACCTTAGCCATGATCGACGGACAAATCACAAGGAGTATACAAAAAAATAAAACTGAGAGAAGCAGGAAAGCAAAACATCTTCGTTGAACTGTTAAACCCCTCAAACCCTAGCATCAGTATGCATATTCTCCACACAGTTCTACATACATTTCCTAAGAATTTGTTTAACAATCAAGAGCTTCTTTAGTTGGTGATCATTTCCCTTATTCTCATTAACTTAATGTTTGATTCAGTGGTGATATTGTAAGGAGAGATTAGATGCTAGTAACTCTTAGGGGTCATAGGGTTAAGTGTCTAGAAAGATTTTCAAAAACACGCATCATTAATTCCAACACATTTCAAATGTTCAAGTCCACCATTCGACAATAAATGAACGATGCATACATTAACCCTTGAATTCCCATGAGTGGCCAAGACAGAATTTTCCGCTACAATATCAATACAATATCAACCAGATAAGTGATGAGAATAAAGACAAATATCAATTTGGGGATAATTAGTTGATCCAATACTAAATTCTCTGAACTAACACTGTAAGAATTGTATGGTTGACAGTAAGAAGAATTAAATCACTCCATCAGACTTTCAATTCTGTTTCGCTTTCAGGCTTCGTTATGTTGCTCTAGGACCTTTGAAACGATAAAAACCGTCATTATTTTCGAATTCTCTCTTTTTGTCACAATTTCGCACGGGGAAAACCTTTTCGTGGCTCTAACTCTAACTGAATAAGCATTTTCACTCCCAATATCTGGTTATCAGTTCTCCTTTCTTGTTATTCTACGATTCTCTTTGACTTTTTTCCCGAGAATTTGGTGTTTTATCCAGAGGAGACCCTTTTATTAAGACATTTACCTTTTCTCATCAACGGATTAAGAACATTAATGACGACAAAAACATACGAGTTAATCTTTTCTAGAAGAAAAAAAATTTAAACTTTTAACTCTCATAAGTGACCAAGGTAGAATTTCTCCTTATGGTGTCAATTCAATATCAAGCAGAAAAGTGATGAGAATAAAGACAAATATCACCGAGTTAGGGGATCAGTAGTCGATCCAATGCCAAATTCTCCGAACCAACATCATAAGAATTGTATGACAGACAGCAAGGAGAATTAGTAATGAGATCTTGGGGGTGAAAGGATTAAGGGACTTTACGGGAGTGACAGCCAGCAAACTAAAGTGTTTAAGGCTCATTTCCTACTCACCAGGGAGGTCAAAGGAAACTGCGTACTCTTCCACTCTCTCCTCCTCAGTTACCTCTAAGTCGTCATCTGTTTGACAATCATCACTAGTCATGTCTTCTCCACTGTCTCCCCCCCTACGGGGCTCCAAGCTTATCAGTTTGGCTGTCAAAACAGCTCTAAAAGAAAAAAAAATAATATACAATACTGAAAATAAAATTTTGTCTACAACTCAGAAGTCCACCACTACCAAAACTTGCCAAAACTTGATAATCACTGTATCGAACCTACCCCAACCACCTCTCCCCTCCAGTAAACCGTTTACGTCCTAAAATTATGTGTGACCTCCCCGTTCGAAGTAGCGCCAAACAGCACCCCACTGAGTTTTTATTACTCTCATTATTCAGTTGTTTCTAGTGCGAAGTATGGATACTGGAGACAACTTACATTTTGATCACCGATGAAAGTAAAAGGGCGTGCCGATTGCCTATCACGTAGAGAGTGATTTACAAGTAGCAGAATGTTTGATAAGCTCCCTTGATTTATAACCCTGGGTAAGGAGCGGTATTGTGAGTGGTCTGTCTTACTCAAGAACACAAAACAGTGACGCCGCTGGGGCTTGAACCTGGGGCTCTGAATCCCGAGTCCAGCGCGTTAAGTCATGTTATTACGTCTCACACGTTTCTGCGTACATTAAAGAGATAATATTCTCACCTCTGTTCTCGAAGTTCATCTAACTGCTGCGTGAGAAGACGCTTTTCCTCTTCTTCGCCTTCTAGATCGTTCTCTACCAAACCCTCATCCTGTGATCAGAGAAGCGTATCAGTGGGCGTAAAAGTCAATCAATGATCTTCTTTGAAAGAATCGAAACCAACTGTTTGACACGCTGACGTGTTTTACATGCTGACGTCCTACGCTGATCTCGCAACAAGTACAGTATACAAAAGGGACATTCACATAAAAAGCTGAGCAACATAACAAGCACAGTCACGCAGCAGTCAAAACAACACACTAGAGACATGTCACACAACATTCACACTCACAGAACAGGTAAACTCATGCAATAGTCTGCATAACATTACGGGTTGCAGTCACAATCTCATAAAATCCAAGGCAACACAGCGTTACTGTAACAATACGGGAACGTTCAAACAACAGTCACAGTACCCCAACAGGCAAGGCCACAAAATAGTCGTCACAAAATGAACGGCATAGTCACAGTATAATAACGATAACGTGACAGGCATGGTCACACAACAGCTACAGCAACATCATCGTCGCGACCCTCGACGTGGTTGTCTAACTACAAAATAACGACACATGAAATCCAAACGATTGTTAAGTTACCTCTCTTTCATTAACGTTCAACATGGACAAACGTTTGTGAGCAGATTCTGACGCGTTATCAATTTCCCGGATGTTGTTGATTGTCGCTCGGATCTTGGATAACTGACCAAGAATGAGGGTTTCAAGACATCTAACAAATTAGAAATCAAATGTTATAATTAAAGAGATCGCAAAACATACTCAAAACGAGAAACCTCTGTGAATGGGAAGGTTTCAAAACCTCTTCGAAGGCTGAGTTCTTTTTTCGGCTTCACTTTCTGCGACTTGTTTGATTGCAGTGGCGGACCTAGGGAAGGTTCCGAGGGGCCCGCCCCCCCCTTCCTAATTTTGGGTAAAAGAAAAAAAAAAAAAAAAAAAAGAATCGTAGTAGGAAGAGAAGCCGGCAGGGCAAGCGACAAGAAACCGCCCCCCCCCCCCTTCCTTTTAGTTCAAGGTCTGGATCCGCCACTGGATTGTAATTTTACCTAAGTATGTGAATCTCACCAGAATGTGGACACTTACTTGGTCTGTTTACTAACGTCTTGCATGATTTCCAACGCGCTCATTCCGGGGGGTGTGGCCATAATACACTGTGCCCAAATTATTGCCAGGGCATTTGCATTCATAAGGTTCACCTCCTGTTGTTGTGTTATTCTACAAGACAAAAAGAAGAAAATTTATTTGGTAAATTTATTTTACTCATCATAAGTTGGGTGAAATCGTGCGATTATTTCACGTTGGTGTTAAGTTTGGCCTAAACTTCAAAAACATACTCAGTGGCGGATCCAGACCTTAAGCTAAGGGGAGGGGGGACGGGGCGGGCGGGCCACCCAAGCCCCTCCCCTAGATCCGCCACTGATAAATAAACTCAAGAAACTTCAGTTAACCGCAACGCCTCAGACGCTGTTTTTCTATCAAATTGGCGGAAAGCTAAATCAGTACTCCAATTTAAAGTAGTATTTACAAATAGTTTAACGATCTTACCTGGCAAGATGAAAAACAAGTCTCTCCAGGGTGTTTCGACAGGCCCGAGGTAACTTTTGTACCAGATTGTAAAGAGCTTGCAGACGTAACTTTTCATCGGTTAGTTCTGCGACAAAATAATGCAAAGCAGTGAGACAAATTTGTTTGTGCACCTATCTTTGACCGCAGCAGGCGGTGGTTTAAATCACAGCTGCAGCAACAAAACTAACCAAATCAAATTGATCGTCGATTAGAATCTGGCCACGGAAGCAACACAACACGAGACAACCGTATAGAGGGCATAACAACAGATGATATGCGTGAACTGACCTGAAGTGCGTATGAAATCCGTGTAAAAATCAGCAGCAATGACGGGAACAGCCAGCTGCCTGAAGAACAGCTTCAAAACGCCAGCTACGACATGTACAGTGTATTCATCTAATGATACATTTTCAATTCCTGCAAACAAAAGCCGTCTTTAATAAGCCGTATACCAATACAGGTAAGTAGGAAAGTCTTTCAAGCGTGGTGGATTACTGCCCAAATTAAACAACGTTTCCTTACAATAGGGTTACAATTGGGAGTATTTCTTCTCCCCATGGACGGAAAGGATGATAATCTGAGTCAACCATTTGCTCACGAAGGGCTGACGCTCGAAATACCAGCTTTAAGAACTCTCTACGGTGGCTAAGTTACATTAATAACTCAAATGATATAGAGGATATTACACGGTAGCGACAAGATATGAAATTTATGTTCGAGTGGCAAGGGCAATAAATAACTCAAGAGTGGGACATTATTCGTGCCGCGAGAACAGAAAATTCATATCTTTCGGTTAACGCGCATTTTCTTTTTACTATAAAAACAATAAATGTACATAGAAGAGACTGAAAAGTGGTTCGTGTTGTTTACTCCAGGTTGGAAAGACACAGCACGAAAACAACACGGCCTAGGCACTAACCCAGACCTAACGTTCCGGAGTCCAATTCTCTAACCATAAGACCAACCAAACTGTCTCATAAAGAGACGAGGGGATTAAAACTGTCACTCTTTCATCTTCCGCGAAGTGGTTGAGACCCTGTTTGCGTTACGGTTTCTAAGCAACGTGACGTAGATTATCATTCATGACGTCACTGTAGCGCAGCATAGTTACCTGGCAAAGCTTGCCACATTGGAATTGAAATATCTAAAACATATATCTAGAATATGTAGCAATCAGTAAAATCACCACTTACCCAAGGTACAAATGTCGTTCTTAAGCTTTTTTACTGCAACATTGCTCGGTGACTTTCTATAGAGGCCCTCACTGTATAAACCTTTGTATTCAGGGAAAAAGAATAAATAAATGTACAAGAATATAAACAGGAGAATATAATAAAAATAAAAATAAATAAATGAGCATATAAAGGAAAAAAAATGCATTAGCCTTCATTGCAGTCAAACAAAGCTCTTCCTCTGTCCTCATCGCCACTTTCTCTGATTTCAAGAAGTAATTTAAGTACCAAATGAACGATTCGATGATACGTCCGTCAACCATTCATCCTTGGACTGGAACCAACTTTTCCTTCGTCAGCACTCGTACCGCAGCTACAGTTATTAATGCTTTATTTATTTATTTTCTTTTTTTAATCTACTTCAAAGAATTGTTGGTAGGTAACGACAATAACCAAGTTACTCACCTCTGGCTTCAATATCTTGAATGAGTTTGTCTACTAATGGTGGTACAGAGTTTTCATTTGATACAAGGTCTGATAGATCACCGCCGAACAGTTCCGTCTGAAAGAGACAATAAACTCACATTAAATAAGGCACAAGAAAATAACAGAGCTAAACTTGAGTTAACATCTGCAATTCTGTAATTCTAAATTCCAAAACACCTTCACAAAGTGATAGGGCCGGTTTTACACGAGGTCTATCCCAAACCGCTGTTTTACGAAAGAATGGGCCTCAGCGGTTCTCTGTGAGAAGGTTAATTTAATTAAATAGATGTCCTTCCATAAATAGCCTTCGGCTTTCTTGACACTGTGCACAAAATTAAATGTTCAGATAGAAAGTTCGGCTGAATCGAAGATGGCTTAGAACGCGGTTTTGTTAAACAACTGCTAAACTAGTTCAAATAACCGGCCCAAAGAGGTCACCTTGGTATAAGGGCACCTTACCTTTCCTTTAGATCTGTTCGTTCCCTTCCTACAAATGTTCTGAGACTTGGTGTGACACTTTTTGTGACAAGTGAATCTGCACTCTACGAGAGATGATACAAAAGAAGTTACGAAGATCGACACTTTCAAATGAAATCCGATATTTCTACCATGTCGCTTTTTGCGACACATTATAAAGAATGGGTACCCAGGGCCTACGCGACCTACATCATTTGGATAGTTTCCTGCTTGTACAACAGATGATAACCAGACGGAAAGGAACAAAAACAGTTACATAGATCCATAGATCCGTCACTAACTCGTCGCCCAATAGTCTCGCATTTACTTACTTTGTTACATTTTGTGTAAAAAGCCCACTGGATTCCCTCCTATATAGACTATCTTGCAGTGCTCTCAATCAACAAAATACTGAATACATGACACTTAGCAAGTCATTTTCGTATTCTTTTGCGTATCAAAAATGTGCAAAAAAAGCTGACTTGTCGATCGTCAATTTAAAGTAACATAGCTACAAAGACAAAATATTGGGCAGTGCTTTTAATGACAAATCTGAAACAATCATCAAAATTAAGAAAGTAGGTGTGGTACCTTGGCATACGAATCCTTTGTCCAATCCCCATATAAACCCTCCGCACTGCTCACAAAATGTTGGTATACTGAATTGAGTGGTAGAGAATCTATGACCATTGAACTCCTGCAATAAAGAAGAGACATTATTTATCAAAACATGTGGAACAAAACTAGAATGAAAGCAATAGTTACCAAGCTTACTATCTTCCTCCAAAATCGTGAGGTGAAGTGTCTAGTTTTTAATGTCAAGGAGACAGCACTTGGAGCGACATTTTCTCGTTCAAATGTCGCTAGGGAAGATATTCAACGGAAAAGAATCTATTGTTAATACGTGACTGGACTCGGAACGAACATGGGGACGACTATACAGTTCAGCTCAGTCCAAAATTTCAGACAATCGCAACCGATTCGACTCTAACGTGCAGGTTTTAATTGAACCATGTGGCGTACTAAAGGCGAAAAAAATTGAAGAAATTAATCGTCCATATTCAGTAAAGAGCCGTTCAATGAGAAATTTGGGGCGAGATTGGTTATGAGGTAGCAATGGATTCGAAACTATATTGTTGAAAAGACTACATCGACGATAATCATACTGTAGTTGTATCAAAACAAAGCTATTTCATTGAAAAAAAAAATTAATTAAACTTGGAGTCTTCAAACGATGTAAGAGTAGACGGAACGATACAATAAACGCTGAACAGTAAATGAAATCAAGATAAATGAAAAAAGCAAATCAAAACGAGATTTTTCAACAAAACAGGGTGTCAAGAACGTCACTATATGCCATAATCAAACTAAACTTCAAAGCAAAACAAGATTGTTTAAAAAATATTGAAAAAACAAAACAAAAAACCAGATTAATTTGATCGCCCGCACAAATTGAAAATGTAACAACAGTCTAAAGATCACCGATCGGCGCTAATTTTCATTACATTTCATTAGCGCAATTAATTAGCGACAAGCATACCGAAATAGTTTCTGCGCTTGATGTACGACTCCGTAATCCTATACTAGACCACCTTCTCAGCCTGGTAGTGGGCTGGTCGCTCGGTGAGGCAAACGCCATAAAATTTGCGCTACATAGCACGGTGAAACGAAGATATGGCACAGGAATTACTTCACCTCTTTTCGAGTGCTGCTGATGAAAGCCTTACCGAAAAATTCTTATTGGCTGATTTAATATATGTACATAACTTAATGATAGGGCAATTTGAATTTTATTGCGCAATGGGGAATTGAGGGAACAACGCACGAAATAAGTTGAGTCTTTCACTTCATAGTTTGCAAAGGATGAACAAAGAGTATTAAGGATTAGTATTAAATAGTAATTATAAAATACAACAAATAAAATTGGCTGGGAATACTGTTCATTTACTGTAAAATTTCCCAAGTCATGAAGAATCTTCAGCACTGCACGAAGGCTAAAAAAAAACCTCCATCCTTGATATATCCTTATTTCTTTTCTTTTCCCCCAAGCAATAATTCAACGAGAAGATAACGCCATCAAAAGAACAATTTCTAACTAATCAAATCTGGAACAATTTTCGGTCCTTACTATCAAGGTTGTTGGTTACTCGGGCTAATAATTATTCAAGGGTTTCCTTTCAATTAATTACATTTTAACGACAGAAGAAAGAGAAAAACAAAAGACATTGATACGTGTCTTATTTACAATCCTCACCGTGAGCTCAGATGGTTTTCGCTTCTTCAAATGAGCTTTCTTTTGATGCTACGGAAAAGAAAAATGAGAAAAATCAAAATCAACGCCACGTTAATCCGAACTGGGTAACCTCGCACAACCCTCGCCACCGCCTTAGCGGCGTGATAATCTGTGAACTGTCCACTATCTACTTCCTTCTATTAGTTTTTTTTACCCTGGTTTCCTTGGTCTGTTTTTCCGGTCGTGTTCTGTACGGGAAAAAAAAAAACAAATTGAGTGAACCTGCTTAACGAAGTTGGAAAAGAGCATAAACCTTGTGGAATCGACATGGGCCACAGTATAAGAAGGCAGTAACATCTCAATTCAATACTAAATTTTTTAAATCAAAAGACTAGTTAGCAAGTCATTCCATTTTTTTCCCTCCATTTTTCAATATGTCATTGTTTTAGCTGTTCATGCTTACAAGCCATCCGTTTCCTAACGTCGTTCCCATACCCTTTTTTATCAGCTTCGTTTGTATTTCCTTTCCTTCTAAGCTTTCTTTAGGTGCAATTTGTCTCTCAGCCTTGTTTAGAGGTCACAAGTTAGTAAGCCTCGTTTGGATGTCACAAGCTACTACGCCTTATAAACTTTATAGTATAACCGCGTTGTTTCTATGCCTTCAAACAAGTGACTAACAGTTATAACGACTGCTATGACTGGTTATAGAATGACAGACGAGAAAGTCAATCACCTTGACGCGATGAACTCGGACAGCACCCCTCCGAAAGCGTTCACACCCAGAATTGCAGGAAAACTGGCACTGATGCGTTCGCTTTTGATCGTCTTTGTCAGAGTGAATTCAAACTGACCCATCAAGTCTTCATAATTCAGAGTTAACGATTTGTCTTCCTAGAAAAGAAAAAGCCACATACAGTTGTAAAACTGAATATTTCGTTGACTGAATAGCGGAAAGGTATCTAACGAAAAATGAATTAAGTATTACTATGCCACGCTTGATATACCTTCATGAGAACGGAGTACGATGAAATGAGTTGCACGTGAAATTCTTGAAGAGCTTTTCTAAACACGCGGTCAACGATTGTATCACGCTTATTTTCTTCTTTATTCAAACTTGACACCTAGAAAAATAAAAAAGAAGGCAAATGATCTCCATGAAAAAGCAGAATATACTGAAATCCGATTAACTATGCCTGTATGCCTTTCTCTTTCTGTCTGTTTGTCTGTAAAAATATCTCTGTGTGTATGTATTTTTCTGTCGTTCACGTTGTTTGTGTCTGTCTGTCTGTCGGTCTGCCAGTCTGTCTATTAGCTGAGGAAAGATATTGGTACCTTATTCATAAGGAACACCTCCAGCGCACCCAATTCTTCAGTACCCTGGATGAGCTTCTGGCCGGTATTTTTCCACTGGGCGGGTCCCTGAGGGTGAGCATAGCTGACTATCTTTGTTTGATTCAAGGCCTTGGTCAGGTCTGCAATAAATGATAAAATTAAAGAGAAAAAAAGGTTTTATGTACACGACTTTTTAAAAACTGCCAGCTAGGTTACTAAACTACTGTATATATATTGGGTGTTCCATGTCGATCGTGAACTAATTACGAACACTGATAAAGACTACACCAAAGCATCAGAACCCTTCCACTCCACTCAACACACATTCTCCTCACCGTCTGTCATACCCCTCTTATAACTTAATGTCCCGAGAATTTATAATGTAAATTGAACTGAGTGAAGTGCAATTTGGTCTAAAATCATACGCGTGATTTTAAGATCACCAAGTTTAATTACTATTTTCAAATCGCAAATTCAGTAACTAAAACTCAGGATTTTAAGTCCGTACAAATATTTTTTTGATATAGTACTGAGCTGTTTCTAAAAAATTTGCAAAATTCCAATTTCATTTCTCAGCAATTTGATTGGTTACTCTGATACCTAATCGGTTGTTGTGTTTTAGTAAAGCTTACTCACTGGCCACCAAAGAATGATGCGATTCGTGAACAACTCGCACCGATGAGAGTAAACCAGATTGTAAGAATCACCAGCGGTATCAAAATGGATGTAATTAAGTATTAAATCAAACAAAGTTCGTTGGCTGATGTTTTCCTTTCTTTCCATCACCCTTTCTCAACAACTCTTGAGGGTGAAAGGGTGAAGCGAACACAAAATCATCCCAAAAATTTGAACGCCCTCTTTCTTGATTCAACGATTTTAACACTCCTCGAACAGAGAGCAACCTATACTTAATTGCGATAGTACATTCTACTGTAAATAGCGTTGAAGTCGCGTTCTGATTGGCTAACCAAACTCAGAATATACTTTTTTATTCACCTCAGAGCACCTTGCGCGAGATTTGCTTCCTCAAATATTGTAATTAAATAGGATTATATGAGTAAAATCATCTTCTTGTGCTATGCTATCTCACTGGTTTTTAAAAATATACTTATGCAACTATTCACCACAACGTCGATGACAAGCGGTGGATATTTACCTCGACGCTAGAGGTAAATATCCACCACTAGCCACCTCCATTTCCGTGAATAGTTGTTAATTATACTATACAGGTAGTGACCAATCGAACATACATCATGAATAACTTAAATATCGAAAGGATAAACTTAAGAATATCTGCTCTAACCATCATGTGATCCTATCCTTCCATCCATCTCCATAGATTTCTTTGATTTGTTTCTGTTCAAACTAGTATCTGACTTTCTCCTGAATGAGTTGTTGCGCGCGATCTTGCGAAGAATTCCTTTCTTGACCTTACCACCATGCTCAGTACGACCGAGAGTGGCGACAAAATCGGCTTTCTCCGTAGTCTTCCAAACTGCCAAATCATCCTGGAATAACGGAGGAGAAGTGGTTCTTCCTCGATCATCCAGAACGTCGGAGGTGCTATACCGATGTCCGGGCTTCCCCTTGGAGGACAGGCGCCTTCGGAAACTGCGGGTTAGTTTTCGTGACAATTTCGCGTTTGACTTGAATTCATCGCTCCCTTCGTTTCCTTTATTAAAGGCAAGTGTCGGTGACGGAATAGGACTCAGCTTGGACAAAAAGGGCTCCACCCGTTTGGCGGGCGGTGGAGAAAGTTCCAGCGGCGGTGGACGACTCCGCCGTTTGGATTCAGGGCTGTTTGGTGCCGAGCAGGACCTCTGGCGGACAACCTAAGATAAATGAGGATAACATTATTATCACTATAGTAATACAAAAATTATTCTCAAAATAAGAGCGGAGTTGCATGAATCCCTACTCTTTCTTGGAAACATCCGAGGAAGATTTTTGATTGAACACCAAATTTTCCAAAACTAAAAATTGCACAAAATGTTCGCTAAAAAGTTGGGTGAACATACAAAAAGAGCTCAGGAGCGAAAATCAAAGAACACCAAATTGTCTTGCATACCGGGCACTTTGATCCATCTGGTGGTGAGGTGCCGCTAAGCATCTTAGATACTTCCTTCACCCTGGGGAGAGAAATTGCAATTTCGCTCAGAATATCACTAGCTGTATTACGGCTTATGCAGATTACAATTTAATCAAAATAATCAAAGTTACCATTTACAACCCTTATCGGTGTTGTCAATTGTTTATCATATACTTTATCCTTGAGATTTCTCTTTTGCTGCTAAACTATTTTCACAACGCCTTACAAAACAAAAAGTACATACACTATCGTAGTACTTTCCACTAAAATCTTTAAGCGGATGAAGCTCACACAAGTTTTAAGAAATTGAAATTTTTAATTCCACAGGACCCGTAGTATGATCCTATACGACAGATAGCTTAGGATAAAGCTAAAGAAACTGTAGTGCTGCGTCGGCAGGGGGTTTTACAAGATAATTTGGTTTTAATAAATGAGTCATTACTGCAACTTGACCACAATAAAGAGTTTCTGAAGCTGACGATTCGACCGTTAGCCCTTCGTCAGAGTGAAAGAAACGTTAGCTTTAGGAACTCTTCACGATGGACGATCAACATCATCAACTCAGTTAATAAAACAAAATGATCTTATCCTAGCAATAATAATAAGATATAATAAGGCAAAGTATTCTTGTTGATGGTAAGTTTTGAGCTCGGTAGAGAAATAGAGAAGGATTTTTTCGTCTTGCCACGAGCGTGGGGCAGAGGAAAAATTCTGATTCTCCATGAGGAATCGAACCTGAGACCTTCCGATTCCGCGAAGAACATCGGAGCGCGGAATCCGAAGATCTGAGATTCGATTCCTCATGGAGACTCAAAGGTTTTTCTTTTTCCCACGCTCGCGACAAGACGAAAAATATCGTCCTCTAAATATTCTTACTTGGAAGAACTTCGTTGCCTGGGCGATCCTGGACTTTTAATTTCTTCGTAAATATGTGCAAGTTCTTGCTTATCACTTTCAAGTGCATTGTAGCCTTGAGGGTCACTAAGAGATCGATTCAAATGCCGAAGAGATTCCTGAAGACTGAAGAACAAACGAAAGAATGATAAGGTGAAGTCTGGTATGAAAACTATCGGTTGCTAGACAATTGATGAGCAATTTAAAGAAACTTTTGAGAAAAATCTTACGGAGATAAGGGCTTCATCTCGTGCTCTTCAAGTATTTGCGAATGCCTGGCGAGAGATAAATTAAAACGTGAAAAGTGTAATAAAGATGTTACGCGTAGAGTCTCTCTACGATAGCGGTCTGCTCTACATGAGGAAAATTCTCAGCGTCATCCTTATATCAAGATGACGCTTTCAACAGAGCTAACCTTAACGGTGTGCGGCTCACGTGTCAGATATAAACACGGTAACTGCTTAGCTCGAGTACCGAATTTGAAGGTATGGGGTTCGATTCGTCAAGAGGGCAGTTTCCTTTGTGTGTTTCCTTCGCTCAGGTGAAACATCTTTATCATTTCAATTACTCATCTCAAAGTTAAGCAAGTAATTCAAAGAATGTAAGGTAAATGTTTAACATCATTAGTCAAAAGAAGATGAATTTATGTTAGTTGTAGACTCATGGAGTGTAGCTTCTCGGGTATGACGAGTGTACCTCGCATGTTGCTTGAATTTTTTCGAAGGAGAACGAAAAGGAGTTGCATAGAATGAAACCGTGAGTGAGACAGAATTGGCGGTTATTTTAAGATCCTCTTAGGATCTCCGAAAATAGGCGTGATCTAAAAATAACTAAAGATGGATTGCTTCAGGAATGAAACCTTAAAAAAATTAAGTTTTTTTACGTGATTCTCTCGTGCAGTGATTTAACCTGCACCATTTATGCACCATCCCATAAATGGGACCAGATCTTTGAAAGAAGTAAAAACAAAAGGTAAAAAAATAAAAACGCGAAGCGGAACGAGCAGTACGTTATCAGCCAGACTATGATTACAATTATTAATTGCTAAAATGCAATTAACCAATGTCACAAACCTTCTTCTCGCCAGGTATCCCCTTGCGTGACTTTGAAGCAATATAACTCTCTTACGAATGCGGTGATACTCACGCCGCGCCAAGTACATTCGCCAAAAGGACTGGATCCGAAGAGAAGCAAGAGACTGAACCTCGAGGTAACTACGAGCTAAGTAACCACGCCAGCAGGCCTGAAGTGAAATCAAAATGTTCTATAAATGTCTCACTCAAAGAGACCCTAACTTTGCTTGAGACTAGTTTTACAATTACTATAGGAATTTTAAAAAAATTCCTCGAGAATATTTCTAGACACCGTCCCTCAACAAGGAAAGGTACCCTCAGATGTGTCCAATGACCGTGTCTTGCCCTCGTTTTTTTTTAAGGGGGGGAGGGGGAAGAGGAGTTTTGACTCCCCTTGCATTCCTAACCAAATGTCCAAAGATCCATTGTCGACAGAGGAAGTCCTCCATTCTCTGTCCTTACCTGTATCATGACAGCAGCATTTTTTTGGCGAATGAACTGCTTTCTCTGCAGAGCACCTTTGACCCATCGTTGTAACACACAGATTTTGTGGATCTGCTCCAAGTGCAGCCGAGATTGCAACAAGGCATGTTGACTATCTCGCAGAAACACCTGGGACAAAAGAGAAAAAAAACGAAAAAAATTTAAACTTGGTTCCTTGTGATACTTGTACATATTTTTGGAAGTTGATTTATTAGATACAAGCAGAAGAAATTAAATTAATCCAGTTAATGAGCTTGATGATTGATTCATGGATTGACTGGTTAACTATTGGCGGTCTCGCATGGCTTATTCTAGTTATTCGCTTTTACACGAGTGTTTCTTCGCTGCGGAAAAGTGCAAGGCTTTCAGCACAGCGAAGTCTACAAAGAGTTCAGCACTCATTATTAGTGCCAGACCCGTCTCCAAACTTCCCGCTTGAAGAGAAACGCTCGTCCCGCAGCGTCTACGGGATCAACAACAGTCAACCAAGGAATGCATGAATCAATCGTCAGGTTCATTAATTGGATGAATCAATTTTTTTGCTACTTTTATCTAATTAACAGCCACTTACTTTTTCTTTGCCTATCTGGAACTCACGAGGATCCAGTTTCAATGTTTCTAGAATACCCGGCATCTCTTCGCGCACATCTCTGACTTCCTTGCGCGGAAACAGTAAGCTGTACCGTTTCACAAATTCCTGAAGGAGAAAAAAATAGAGAAGAAACGTTTTGGACTTGTAATTCAAATTAGGCTTAACCATTGTTTAGTAAAGCAGCATTCTAAACCATCTTCAATTCTGCCAAATGCTTAAGCACAAGGTAAGTTTTGAAAAAAGTGTAAAGAGGGTGTAGAGCTCCCAAGGAAAAAAACATCCATTAGCTTTAAACAAACCACCAAGAAGGAAATGGCGAAGTGCACTGGTTTCCTACAACCTTCGCCTACGTTTGACTACGTTTAAAGAATCGATCCTTTGCGCTATACCCTTTAACTCCAAGAGTCACTAACATCTGATGTCTTCTTGCAGTATCACTATTGAATTAAACATCATAAGATCATGAGATTGCATAAAAGAAATGAAAATAAAAAAAAAAAAATTCTTAACTGCTCAAGCATTAGCACTACAAGAAATGTGCGGACGACAATGTGGAGTGGTGGTTACAAAGTTTCAGCGAAATATAAGCTGCTAGAATGGAGGCAATTACAGGAAACTCACTTAACTCACTTAACTCATAATTACCGTTCTTTCTCTCGGCGTAATAGGAGCTAAAAAAGGTATGCTTAATCCTAAAGTTCCTCACGCGACGTTAAATATCAAGTTCAGTGCGTATAAATCTACTTCGTCCTCGACTGTAAATGTTGTATTGGGTTGGATGTAGCCCTTTTCGTGTTTATTAACCTCATTCTAGTGGTTACTTCGAAATTCAAGTTGAAACTTGCACGTCAAATGAGTTATTCAAAATATTGCTATGTAACTCCTGCAATGATTCTGCATTTCCGCCCTAAAGCATTGCTCAGAGGCCACAATTAAAAGGGAAAGTACAAACGTTATTGGGTGTGAAGAAGACACTGACATCAAAGATAAAAACAAGTGACAAATAGACTCTAACACGTTAATTGCAGAAAGTAAATACTGAGTGAGTGAAAAACTAATTCAGTCTGGCTTTAATGCTAATTGAACCGGCGCTTCTCTCAAAGCAGACGGGTCATTATCAACCAAACTACCAAATATGGCCTGTTTCATTAATTTTTTCCGACTTCGATATAACAACACTGTTCGAAGAGTGATAGCTTTGTCATCAACAGTTTCCAAATTGCACACCTTTTTTTTTTTTTTTTTTTTTTTTCATGCTGTCGACACTGTTGTTGTTTGTTGCTTTGGCAACTTATTTGTTTCCGTAATTCAAAGTCTATTAGAATTGAGCACCCTACCTAAACATAATCAAGATTAACACTTGTGCAGACATGAAGCTCATTAATTTCAAGGTCGGATATCTTTTCTGTCTAGCGACATCAAAATTGTTCACGTCAAGCCTTGATAATGGAAAGTGAATAAGAAAACCTTGTCGGTAACACAAAAAAGAAACATTTTGCCTTCAAGAAATAATTCATCGTCAGAAGGAAAAAAAAAAGAGAACCTAATAACAAAATTTAACGTCACTTAACACGATTAAAGAGGCATTGAATATTGTTTGGGGCGACAAGCTGCTTTGACTTTTGCCCTTTATTATAGACGAATCTATGTATCTCTCAACAGCATTAATATACGTATCAAATAATATAGAATGGGCAATTATCATTTTAAATTGTTTAGACTGAATACCAGTTGCAAACCGGATGGAAACCGGTTGGAAATACATATACAGGTCTGTCCTTCTACAACGACGACTCGCTAGAACTGGATGGATCAAAGATTCGCACCAAACTTTAAAGAGAAAAAATCACGCGACAAAGCTAAGTCGAGGAGGTGATTCTTCATTATTACAGACAAAAGTATCCCTTCTAAAAAGTATTACATTAAATTCGACAGTAAAATATGTTTCATATATTTTGATCACTTGCGGTTTCCTCTGGTCTCGTAGGAAAAAACCTTTTTTTCTGACCATACTGTTCTATATTTTCGATAAAATAAAATTAATTATTTGACAAAGTTATCGGTAAAACCTTTCACCCGCTTCATGTACAGCTACGTAATGCAATAAAACAAACGCGAATTAAAATAAAAAGTGCTGCAATACAAATGCATCATTTACGTTTTGACGGACTAAGGTCAATGACCGACGATAAAAGTCCTCAAACAACGTCACAATCAGGTCATCGATCACGTCCTATAATCTGTGTTTGCGTGAAGCGAGCGCGTTGTAGTCGTGCCAGCAAAAAAAAACTATTAAAAATATCAGTTTTCAAATCAATTCTGTCTATTTTGGACGTCTCGAGAGCCCTTACCACAACAAAATATACACCAAAATAACAGACACGACATACAAATCGATGATTAATAGTTAAAATTAAACTCCACAATTGCCGGAAGTACCATCGAGAATTCTTCGTAGGGAATTGTTCGCAGTACGTGTGGCTGAAATAAATATAATTTCGTTTTTTACATGCGTGATCTTTCAAGGCCTAGCTGATATAAACTGAAGACAAAAATGATGAGATTAACTTTCAAACATGTTACCAAATAATCCAGATTAAAAATCTATCAGGGTCGTTCGAGGCTAATACTAATAATTGCTTTAGAGATGATAGGCGTTCTAAAGAATTTTGGTGTCTAAAGATTTACGACTGAAATCTATTTTTGTCTTGTAGTCAAACAAAGACCGGATGAGTAAAAATTCGCCAAAAATGAAAGCCTTGTCTCAATGCTACAACATGGTCAAATATTGCTGTCATTTAATACGTAGCACACTGTTTTGAGTAGCACCTGTTGAAGGAAAATACTATTGTTGTCGAAAGAGGACATAAAATTCTCGAGTTTCGGCCAGTAAGACACGAATTACGGTGTACATCTTACCTTGATTAATAGAAACACAGTGAAGGCGAGGAGTAAAAGAATCTTTGAACCTCCAACACCGACTTTCCACGCAGAGGAAAACACACATTTCAAAACCATTGTTACGTTGTACATTCAATCACGACAACAAACCGAAAAACGAGTTTTCGCCTTCAGTAGAGCTCAAGCTTACCGCATCATAGTCATGACTGGGCGATTCTTCCGCTTAAGCGAAAATAAAGGGTGTGACGAACAAAATTTCCACTGCCTAACTACGAGCGCCGGCAAATCCATGCCACCACTTTCCTTCATCTGACGCGTTTTTGCGACAGATCAAGACACTGTAATCAAGCCGGGAATTTTTCTTAGTATTATATTTTGCATATGATCCAAAATATCAAGTGACGCTTTTCCGATCACCTGCTGATCTCGAGCAAGCGATCAAGAAGGTTTGACCACGAGATATCCGGTTTAGTCATCAAGTCTGTAACGCAAGGTTGTTCGAGAAAACTCCCGCTACTTGCTGCTTCAAACTTCCTCGTGAATCAATTAGAGAATTTGGCATTTCTATCAAGATAAAATCCCTTCAACCGATACGTATATCTACTCTCAACACCTGCGACCGTGACAATGTATTCAGACTGTAATGGGCAGATACATATAATAACTCCTGAAAGTGAAAAGTGACATACAAATTTCATTCTGTCAAAAGCCCCGCGAAGAATATCTACTCGAAAAAATTGCTACAGATCGTTGAAAAAAGGAAACTAAACCTAAACCAAACGAGGTCATATCTAAAATACTTTACGCTTTAGGTGGAAAAAAATTTTAAGAGTTAAAGACACTCCAAATAAACATTAGCACGCGAAGCAATCAACTAAGGCATTTGTACGAATCCTCAAAAATCGAAAATAAAATTGAAAGGGTAAACTATCAAAATTTGAATCCTTTTGCCACGTGAACCATTCCAAGTATCTGAAATCTGCCAAAATGTTCCGTTAACGACAAAGTAAATTTACAAAAACGCCCGAAATCTTTGACCGAAAACTGCCAAGGCTCCTGAGTCGCGCGAAGTATGACTGCGTTGATATAAACTTCCATAAAAGACTGATTTCCGATTCTAAGTCTTATCCGTTCGGCTTCATCTCTTATGCTTCGACTTTATTTCACCAGCGTAAATCAAATGATCAGATTTTGATTATCTCGTTGGGCGATTAGGAGAGTACAACTACACTGATTTCCGTTTTAAACTCTTTTACAAAGCTTTACACACTAATCATGGTCTGCGGGTTTTTCTGCTCACTCTTTAAAGCTTTTTCTTGAATCCGTCTTGTCTGACAACAGTACGTTATGGTAACAATAACAACATCTACGACGGGGGATTACTAAGCTTTTCATACTTGGCAGTCATAACTCCTTCTCTGCAGGTTTAACGACACGAGACAGGGATTAAACCGCGAAGAACTCACGAAAGAGCGAGTTATCGAGAATGACTGGAAGTTAAAGGCTAACAGTTGACTATCACTGTTTATTAATGCCTAAAGAATAGTTGTGAATGATTAAGATATTTTAGCGGGTACACATGACTGTTTGAATGGACGAACTATGGCATTTAGCAGTTTATCCCGGCTACAAGATTAATGATGCCACGCAAACTATTCAAACAATCACCCAAACACCACTCAAATCAATCTTTAAAAAATGACCGCCTTAATACAAAACTTGTCGCAAAAGGAAAACTGTACAGATAAGGTAGAATTAGTCAATCGCGTTTGGTGACAAAGCGAAGAACCACCAGACGAAACTAGATAAATAGGTAATGTTCCGACTGACAAATCCAAAAACAACGACCCAAAGGGGTTAATACCATCGAAACTATTCGTAAGCTGTAAGTATATCTTAAGTGTTTTGCTACCTTGAGCACTAATACAACAAAGGGAGTCAATTAACCAACAAGAAGCTATCCCTTGATAAAATGTTATATTTTTTAGCTCAAGAGGTTCTTTGGGACCTGTAATAGGATTTATTGCACACAGATGAGGATTATCCACGGCCTTGAGCTGAACATGGTTCGCGTCCAATTAACACTAATTAACATTTCATTTCCTCGCGCGACAACCAGACAAGTCTCTTTGCCAACCGTTCTTTGGGGATGTCACGCAACGCCCCCCTCCCCACCCTACAAGAGATGGTTGCGTCACGTAACAGCGTACGTCTGTGAGTGAACAGATGGGACAAAAACCAAACAGAATGAAACCATAAGTGTGAAATTTGCAGATTTCCTCTTGATATCTAAGTTTCCTTTGAGATTAGACCAAACAATCACAGCGACTGAGAGACTACACGAATGGAAACACTCACTCATTTCTAATGAAGATCCCTGATTCGATGACAAACTCAGTTTGAATTTGAAAATAAACTTCTTTCTAAGGTTTCACTGAGGAGCTGTTCACCAATCATTTAAAAATAGTTGTTGCACAAATAGCAGTTGAAAGTAAAATTCTGAAATTCTGTCTACCATACATCGGAATTGGTCGGACAAAATCCAATAAATTTAGGGAAAAAAGTGTGGGGGCGGGGTGAAAGGGGACAGAGCAAAAGACAAAGTCACGTTTTATCACTGTAATCAGTCCAGAGTAATCAAAATAATAATCTTGTTAGCTGGAATTATCAAGGCGCAAACTTTTCAAACGGAGTCTTCCCAACAGTGACCTACCAAATTGCTTATAGTTTTTAGAAAAAGAACATGGTATATGCATTTTTGCGGGTAAAACACAGGTTCTACAAGTGACCTCTGACTAACACGTCAAGGCGTGTCAAACTTCGGTTTTCATCTCTCTTTACGTATACTATTAGGTTTCGTTGACGAATCCTATTTAGGAAATCTAGGGAACACTTTCTACAAAGATAAGGATCTTAACGGAAGTTGTAATAGCTGGATGGTTTGAGAATGCTAAAGTTATATGCAACGAGTAATTACACAAACCGGAAAATACGATTTCAGGGAATTACTACCACAAGTATGCATTCATCAGCAAAATCAAACAGGAACTAAGTAGTTAGAAGGCATAAATGAAAGTTCCGATTTCACAGTAGGCTGTGCTACCCATTGAGCCGCAGAAAACTTGATAAGAAGCTAAGCCATACACGAGGTTCATCAGTAGAGAAATAGAGAAACAGCAGAATAAAGTACAAGCTACATTGCTAACCTCAAACGTGAACCGCCACTGATAGCCAAGAGTCCTAATTCGGACAGTCTCCAGCATGCCAGTGTATCTCAGTTGACGAACCACCAGATCGCGATCGAATTTCATTGGAGCCTGGGAAAGGAACAGGAAAAAAAAATTAATTGATGAAAAATGAACGTGTAGGTTCTCTCCGAAAAATATTATCAATTTGATCAGACAGAGTCTTGGATTTTCGAAACACGTCCCAAGATCTAACAGTTGGCCATTCAACGACTTGTTGGCCGGTTCTTCGGATTCAGTGAAATGAAACAATATCCCCGGTTCACAATTCTCATAATTCTCAATGTCGTTATGCTTGCAAATAAATCAGAATTATAGAGAGACCTTCCAAACCGATTAGGAAGAAGTTAAGGGGTTGAAGGAATCTGATGGTCAATGCTAAGAGATGTTTAATGATAAACTTACTTTCTCTGCGTTGGATCTGATGCAGCGGACAAAGAAAGGCTGGGCTTCCTCCAGAAGCTCCACTAGACGACTAAGAGACGACTGAAAGAAAAGGAAAGAAAATAAGAAAACGCAAAGTTTAAGTACGTCATCCGACTCGTCATTCATCCGTGCTTCATGTATATCATACTTCTGTTAGAAAAAAAACCGCCAGCATGGTAGCAGGCTTCAAAAATAAATCACCGCGATGAGCTCAAGGCAAATTAGTTAATGTTCAACGCTTCAATCTGCCACGTTCCCACCTAAACCTCTACAGGCAAAATTGACCACGCACAGGAACAAACCTGAAACTGAGCGCTGACTGTCGGTGGGTTTTTGGGCGTTCCTTTTCCTCGCTGCATCGTTCTGAACAGGTAATCGAACGTTCGTACAGTCATGTCGCGTTTAGTTTCTAGACCTTGACGAATCTTAGACAGCGGCTGAAAAAAAAAAAAAAATTCACCACAACGAAGTGAATTTTAAAATAAACATCAAGAGTACTTTTTCTGCGGTTTGAAAGGCGAAACGAGTGCTGGAGAGGAGAGCCTTTAAGAAATTTTTTAATACAGGAAATTAAAAAAGGATAGAGATGAAAGTACTGTTCCCACCTTGGCCGACGGTTTGTTACTTTGCTTCCTCCTGCAAAAAATGAGAATAAAAGAGAGATGTTAGTGAAGAGACGTGACAGTGCACATTTCGACATAGTGTCGAGAAAATCAAAACAAAAGCAATTACCGAAGCCAATTAAAACGAAGGGATTCTACACAGAGAGCCAATAAGAACTCAGCGCAAAAACAAGCCAAACGCTTGAACTTCTACATCTCTCTTCTCGCCATTAATTTCAAAATTTCGAACATATCAAAAAAACAAACAAAGGAACTTAAACGAACCTGATCACCCTTGCAGCTGTTCGAAACAGATTGGCTGTTTCGTGGTTTGAGTGTCCCTCATCAGAATTAACAGCATGCAGTCTTATATAAAACAAAAGTATTCAAGCATTACTTTTTGTGACAAAAATCACCCACGTTATTTGCTTTGCGAAACTTGTACGATCCACAAAATCTATAACGAGAGCGAGACTTACCTTGAACCCTTCATGATCTGCAACAAAAAAGAAGAAATTCATATATCTGCGCGTTGCAGGTCTACGTGGTTTAGCTTACAGTTACAAGTTTCATTAAGAAGCTGTCAAGAGAATAGAACCACGGTCAATTTCTGTGATAGCGATGCAGTCATTGCTCTCATCAACTGTGCACTCAAACCTTCTGGTAGCTGGACAAAAAGTAAGTTCACACTATGCCAGACAAGGATAAATATATCAAAGTAAGAGTGGAGTCCAGTTTGGTCTGAAATCATATGCATGAGTTCAAAATCAAACGAGTGCGCAGCACGAGTTTAACTTGAAATCACAAGTGCACGACACGAAGTTCATTTACAACTTTATTACATCCATTTTAAGATCGCAAAATTCAGTCGCTCAGATACAGGATTTTTTAGCCTGTAAAAACGTTTTGTTGATCGCCGAGTGAGCTGGTTTGTAGAAAGTTGCAAAAGATGTTTTACATATTTCTGCAATTTGATTGGTTTTGTTAAACAAGCAATTGGTTATTGTAATGTAGTTAATCTTCCTCATTGGCTGGTAAAAAACTTTGACCATGAGCAATAAAATGGTGCGATTCTTGAATAAATCACACCAACGAGAGCCAGTCAGATTACAAGGATCACCAATGATTTCAAAATGGATATAATAAATTAAAAAATAAGGTTTAAACTTTAAGTAGCAGAATTAACCTACTCCTGATCAAAGAAAGATTATTGTAGTTCAAACCCTAACTCGAATACTTGAATTATTATCTAAAACGTATTGTCATTTGCGTTTAGTTGTTACTTCTTTCAATTAAAGAAAACTATGTTTAGATTTCTCTGAAGAGACTTTTATATTTATAAAACTGCTTATAACTCGATAAAAATTGACTCACAGTATCTTGCTCCCAATCTCTGTAGACCTAACGGATTTAAACAACAGTTTCTTACTTCAACCGCGTGGTTAATGATAGCTGCTAAACGGAAAAGGCAACACGGCCATGCAAAAGAAGCGGACGGTCTTTATATTTTTTTAAGAGATAAAGGTCGCTAATTTTTAATATCATAAGAGATCTTATTGCCAAGATTAATTTATCATGGGCCAGGGTTATCAACTTAAGTAATAAATATGTTGGCACTGACTCAGTTTATTGCTTCAATCAAGGAAGTTCGTGTATCTCTGGTAAAAAGCTTAAGTGTTTTTTCTTCCTCTATTTCCACAGTTCATCAGTTTAGTTCAGTATTAATTCATTCATTCATCTATTCATCTGTTACAATTGATTATTCATTCATTTCCTATTTCTTCATTACAAAGTTACTGTACAAAGTATTAAGAGTAAAGTATTAAGAATAAACGATACGGTTAGCTGTTTTACGTTAAATAGTCTTACAACACGGATTACGTGTGCTAAAAAAGTAGATCTTTAAATCCTCTTAGTCCAATGAAGATTCCACTAACACAAACTCTTGGAGTAAATGAAATAAATTACAATCAAAATAAACGCTGAGATTTTCAGTACAAAGGACAACAAGAATACCCACAACGAAAAATAACAAAAACTGAAGAAAATTTAACACACGAAGACCAGGCCTGAGAACGGAACCATGGCCATTCAGAACCACACCGATGGGAAGCGAGAGTTCTCTCTACTAGTTACACTCTTTTCATGACTATAGCTTCACAGATGGTATCTAATCATGAGGAAAAAAACGGAAGATAGGGTAGTATTCATTAAGTATAACAGTATTCATTAAGTTTTCTTACAGTTTTCCTCTTTCGTCCTCCAGGACTTGTAACTACGCGATCATTTGCTTTTCCACCTACAAAATGAAAAGTTTTTAAAAGAAAACGAATGTAGACTGGGGATAAAACTATATTTTTCTCAGCTAAAAGAAAATCGGGCTTTGAAGCACTACCAAATCTAAGAGGGTTTTTTTTTGTTGTTGCCAAAGTCAAGCTCCTACAGAGTACGTAACACTAAAGAATTGGTACATGCTTAGTGTGCGTACATCGACTTATTGATGCTCTTATGCGGGAAGTTTGGAGAGCACGAGAGATGCGTGAGAGTTGCTCGAGGCGCAGCCTAGGGCAACTCTAGCTGCTTGAGTGCTCTTCACACTTCCCATTCATAACTCGACATACGCAGAGCTAAAGCATGAACCACTTCTTTTGGAACATAGCATGCAGATACAAGTTCTGCTTGGAAAAAAAGAGTTTATTAAAACTGTATCGAATTTACCCGAAAACTATGAATAAATGAAAAGGCATAAACGACCACGAACACTGCGCGCAAACAGGAGTCACCAGGAGTCTGTTCAGGAACTTCATTTTACTCTGAGAATCCATCTCTCTTCTACTTATTCAGCTGTAAGTACACGCTCTTAAATACCCTATCGATAGGCATGTTTGGGCTTACCGGACAACTGACCTTGGCAGAGTAAACATATTTTTCGAATGTAAACCAAAACAATCTCACGAGACATTCGAAATGAACAACAAAGTACTTAACAACGACCAATCTTCGAGAACTAAAACCTAAACAAAACCTCCCATTGAGGACTCTAAGCAAGGCCGAGGACAAATGAAAACAGGACCAATGATGACGATCATCGTACGAGCTCTACTACAACGGTCAAGGACACATTACTCACAAGGTATAAATAAATATCTTATCTTGCAGCACGTACCAAACCAAGGCTCACGAGACTCGCATAAGGATTTCATGATAATCTAACGGGCCTAATTCCAAAACACTTATTCAGAACATTCCTTCTTTTAGTAGTTCCTGAACACTTCTAATTTTAGTAGTTCTTAAAAAAAGAATTGTAAATTTTCAGCTCAGAAGTGGAAAACAAACGAATTCCTTGCATGTACGAGACCGCGTAGTAGATTCAGCATGCTTGAATCGTTTTTTGCTAGAATTCACGACCAGAAAATTGCCTAGGTTTGTGTTGAAAATTTCGAAAATTCTGAAGTTCTACGGTTTTAAATTAAAATCTGCTATTGATCAACACTTTAAGGAAATATCAACACTTAAAAATAATATCAACCGTTCGAAAAACGAAGCGAAAAACTAACAAATTTCCTGAATATACGAGACTCTTGTGGTAGATTTACCCTGCTTGTTGTTTACTAAAAATTAAGACCAGAAAACTGCGGAGCTTTGTGTTGAAAATTCTGAAATTGAACGATAATCATCATCTTCTTTTGAACAAGACTTTTGGGACATATAAACACTTCAAAATAATATTTACCGTTCATATGAAGAATCCCAAATGTCGCAAAGCCTTAGTTGAAGTCCGAAAGCTCATTTTTGTTTACAGCCATAATTCGCATCGCGTTTGGGAATGAAGTATCGCATATTCTCTTTTCATTTTGAGCTCCAAAAGGTCTATCTTCAACGGGACAGAACGGGAAAGCAATCTTGAAAGTTTTGAAACCTCGCGGCCAAACTGGACGAGAACTTTCGAGCGAAGTGAAACTGCGCACGTCGTGTTACGGAAGCACGGCTGTGCGGTACATAAGGATTTTTACTATGGTAGTTACTAAGGAAACAGGTAGGCCTTGCGCGCGCGCTAAGCTATTAGAAAAAAAAAAAAAACCAAGGTCATTTAAATTCTGGAGAGAGATCTCTTGGGGAAATACAAGTGTTTTCTTTTATTATTTTCTTACTTGAACGATATTCTCTGCCAGCCACTTTGAAAGCATGTACTGCCTTGAAAAACGACCTGAGAATCGACCATCTGTATACTGCCAAGGGATCGGCTCCTGAAAGGAAGAAAATCAAATTAAAAAATGAGAGAACAGTGGCAAGGTTACTAGCCAAACAATAACGGTTTCCACTTATCTAACAATCTCCTTCATAGTAGTGAAGACAATTGCGTGAAGAGAAATGCGTGAAGAGGAATACGTGAAGAGGAATGCGTGAAAAGGACCTCTCTATAATCGCTCTCACCAAGTAAATCTCTCACGTATCTTGAATCACTGTTCTTGAGCAGGCTTAAGATGTCCGGTCTCATGAGATCCCTGTTCTTGTCCAAAAATCCCTGCAATTCAATGGCACTAATAAGTTTCTCAATTGCCTTTGGGATGTCCAGCCTGTTCCGCGCGTCCCGTTAGTAAAACGAAGCACGATATTAAACGGCGCGATAGAAGCAGAGGATGGAAAAAACGAAGGAGGTTTGGGTCGAGTCACGGTCGTTACGCGACCCAAACCAAACCCCCCCCCCCCCCCCAAGCACCCCGTCCCCGTCATCGTTCTGCCACTAATAATCGCCCCGTTTTACTAACTAAACGCCTGGAACAATCCATGGGACGGACAAAACTTCATAAGCACAGCTGCGAAGAAAACTATTCCTCCCTTTATACAGTAAAAAAAGTGAACAGAATTTATGATGTACACTATAAGATTTGTTATCTCCATTTTCTGTTGACTTATTTTGCATGAACAACTTGTACTCATAGACTAAATTATTCCTTGATTTTGTGATGAACCAACCTGGATGTTATATTTTACATTTCCTGCATAATGCTTTATGACAAATGCCTGATGTATAAGGGACTGTTCGTAATACTTGTGGCCTGAATGATTCTTGTCCAGCTTGGCTAGTAAAGAACTTTCCGTGGCACCGGGAAAACTGAGGAGGTAATGGAGGCAAAATGAATTAACTGACTCAGTGAGCGGCTATCTGATTAACTTTGTGATTGACTGCTGTACAGACTTGCTCACTTTCTAATAATCTGACTGACTGACGGGCTGATGGATAGACAGGAAAAGTTAGTTTTATCAACTGAGTTGATAACGTAAATTGGCTACTGTTACGAGTTTTCGTCATTCGCTCTGGCGAAGGGCTAACGCTCGAAACGTAAGCTTTACAACTGGTTACGGTGGGCAATTTAACCGATAAATTATCTTGTAATACCCCACCGACAAAACACCACAGCTTCTTTAGAACTGAACTTACCCCATTATTCATTTGATGGACAGACAAATAGACAGATAGATAGACAGACAGACAAACAGATAGACTGACAGACAGATGGACAGACAGTTACTTTCACTGGACAACTGTCTGGTTGGTCCTATTTTAATGAATGGATTAAGAAATTGACTGACTGATTGACTGCCAGCCTAAGCAACTGATTGACTGCCAACCCAGCCGACAAAATCACTGACCAAATTCTGAATTGGTGGATTGCTTGCTGAATTGATAGCTACACATAACTGCCCCACAATTCAAATTAATTAGTGGACATACCTACTCTCCTCATCAATCAAGTTTAATAGACCTGTTGGCCGACCAGAAATCAAATCCAAACATGCTGCATTGTCAACAAACTCCACACTCCTCCACTCAATTCCTTCAGAAATATATTCATCCTAAAAAAAAATAAATCAAAAGACAGGTCTACATTCACACAGGAACATATACAAAAGTAACTGAATCAGTGAGTGTGACCTTTGCCCTTCTTCTTACCTCAGTACTTATGTTTGTTACAAGATCATGAGAGATAGAAAAGTTACACTAACAAAAATGAACGATTCAATTTTCTTTGATTGCCAAAGTTTCCCACAACATTTACATGAAGTGAAAACTTTCATGTCGACTACTTTTCGAGGCTCACCTCACATTGCATTGAAAAAAAGGAAGTTGACAATATGTCCCTACCTGCTCCAGCTTAAACACATGTTTGTTGAAGTAAAATTGAAGCTTTTCATTGGCAAAATTGATACAGAATTGTTCAAAACTGTTATGCAGATAATCTTCAAATCCAAAAATATCCAACACTCCTATGGAGCATCCCTGAAATTAAACAATGCAGTAGTTATTACATACAGTACCTATAGTGGGAACATTTTAAACATTGCTTTAAGAACTACAGACTCATCCAGGAGGACTTCTACTAATATAATTTCCGTCCATTTACCCGCGTGGCAGATTAACCGCATCCGTCAATTTGTGCAATAACGAGAACAAAATTTCAATAGATTACACACACTGGCAGAAAGTAAGAAAGTAAGAGTACAAACAAGATAAAAGCTATGTTATTGATTTTTGCATGTTTTCGATTTGCATCAGTTTTAATCAAGAGCAATAAAGTCTCTTACTGTAATGGGCAATCTGCGCAAAATAAATGAGTTATTGCACATTTTTTTTGATTTGATTTCCTGTTTATCATTTTCAACCACACTGGAAGCTTTAAAAATTATTGTATTACCCACACCTTCCTAAAATCTGCACCAACAACTGTTTGTGGAAAAATGAACAGGTTACCCATGGGTTATTGGCTGGAAATTATGGTAAGTTACAAAGTTTATGGCCCTGCCTCAGCATATGCAAATAAAGGGGGTTAGTTTTAAAAAAAACTGTGTTGCTGCATCAGTAGAAAGTATTGGTAATTTGGTTGTATCATCTACATTGTAAATTAACAGTGAGTGAAAATTGGCCATCATAAAGAGTTTCTACTGGTGACGTTTCAAGTGTTAGCCTTTTATCAGGGCAAATAATGGGTTGTGTATCAGGTTTATAAAATGGAGCTTGCAATTAGTGGGAACACTGTTATGTGAAAAACACAATATTACTTCACAGATGAATGAAAATGTATACAAGCCTACCTCTACTACATTCAACTGCTTAATAGCCAATGCATGGTTCACTTGCAACACAATCCAGTCAAACAGAGTGCCATACAGTGCTTTTGCCATTGCATCTCTTGTGGCTATGGCCTGAAAAAAGTAAGGTATACTTCACTATTTTTTTTTTCAACATTATTGACCACTAGGTTATGAATATCTTTGCATTATTGTGTGTTTGTTCCTAATTTTTTGTTTTAATCCCATTTCTTTTCTTTCTTTGCCTGTTCATTTTTGCTACCTTGGAAATCAGAATTTTCTCACCATAAAAAAGCCAAATAACTGGCTTTCAAGGCTTTAATTACTTATGCAACAAGCTCTATGAAATTATCTAAAGACATCCACTAGATATAATTTCTAAGTCAACTGAAAAATTGTTTATTTACAGCAAGAGGCTATGAAACTCACCTCTTCATATTTATAAGGTACAATAAACTGCTCATTTCTGGTTTTTGTTTTCTTTGTTGTTAAAACATCAACAAGATTGCGCCGAGTAACCTGAGTAAGATAACAGAAAGACATAAACAAAATATGCCTACCTCTCAATTTATCAACGCAGCAAGTGAAATACAACAACAGCACATCAAATCAAAATTAATTAAAGTAATTACAAAGATATTTATCTGAACCCAAACAAATTGACAACAATTGACATATAGCACATTAAGGAAAGACTAATCTGAGGGTGATTGCTTCTAGACATGAATGATTAATTACGAATTGAATTGATTCTACACATTAGCAATAACTGAAGGAGTTCAACCAAAATCGATGGACGTGGTATTTGTGGCAAAGATACAACTGTAAGTTAGAGTAGTTAGATCTTAAAGAAGCTTTAGATTTATTACAAACCTACTGAAAACATGAATTGCATAATTTTGTTTACATATCAGACATGATGTCATAAGTTGTTTGAAGTAGTGAAAGGTTGTAGATGCTTTTATAAAAGTTCAAAATTGTTTTCATTCAGATTCTTCTGATCTTATTCTACCCATCTGTATCACTCACCATTAGGAGATCACACACAAAGTCGATTGTGTGATCTTCACTGTCCCTTATCATGGCTTCTTCCTGTCCTGGTCTCTGATAAAGAAAAACAAAAATCATATTGACTTTGTATATGCTAGAAACAGAAAATACATTAAAAACAAAACAAAAACAAAAATAGAAGATCATACCCGTGAAAACTTGATATTTCCAATATGCAGTACGGCAGATAAAATGCTAAAAATTCTGTAGGGAAACAAAAAGAAAGGAAAGAAAATTTTCAAAAAAGAAATACCAATACCAGACAAGAATGCAGGGTTTTAACACCTCCAAATTATCCCACAGTATTTCCACTATCACATGACATATTCCCTGACTTTATAGTATTAGGCTATAAAACAAAGTAAAATCACCTCTTATGCACATCAGCAGGAAAGCCTACCATTTCCATAGACTTTTTTAGTCTAAGAAATTCATAGGCTTCATCGATCCCTTCCAGGGAATAGCATTCATTCTGTAAATTGAGAAGCATAGTATTGGTTGTCTAACAAAAATGATATTATAATCAAAACCAAGAGCATTATATCGAACTAAAAGGACAGCATATTAAAAAAAGGATTAATATTACATTCATCAACCAAAGTGACATTAAATTAGGAGTGATTGGGCAGATATTCTTTATCACTTAACAACAAATTGACCTTGGTTCAAAGTTTAAGTGAGTAATAATAAATTTGGCCCAATTTAAGCAATATTACATCCAGACTTCCCAGACTGTTGTTTAGACTTAATAAGAATAGAATAAGTCAAAGTGGTGTGCTGGAGCTAACACTTCCTTCAGAAGGGATGCGTATATGTCATTCTATCATAGTCATCAAAAACATGTCAACTTTCATAATTTCATTAAGTTCTAATTGAGAATAAATGACAAAAGATTTTGAACACACTTTTCATAGAATGCAAAAATGACAGCTGTTCAATGTTTTGACTTTATCTAAAACATTGTTACCAAAAAAAAGGTTTGTCAGTGAAGTGAAAGGTAAGCACAAAGAAAGCTGCATAAGCAAGCTATTTATACTTGTGTATTCAGACCTTGCTGAAATGATCACTGGCACATAATGGAAGCCATTATTTTTTCATTTAGATAATGCAACATCCTGTACACAATACAATCAAATTTAAAATGGCATCTTTAATTAAAACACTGCATGGTTTTTCACAGATAATCATGGTTTTTCTAAGCCATAAACTTGTTTCAGATGCTTTTCAACAGAAAACTGAAGGCCAACTCGTTCCGCAAGGCATTGATGTGGGGTCAAACAAAACTACCACACTGAGCATCATTAAAAAATAACTAAGAGAAGTGAAGGAATACCTGATTAAGATAACAATACTCCTCTGGTTTTGTGAGGTGGAGTTCCTCTTTAACTTCAGGACTTGCTCCAGCAAGTAAATAGTAAAACACATGGTAATTTCTACAAGATATGACCAAATATATTACCTTAAAATAACACTGTGCACAAAATTCCAGAAAAATATAATATGGATAGTTTCCCAAGTCATCTAATCCAAACAAACATTTGTGGAACATACTCTACAGCCTTGGTTCATACTCTAAAACTGTTACTAATGACATTCTTATAGTTAAACTTTATTTATCATTTCCCATGATTTACTAAATTATGCAAATACATTTTAATACAATCTTAAGTTTACCTCTCCTCTGGAGCTTGAGAAACAATTCTTGACTTTTCCAACAAATATTTCCTCAAAGCAGCTCTAGTGAAAGAAAATCATAGACTCGAGTGATTGTTGAGAACACATTTATTAAAACTGGGAGTGTAGAATAGGCTTTGAGCCACTGCAATCAAAAGTAAATACTGCAAGTTAACCCTTTCACTACCAAGATCTCATCAGTAATTCTACTTACTGTCTTTCATGGCAGACAGTGAGGAGAATTACTGATAAGATCTTGGGAGTTAAAGGGTTAACACAATTATAACTGAGTTTATGTAAACACTGTGAACAAAAGTAATTCACTTCAATTAGTATCATCTCAGAGGTTCAAGCATAAATGATTCATCTCACATGGACTATTTCACATCTTCAAATCTTCTTATCAAGCAAAATACTATGTTACTGAGTCTGAAGAGACAATGCAATGTTGCACAATGGCACCAAGTGTGTTCCTGCCTTAACAAAATTAACATGACATTAAAAGGGAAACACTGTTTACTTTTAAATTCTGTTATGACTTTAATTCCATGAAGCAATTATCATGTAACTTCAGAGTTCTCGTTACAACCTAGATACATACATTATCAAGCCAAAAATGATTGAAGTAGATGAACAAATCAACTTGTGGGTGTCAATACAAATTTTTAGTTGAGTGTCACTACAACCAGATTGCATTTGGTACTGTACTACTGTGCATAGTGATTTATCTAGCAAATTCACACCAGCCTATCAACCCGTCAGATGCAAAACAAAAACTAATCACAACTTGGTAACTCTTTTTTTTCCAGCTAGCAAATCAATGATCCTTGCAGGTGGACTGCAAATTTTAAAAAATTGGAGAAAAGATGCGTGAAATAAATTCAGACTTCAACGGGATTCAAACCATGAGCTTCCCAGGTAGTTGGGTGTTTCAACCAGTTGAAAAGCTACAAATCGAGACAAATTTTTGGAGGATTCTGCAATTACCGGTACTTCACTTGGCTTTGCTTCACAAAACTCACCTGCAAACTGCTCTATTTTGACATTCAACTTATTAAACCTTCTCTTAACTACTCTGCTACATTAATTACAAGAGCTAAAAGGGAGAATTACTGACCAAATGTTGTGAATTGAAGGTTCTCTTTGAACCCAAAGGAGATCAGTAAACATTAGAAATTTGAAACAGGAAGCAAGGTTGAACCACAAAATATATAACAAAATGATTCTCAGAAAAAGACATACCCACACACAGCTCCATCAGGCCTGAACTTGATTTGTGTGAATTTTCCAAATCTACTTGAATTATTGTTGTATGCCGTACTAGCATTTCCAAAAGCCTGAAATTGAAAATGTCAGCAATTGAAAAAAACAGAAATATCTTAAAGATGTACAGTGAAAGTTCTCTGAATAAACACTCATAAGCAGAAAACCATACTTTCACTGCTCTTGCAAAACACATTTTGTTAACACTCATACAACTTTTGTATTTCCATCTTCCCTCAGGTGAAGATTTGATAGAATTTGTCAAAATTCTGAGGAAGTATCAGGGTTTCAGATTAAAAAAATGTAAAAATTTCTTGCCCTGGTATATATTCTACACAATGAAAAGCAAAAAGTATCCTTTGTGAATGCTCTGAATATATATGTCATGGAAAAGAAATCCATGCCTACAAGAAATATCATTAGCATGGACCATCTCATACATTTTTAGAATTTCAAAACATGCAAGGGTATACGGAAATGTTGCAACACTGTAAAATGTGATTTTACCTAGGATGTTTCCAAAAAGTTGAAAATAATTTAAAGGCACTAGTGCTGCTTTCAATTTTAATACAACAAGAATGTTTTTAGTTAATTTTTTCAAACTGGCCTCCAAGTTATCATATGAATTGCTCCTCTGCCTAGCAGTCGTGGGACATAAGATTAGTTCTGTGAAAAACTTGAATAAACAGATCTATAGCTCAAAGAAATAATCTGTCACTGTGCACTTCTAATGCAACTACAGATAGATATTTCGATTTTGTTCTCAAGGTAAAGAGACTAAAATTAAGCGACAAGTAATCAATTACTTTTAATTTCATTATAGAGCAGAGACTATTGTGGCTTCTTATATTTACAAAATTTATTCGCGTGTAATTGTCTTGAGACATTTTTTTTCCCGAAGAATTATGACATTATTTTCTTTTGGAAATTTAGAAAAATTTGGAAATTTCTTGCGTGAGCTTTACTTGAGACTAGCAAATACATTAACGTAGACATTTTCAAGTGACAAAAAAACTAATTGATTCAATCAGCAAGGGTAATTTACAGAGGAATAATTCCTAACCCAACTCACTCAAAACCTTGTCCTCGACTTGATCACTTCAAATACTCAATCAAACCACAACAATATCACAGGTCATCGAGAATACTTGTCAAAGATGTAAACTTTAAATAAAAGCGCTGTAATCAAGCCTCAAAACACAATCAGATCTGGGAATTATGATGCAATTACATACCTCAAGGACCGGACCGACTCCAAGAATGGTCTTCTCCACTGACGTAGCTTGCGTTTTGAGACCCAAAGCCGTCAAATGATGAACAATAAGTTTAGTACTTTCCGTTTTCCCAGATCCACTTTCGCCACTTATCACAACGCACTGACTTTTCTTCTCTCGCAGCATACGATGAAAAGCAACATCGGCAATAGCGAAAATATGTGGAGGAAGGGATCCTAAGTTCCGGTTGTTGTATGCATTTATAAATTTTGGATTGTACATAGGAAAAAAGCGAAAGGGGTTCACAGCGATGAGTATTTCTCCTACGTAAGTATAAATACGTCCTTGGGAAAACCTTTCTTCCAAATGTTTGAGCAAAGTTTGCTCTGATAACGTTGGTAAACAACAGAGATCATCATCGGAAAGTTTAGATTCCAGATCGAAGTCTAACTCGTGGCAGTTCCTTACACTTTCGTGGCAATCCATCCAGTGTTGTCGAAGTAGTTCTGGTTTCGTTTCGTCTCTGTCGTCGACCTTTTCTCGGATAAAAAGTCGATATGAAGTTCTGACCTTTGGAGGCAACTTTCTCCAACTCTGTTGGACTTGATAGGGCTGGTCAGACCCGCTCAGGACCCTCTCGCTGTCCTGGTCCAAAACACTGTCTCGATAGCAAACCTCGACCAACTCGAAATTTTCCGGTTTTTCTTTTATTTCCAATTGTCCGAGAGTCAATCTCAATACCTGCCTTGTCGTGGCAGTCTCCGAAACCGATATCACAATGGATTGGACAGCGGCGAGCAACTGACCGGCGAATATGCGAAGTTTAACATAACGAGTTGTGCTAGCCCTTCTTTCAGCCATAGAGATATGGCGGAAAATGATACTTTTTACTCCAGCGACAACAATCCCCTTGTGTTGACATTTCTCTCCAAGATTCCAACGCCCTTTCGAGTCCTTGCTTCAGCCGTCGTTGCGATCTATTTTCCGAGTAATTCCTACCATCGCACGGATCTACCGGTCGTTCGATCCGAAATAGTACCTCTATAGAAAAATAGACACAATAGAGAAAATGAATACATTAGGGAATGGCTTAGATTGTCATTCATTCATTTTCCGTACTTGAGCACTCTCCTTCCTGGATATGAAGTCACACATCCGCCAATTTTACAAATTTTAATTTGAAATTAACCCGCCCATACTTGTACATATTCTCAACCGATTACATGTAACCCCGAAATACCGGCCGTATAATTTATGGAATCACGTCTACCCTCCATTGTGAAGAAAACCACGAACAATTCGACTCCCGTGGTCTCTCCGCAGGAGATAAAAGAGACAAAGAAGTATTTCTAGCAATGGCAATCTTTTCAATCGTGTTTTATCAGATGTAGCTTAGATTTTGATACAAATCTTTAACACAAAAGAAACCGAGCTGCGAAATTCGCACTGTCCTATACAAACAGAGTGTGTTAATATTGACAAATGGTTAAACCTCTCTCATTGGTTAAGTATTTGTCCTCCAAATCCTTTGACTCTGCGAGTTAACCCAAAATTATATTATAATCCATTTGTCTGTTAAGCTACACTATAAGCTCTATATCGGCAGAGAAACCCCGCTAACATGCAAGAAACAACACGCTCCGAATATCCGGTCGTTCGATACCAACAGTTCACTGCTGTTAAGTGCTCAAATGAGGAAGAAAACAGAATTTATAAAAAAGAACATCATGACACTTGTCAATTCTAAACTGTATTTTTACAGATAAATACAGCCGCATTCGATCTACATGACTGAACAAATGTCATGGTAAGAGAAAATCGATTTGAAACTTACCTTTCAGAATGAGCAAGGTCAGCTTCGATGAAGAGTTCCACAAATCCCTGACACTAATCGACTATTTGCATCACCGACCATTAAGCCCGACCACAACTTGTAAAAATTTCAAGAGATTTCGGAGCTGCGTTTTCTTGAAGGTCAGTCTTTCCCAGTTAAAAAAACTCTAAGCTAAGCAGCACGACTGAACGACGACAATTAAGTGAAGAGTGCTCGGTCACCGCGCCCGCAAAGTGAATTCAACAAAACAGCATGCGCACCGAAGGTAACGCACCGGGTGGCTTGCTCTTAACTTATTACTAACAAAAGCCAAGAGTATAAAATTCATTAAAGTTTAATTGAGTTTGCTGTTGTTTTGGCGGAGAATTTCCATAATTTCACAGGCAAAAGGTCAACCAATCCAGTACCAATAACAAGAAGCTGACCTTTACGCGCTCAAAAAACAAATCTTTTGATGCCGTAGAAAAATACAAAGCTTTGCGAACAGTCTGCCATCTCTTGGATACAAAAGGTGGATAGCGATATATTTCAAAATCACACTTTTGATTCTCGAGTGTGGCGTGACAGAGGTGTGACTACTATAAACTTCCGGTGTGAAGTCACTTCCGTTTTGAATGACGTCATTGTCTCTGGTAACTTAATTCCTGAAATTATAACCTTACGTCATTTTTCTCGTATCTCTGCGATGCTGAATCATTTAAGAAATTAGTGACTAGTCCATTAAACGCACTCAATATGCGTGTGTCTCTATAATTCTTGACTCCAAATCAAGCTCAATGGTGATCGCGTTACCAATGCTTCGCGTTTAGGTCACGTAATCTAGCTTTCGTGCTATCAAGGATACAGCCGGATGTGTCGGAACTCTAATCGTGTTTCTTACAAAATAAAAGCCTATTAAATAAAGTTGATCATAAAATGAACACCATTCTGGCGCCTGGAGATAGTCAGGAACATATTACCAAGAATTGCAGTGCTAGTTTTGAAGCCGTGACTGGTAATTCTGGTCGATCCTCTTAAAATCGCAATCAACCGAATCACAAAGAGGTCAATGTTTTCGTAAAAGTTTTTTTCTTAAACGAAGAATTGCCGCTAGTTGAAGCTTCTCACTCCAAGAAGAGTGTGTAAATCCGATACCACCTTCTGCGTTATTAACTGCTTCTTTCAGGATTATTTTGAAAACCGAAAAAGGGAAAGGTTGGAAGACGGACTAATACCGATAATAAATAGCCATGAGTGATTAAAATCAGGCCAAAACTCCGAGGTCGAGAGTTTAGATGTTAAAAAATTTGGGGGAAAAAAAAAGAAAACAAGAATAAGAAAAATATGTATGTGATCGGACGTTTACCTCTTGTAGGTTACAGCTCTTTTGTTGTTTCTTTTCATTTCATTTTTTTTTTTTGTGGCAAACTTCAAACTATCTGGCTCTTCAGGGTAATTCAGTATTATCAATCGAGTTGATAGCGTAAATTGGTCATGCAGTGTAAAGAGTTTCAAAACTGACATTTCGAGCGTTAGCCCTTCGTCATCCATTGCATCTGACGACACTTGCATCCAATATCGAACACTGGTGTATAAAATAACAGACTGTACAGACTGGCGTCTGAAATCGGACATTGGTGTCTAAAATCGGAAACTAGTGTCCAGAATCGAACACTATTATCCCAAATCTGATACCAGTGTCGAAAACTGGACACTTGGGTCGAAAGTAAGGCAATCATGTCTACATTAAAAAAAAAATACTGAGTGAAACGGAAACTTGTGTCTAAAATCGGACCAAAGTGTCCAAAAACAGACGATAGTGTCTAAAATCAGACTCTGGCCTCTAAAATCAGGCGCCAGAGTCTAAAATCAGACACAAGTGTCAGAAATTGGACACGTGAGCCTAAAATCGGGCAACAGTGTCTTAAATCGAACAATAGTGTCTGAAATCAGACTCATCATCATATCATATGTTATTTGCCTTACTTATACAATACAAAAAATTTATTTACAGCAGTTATAGCTAGAAGGGGAGGAGACCCAGGAAGCCACTGGGCTTATGGGAGAGCCACCTCATTTACATTAATAAATAAAGTAAAGAAAAAGTGCTGCGAATGTGCGGCTAGGCCAATTCAGTGATTATTTAGGTAAAAACTCTTGCATTTTCGTCTTAAAACTAAGAAGGTTTGACGAACGAGTGACTGAAACAGGAAGAGAGTTCCAAATTTTAGGACCTTGGTAGAGAATTGTAAATTGCATGGGATTTGTACAGCACAAATGCGTGCAATAATTACTGGCTGTTCTGGTACCATAGTTGTGAATTTGGCTATTCGTTACAAAAAGATTGAGAAGCAATGGGGGCAATAAGTTCTTTCTATAATAAAACATGAATTTGGCGATTTCAAACGTATTGACTTGGAAAATATCTAAAATTCCTAGTTTGGAGAATAAACGAGCGGAATGGGCTCGGTAGTCTGAGTTGGTGATAGCCCGCACAGCTCGCTTTTGCATGTATTAAATTCTGTTTAAGTTAGATATGTATGTGGACGACCAGGCGCAGTTACAATAGACGATATCAGGATAAATTAAGGTGTAGTACAAAGTGAGTTTAGTTGTAGAGAATAGGAAGAGGATAATTAGACTCTATAGTCTAAAATCGGACACTAGTGTCTAAAATTGGACACTTGTGTCGAACATCGGACACTAGTGTCCAAAATCAGACGCCACTGTCTAAAATCGGACACTAGTGTCTAAAAAATTAAATCAGACACTGTTGTCTAAAATCGCACATTAACATCTAAAATCGGAAAGTAATGTCTAAGATCTAAAATCAGACACTACTGTCTTTACTCAGGCACTAGTGTCTAAAATCGGACGCAAGTGTTTGAACTCTAAAATCAAAGTATTTATTAAATCGGACACCATTGACTAAAAAATCTAATATCAGACAGTAGTCTAAAATCGCACTCTACTGTCTGAAATCAGTATCTCAGGAAGAGGTCCATCAACGGCTTACTTGTATACTCCCTCCTTCGACCTTCACCATTTTTCAGTACGTAAGAAACTTGGATATTTCTCGAAACCATTTGCGCGGAACTTACTCCCTTTATGCAGAAAGGGAAACTTTGCGCAATTTTGGCCAGTTAGATAAGGGTGTTTCGGTGTTTCCCCCCCAGGTTATAGAAAGCGCGGGCAGTTTGGCGTTAAATAATGTGAAGTGACGGCAATTAGGAAAACGATGTACAATGACGGTGAATGATGTCTAATGACAGAATCATGCAAAATGATGTCGGGTGATTTTCAGCGACGGGTAATAATAAACAATTAATCACCGAAGAGGAAATGAATCATGATTTTCGTATATACCACACTCGCGCTCGTGTGGTATATACTACTGTTTAATAACAGTAGATTTCTAGTGACAATGAATACTACAAAGTTAGCCTAAATTTTGTCTAGTGGTGGTGACGTTGTCTCACGGCGTTATGTGATGTTAAATGTCAGCAAATTATGTGTAATGACAGGGGAAAAAGTAGCCTGCACTGCAGGCGTCTCATTAGGACGAGCTAACGTTATAAGCTCGCGACCGTTCATCCGAATGGCCACGTTTGAATTGGGTATGGGTGAAGAGCGGGGAGACCTCCACTCTCCCACCCCTCCCCTTATTTTTCACCGTCGACCGCCCTCTTAGTACTAATTTCTTTCTCTCCCCACCCTTCCGCTGCCATCAGATTCAAAGGTAGCAGCCGTAATTTTCGATAAGAAAACACGGAGCACTCGCTCGCTAAAATTACGCCTGCTCTGCTGGTTAGAGAAAAAGGTGCGATGTGCGATTAAGTAATGTTAAATGACGGAAATGGTGCCGAATTATCAACTTTCGCTTAAATCGGGAACCGCGGTGAGTATACACAAGAGACTTTCACTGGTCCAAGAAGTGTACACGGAAAATGTTTGCCTGGCACTAGTTACGCAAAAATGTCGATGTAATGAGACCTTTTTTAAATCTCTTCGCATGGTATTATAAAGATTGCATGACTTCCGTGCGAAATGCCTGTTATGTGAATTGCCAGTGTTCTTAATAGGTAATTCATCGAGAAAGAATTGCTACTAAGAGTATTTTACCGAGAAATATACTTTGTCCTTATAAACTGCAGCATCTATAGTCAAGAAAATGTTTGCCAGGGACAGTCTCGTATTGGTGAGAGTTTTATAAATATCCATTTAATCCTTCCAAAATGTGTGTCATGCTACCTTGTTATGCTGACTCGGAAACATTAGGGGCTCAAAAGATGCGTAAGCAAAAACGGCCGCAGACAAGTCGCGAAAGTAGTTTTAAACAACAGGTCCAATATAAATGGATTCAATGTCCAGATATTAAAAGTGCTCAAGATGCAACGATTCCAGCCTTTGTCAGACATCTTTGACAACGTCATCCATATTGTGCTCTGCCGCTACCATCTTTGCTTTGTCCACGGATCTTAACTGTAGGAGAATTTGTATAACTTTCTTGATGCCGCTTCTGAAAACAAACACACCAACAAAACAAATCAATAGACAATCGAGCCTTCTTTAACCCTGTCTTTCCCAAGATCTCATTGGTGATTCTATTAACTCTGCCATACAATTCTTAATATGTTAGTTCGGAGAATTTAGTACTACAGCAACTTATAATCCCCTAATTGATATTTCTCTTTATTCTCGTCACTTTTCTGCCTAATATCGAATTGATGTTGTAAGGAAAAATTCTGTCTTGGTCACTGTCCATATTGCTGGTCTCGTTATAAGTTACCAGTAATAACTCAATTCAAACAGATTTTTCAGTTACTCAATTCAAACAAATTTTTCGGTCAGTAGTGTCAGTTGCTCACTGTTGCTGAAAGGTTGATCAAATTCTCTGACGACAGTCGCAAGGGCTGCCCTTCCTACATGAAGTTACCATAATGAAAAATAATATATACAATTTCCGGTTTCATCAACACTCGTCGAGACTGAAGTTGTTGAGCCTTCAGTATATGCCACCACTAAACTGAAATGAAAGAAAAAAGAAAGAAACGAACCGCAATCAAATCAAATCAAAAGCTGAAAGTACCTTGCTTTCTTTTTCTCGGCCTCAGGGCACCCGGCACAAGACCGCTGTATATTGAGTGCTAAAGTTGCAAGGAAACGTGCCAGCGCTTCCAATGAAGGTACTGTTGTCTGCTGCTCCTCGTTAAACCACTGTTTGGGGAACGTGGCTGTGATCTGATAGAGAGCAAAAATTTGCCTTATTTCCCTATAATCTCCTTTCATGCAAGTTTTGGGAATTTGATGTTTATATTTCTTCAGTTCTACAGTATCTTCTTGTTGAAGAATGTGTTCACCCTGTTTACTTTCTTCCTTGTTGGAGTAACTTTGTTTTGGATCACGCTTCTATAAAACAAACTTGAAGAGGCTTAAATCGAAATATATGCCCTTGCAGTAGTGTTTACTCGAATGCCTTAGGGTATCTGGTAACCTAGCAATGACAAGGAAATAAATTAACAACCATCATTTTCATTAAAGCAGAGATGCAAATTTTAGTAATCTTCAACATGATATAATGAAGAGGGAGACAGTAATTGGAAAATCTTCCAGCATAATTACTCAGAGGAATACTGGAGCACGAAAGCGCCTTGCTGGCGCTCGAAATCACCAAGCAAGTGGGATTCAGACTAGCTCGCGAGAGCGAGAGATCACGCACACGAAGGACAGAGGTCGGTACTCTCGTACCTGCACTCTCGTTCTCGACACATGCGTTTACCTAAGCTGTAATAGTTGTTGTATTTTGTCGTCATCAGCGATCATTTTGATAGGCGCTTTGGTAATAGAACCGCCTCGCACGGAGCGACCACAGCAAGTAAGAGCACATCTAAGAATACCATCCTCACATTTCAACTATTTAAAGTCAGTAGTTGGCTCAAACAAGGTCAAAAGATGAGCGCACATAGAAGAACAGTCGACTCCCGATAACTCGCACCCTCGATCGATTGGCCGATCTCGAACCAAAATCGATTATTCCCTTAGATTTCCGTCATAAATTTACTGCAATTTTACACTCGCTGACTCGAACCTTCCCCGAACTCAAAGTAACTGTAGTTTCTCTTCAGGTTTTTCTCTATATATTTTTACCCTTGATAACTCGAACCACGTCAAACCACGTCTGTCAATACGTGACGAATAAAAAACAACAGTGTGCTGCCGTCCAAAAAATTTACTGTAATTTATTTTGAAGCAGACTTTTAATCTTTGTCCTTTTTGCATTACACAAAACGTGTCAGCGGCAGTTCAGGTTTCGTTGGTTAAGGGTACATCTAACTACAGTGCCTGTATCTTCGACTCCCGATAACTCGAACCCTTTTAACTTTCCTTGAAGGTCCGAATTATCAGGATGCGACTGCAACTCGTAAGTCAACGATGTTAAGAATGAAAACGATACTTACAGCTTTCACTTTCTCCAGGCTGTCATAGTAAAGATGAGAGTGTTGTAGTGCTAATAGAAGGTATCTGTTCAACAAACCATCTATTGCCAGTTCCTGCAGTCTGGCGGAGGAAAGAAGGCCTTCCCACCTCAAGATATTTCCCATGAGCTACAACAGAGGAGAGAAAAGAATAAACAATGCAGGTTTAACCCTTTAAACCCTAAGAGTGACCAGCATGTGATTTCTCCTTACAGTAATGCTACTGAATCCTTCATTAAGATCATGAGAATAAAGGAATTATGATCGCCAACGTTAAAAGCTTTGATTGTTAAGCGAATTCTCCCTGTAAGTGCCATAGGAAATGTGAAGAGAGGAGTATTGAGAATATGGATACTGATGTTAGGGTGTACAGGGTTAAGACATCAACTTAATTAGGTAAAAACCGAAAAAAAAAAAAAAAAATGAATGCACTTCCCAAGCTGTACTTCATAAGTGGCAAAATAAATTTTAAATTTTAAATACCTTTACACAACTCCAAAATTGTCTCTGCAAAAATGCCAAAGCCCCAGAAGATTTATTGTCTAATAAACTGCTCAAAAAATTAAGAAAAACAAACCAAAACAAATAAGGATTATGTACAACAATAAGTCAAATGGTTGTCAGAATTTTTTGATAACATGCAGGTGTCTTTATTAGTTAAAAATGTAAGTAGGCACTCATCTACTGGAATATCCCTGAGAGGAAAGAACCCAAGAGAGTAAAGTGCCATGCCCAAGAAAATACTAAAAAGCATCAGTGAGAAAGGTGGCTGATTTAACCATATCTGCTTAAGAATCCAAGCAATATCCCAACACACATGGTAACCAAAAAGTCAAAGTGGTTAGTGATCTTTGCCAGAAACCAGCTAGTTTCACATTTCTCTTTATTTTAAGAATGTAATTAAGAGCAAACCAACTTTTACCTTTTGGGGTAGAGGGGAACATAAACGTCATCACTTACACATCGTCTTAAGCGGGTGGTTATTGCAGCAAACAGTGACTATACAAACAGGAAAGAAAGAAGAAAGACATTCTCGTTGATCAGTGAAATGAAATATCCATTGATGATTCTCTAATTGACTGAATAGAAAATTTTGCAATTTACTGACTGCTGCTTGTTTTAGATTTACCTAAACAATAACTTGAAAGTCGCAACAGAGCAAATCATTGGATTTAATAACTCAAAATTCAATCCAGTGATTTACTGGCTAATAGATGGACTGATTGGCTAACTTACTGGACTGATTGCCTGACCTAACAAAGATTAACCTGTCAACTATTCAAATGATCAATCAATCAGTGAGCCAATTGCATGAAACATCTTTTCAAAAGAAGATGATATCCATGTATGAACAAGCAACAAAACTAGCCACATATAAACAGTCTAAAATGATTCAGCTTTACAAATTTTTAAAAAGTACAAGCTTGATCTCACTTGTGTTGATTTATCCTGAGCATGAAAGTTTGGGTAAACTTCAGCCATTCCCCTTATTAACTTAATGGCCAGCATTGTTTGCTTCTGTGAAAGAGGATCCCAAACATATTCAAAAAGACCTAGAAAAAATTTAAAGGTGAGTTAACATGTATTAAAAAATGTATTCAATGTAAATAACTTTTTTATTGATTTATTGACAAGAATTGGAGTAATATAATTACCAGTTAGTTTTGGAATGAGAGCCTTTTCTAGCACCATTGGGATAAGTTTGACATCAAGGTCGTCCGCATCAATATCATAGGGATCATCTCCACATCCAAACAATACAAGACTTTTGTACCAACGAAATTCTTCAATCTCTAAACATTTCACCTGGAGGGGAAGAAAGAAAAAACATTAAATTGTGTACTGTCATGAGCAAAATACTGTAACCATTTTTTTATCAGGTTTGTATTGATTGTTTAATGACTATGCTGCCAAAAGATTAGGTTAAAAATTATTGTTGTCAGTTTAAGAGAAAATTCAACATTACTCATTTATAAATGAGCAAAACTCAAGCTGCTCAGCTCAAGGACACTTGCATGAAATCAAACTATGAACATTTTTTTTTGGTTGTTTCTAATCACAACTTCTAACTCATTAGTTCAAAAATGCACTTTGAATGAAATTTCACCGCTTAATGCGCAATATGAAGGATTAGCCCCAAACAGCACTGCATTGTTAAGATTCTGCCATGAAATTTATGCCTTTTAAGTGTTAAGGAAATTATCCATATAAGGAGCAATGTATTGAGTTCTTGATTGTCTTGTGCCACCAAGAAGCCCACAGACCATCATCATAGTGAGCTACTTTAACCTTAAATCTACACCAAATGTGCATCTTGTGTAACCTGTTTCAGAGAAACTTTGGATGTGGCAAGGTGCTCAGCAGGTACACCATATCCTTGCCAAGTTCAGTTGCCCTTTTGTTCACAATGTTCAAAACAAAGGTATCAATTGTACCTCAAATGGGTTCCAGTCCAAAAGTTGCAGTCTAATAAACGGAGCAAACAGTTTGGGAAGACAAAGTGAAATGTATGCATTCTTATAACAGTCTTCATGTTTGTTCTTCCATTCTTCAAATCTTGATTTTATGGAGTCAATGGAACTAAAATCCTCCACAACATCTTCAAAAATAACTTTCTCCTCTGACAAAATCCTCTCTGAGGAAAAAGAAAAGAAGAGGCAGTGAAGGGATTGGGTGTCATTACTCACAAAGTTATCAAATTTTACATCAATCAAATTGTTCTATTCCTCCAAAAATAAATGATTAAAGTTAAATATAACAAAGTAGCAACATTTGGCCATTTCATGCAGACAGCCTGTTACACAGTGATGCCAACAGCAGCACATCAACCTTGCATAGATCACAACATTGTGATTCATATTCAAAGTCTTCACAAATTTACCATCAAACTCTCATGGTTAACCCTTTAAGTTCAACAAGTGAACAAGACAGAATTTCTCTCTACAATATCAATACATTATCAAGCAGAAAACTGATGAGAATAAAGAAAAATAACAATTAGGGGATTTTTAGTTGATCCAATACCAAGTTCTCCAAAATACATAACTGCATGTATGTATCACCAGAATAATTGTATGGCAGATAGTAGGGGGATTCGCTACTGAGATATTGGGAGTGAAAGGTTTAATACTTTAATGCACCATTCTTAAACCTGTCTCATGATCTAGTTGCAAAAGAAGATCTTACTTGTTTCTGCCCTAAACTTAACAGCATCTGCCTCAGTTTCTTCATCATCTGTTGATTGTCCTTCATGATGAGTGTCTGGTACGGAAGCTTTGCCCTTCTCCTTTTCTCTGTGTTTTCTCCTCCGTGCTCTTCTTCCCTCTCGTTCAGCAGTGCGTCTCAACTTCCCCTGATCTGCTGCTTTAGCTGAGGTTTGGCGTCCTACATGGAGGAGACAAAATTTTTACTTAAGCAAGGAAACTATAGAACAAGTTTATTATGCTGGACAGTACTGTTAAGGGGGATTTGACATCTTTCCATGGGCAACATAATGTTTAAATCAGCAGAGAATAATTCATGAGCAGAAAGTACCTCTAGGTCTAAACCCTTACACCCTAACATCATCTAGACTCTCCATTATGTTCTCCATACATTTCCTAGGGTGTTGACAGGTAGAATTTGTTTAACAATCTCGAGGTTCTTTAGTTGGTGATCAATTCCTTTATTCTTGTGACCTTAATTAGGGGTTCAAAGGTTACCTGAGGCTTCATGAATTTATCATATTTTCTTAACCTTGGCTTTTGCTCTGAGCCTCATACATGTGTTTCTGTCATAGTTGCTAATGTGACTGGGAGTATTCCATGCACACCATGTGTAAGGTGAAATTCCAAGCAACCTAAATATCAGTCAAATTAGAAAATTACCAGCTTGAGCATTAAGAAAATCCTCTGCTTGATCATTGACATCTGTTTGCCTCCTCTGGACCACTAAGCAAGCTCGATTCTTCAACAAAGCATGCATAGACGTTTCTAGCTCATCAATTGCAGGTACCTGTTCAAAGCAACAAAGTAATATCATCATTAGCAGTTTAGTCTCACCAATAATGTTAAATTGTATGTTGTTTGCTTTACTACACTCTGCAGAATGTAATGATTTGAAAACTCATCTCTGTCAAACAAACTCACTCAACGAGATATCAAAATTAACCCAGTCGTGACTTGACCATTCACACTTTTGTGTCCTTGAGGAAGTTTGTATATATACACCAGGCAGGCTGTAGTAATTTTTCTTTAGATAAAGGCAAGGTTTGGTTCAGCGACTTTCCAATAACCAACCAATATTTGCAGCTCTGGTAATAACATGCTTGTATCACCCACCTTGTTATTAAGGCATTCTATCAAGTCCCTGACATACCCCCTCATCTCTTGGAAAAAACTAAATCTCTGCTCTGCATTCCTTCCCTGTCGCTCTAACTTCTTGATGTTACTCTGAGCAGTTTCCAGCTGAGATGAAGCTTTCTCATTGTCCATTCTATGTTGGCGATGTACCTCTTGAAGAGTCCCCAACTGCTGTTTCATCTTGTCACAGATCATATCTACAGTAACAGCATGTCGACTTTGCAGTGAATTAGTTGTAAATGCAGGTCCATAGGTTTGATTTCCATTTGTGTGTGTATCATTATATCCAATTCCATATGTGTAAGGCTGCTGTACAGTTTGATAACTTAATGAGTTCTCTTCAGTGAATTGTTGTTGATACAATGAGCTTGTTGCCTCAGTTGTTTGTAGTAACTCTGGTTGGACCACAGGTCCTGAAACCCCTTTAACACCTTTGCGAATTTGTTCATTTTCCCAGAGTTTGATCTCTTCATCATCCTCAGCTTCTTCATTGTCAGAATTCTCTTCAAGTTCTTGATTAGCAAGAGCAGCTTCAACCTCACGACGACGATCCAATGCAGGAAATCCTCTTTTCTTTGGAACAGAAAACGAAATTGGTCCCTCTTCCCCCTCATCATCACTTACATCATTCTCATCTTCTCTCACTAGCCGGCCTGTGGATGCAAAATTTCCCTCATATTTCTGTGTGTCATCCAAAGGGATAAAGTCTTGCTCAGTTTGTCTTGCCATTTCTCGCCGTTTGCGTGCTGCATGAATTGTTGCTGCATCTGGTATGCCAAAATCAGTTTTACTTCTTGAAATTATAGCTGGCTCTTTCTTGATAGGTCCTGATGCTACTGAATCAGTGTCATCTTCAGCTTCCTCCCCGTCATCATCGCCTGCAATTTGACACAGCTCAGCTCTCAGTGCAGCCAATCTTTCGTCGGTATCATCTTCGCCCTGATCAGTATTTAGATCATTTTTCTTCACAACTCCCCCTTTGTCAAATTCCTCTTTCTTTTTCCTCTCCTGTTCTAGTTTCTTCGCCAACCGACGGCTTTCTTTTGACTTGCGAATCTTGAAAACTTCACCCTCGTCTCCTCCTTCATCATCGAAGCTAAGCAATGAATTAGACGACGCGGTCTTGATCTTTGACTCGTCTTTCTGTTTTGGTTTAGAATTTTTGACCGCGGGTTTTGAAATCACAGGAATGTTCTCTATTTCCCGATCATCGCCAGTTTCGTCGTCTTCGTGGTCGATTTTTTTCCGAAAATTTCGTTTGGAGTGTTTCTTGAACATGGTGGCCATGATTATGACAAGCGCGTAAAGTGTCACGGGATGCTATTCCCAGTGTCGCTCTTCCAATTTAGTTTTGCCTGACTGTATTTTTCTCCCTCTTAACCATCAAAACTCCATATTTCCCTTTCAAAATGTCCTACTTTTATGGCAGTGGTGGGGGACAAAGGCAACCAAAATGGAATTATCAAACAAATCTAGATCCAAATCTACTGGCCACAGTTCGAGATGAAATGCTTCGAAAAGAGGAGGAGTACCGGAAGGAACAACAGCGGATTGAAGCGGAACAAAAGAAACTAACAAGTTATCTGACCCAACTTCAAGCCATGGTTCGAGATCTGCCTGGGTAGAAATTCCCCCTTTTTTGTATTTTTAAAGCTTCCGCTTTATTTAAATACGTTTACAATGACTTGTTTTCTCATTTGCTTTCCGATAAATAAAAAAAGTCTTTATCATAAGACATTATATTACATGAGTACACTTAGCTTGCCATGAAAAACTTTTTCGAGAAGAATATCCTCAAAACCCACTATAGTCTCTCGTAAAAGTTTCTCGCCAAAGAGAAATCTTTTGTGTAAATACGGCTTAATGTAACGATTTTATTCTTTGATTTAAAGCGCAGTGACCCATAATTTGCTTTGAAATACCTCGGAAAAACGGCATTGACCTTGTGCTCGTTCACGTCTTGGTCACCTTTTTCGAGTTGGCCTGATATGATTTTAAAGGAAAGCTTAAATTAAAGATTCGATTAACTAATAACTCTGTTTAATTGTATTTAAGGCATTTTTTGTAAAGTTTTTAAGGCTCTGTAGTAAAGGAGTGCAATGAAAGGAAAGAATTTTGATGACCCGTTTACTCTAAATGTAATAAAGTAACCTGTTTTTGCCTTTCATTTTAGTACATACAAAAACAAATTCACTTATGATGTACTATCAGGAATTGCAACTTGTCTTCTTGATGGAACAGTATTTGAGATTGTAAAGGGACTGGAAGACATACAGCAACTTACTGAAAGAAACTTACTCAACAAAAGAATGAAATTAGTCAATTCGCAGAAAGGTAGATCACAATGTATATTTTGGATCATAAGAATTTGTATTTGAATTCTAGTAATTTTTATTTTGTGCAATTGTTGGTGGGAATTGTCAGTTTGTGCATGGGTGCACCATATAACAACTATTTTAACTGGTGTACCAATAACTAGCAATCGGAACACATACAATACCCAAGTGACTTTGGCCAAATCAGTTACCAATATTCTGGCTGAATCCTTTATTCTTTATCAGTCTGTTGGAGTGTGAGCATGAGTGGTCACATAGCATCTAATTATATAACCACTTGCTCAGAGCAGCCTTCCGATAATAGTATAGTGTAGTAAATCTTTGGATGGTTAACAAGAATTGTCATGGAAACCTGACTTAGGAGTATTGGTGGTACTAATCTGACTTTTCTCATAAAATTGAATGCAAAAGGTAGCGACAAAATCATAAACATATATTACAATCATAGAAATATTATTATTTAATAGGATAAAATGTGTTAAATTATTGGTCTGTGTTTGTTATTTACTTTGATCCTCAGCTCAGAGGATGCAGATGGCCAAGAAACATAAAGATGCCATTCAGCAATGTGAGCAACGGCCTCATAATCTGCCTCTGGTAGAGGCATCAAATACGCAAGAAAAGAAAGTAAGCATTTTGGTGTTAATCACACTGCTTAAGATAGCATTGAAAGTTTTATTTTCAACCCATCCCCTAACCTGCAATCATGTCCACTATCATCACTCCTATCTTAAAGGGCGTCAAATACACCCTAGGACCTCCTTCAGCCTCACCTTTGTATCTTCATGAATACTTGATTGGTAGTGGCCATCACTGACTGCAACTTTCAGTGAAGTGCAGACTCTAAGGCCTCGTTTCTTACTTGCAGTTCAGCTCCATGCTACCATCAATTATTTTGGCAACTCTCAATTTACAGCAGAAACAAATAAACTGGAGCAAACTCCATTCTTCTCTTACCAGGTTCCTGAACACCTCTTTAAATAAAATAAATTCTTCTGATCAGTCTGCAACATAACTGACAGCAGAAAAATATTGCATATTTGATGATGCCTACATGTCCAACTCCTTGATCTGCATGTTGTTGAAAATAGTGCTAAAATTTCTAGGCTTTGGAAGAAAAGTTAGAGGCAGAAGTGCTTCAAGTTGATCAGAAAGTAGTCCTTGAGTTGGACCAGATTGTTTGTGACCAACAAGCAACCCTCCAAGTAAGCTATATTTTGTGCTTTAAATTTGTTTTTCAATTCTAAGAAAATGGTTAACCCTTTAAAGTCTGATTGTTTATTCTCCCCTCTAGCTTGCTACACATTTCCTTTTAAATTAGTCACAAGATTTGGTGTTAGATCAAGAGAACAACCTTTACCTGATAATCTTGAGTATTCTCATTACCTGTTTGTTGTATAATGTATGGATATTATAGGGAGAAGTTACATATCAATCACCTCCAGGAGTTAAAGGGTTAACCTCATTTCACAACAAGTCCATGCTATGTGGATGTTCTGGGGGCAAGGACAAATTTACTTCCAACCCTGTCATTTCCTAAAGCACAATTTATCACTCTTTGAACTGCCTTCCATACATTTCCTATTAACAAGACATGTTCTGGTTGACAAAAAAAAATTTTGTGCTTTGCAACTGTTTACTCAAGAATGCATTGATATTAAAACACATTTGTTACTCTTGGGGGTGAAAATGTATCTGGTTTGGAATAAATGGCACATTTCAGCTGTTTCAAGGCATAAGCCACTATGAAATAAAAATTTTTTTTTTCCTTGCACAGAGAGCTGGTGTGCCCATGTTTTCTATAACAAACAACCCTAATGAAGTTCGCCTTCAGATGTATATACTGGATTTTATACAGCGAATGGAACACACTCCCAGTTAGTGGCTTCATTTCTTGGAAAGACGCATTTGGAACATGTTTTCTTGGGATGACTAGTTGAGTTCAAGTTTTTCAAGTAGCAGTTCAGCTTTCTTTTTGCATCAGACACATAAAAAGATGTTAAATTTTTGAGAGAACAAATGCTACCCACCCACACAGTATTCATTACATCTTGCCTGTCTGAAGTGCCACCATATAAAGCTCATAGTGAAAATCTTCTCATAGTGGTTTCCTTAGAATAATCTGAACATTGTAGTTCAGTGAAAATCTACTCACAATGTTTTCCTTAAAATGATCTGAACATTGTAGTTACATGAACTTGAAAGGAGAATTTCTTCGCTGATCTTTCTTGGATTCAAAAGAAAAAATTTGAAGCCTTCTTTCCTATACGTTCCTGTAACAGGAAACATTTTTTCCACTGCAAAATACACTCAAACTCACCAAATTTTTTTTAATAAGAAGAAAAAAATGGGTGACCAACCTTGGACATTTTCATGACAACATTTCATCAACAACTCTATTTGCATTTAGACAATACATTTTAGTTCCAATGTAATGTAGCCTTTATACATATACACTACAGTGTACAAATAACTGCTATTGTTAAATTAAATAAATACAAATTAACCCTGAGCAAATTTACAAGTGCTTATTTAAGTAATTGATAATTAAATATTGATATTAAAAAAATTTTTAAAAAAAAGCCAAAGGCTGTTGAGGCCACAAGGGAAAACATTCATATTGTTCCATAACCAAATTGTGATCTAGTAGAGTATAACTTTAGCAACAGCTCAACTAAGGTGTCTATGACATTGGAAATAAGAAAATCCAAGATGATTAGAGATTTCACTGTTTCCCAGCCATTTCAGATTTTGTCAAATATATCTGGAAAGCACCAGGTGTTTGTTTGGATGGATTACATATTCCAGTCTATGTGACTCAGGTGTGCTGGAGCTAAGCAAGTAGAAGAACAAACTATTGATCTTGATCTTCAATGACTATTGAGCTCCGAAGAAAAGTTGGGTGCACCAGGAAAACAGAAACCCTTCCAAAGTTTCCCAATATCTTGCCAACCAGCCCAGACAACTGAGAATGTCTATAATTTCATGTTTTCATCAGTTGGAGAACTCTGGAAGGGTCTGGAAATGGTGAAATCAAAACTGCATTTATCTGGGATTTTTTCCAAACTGAGGATGTCTATCATTTTGAGTTTCCATTAGTTGGGAAACTCTGGGATGGTTAGAAAATGGTAATAAATCCTTAGCTGACTGGGATTTTGCCAACATACAAAAGCCAGCCTTAGGTAAAATTCTCCTGCTGAATCTCAATGGCCCAAAATGTTATTTATTCAGATGTGGAGATTTACATCTTATTACTGCTACTTACAACTATTCTCCATCTGTTACATTTTTTTTTTTTTTTTTTCAAAGAAAACCCTTAGCTCTACTTTTCCCCTGTATAAAGTAAAGGAAAACTCACCGGTGGAACAACTTATCAAAAATAATCTTGTCTTAAATAGAAATAAGGTACTTAGGGCAAGGAAAAAAAAACAGTGTACTGTTTTCAAACTGGAATTCTGTGTCTCCTTTTTGAATGGTGTGATGTGTTCCTGTCCCCTCTTATATTTGCATGATCCCTTGTGGACTCTTACAAACAAAAGAGCTACTGTCTGATGATAGTAGTGGCAACTGTATAACATCATACAAGCCAAAATAGTGCCTTTCAAGAAATTGTAGCATTAATATTACTTGTATTTGTTTTCAGTTTTTCTTTCCCAATTTTTTAAGAAATTTTTCAAATCTAAAAACAAGACATTTTCATTGTTTTAACAGCAACTTATTCTACTGCAAGAGATTTCCTTTCACAACTTGTGGTCCTCTTGGCATTACTGTTACACAAGAATAAATGGAGTTACTTTATTTTTAAACTAAACTTTAAAAGATTCTTTGCAGTTTAAATTTTTTATCATTGCCTCTATTCTAGATTCTAGGTATAGAATAATCTGAGATGGCAAAATATTTTATCTAAGTACAAGATCATTTTTGTAAAATAGTTCAAATTCATTTCCATTTTCATTTGATCACAAGCAAGACCAAGAAAACTAACTTTTTGAAAAAGGAAATTTATCCTGTCCTATCTAAGTCTTGTGTGACCAGAAAAGGAAATTGAGAGATAATAGTCAGATAGTCTAAAGATGAAAGATATATCAGTTATAAAAAAATATATGAAAGTTCACTTGGCAACCATGTGGACAATCAGACACGGTTTTATGCTACTCTGGTTTAAAGATTTAGTGAATGTAACTGAGAAGTTACAATTTATAGACCCAACATTTCAAGACTACTGTCTAGTGCCATCATCACAATTCAAATAGTGATGATGGTGGCTTACTTCCTGGCACCTATTTACACCTCATCAGAAAAAAAGGCAGCTAATTAGTGAGTGTATAAAAGGAACTCTTGTTGCAGCGTTTAGATCACCCCTGAAGAAGGCACTTGACAGGAGTGTCAAAACATTGGGTCTATGAATTGTAACTTCTCAGTAACATTCATTAAATCTTTAAACCAGAGTAGCATCAAACCATGTCTAATTATAAAAAAGTTAGTAGACCAGATTTAAGTTTTTCAAGACAACTTTTGTATTGAACACTGAGGCAATACAAAGTTCATTAAATATCGCACAAATTGTAATTAAAAATACTGGTAAGTATGAAGAACCTTGTGTATGTAGATACATGATCCCAAAAGTCAGAGGAAATATAGCAACACTGTTTGTGATGTGGTTAACCTTCATCCTTGGTGTAATAACAGCATTCTTTGTTTTCTCTCCTTTTACGCTACGATAATTTTTATCACTTGAGTATTTTAACAAGCAAGTAAAAATGGAACCAAGGATAAAATTAAATCACAACACAGAGCTTTAGAGAGTTGTTGTTATAAAATATTGTACACTGTTCAACTTAAACTTTAGATACAATACACATTTTGATACTGATGATGCTATCAGTATGGGATATCCTTATTTTTCCTACCACATGTACATTGTATTAAGGACATAAATCTGCACCATTGTAAAGCCTAATAGCTTTAGTACAAAGACATCAGTTTCCAATGATAAAAAGAGTAACACTTAAGGAATTTTCTTCTCTTCACCTAAACATTGAAATCTGGGAGTTTTTCTGCTGCCATGTTTGCCAATTCCTCATCCTCATCCTCATCTTCACTGATGCTGCATCTCGGTGACAAGCGGCATCCTCTGGCAATATATGGGGTGAGTTTTCCTATGGCTGCCAAAATCAATCCCAAGTAGGGAGGGGATGGTCTGATTGGTCGACTTATGTATTCTGGGTGATACTGGACTCCAACAAAATAGGGATGGTCTGAAAATAAGTAAGGTTGCTCAGTTAGGTTAATTCAGTATGCAGGGAAATCCTGTCACCCAATGTTTTACTCACCTAAATAGGTTTACCAGCCAACTAATGGCAAACTATGGTAATCTAGTATTATCAAATTAGTTAATAATGTAAATGGGAAACCATAAAGAGTTTAAAAGTTGACATTTTGGGTGTTAGCCCATCATCAGAGCAATTACTTCAACCATGTACCTTTGATCTCCATGATTTCCATTCGTTCACCTTCCACATCTCGGCCAACAAATTTCATTCCCTTTTCCTCAAATTGACTTACATATTCTGGATTGACCTTAATTATTGTAAAACAAAAAAAAACAAACAAAAAAACACTTGCTATTAGGATACATTATGACTGCAAGGAAAAAAAAGTGTCTAAATGAAAAAATTGGATACACTTACAACCGTGCCATATAGAGTTTTGTGGTTCAATGCAGGAGTCACAAAATCACCATAAGTGATTTTCGTTATTGAATAGCCTCTCTTACCTCATATCTGTGCCTATGTCTCTCTTCTACAAACTCTGCATTCTTGTAAAGCTTTCCTGAATAAAAGATAACACAAATGTGAGGAACTTGTAAAACTGCAAATGTTTACATCATTAGGGATTGTACTTCTCTTGGACTACAACACCAGCGAGGTAAAACCTCCTAAGGTTCATGTGAAAATAAGGATTTATCCCATACATTTAGATGCTGAGAAAACAAGTTACTTGTACTTCACTCTGTACAAAATAAATAAAGAAATAAATAAAATATATTAGACTTAATATTAATATGCTACCGGTACTCACTTGTTATACTCTCATGCACCTTTGAAAACACTGTCCGTCGTCTTCCAAGCCTCATGGTCCCTCCAAGCTGACCTGGGTTGTGCTCAGGCATTTCAATAACCTAGTAATAATACTTATTAATTTTTTTTCAAGAAGCTTTTGTCATCTTTAACTCTTCAAAGAGGAAATCACAAATATAGAAGCCTAATTACTCAAAATACCAAGAGAAACGAGTGTAATATAAGTTTGAGATGCTGAGGAGTTCAGTTTGAATCTTTCTACAGAATTTAAAATTTTGAAATCATGGTTGTTAACAAACAAACAAACATCTGGTTTTAGGCTTTTAGGCAAGCATTATGAAATAATAATACACCTGTACTTACCACTGGATTTTTGGTATCTGGTTCATTTTCTGTGGAGTTTGCATCTAAAAATTATAGAATGTTAGAGTTGATCAGTGATGTGGTTGAAGCCAAATCAAGGAAGATCAAGACATGTCTGACCAGTACAAGATATTTCCGAGTTTAATTTCTTGAAGAAGACAACTTATATTAAGACACTGCACTCTTACCTTTCAATCCTAGAATGTTTCTGGCGAATTCAATGACAGCTAATTGCAGTCCATAGCAAACACCTAGTCCAGAAAGAAAAATGATCCTTTAAACCTTTGAATCCCTGAAGTGATTAACGTGTAACTTCAACCTTTAATATCCAAAACATAATCCAGCAAATAGGCAATGAGAATACTCAAACTTATAATGTAGAATTCATTATCTTTATCTACACCAAACTCTCGTTACTATTTTACAAGAAAATGTGTTGTAGCTAGATGGAAGAATTAACAATCAGATCCTGGGAGTTAAAGGATTAAGTCCCAATTCATTGCTGATTGAAAGGTCTAAAAAATAGATCACAAATTAAACCAAACTCAACAATCTAAGATAATAACATACCTAGGTAAGGTTTCTTCATCTTTCTTGCCCATTCAGCTGCTGCTATTTTCCCCTCTGTGCCTCTTTTTCCAAATCCCCCTGGTACCAATATACCGCTACAGTAATCATGAAAAACACAATCAGATTTTGTCTGAAACTGTAGAAAATAGGGATAGCGCTATTCCTAAAAATTATTTCTTTGTTGCTGTTGTATTTTTCTGTCCTGAACATTCAAGATTTGTTACACCCGAGTAGACCTAAGAGTGTAGTGCAATTAGAACAGAGTACATCAACCACTTCTTAAACCAGAAACACACAATAAAATGTTAACATCAGAAAGATGTGGTCCATTCACTGTGAATAACAAGTTACTCACTCGCATCCACACAACCTTTGCCAAGCTTCATGGTATTTCACTGGATCTCTCTCTTGAACCTCCTTCTCAAGATTTTCAGACTCTACCCACTGAGAGATTAGAAACAACAAGAGTCCTTTACGTCAAAAAATTCATCAAGTAGTTATACATGTATGCAGTCATGCAACCAAGTAAACGAGTCCTATAATTAAAAAAGTGCCTCTTTTTCAATTATTTCATACACCATAATTCTTAAACAGATTATAAGGTACCTACCACAACTTGAAGACGCCTGTTACAATGGAGGGATGCATGTTTCAGAGCTTTTAGAACAGAAATATATGCATCTTCTAGCTTTGTGTACTTTCCAACAAGAGCGATCTTAACTTCATCCAGGAGTCGCTCGTCTCTGATAACAAGAGAGAGAAAGAGAATTACCAAAATCTATGCTGATGAATAATTACCTGCTGTATCAACATGATTAAATATGTCTGAACCCCTCATGAACTGATGACGTCACTACCAACTAACACATGGGTTACTTAGTCTTTCACCACAGATTGCAATACAATGGCCTGGGACTCTGGTTTACAGGGTTAAGTTTGAAAACTCACCAGTTATTTTCCACATGTCCATGAGAAAAAAATTCTACATTGAGAGAGCATCTCTCCATTAAGTAGTAGTAAAATGAGGAACAGTGAACTAACAGGGAAACCAACAGAAGGAGAAAGGGATGTGAGTTAGCTAGAGTCTCCCTAAAAGTTCATCAGTACCATCCCTACCAGGAGGAGTTCCAAACGACAACATGACCTTCAGCAAGATAAATAACTGACTCATTACACCCTATGTAGTTTGTACCCATGAGTACAAAACTGCAGTTTTCCCCTTACCAGGCCCATCCAACACAAAAACACATGCCATGTTGACACCAATTAAATTTAATTGATGAGTTTATGACTATCATCATTATTCTTCAAAAAATATCAACAAGGGTTTTTTTTTGGTCACTGCTATATGTAGCACTTTGCACTAAGAGACAGTCCCACTCACTTACCTCTCTGCTAATTCTCTCCATTGCATCATAAAATGTCTTGGTTTACGCGACTTGATTTCCAATTGAAGCCTTTTGGAAAAAAATGAAACAATTCCTTGGTTCGATAACAACACGGGAACGCTGTAAATGGATTTGCAGTCGTGGACATCTATCACCTGAAAAAAACAACTAAAATTTAAAATTTCCTGTTTGTTTAAAAAGAGAGGAAAGGAATCCCTAAGATTTTATGAAAAATTCTCACCTGCTCTGGAGGGACATGGCAGAACAAAGACACCTTCTGCTTGACAGAGTTTGTCACTGTATTCTTGCATCTACACATAATCTACAAAGTTATTTAAAAGAAAAGTTTCAAATTTATCTTGTGCACTGTACATACAAATGAAAAATCTGCCTTTCCCTTTTGCAAAGACAGAGTAGAGGAGATGGTCTTCTATAGAAAGATGTAATATAATAATCATCGTAAACATGCCACAAACATAGTAACATTATTGGTCAACAATAAAAGTGTTGTTACAGTTTCAAACTTTTGGTTTTCAGTGAGCAGGCTTGCACTGGTTCAGAGTAACGAGAATAACATTATACCAGCAGATATGACCCACCCACCTAAACCACAAAGCAGATCATAATACCTTAGGTATGGAAAATTTATCTAAGTTTTGACACAAGTTAACCCTTTAACTCCCAGTATGTGATTCTTAATTCTCCTCTCTGGCTGCTACACAATTCCTACAAGAATTTGGTGTTAAATCAAGTTAAAAACTTCTACTTGACAAGTTTGAGGATAACATATGGATATTATAGGAAAAAGTCACATGTTAATAACTTCTAGGGGTCAAAAGGTTAAGAGACCAGTAACTTACCAGATCAGGACTCAGGCCTAAACCACGCAGTTCCCGCACACTGTTTTGTGTAGGCTTTGTCTTCTGCTCACCTGTAGAATCAGGCTGAGGAATACAAATTTAATACAGCCTTTATTAACTTAAAGGAAAGAAATAGTATGTTTATGCTTCATTTGAAATTTGAAATTGTTGCTTTCTGTTTTCCTAGGCAATTCGTTACAAGTCATTTAACAACTTAAGTTACATCTATCTTTGGTACCATCAACTCTCTGTTATGAAAACCCTTGGTGTACAAGAAAGGGGACTAGATATGTGCACAGATTCCTATGAAGTACAGTATACCTCAGGCACCAAACTGACATGGACCACACAAAAATTGTCTCTTCCAACTCTAAACTGGAACTGACGGAAAGCTTCAATATAAGGCATACCCTCGATGTCACCAATTGTCCCTCCAAGCTGATAAAAAATACAACAGAAAAAATCTATTATTACCTAATGCTTGCATTCATTATACATTCAAGCATCTTATATTTTTGTAAGATTAAAACAGCAATTAACTGTCACACATTCATATATATATATGTATATGTATATGTATACAATGAACTTCAGCCTTCAAACTCTAACCTCAAATTCTGTCTAGGAACAACATCGCTAACATTGTAATGCACATTTCAAGTAGAGACAACAGAGATAAATGTACAACCACATGTCAAAACTTCAGACTAATTGAACCTGTTTCCTGAAGAAATTGTAGAAAAATACATATCGAACTCCAAGGTCCACTTACTATCAAAACACAGTGCTTTGTCTCCAGCAGAGGTAACATGCTTTGACAGAATAAAACTCCAAGAAGAATTGTTCAGAGGAGTAAATGGGTCCCCTCACTGAATTTTGAAACATTTTAAAAATCTAGGGCCTCTGTTTGGGCTGGCTTTGCTCCTGAGAATTTTTCCAAGTTTTTTTTTGGATTCTGTTCTTCTTTTAAGCCAATTTTAGTCAAGGGATGTTGATACAAGAACCTTCGAACCTGATCGTAGGCATAGGTACATGAAACTACATCAGAACAAATCCATGGCAATGGAATATTGACCTCTACTAAGTCTCAATTTTGCACTCTCACACTAAATCTAAGCAGTGATCCATTGTTTCTCTGAGAACAATAATTTACTATTGGACCATTTTTCAACATAGTGTCAAAAAAAACATACAAAAAAAAAAAACAAGAAAATTGCTTGTTTTTGCATATGACTAAGTTGCAATTGTTTAATTAATTGGTTGAGATGATGGTGCAAATTTCAGAACCAATCACAGAACAAAGTTGAGGTTAACCAAAGCAATCACTGATTACTTTAGACAATCAGTTGGAAATTGCCCTAAATATAAGTTGTTATTAGTATATTACTATACCTCAATGAGACAAACATCAGCCTTGATATCCTTCTCAACAGGTTCAGCGGACACCTTTGTTACCCAGTCTTGAATAGCATCAGTGATATGAGGAACCACTGTAGATTACAAAAGAACAAATATCGGATAACATAGATCCATCACTTTATAGTATCAATTACACCACATATATATGAGTAAAACCATATTTATTTTGGAATAAAAAAATCTGATTCTAATTTCAATGAATACATATCATTATACAATAATTAACAATTATTCACCAAAGTGGAGGTGAATAGTGGTGGATATTTACTGAACTATGAAGTGGCAAGGTAACTATCAATCACTATTCACCATAGTGAATAAATGTTACCATTGGTGTATACCACACAGATACAAAAATTTTTTTCTTTGTGGTGGTTTGTCTCTGCATAAGAGCCTTGGTAGCTGGAAGCAGAAGTCAAATGTGTAAATTGGACTTAGGGGCTATGAAAGGCATGTCCCCTTGAGATATATGGTTTATATAGTTATCTTTCTGAGATAATTGCAAAAAAGTTGCAAAAAATCAAAAAAATATATGAAATGATAATATCAATGATAAAAATAATGATGATAATAACAACAACAACAATAATAATTATAATAATAAATAATAAAAACAATGCTTTAGTGATGCACGCTAAAAGTAAGAATTACTAAAAATTAACTCACCTTGAACAGTTTTACCCAGGTAATCCCCTCGTCTCTCTTTATCAATCACACTCTGATAAATTTTACCAGTTGTTATGTTGTTGCTCCGGTGAAGAGTTACATCAAGGAACCTTTCATAGTTCCCAAGGTCTAAATCTACTTCACCTCCATCATCCAAAACAAACACTTCCCCTGTAATGATGAAAGTTTAAAATATTGAGTTAATTACATGCAACTGTTACACGACAAAATAATTTTTAAAAATTATGATTTGTTATCACTGAAGTTTTCTCTGGCCCTTTTCAACTGTTAACAACAACATGCAACTGAAGCATGCAATTGAACATCAACAAATATTGCACAACAACAAACTTGTCTGTATATTTTAAGTTTACCAGCTCATCAAAAGAAAAGCCAAACAGATGTCAAACCACAAGGAGGAATTTGTTTCTTTTCTGATCAATTTTTGAGAAAAGGTTAGAAAAAAGCCTTAACTTTATGAAATCCGACACCAGTTTCTCTGTCCAACCATATCCATGAACATGTATAAAATGTAGACCATTTTAGATACCAGGAAATACAGTGATAATCAGATCTTGTATAACAGATTTGGCCTAGGACAATGGTATCATATAAATTTTAAGATGGAAATAAAGTAATGTGTTATTCAATGTCTCATAATCTACATTTTGAGAAAAATTATCTGCTTTTAAGCCTTGATTCGAATATTGCGTGAACCCACAGAATCGCCACGCGTGAAGCAAACTACAGGAAATCTGATTGAACAACAAGATTTAAAAGCACTTAAATTCTTTCCTGTTTAAATTCCTTTTTTATTCGAGGAAAGCATTTAAAATTGCAATGGAAAGTGCGTACTTTAAGCCTTATATTTTCCAGTTACCAGTATGCTTGAAAGCAATTGATAAGTCATTCATTCACCATGTGCAGTTGTGACTACAACTTACGACGCATATTGCATTTTGGAATTTTTTTTTTTACGTAATGCTGCCAAAACTAGATTTCACAAAGCATCAAAATTCTCTTGCCACAAACACCTTGTAAACTCTCTCCTAATTCCAAGCTGATGTACCAACGAACTCGAATAAAAATGGCGGGACACGTTTGAACCATGCACTTCGCGCGTAAAAGATGTAACGGGCGCTATCAGCCGCTCATTTGACAACAGATGTACGAAAAAAAAGGACTTTACCATGCTCGTAAGGAGAGAATGTCCCAGCGTCGATGTTCAGGTAAGGATCGATTTTAATTGAAGTAACGTGCAGTCCACATCCTTTTAATAGAGCTCCGATGCTGCTAGAGATAACACCTTTTCCGATCCCACTAATAACGCCACCGGTAACCAGAATATACTTCATCTTTGAGCAGAAGTATAGCAGCTTTTAAACCCAGTATCTAGGTTCCTCAAAAAATTGGAAAACAGGGGAAAACTTTTCTAAAAATTATTTTAACCCTCCGGGAGTAAGTGGCGCCCTGCTCTCTTCGAGAACTGCGCTATCAACTTACACGGCACGTGTTGTTTTTATACGAACAATTCGCTCCTCATTGGTCAACGAGTAAGATGATGTCGATTTCATAAATTAACAAGTCGTGACTAACAACTTGTCGGTCTCTCGGAAAAGTTCGGAAGAGTTCGGAACTCGGCATAAGAAAGAGGTTATTTCCCGGGTCTACGCGGTAAACATAAGATTAAAATGGCTGCTAAATTTTACCGTACCTGCATACGACGCCAAAGTTTATCAGTTCTTCTGTTTTGATTTCAATCATCTTGTGGGTAATTCGTTTATCTTGGGTTGGTTTAAAAACAGCAAAACTGACCCGATCGAACCACGTGGAAAGCACCTTGAACGAAAAGAAATGGGAAACAAACAGAGTTCCAAAAGACGCGAAAGTCAGCTTGTACGCTCTAATTTAGCATCGTCCGTCAATCCTGCGCTTCCACAAGGAGCTATTGTCGCACTTACTGGCTGTTTAAACAGACTGCCTCTCGTCCTAAACAAAAGTGTTCGAGAAGAAGTGATCAGACGAGTAGAGCTGATGGAAACTGGTGAAGCTCCAGAAATTCTTCTAAGTAAAGGCCAAGAGCCACCTGGAATATATGTGTTGGTGTCGGGTAGTGTGACTGTTTTCAGTGAAAACAAGAAATTTGCCCTGAGGGAAATTCAAGTCGGTGACTGCTTTGGTGAAGTTTCGGCGCTATTTAATATGAATTGCACTGCTGATGTGTGGTCATCTAACAGGTTGGTATTGATACAAAACCATCTCAACATCCAGATCTCAGTCTTAATTCTTCTCGCTGTCAGACATAAATTTCGCACAATTTAAGCTCTGAGAATTTTCTGCATATCATTCAATAACCCCTAATTTATAATTCTGTTTATTTCCACTATGTGTCCTCTTAATAGTTTATTGGTATAATTTTGAGAAGAAATCACTCATTGGTCAGTTCGTGGGTGAAAGGGTTAACTTTTGGAAATGCCATGGAAATAAATTGCATCTTCATAACATTTTTTTGGGTTGAAACTGCCAGGTGCATGTTGTTGCTTCTGAAGACCTCTGATGCCCGTCGGCTTCTCACATTTCCCAGTGAGGTGACGCTACTGCAGTGGTTTCAACAGAGGTTGGTGGAGGTTATGTTTAAATAATCACTCAGTTAAACCAGCTTTGTTTTTATTCCTCAAGCTTGTTTTCAAAGTTGCACTCTTAGGAATTTCAGTCTGTTCCTCTTAAATTGTTCAATAATGTGTAAAGATGATGGCTTTTGAAAGGAATTTTTTAATGTTATAGGAGATACCTGGACACTAGTAAGCTGTTTAACAACCACCAACTGTCAAGGGAAATTGCAGTAGATGTATTGCAAAAGGTTTGATTATCTTGCACTACTATATAATGATATAAGGACTGAGTGGAGTCCAATTTGGTCTGTAATCGTTTAAGTGATTTACAAAATTGGACAACTGCAAAGTGGGAGTCCAATTTGTTAATCACGAGTATGATACAGACAGAATTGGATGACATGAAGTCCTGTTACCAATTAATTAAAACTATGGCAAAATTTGAGAAAGAAACTAGACATCGGTTGTACTTTTTCATAAAAAAAAAACAACAAAAACAGTTAACTCAGTGAAATGCAAGACAACAGGGCACGCACAGTACGTTCTATCCACTTACACAGGCATAACTGTCCTATTACACTGTCCAATTACAAGCGCGATGTGTACACTGTCCTATTAGTGCTTAAATCAGGCTGGTGATAACAAATCACATTTGAAAATTTTGTGATAGTTTTGACTAATATAGATATCAATAATGTAAATAGGCCACCACAAAGAGTTCCATGAGCAGAACTTTTGAGTATTAGCCCTTTTTTCACTTGCTCTGGCGAAAGGCTTTGGAAACCCCTCCTGGTGGCCAATTTATAATGATAATAGGCTCGGGTGGAGTCCAATTCAGTCTGTAGTCATAAGAGTGATTAACAAAATTGGACAACCATGAAGGGGGAGTCCAATTTGTCAATCACAAGGTTGATTACAGACAGAATTGGACAACAAGAAGTCCTGTGAACCAATTAATCACAATCATTACAATTTTCAAAAACAACAAATTCATTTAGGTCAAATATCTCTGGTAGAGACAATGTCTAAAGTAAAAAAATTTCTCCATTTTGGAAATTCCACCATTTTTTTTAGGATAAGTGGTTGTATAATTGGCTACTTCAGCCATCCAGTTACAGCCAACTGTCTGGTTACACTGTGTGCTTACAGCTCTACAGAATGATTAGTGAAAAATAAAGCAGCTTATGCACCAATCACGTTTGAAGAGATTGTAATGGTTATGATTAACATTATAAACTTATACCCCACTGATGCAACACCACAGTTTCTTCAGAAACTTACCCTCATTTATATAGGTGTATTTAGTCTGATACACTGATTAAGTCAGGCAAAATATATATATATAAAGTGCAATTATGCATTACTGTTCTGTACTGCTGTTTATGATTTATTTGTATTTGCTGTTTTTTTTTGGTTTTTTAGTCTCCTATACTTCATGGCTGGGGAAAAGAATCTTTGAAAGCTGTAGTTAAAACTGTAAAGCCAGGTCAGTTAAAAGAAAACATGTGTGAAAGTCTCCTGATTTGGAGAAGAATGCTGTTCTAAATCAAACCAAACTAAAGCTAAAAATAGAGAATAAAGATGGAAGTGGTTGGTATTTAAATTCTTAGAAGGAGTCAACAAAGAAATGCATGGTCTTCAGTTTGGAGAATTAAATTTCAGATCTAGGGATGAGGGATTGAACTGGTATTGTTCTAGGGAATTCTGAGGTCTATTCTTCTGCTGTATTAATAGTCTAATGTTCAGCTTGATTCAGTCCATTGGAAATTTAAAAAGTTTTTTTTTCATTTATTTGATGACTTGTTTGTTGTAATTGATTCCTGTGCTTTGTTATTTTATACAAGTGTTATTCTTGCAGCGGTTATTGTGTTGTATCCTCCCAACAGCATTATTTTCAAAGAAGGCTGGAAAGGACAGGAAATGTTTGTTCTAGTGCATGGGCGGTAAGTATGTTGCATTTTATTTACAGGCCATTATATAACCAAGTAGGAAGTGCAGAGAACTTTTATGACAAGAGGCCTGGGTTCAAGAGCCAGCAAGGTCTTTGTGTTGTTTTCTTGAATAAGACACTTTATTTGCACAATGACTCTCTTCTTGAGGGAGTTCTGACGAAGTACTGACTGTGATGGACTGGTGTCCCATCCAGGGGTGTTCAAGTGGCAATTACTTGCAGCTAATTTATGCTACCAAAACTTGGATAAGCTGGGATAAGTTTTCCTCCTAATTTTTCATAGTTATGTTCTCTTTATGAGTATGAACCCTTCCATTTTTGAAAGTTGAAGCTGTTTACCAATAATCTGTGATCAAAATTAATGGATGATTATAAAAATTATATTACTACTGTTCTGCATTTAGGGTAAACTTCTCCAAAAATAACCAGGATGTTGCCACATTTGATGCTGGAGAAAGAGGATTTTCCTTTGGAGAGGAAGGTATATTAGTGATAATGAGACACACTCAAACAATACCTCTCTTTCTCTTTTTTATTCAGTGGAAAAGTGTTTTGTAAGTGATTTGTAATGGTGCAAGATAAAACTATGTTTAGAATTTAAATCATAACTTAGTTGTAACACAACTTTATACGTCATAAATTTATCATAGTTCATTAATTCCCCCCTCAGGGTTCTTCACTGGTACAGAGAGAAGATCTACTGTAAGGTAGGCAAAATGTGCGCTTTTCATAGCTCTTAGTTAAAGAAAAATGAAGGAATTGTTGGCAAGTATGTTCTTCCCATACTTTGTCAAAATTGAATTTTGGCTTTCTCCTAAATCCCAGGGCCCATTTGTTTGAAGGCTAATTAGCGCTAACCCAAGATTAAATTTTAATCTGAGTTTCTTCATTCCTATATTCAAAAGCATTTTTGGAATAATTTCTTGTGTTCCTTTTAGAGCATCAAATAGTCATATTCTAGGCAAAAAGAATTTGTCTGAATTTTTTTTTAAAGCTATCAGATCTGAAATCAGATTTCGCACTAACCCTGGGTTATCTTAACCCAGTTTTGAACAAGCCGGCCCAGTTCTGCAAATAATCTTCCAACAGGAATAAGTTAAAAACCCTGGTTTGTTGTTTGACTTCCTCCTAAGACAATTACAGTGAATAGCAATACATGTCTCAATTTCATTATAGTAAGGGGCTTGATATTGATCTGTACATAACAGAAATTCACTCCTTGTAAATTATTTTCACAGGGCAGCTGGGCCATGCCAGATTATTCTCCTTCGTGAGGAAAACTTCCATGATGCCATTAAACAGGTTTATTTTTTTTTATCATTGAATTACAGGTAGTTTCTTAGAGGTCACTTAAAATTACAAATTCAAGTTGAATTTTTTTTTCCACAGTTCTCAGCGGAGGCAACATTACTCCAAGAGCTTAGTGTGAAATGGAAACAACATGTAAACCAGAGAGATAGCACACTGTATTCAAAGTACATGGGAGCATTAGATCTGGAGGTTTGATTTGTCTTGTGGATGTTTGATACTAGTATCTGTATATAACTTTTGTCTCTTTCTCCCAGTCTGTAGCCTCCCAAACACAGGTAATTGTTAATACTGTTCCTCAGGCGAGAGGAGATAAGTGCAAGGGGCAAGGTCTTTGTCTCCACTCCTTGAGGGGTCTTTCCTTTCACATATACCCTAACCAAGAAAAGCCTTAATGACCCATGGTATTGGAATTGACCTAAAAACCTTCGTGAGCTTTGTTTTCAGATTTCTTTAAAGATTGATCCCACAGTATCAAATCTAGATGACTACCTACTAGGAAGGAATTGATTAAACCAGATTATCAAAATCATTGTCTTTCACCAATAAATTGCCACAACGTTTTTTTTTTCGATATAAATGAAAAAATTAAATCATTTTCTTTTCTCTTCAGATATTGAGAATGACCTTAAAACAGGTAAATGATAACTTCAAATTAGAGAGAAGTACTTTTACGTGTATAGTTTTATTGCAGTCCAAAGTCACAAAATATCTTTTCCAACTTCCTGTACATAAATAAAATAAGGAACAGCACTTAGCTGTTAATAGCAGATCATAAGATCTTTGTAACGAAAGCCCAGAGCCATAGATTTCTGTTCGAATTTAGCAATGCAGAATGACTGATGTTCAGCTCTCTCATCTGTCACTGATTTGCCAAAGGTTCAATGCCTAGGTAGATTCTCATGTGGGTTGAGATTGTTGTTGGTTGTAGCCCTTGTTGGAACTCTCCTTGCTGCGGTCCAGGTATTTTCCTCTCTCTACAAAAACCAACACCCCATGACCAAAATGCAATTATATATACCATATTTCCTTTAGCAAGCGCCTGGGTGCTTATTTAAATCTTCGGCTAAAAGGATAGGAGCTCGCTGGAAGTGAGGGGAATGCATCTTAGAAACTACTAACCTGAACTGATTCCGCTTATTCTCTCCACAGACAGAAGAGTTCAAAACATGCCCGGCAGGATTCCTTTACATTCTTGCGTTATCCATGACGATTAAAGAAGTTCCAGCTGGCGAGATTGTTCTTACGGAGAGAGAGTACCAAGATGGCAAGTGCGCTTTAGTATCAATGCAGTTTGATGATTTATATTAAACTAAGACCGGATATACGGTTGATTTTGATGATCCTAAAGGTGCTGCCGAGTTTTGAGTATTCTCTTACTACGAAAACTTGGTTGATTTCAATAGGACAGGCAGGAAATTTACGATGTTTTAAAACGCACGTGCAGGGCGCTTGTTATGCTCATTAGACTTTTCGTTTCATCAAGTTCTCTTTTCCCTCTCTGTTGTGGTTTGAGTGAGGTATCCAGAGTTAGGATAAGCAAGGAGCGCCAAAGAAACCACACATCTATCACTGACATAACTTGGTCTTTGCCTTTTTAACGTTCACTTTTTAGATTGGAAAATGCTGTGATATCACAGCAATATTGGCTCGACTTTTTTTTCTTCGTTTTCTTTAGGTAGCACGTTATTTGTTGTTCTTCAAGGAAGTTCAGTTGTAATGGATGGTGACACGTCAACCTCTCACTCGGTGGAACTCAAACAAGTCTTTTGTAAGTGTATGGTTACTATTCTTTTTCTTTCTTTTTTTCTTTTTTCCTGTGCTACAAAAGGATTGTATAAAAATATTTCATTAAAATCACAGAACAGGCAAGATTACCATCCGCCGGTAGAGAAATAAGCGCACGTTACTCCCTCCAAAGTTGTTCCTCGGAAGGACCAACGACAGAATCCAAGAAAACGGCGCAAATCGAGCCTTGTTAAACCGCGGATCGAATGTTCGTGTTCGATTCTTAGCTGAGGTTATTGTGTACTTGGGTACCAAGGACTATAAAGTGGGTACCAGCAAACCGTCACTGAAATCTTACAAAATGTTGGGGGAATCACTTTTGATGGTTGGCTTCCGATCCGGGGGAAGTTAGAGTGGTCTCAGTCTCTCCTGCATGAACTCAGTCAGTTAATATTGGCCAACCTTATTAGTGGAATTGTTAGAATAATGCTTTATCATTTGTCTTATCTATCCTGCTTTAGGGAAGAACGACACAATGCCTGTGACTGGGTGGGTTAAGGCGGTAGAGTTATGCGTGGTGTCCTTTCTTCCAGAGGAGGCAGTGAGAGAAGCGCGCAACACATATCCTGATGTAGCGCTGCTCAGACCTTGAGAGAAACCATTATGGCTTTAGAACTGGGAGTACACGTCCAGCTGTTTTCAGTCATCGTATGCCCTCTCAACGGCAAATGGAAATCATCTTACCGATGTGACGCCAGCCGCGGTTTTGATTGTCTACGAAAGTCGGCCTCTGTAGGGATCCGTTGGACAATCAGCGCCCTGAATCGCGATCGTTCTGGTGGAAATGGCGAAAGTTTTTGCGACTTAATTTGGAGCGAAAGTCGCCAATTTTCCTCTCTCGCTTGATTTTCAGCGACAAGTGACTGAAATAGGCTGCCATGGCCACGAACGTTTGGGCTTACAAATCGTGTAATCGATAAATAGATTCTAAGCTACGAAAGTGTTGCAAGAGACGCATCTGAGTCGGTCACTGATGTGCCTACCACATTTTGACTTCGTCTCTGATCTATTACTGCACAAACCCGCAGCAACATGGAATCTATTTGTTTTATATGACAAAGAAGCAAAATTTGTAGATGGTGACAGCATCTATGCGTCTATCCTCTGATAAATCATGTGTAAGAACCGATCAAAATGCGTATATAATTAAGCTTATTATAAGGCTAAATATCATTCGCAGACGACTGCGAGACACCTACCAGAATTTGCAAGCTGCGGTATCTCGCTAAAAAAATAGCTTAGGTAGAGATCTCGTTTATATACCTACCAAAGTTTGTATTGTAAGCATAGATTTACACATGTACATATGAAAATAAAGCAGTCAATATCTGTCATTCAACGTCATCACCTTTCATTCTTCTTCAACACCCATTTTTCGATTCCAGAGATTCCAACCCTCCCGGTTGGACCGGAACCTCCCATTTTTTGAGATCTGTTCCGGCCTCCGTTTTCTTTCAATATTCTCACTAAAAACGTCGTGATCAACATCCAAAGTGACTCCATCGTGAGACAAATGAATAAAGTTCATTTCGTATCTAACACCATGATGAACAATAACTACATATTTTATTACAATATTCTAACTGTTTTTAAACTTTCTGGTTTAGATAATGTTTTCCATTCTTCACAATTCCTTCTAGAACGATCTACTCGTTTTTCTGCAGTATCTTGGACTTCAAACCGCATAGGAGGCTGGCTAAAAAAATCGAAGAGTACCTGCAGGAAATCTAATTTAAGGCACAGCAACTACAGCTTAAGCTAATTAATATCCCTTCAGGAGAGCATATAAGTGGAGTTCTTAACAAGTTTTTCTTATAGTTTGCTTTATTAGCCACAGAAGCGAAACTGAAAATATTTTCAAGACCACCTAGCCCCTCTGTGGATGAAAAGGTTCTAGACAATGAGAAGGTTAAAATGAATAGACTGACAAGTAAAGATTAAAATTGTTAATCAATGAAGCCCCGAACCTTGACCAAACGTCTTTGAATACTTGTGCAACACTTCCACCGCAAGTAAGTGCTATTATGATATTAGGGAGCCTCTGGCTATAAAAGAACAAAAGCCGCCATGCATATTGTTGACGTTCCTGCGCCAGTCACGCATAAAAAACATGCGTAGATAAGATGCGCAGTGCCAGATTCTGCTTTCTTGTAAATTTAAAGTGCAATCGAGAATTTAGACTATTACTTAGCTTCGAAAAGGTGAGGAGCTTTTCTCTAAGATTTTCCCTCAAAGATAATGAGCATCTCTGTAACAGCCATGCAGTTTGGATGGTGGTGGGGGGCGTTGGTCATGATCACAAAGTGTTATCATTTAAATCTTGTGAAAGATGATTTGATGTTGATGCGTCTAACATATGTTCTTTCAATCTTTGCCTTTAGTTCGACGGGACGTCGAAACCTGAAGGAGCGTGATATCACTACATCGTGTAGCTAAGGAAAATATGAACAGATCAGTTTGACTTTTTGTTGAGGCTCTTTTAAAAAGGTAGAAGAGTTTCTGTACATTTAATCATTCTCTTATGTGCTTCATTACTGCACATCATTTATTATGCATGCATGCAGCTAATTGTAGATTTGAGTCTACAATGCCGTATTATGAGGTGACTGCTCGAGAGGAAATATATTCTCGTAAGTAATTGGGCGCAATAAGCTACTTAAACTCATATGAGAAATCACTTTCTCCCAACTAGTGTGAGCCTCGTTCAATAAGTATGAGTGCACGCCAGAAAAACTGGGTTAATGACAGAACACAAAGTCGAGACTCGCTGGTTAAAGTTTCTGCGTGAACAAAAGAACATTAAATTAAGGCGAATACAATTTCCTCCTGCTGCTTTATTTGTTTTGTTTGACATTTTTTTTGCTTCGATGCGCCTACCTAAAAGTCACTGTAGTGGTGCGATGGAAACCCCAGAAATTACACATGAGAAAATAGGTACATATATGTCGGCAGATTGTTTCTTCGCTTTGCATCAGTTTTTTTTTATTTTGATGCACCAAATGATCGTTTCTCTACCGTCTATCGTTTACAACGATAAATATTTCGAAATATGAATATTTTACAGGTAAAATCAATAAAACTTACTCATTCCCTGTGTATCCGTCGTAGTTTCTGACGATTTCTGCCGTTTCAAGCTTGCTTTACTATCACTGTTATCCATGTCAAAAGACATGGATAACAGTGATGGTAAGTTTTATCGATTTTACGTGTAAAATATTCATATTTCGAAATATTTTTCGTTGTAAATCGACCATATTTCGTTCCCCATACTATTCCTTATAACGTGTTCAAATTTTTTCAACGGTTCCTCCCGTAACTTAACACCGAGTCACACAACGCGTGACGCGTTCATGAATTCATCGTTGGCTTTTTCTCGAGACGTGAGCTTGGGCCGCCTGTGGGTGAATGATGATCTGATTATGTTGAGTCTTCAATTTCAGGTCACCTTTTGACAGGAACACGCTTAAACTTCCCGAACTCAACTGGAACGTGATACTGCTACAGCTTTAAGGTAAGGAAAATGCAGACAGAAAAGTTCAATTAACAATCGAAGCTCAAGCAACAATAGCCACTATTATCAGATGACACATACACAGATGTCCCCAAAACTAGGCTATTCTGATTGAAGTACATTATACTGGTAATCATTAAACCTAATACAAACGTTGCTGACTACTCAGTGGAGCGGGGCTAGTCGGGTCTCGGGTTTTGCCTTGAAAACGCAGCTCTTGAAAAGTGATGCGTTTGTTTTCAGTATATTCTCTGTTCTGTAAGCTATGCCTGCGACTTTTTATGTTCCTGGATGCCAACAAAAGGGAGGAAATTCTTCCGCAGGAGAGAATGGTTGGGTTTTTAGATTCCTTGGTAGCCCATGGGGAGAAGACAGTGGATCCATGCAATTCGTCGATACGAAGGAAAGGAGTTTGCCACAGATCGCAGGGGGGAAATAAGTTTGTTCGCTGCATTTTAGGCGAGCAGATATCAGAAAATCTTTAAACAGACGAGTTTATGTTGTCGCCGATGGTTTTCCAATAAGATTTTCTTAGTCAGTACTTTCCCCATAGAAAAGAAAACTCCTCCTGAAAGACAACTTCAAAGTTGGCATCCTTCATTGTGGCCATTTTGTTGCTCCGTATACTTGCCCGGCCTGCTCTTCAGTGTAATGCTAAGGCATATTTTTCGCGTTCTTATGACCGTATTTGGTTAAACGTCATAGTGGTGGAATAAAAACACATAGACGTCGCCCTTCTCAAAAAAATTGGCCTAACACATTCAATCATCCGAGCTCTACTTTTCGAGTTTTGGAGACTAAATTTGTCCCCTTGAAGTTCTATAAACGAAAACCAGAAGTATTTAATATATTGCGGCAAATTCTTCGGCTAAGGCTTTATCATCGTCGGAAATCTTGCAAAAAAACACTGCCACTGCGCTTGCGTATCTCAATTTCCTTACATTTGCGTTGGATGTGTGAACATCACTTGCAATTACATTTACGTGTGAATTTGCATCTAACGTGTGAACCAGGTTATATGATATATTTAGTCACCCTCTTTGTACGTATAATAATTATTATCATTGTCATCATTATTTCTCTATAGATCCTCGTTGCTCGCTGAAAAGGAATAATGGATCTTCCCTGGACCGAGCTACCGCGGTTTGAGGCCGCTCTAATGAAAAAGGGTCTCCAACCGAAAGAGTTTGAAAGAACTCTTCTTTCCAAAATTTCCAAGATATTTGAAAATGAAAGAGAAGTCGTAGAAAGAAGTGTAAAGATATCTGTAGAATGTGTAAGGGAAAATGTATGTATTCGAGAGAATGAATCAAAGCCCGGTTTGGACCAAAGGTATAAAGTCGCCTTAAATAAATACGTCGATGACAAAATACTACCAAACAAGCAGACACCCCCAAAGAAATTGATAAAAGATACTGGAGGAATACGTAACGTAATTAGGTATGACAAGAAACTAATTCGTGATTATCACAAAGATCAACATGAATTATTTTCCGAGGATAACCTATTGGGAAGGGAATTTCGCAAACTTACTCCTGCGATCAAACTGAATGAGAAGGGCTACTTTATTCATGATAATGATGCACACTTCTCAATAGAAGATGCCTGTCGTGTTATCGATAAATTTACTTGTATGTTTCTTCAGTACTTGATCCTATTAAAGAATAACGGTCAAGTTCCTTCCGAAGATTGGAAGCCGCAAAAACTCTTGAAGATTCTTTCACATTGCGAAAAAATAGTAAGGAGAAGGGTGAGTTTGGATTGGGGAATTGAAAATGATCTGCTGGACAATACGGGCTATAATGTATGGAAAGCTCACGTAATGATAGTCATGTCCTATGCAGCACTTGCAGTGGTTCTAGACATGATACTTAAGAAGCAACAGCCGGTGGCTCCCGTCGTAAAGTCACGGCTATGACCCTGGTGTGTGATGTCAGTCTACAGTCTTTCCCAGATTAATAGGATTTGCCTTTGTTCATTACAGTCGTTATTAACTCATTGTTACAGTTCAATTTCAAGTTTGAATTGCACCCTTGTTGTTAGCGTTTGTGACGAATTGTCAGTGTAGAGAGGTGTCCTTTTTGTCTACTTTATCCTTGTTAATGGGAACTTGATCAAATACATCACATGGGACCTCAATGCATGATCATAGATTCTAATGAAAAAGTTATAATTTCTAGCTAGTTAAATCAGTTGCAAGCCATTTGAGAGTCGCCGGGTATTGAGGTTAGAGTGATATAGCGAAATCATTTTAAATTCTAATGTAATTTTGGTCAAAAGGATCAACACGAAAACAATGTATAGCTTAGCGTTAGCTTATTTTATTTGTTCTTAGAAAAAAAAAAGTGAGGAAACAATAAATTGTAGAATACTTAATAAAGTAGGGATGATTTTCGTAATCTCAATAGCCTTTATTTTTGTTCACATGATTAAATTGAGAAAGAGGGAGGACACAAAAATATCTTTCGTCTTGTTACGAGCGTGGGACAAAGAAAAAGTTCTGAGTTCCCATGAGGAATCGAACCTCAGACCTTTGGATTCCGCGCTCCGATGCTCTACCAAAATTAAAACAAAAACTTCTCTCACTTTCTGTTAAGAACGTTTTAACGCTGAATGATTTGATAAACAGGGCATGCAGGGCAACTTTAGCCGTTACTCAAAGAACACGTCGCGGTTTGCTTTGCTTTGTACTAGCTAAGTATTGTTTTCCTTTACCATAGACAAGCTTTTTCCCGATGGGGAGGTGAGGCACAATGCTGTTTTACGAAGGGGCAAAAACGTGGTGGGAGCTTGAGTGAACAAAAATACCATAAAGGGCTGGGAAATTCGAGGGAAGAGGATCAAATGCAATTCATTGTTTCAACAAAGGGCGTCAAAATTGCCGTTGGTAACAAGTGTAAAAAAGAAAGAGTTATAATGGTCTCATACAAATTTTCGTCAGTATTGATGAAAACTTCCTCTTTTGATCACCGAATAAACATGTTCTTCTCCTGAACAAATTAAACGTCTAAATGACTGAGCTGTAAATGAATCGGAAGTGTAGTTCACTTCAGTGTATTTCAAACACAAATCATGAAATAGGAAATAGTTCCTAGTATTTGACAAAAAAGTGTTAATTTTTTGAACGAACAGAATAGTTCTATAGTTCCATAGAAACTAATACTGTCCGCTAGCTTGCTCTGTTTGGGGATGTTGTCTCTGTATGCTTCCATAAAAACCTGCTTTGTTACCTCAGATAGCAAAGCAAGTTTTACCTGGCAGTAACACTTGACAGTGTCTGGATCCCATCCACCACCCTCACTCCAAAAATTACCCTTTGCTCGCAATGTAGATAAAAGTTTTAGCAAATGTCAAGACTTTCTCAGCCTATATAAATTATATCAGACCCAGCAAATCCTTTTACAAACATTTTACAAATTTGTTAGGGTTTGGGTAGATTTACGAATCATCTACAGATCAACTAGAATGCCTGGAGAATGTCTTGAACTTTTCCACCGATCGTGTGCAAAATTATTAAGTGTTATTCTTTTGGGTTATCAGGACATTGGAGGGTCGGAGGCAAGCACAAGGTGAGAGCGAGGAGAACCCAGGCGCGAAAGGTAAGTTGAGCGAGGGGTAAGACGCGCAAATAAAGGAGCGTGTGGTGACAGTAAATGATATAGAATGACGCTTTATGATGCGTAATACCGATAGAAGATGTCTAATGACGTAAATGATATGTAATGCGATACTATACATATATGGAAAGACATTAATGATGGGCAATGACGATGGATGATGAGGAATGACGTCAAACGACGAGGAATGACGAGAATGACGTCAAATGACCATGAATGATAAGGAATGCCGTGAAATGATGAGGAATAACGAGAATGAAGTGGAACGACGATAGATTGCATTTAAGAATTTTATTTTTAGGTAATGCTGCCAAAATTAGATTTCGCAAAACATCAAAGTTCCCTTACCACAAAATCCTTGTACACTCTCTCCTAATTCCAAGCCGATGTACAAACGAACTCGAATAGAAATGGTGGGACATGTTTGAACCATGCATTTCGCGCTCAAAAGATGCGAGGTGTCCTTTCTTCCGGAGGAGGCAGTGAGAGAAGCGCGCAACACTTTTCCTGATGTAGCGCTGCTCAGACCTTGAGAGAACCAATTTTGGCTTGAGAACTGGGAGGGCACGTCCAACTGTTTTCAGTTATCGTGTGCCCTCTAAACTGCAAATGGAAATTATCTTACCATTATGACGCCAGCCGCGGTTTTGATTGTCTACGAAAGTCGGCCTCTGTAGAGATTCGTTGGACAGTCAGCGCCCTGAATCGCGATCGTTCTGTCACTGTCAGTCACTGATGTGCTGTCACTGTCACTGTCAGTCACTGTCACTGTCAGTCACAGATGCGTCAGTCACTGGTGTGCCTACCACATTTTGACGTCTTCTCTGATCTATTACTGCACAGACCCGCAGCAACATGGAATCTATTTGTTTTATTTGACAAAGAAGCAAAATTTGTAGATGGTGACAGCATCTATGCGTCTATCCTCTGATAAATCATGTGTAAGAACCGATCAAAATGCGTATATAATTAAGCTTATTATACAGCTAAATATCATTCACAGACGACTGCGGGACACCTACCAGAATTTGCAAGCTGCGGTATCTCGCTAAAAAAATAGCTTAGGTAGAGATCTCGTTTATATACCTACCAAATTTTGTATTGTAAGCATAGATTTACACATGTACATATGAAAATAAAGCAGTCGATATCTGTCATTCAACGTCATCACCTTTCATTCTTCTTTAACACCCATTTCTCGATTCCAGAGATTCCAACCCTCCCGGTTGGAGCGGAACCTCCCATTTTTTGAGATCTGTTCCGGCCTCCGTTTTCTTTCAATATTCTCACTAAAAACGTCGTGATCAACATCCAAAGTGACTCCATCGTGAGACAAATGAATAAAGTTCATTTCGTATCTTACACCATGATGAACAATAACTACATATTTTATTACAATATTCTAACTGTTTTTAAACTTTCTGGTTTAGATAATGTTTTCCATTCTTCACAATTCCTTCTAGTACGATCTCCTCGTTTTTCTGCAGTATCTTGGGCTTCAAACTGCGTAGAGCACCTGCAGGAAATCTAAATTAAAGGAAATCTAATTTAAGGCACAGCAACTACAGCTTAAGCTAATTAATATCCCTTTAGGGGTGCACATAAGTGGAGTTCTTAACAAGTTTTTCTTATAGTTTGCTTTATTAGCCACAGCAGCGAAACTGAAGATATTTTCAAGACCACCTAGCCCCTCTGTGGATGAAAAGGTTCTAGACAATGAAAAGGTTAAAATGAATAGACTGACAAGTAAAGATTGAAATTGTTAATCAATAAAGCCCCGAACCTTGACCAAACGTCTTTGAATACTTGTGCAACACTTCCACCGCAAGTAAGTGCTATTATGATATTAGGGAGCCTCTGGCTATAAAAGAACAAAAGCCGCCATGCATATTGTTGACGTTCCTGCGCCAGTCACGCACAAAAAACATCCGTAGATAAGATGCGCAGTGCCAGATTCTGCTTTCTTGCAAATTTAAAGTGCAATCGAGAATTTAGACTATTACTTAGCTTCGAAAAGGTGAGGTGTTTTTCTCTAAGATTTTCCCTCAAAGATAATGAGCATCTCTGTAACAGCCATACAGCTTAGATGGTGATGGGGGGCGGGGGGCGTTGGTCATGATCACAAAGTGTTATTATTTAAATCTTGTGAAAGATGATTTGATGTTGATGTGCCTTACATATGTTCTTTCAATCTTTGCCTTTAGTTCGACGGGACGTCGAAACCTGAAGGAGCGTGATATCACTACATCGTGTAGCTAAGGAAAATATGAACAGATCAGTTTGACTTTTTGTCGAGGCTCTTAAAAAGGTAGAAGAGTTTCTGTACATTTAATCATTCTCTTATGTGCTTGCACATCATTTATTATGCATGCATGCAGCTAATTGTAGATTTGAGTCTACAATGCCGTATTATGGAGGTGACTGCTCGAGAGGAAATATATTCTCGTAAGTAATTGGGCGCAATAAGCAACTGATTCTCATAAGAGAAATCACTTTCTCCCAACTAGTGTGAGCCTCGTTCAATAAGTATGAGTGCGCGTCAGAAAAACAGTACACAAAGTCGAGACTCGCTGGTAAAGTTTCTGCGTGAACAAAAGAACATTAAATTAAGGCGAATACAATTTCCTCCTGCTGCTTTATTTGTTTTGTTTGACATTTTTTTGCTTCGATGCGCCTACCTGAAAAGTCATTGTAGTTGTGCGATGGAACCCCCAGAAACTGCACATGAGAAAATAGGTACATATATGTCGGCAGATTGTTTTTTCGATTTGCATCAGTTTTATTTTTTTTTTTTTTGATGCATCAAATGATCGTTTCTCTACCGTCTCTCGTCATGAAATATGTCGAAAAATAACTCGCACTTTTATATCTGGATGACAATTTATGGTTTATCAAAGTGCTTGCTGGGAATAGACTTTGACCTGTTTGATTAGCTACTTAAGCTGCAGCTAATCAAACTGTGCAGTACAGTGGTGTAAGCCCGAAAAGCTCCACTGGAAATCCATTACTTCTGACGATTTACGTAACGTCTCTCGTGCAGACACGCGCCTTGACTTGTATGATATGGCTTTTTTCCGACTCTGGCGATCCACCGACCCACTAACGCTACCCACAGAGTACATGGACTTTCTGAACCTTTGCCTAAGGTCAACTAACTTCCAGTACAACAGTAAACTCTAAGAACAGTTACACGGTACGGTCATTAGGTTTCCGCTTTCTGCTGTTGCGGCAGAAATTGTGAAGCAGAATATCGAGGAACGCGCCTTTTCGACTCGCCGACAATCGATACCGCTCCAGCTACGCTACATTGACGAAACACCGCCGCAAGACACGACGAAATCGACGCATTCAACCACCACATTAACGGAAAAAACATTGACACACAACAGTTTACCAGAAGACATGGTTTGAATGGGGGCCTACATGTTAAGCATCCGGAATATCTATGCAGTTTGGATCATGGTATTTTGGTCATCGAAAAGTGTCATGATGTAGCTCTGGTGAATAATGATCTAATTATGTTGAGTCTTCAATTTCAGGTCACCTTTTGACAGGAACACGCTTAAACTTCCCGAACTCAACTGGGACGTGATACTGCTACAGCTTTAAGGTAAGGAAAATGCACTCAGAAAAGTTCAATTAACAATCGAAGCTCAAGCGACAATAACCACTATTACCAGATGACACATATACAGATGTCCCCAAAACTACTATTCTGGTTGAAGTACATTATACTGGTAATTATTAAACCTAATATAAACGTTGCTGACTACTCAGTGGAGCGGGGCTAGTCAGGTCTCGGGTTTTGCCTTGAAAACGCAACTCTTAAAAA